TACTTTACGTTTTTGTTTTTTACTGTTGTTTTACGGTTTTGACTTTACCTTTTTCTTTTGTTTAGAACTTTTACTTATTTTTTTGGTGGGTACTTAACTTTTTAGAACAGAACACTTATTTAACTACACTTCTCTTCTTAAGCTTATTACTTTTTACTTTTTCAGTTTATTTTTACACATTACTTGACACATTGTATTTTTTTTTTTTAATAATTCTACAATAATTCGCCAAGAAATTATTAATTAAAATATGTAATAAATTGATTAAATAACTTTATAGGGATATGAGATAGAAAAATATGGGTAATATTTAAGCAGTGATTAATTTAAAGTATATGGAGCGAAAATAGTTTCAACAGGAGAATTAGTAGCTTTAAAAGAATAATCTCAAATTACAATGTTAGAAGAGAATTTATTAAGACTTCAATAATTAATAAAATAATAACATATTATTGAAATCAAAATTTTTGAAATAAGAAATTCAAAAGTGTTTGTAATTATCGAGAAGGTGAAAAAATTATTTAAGGATTATATTTTAGAAAATGAATTCAAATAAAAATAATAAATTGAAAAATGTCTTTTATTCCTTTAGGTATTTTTTTTGTATTTCTTTAGATAGTTTAAGCTATTAAAGAATTTCATAGATTTGGTATATTTCATAGAAATTTAAAGCCTATCAATTTTGTAGTTTGTGAAGATCCAAACAAATCCATTACGGTTAAACTTCTAGACTTTGGACTAATCTAATTTATAACAGGCGATGATTAAAATGACTTACTTTAATAAGGATCGATTGAATACTTAGCTCCTGAAATTCTAGAACTCGAATAATATTATGACAAGTCAGTCGATGTGTGGTCTCTTGGAGTGATTTGGTATTAGATGCTAACAGGATTTGTTCTGTTTCAAACCAACAGAAATTAACTGACTTAAGAACTCATTAATTAATCGATTGAGCAAAATGGATAATAAATAGATATGAATATCAAAAATTTCATTAAATAGATGTTGGTAATCAAAAGTTAGGAAAGAATTTCTCTTGAGGTATTAGTTAGCTAGTTGCAAGAAGTTATTCAAAACAAATAAAGTGTTATGCCGTAGAACCAAGACTTAGAATAGGTCGATTAATTAAACCATTTCAAAAATAATCTAAAAGAATAACTTGATAACTAATTTAATGAAAAATTGGAATAGGCTATCCAAAGAAAAGAAAATTATATGAAAAAAGTAAAGATTGAGATTATAGAAGATGAAATCTATTAAACCTCAAACCATCTTTTAAATTTTTAGTAGCAGGAAATAAATAATTATTAATTGCATGCTACATCAGAACGTTTCCCTTAGTAGAGTCTGTTAGACAAATGGTAAAGCAGAGATTAGTAATTTATGTAATTCCAAGAAAAATATGATGCTTAAATCAGACAAATGATGTAAAAATAAGAGGAGAATATAGTAAAACGTTGGAATGAAAAGTCTGATTAAATTAATAGAGATATCAAATTATAAGTTAAGTAGCAACTTTTATTAGATTATAATTTATAAATGTCTATTAAGGAAAATTAAATTAGAGGAGAATAAGTTCCAGTTCCTGATGGCTTAATAATAATATAGAACAATAATAAATAATTAGATTTATTGACCAAATATTTAGATAATTCATGCATTAAAATATAAAAAACAGAGAAATATGATCGAATCAGAGAAAAACTAAATTAAATCCAATAATAATTAGATGTAAGTCGAGATACACCTTCATATTAAATAGCTGAAAGAAATAGGAATTTTTAAAAAGAATTGATTAATATCAAAATTGAGATTGATTCAATTGAAAAAGAAATTGAATTGGAATATTTAGCAAATAAATTATAAAGAGACAAATTGAATTTATAAAATAAAAGTTAAAACTTATTTCGAACATATAAAGGGATAGTAGATACTTAAATATTAAAATTGCAATAATTATCTAATTCTAGTACAGAAACCAATTATAATATTTATTTTAATGATAAAATTGAAAAATTAGGTAGGTAGAAATAAAATTTAGAGGAAAGATTACAATCTCTACTTTAAAATTTTTAAAATTAATAAATTGAAACTCTACTTCCATCATTTCAAAAGCTTAAACTATTTAATGAAAACCTTAATAATATCATAAGTTAAGAGGAATAGTCAACTTTATAACTAAACTCATAATAAATGGTTTATTAATCCCAAAGTTTACCTATTCTGTAGTAAGAAATTTAAGATAAAATAAATTAATAGTTAGACTTATTAGATTCCATTCATTCATAATTATAATCAACTTAAATTTGTTGTACAAATATCAATATTATCAGAAATTAATAAGAGAGTAAAAGTGAATTGCTTTAAACATTATAATTGTAAAATTAAGAATTGCTGGAATGTTAAAAAAAGTTGCAAGAAAATAATCTCGTAATCGAGGAAAATAGAGAAAGATTTAGTTAATAAAAATATTTCAATAGTTTATAAATCTTTTCTGAAACTAACTACGAAGAACTTACTTTTAAACTTAAGGAAATTATTAATTTACTCGAGTTAGTAAAGGACAGGTTTCGATATTTTGAAGACATCACATTTTATGAGGATATTATTGATAAATGGAATAAGATTAAATCTTATGAATAAAACTTAAAAAATATGATCTAAGAAACAACAGAATCGATGTAAAGTTACAACAATCATTAACTAGAAGCATAAATAGATAGAATGGGAGTTTTAATAATTTAGATTAAATAAGGACTTCAAACTATACCAACCTTGATCTAATTTTAAAGATTTAATCAAGAATATGAATAGAATGAAAATAATTACTTAGAACTCTTCACTTTGATTATTTACATAAAACAATATCATTGCTTTAGATATATAAATAGATTGTTGTCTCTATAAAATAAAACCTTATCCAGAAAATAGAATTAGACCTTAAGTAAAGCTTAAATTATTTAATAGAATAATTTAATGTAAGAAATTCGCGAATATAATCAAAAAAGAACTAGAGTTCACAATTTGATGCAAGAATATTTAACATGCTTAAAAAGATAAAGAGAACACTTTACAATTCAATAACATTAAGAGAATAATGCATTTATAAGCAATTTGAATTAAGAATTAGAAAACAAGATTAAATAAAAAATAACAGTAAAGTTACGTAGCAGAATCAATGATTAAGCTCTCGTAAATGCAATTGTTAATAAAATCCAACTCTTTGAATTTTCTCCACTACTCTTATATCAATAAATGGCAACATCATTTGTGATTTAGTGTTAGCAAGACTGATAATATATTACTTTAATTCAAATTAAATTGTAAACTATAATCAAATATTTAATCAAGATCAATTTAAATTGAGAGTGCTACTTGTACTTTTAGTTAGCTTCAATTGTATCTTGGTATTTTAGTCATAGTTATATCCAATAAATAAATCTACAATAGAGTAATCTTTTACTTTAGATGGAATTCTTCTTTAACAATAACTTATTCTCAATTAAATCATCCTAAGATTCCGTGTCTATGCTTATGTTATATTCTAAGTTTTCCTATATAGGCTAATTTGAATATAATTAATTACTGAGGGAATAAATGGAGATTAGATTTCTTTGTTTAAGAGTTTATTCCATTGAACCCCTTAGAGCCAAATATGTTTCTTAATTTCATCAGGCCCATTAAAGCCTAATCTTTTGGTTTATTTTCTCTAAATTAGTTTATTAATGAAATCAGCTGCTTCAAGAGACCAATCGTTAGGAATTTAAGTTCTTTTTACTTAAACCTATTTTGATATGATTTGATCTTTAATTTCCTATCTTGATATTCCATTGTATGGTCGATAACCTAACATAAATTCATAAGTCATAACTCCCAAAGCGAAATAATCAACAGCAATAGTATGATTTTATCTGCACATAACTTCAGGAGCTAAGAATAGGATGAAATTAAGAAATACCCATATAGCCTGGTGTTCCACTATTATCAGATGAGTTTTCAGGTCTCCATATTCTAGCAATGCCTAGATCAGTTAATCTTGCATAACCTTTCGAATCTAAAACGATATTTTCAGGTTTAACATCTCTATGAATAACATTTTAATTGTGTAGATATTCCAGGGCCAGTATAACACAAGAAACAAAAAATTTGGTTTATAGTTCATTAAATCTTCTTTATCTACCTAAGTGTTATCTCAAGTCACCACCAGTCAATAGATCCATTACTAAATACAGGTTTTCTCTATCTTAGAATGAGTAGACCATATTAATTAGGAATGGATGTTTGAATTATGTCAACAGATTGCGTTCATTTAGAACAGAATTCACACTTCTTTTAGCAATAATTTTAGCCTTTGACATTTCTTTCATTGCATAGAGAGTTCTATTCTTCTTTAATTCAACTTTCCATACTTTACCAAAGCCTCCCTTGCCTATGATAAAATGGTAAGCAAAATTAGATTTATTGACACAAACTTAAGTGTCAACTTTTAGTTCTTCGTCATTTTCATAATCATCCTATTATTATTTTTTAATTGTTGTTTTTTATAATTATTATGTTGATCCATACTTAAGTAGTAATTGTTAAAAGATGTTTTCAAAATTTTTCAAGTTTTATTTACTAATATTTGATTAAGGCACTTGAAGAGCCTAAGCAATATCATTCATGTTAATATTAATCAATTATTTTTGTTTCAATGTCTTTTCTGATGATAACTTATTCCAATTCAAGTAAAATTCATTTGCTAAATTCTTTTTTATTGGCAGTCCCTATTGTTTTGGGGATTTTTAAATAGATATTAACATGGGACTTTTCGATCTGGATCGAAAACTATCTATACTTAAGAAACAAGGGGTTTTTTGCATCTATGCTTCGTCGTTGAAATTGATGGAGTTACTAAAATTATGAATTCATATTACAATAGAGTTCTGTCTTGAGAGTTATGTTTTATTGGATTTTGAATCAACTTATGATTAGTAAGAGGGGATTTACTATTATGAAATCTATCAGATGGAAAATTGCAATTTATTTGCTGATTCTTGGGAGAAAGTCTCTCTTATAGATTTCGAAAATGGTTATACATTATTAATAATTTTAATACTGCTTATTTAGAACTGATTCTTTTATTAAATTTATTATAATATCCATGTGGATGCACTTACGGCTTTACATATTGATAATTATATTAAAATTATTAAAAAAAGGTAAGTATATATTTATTAAAATAAATAATGCAATCAATAAATAGGAAGTGCTTATTTGAAAAGTTATTATGCATAATAATAACCCGTAAATTAGGCAGAACATCCTATTAAATAATAAATAAGACAACTTTGGATTCCATTAAAGAAACCTAATTATATATATAATATAAATTACCCATGATTCCGTTTTTTTGTAAAATGTGTGTAGTACACATAATTACACCTCCATCCAGCAAAACAGGTCTGAATTTTCGTTGAGATTTATACAAAGCTGCCTCACATTATAGTTAAGTTTTAACTACATCAAGAGGATACGATGCAAGACAACATGCTATTCCACTCAACCCTCCGCATACAAGAGCCTAACAAAAACTGATATCATCTGAGTGATTCCTTTGCTTGAATAGATATTTTGTATATTCATAAGTAGTGAAGAAAGCTAAAATCTTAGAGTGTTATCAATACCTGCATTCTAAGGGACATCTCTAATTATGGTAGCCACTAATCCTTTGAACAATCCTCTGACGCCCTCTCTCTACAATAATGTCATTACACATCTTAATGGAGACCTCAATTCATGATCAATATTTTTTATTTGCATTTGAAGTAAGCATTTAATCATCTCGGCCGGACACACTACCATAGCATAAGCTACACCACTGACACCACCAGCAATTAGCCCTAGATTAGATGTAATATCTTACAAGGCAAAAATTATGCTTAATTACTGTAAGGATAAGGACAGAGCTCACGATATACTGCTTCATAGACTGCAAACATTACTGCATTACACGGTACTTCAGCAAGTATTGGAGATAACATTCCTTTATAATAAGCTTTAAACTAAACTCAAATAATTCATTACTCCTTCTTTTTTGTAGATGTTTAAACCCGTTCTAAAAATTGACTTTTTTTTGTTTCCCATTATCATTCGCACCTTTATCGTGCTGAAATATATAAGATATTTTACTCAAAAGGATGTCCAAAAAGTCTAAAACACACTCCTGCAAATGCTCCACTGAGAACATCGGAAATTGATTGCTCTGCCATGCTTATTACGTTTTCTTGTTTTGAAAGTTAAAATTATTAAATTTGATTTGAGTTTTTTGCAATCTTTATTGTCCAATAATGGGTAATAAAATTTTACTATAAATCTTTTAATTCGCAATATTGATAAATAATTATTATAAAAATTATTATAAATCAACTTTGAAGCATTAAAGAAATTAACCCATCATTCATAGAATCTCATTTACATCGATATAATATAAAATTATTTAATTAAAAATGCTCAATCAAAATAATGTTCATAGTGATCGATTGATTCAAGTATTTTCCTGTGACATGCTTGATGGAAGTATCCAGTAAGATAGATGGAAAAAGGGAAAGCTCTTCATTATGGAAAAATCATTACATTTCTCATCTCTCTTTAATTATTCTACAACCTCATTTGGATTCAATCAATAAATCACTAAATTACAATGTACATACTTCTACCTATCTAAGATTCATAAATCAAAGAATTTGATGAAAATGACGAAAATGATACCTTGATAATTACTACACACAAATAAAATTAACTATATTTTAGAAATTTCTATGCACAAAGACCATAAATTATGGAAATTTTGAGGACCATTAATTTAAAAAATGAAGATTTTGAACCCATCCTTGAAAATGATTCATTTGATTGGGATACCTATAATAATTTAAGTTAACAAATCCTTCCTTAATTATTAAAGCTCAAAGATGGGAATTAATACAATCCACCTACTACTTTCGAAATTGAAGGGTTAGATATTCATGAAGTCTTTGCATTACTCTATGATGATATCCCCTATTAACCAAGTTAATATTTCAACCTTGCAATAAAAGAAGTCGATAAAACAAAATAATATTAAAATGTTCTTCATTTCTTTTTTGAATAAATTCTTGGAGATTAACAAATAAAATGTGATCCTTATGTTCCATAAGTACCTGAATACTTGAGAACAGGCAATTAATCCAAAGGGCCTAGTCATTAATAATAATAAATTGAAAACTTACCCACTAGAACTATTAATTATGTACATCCTACAAAATTACCATTCTTTGGTACTATTAATCCTAAGGTAAAAATGATTCAAAGATTGTTCTTGATTAATTAAAATGAATTTATTGTTTAAGTCTAATCAGAAACCTCAGGATTACCAAAGAGTGATTGCTATAAAATGATGTCGCATGAAAAAGCTATTAGAATTGGTCATAAAAAATTGTATATATGTTATTTAATTCACTCATAGTCGTATTGAATGTACTTTCACTATTGAATGGTCATAAAGAATTATTTTTGTTTCTAATTAAGTTGATAATGCAGGTGCAATTGAATCAAAAAGAGTTCTTGAAACATACTACATACCATATGCTAGAGCAAGATTAGCAGAATCATTAAAATTAAAAGAATAATAATAATAATAATAATAATAATAATAATAATAATAATAATAATAATAATAATAATAGTAAGATTAATTAAATTCAAGTCAAATTATTGCTGATTAACCTTCGATGGTTCATGTAAGAAGATAAGTTAAAAGTGAAAGTTAGATTTTCTAATAAAAATTTTAAATTAGTCCTCAAAAAAATTAATATCAAAATTATGAAAGAATTTAAGAATTAGATTCAAAATAATAAAAATTAGAAAACTAAGTCAAACAATTATAATTATAACTTGTCTTGCAAGAAAAATAAATCAAAAAATTAAGTGATGAGTAACAAGCTTTAATATTGATCAGTAGAACATTAGGGATAGTCATATTATTTATTCTTTTAACTAATTGGCTAATGAAATGATATAGAGTATTTTTTTAATTTCTTATATTTCATTTTATAAAGTTATATATTTTTAAAAAATCAATCAAAGAATTAAAACGAAATTATTTTAAATCTTAAATTTTTGTCATGGTTGTCTTTGTGTTTCTAAACTCTCATTAATCACATTAAAACTAGTTTCAACTTATCATATTAATTTATAATCTGCTCTTATTTTTTTTCTATTTAGAATAGTGTTATTTCAAATTCTTTTTAACTTATTGTTTTCAAGACTTCTGACTAATTGTTTTTAATGAAAATCTAGACTTAAACAATACATCTTGAAAATTTAGAACTAAAATAAATGAGTTTGTCATTTATCTAATTATTATTACAAACAACTTTATAGCATTATTAAATTAACCATAACAATATAACTTAAAAATGAAATAATAATAAAAAAGGTTATTGAGTGTAGTTTCTAATAATCTATCATGATCTATATTTTATAACTATATTTATTGCACATAAACACCATAACTTTCTGTTAAACCATATTCTTTTTAAAAAATATAAGGATTATGGAATTTAATTTATTAATGAATATACCAATTTCAATTTTAAATTAGAATAGATTGTACATATTTAAACAGAGTTGGGTATTTATATTCAATTAAAAACATGAAACCTATAGATTAATTAATTATAATTTAATAACAGCAAATCCGTTGTGGGAATCCTAACTTAAAGAATAGTGGCAAATTCTAAGCCTACATTTAACATGATTCTCACCCCCTGAATAGTTTTCTAATATTTATAATTTAATATAAGTTTAAATTTAGAATGTTTAAAGAATATAAAAACCAGAAAATACTGAGATGGAATTAAGAAACTTAAAGGGTAATAAATAATATTTGAATGCAACATTTATTGATAGATAAACTGTAATTCTAAATTTATTTTAATCAACTATCCTATAATTCATCAAATTAAAATTTTTTAGTATTTTTGTCGCTAGAGGTGATTTTAGAGCTGGATTCATTTTTATCTTCGAATATTATTTAATCTTCTATAGGACGTTACTCAGAATTATATCCATTTTGATTTTGCAAAGCAGGTTGTGAGTTATACCTATTGATATTGGTAACTATTTAAGTATTCATTTTTTTTTTATTGTTTCTTTGGGATAATTTCATAAGGAAAGCTGTTGTTTATTTGCTTATTTAATCATTTTTAATTTTTTCAATTTTTTATTAATCACTTTTATATTAATCGATTAAATCACTAGCTTCTTTATTTTCATCAAATAAAAATAGCTATTGTTTTAAATCTAGAGTCATATTTTCTTTTCGTTCGTCTTATTATGATTAGACTCTATTATGTACATCATTTTGGAATTATTCATTATCAAAATCAACACTTGAAGTATTATTAATGTTATGCTTAGTATTTTCTTTTTAATTGATTGTTTAGGTAATGGAGTCTTCATTAAAATGGAAGGTAGAGGCTTTAGTGTCGCGGACAACGACAGCAGTCTTTGAATATTATTAATCTTAATTTTCTTAATCGTTTTGATGAATATTAACATCTATTTTAGGAGGAGGCAGATTTTTTTTCTGAATTTTGGGAGATTCCTGGGGCTTCTATTAGGAAGGTACAGATGGCTGAGTGACAACTGGATTGAGTATTAATTTATTCAATTGAATTTGAAAATATTTGTATGATTAATCTTGTATTTCTTTAAAGTGTTCTACTCCTAGCTGAATATAAATGTGAAAGTAAATTACCATATACAAATTAATTAGATTTCTAAGTGCATCATCGTTTGTGTATTCACTCAAGACTAATATAATGTCATTGTCAAGGATTTGTTAAGCAAAATCTTTAGGGATTTGTTTTCCTAACTCGTACAATTGATTGTTTACATACTTTAGGAATGACGCATGTTAGCCTTAGGACTGGATGCTCTAAACTAAAAGTTAAGAAGAAATCAATACTAATTTAGAAAAGTATTCTGACATTATAATTTTTAGGTATTATATAAATATATATAATGTTTTATGTAAATATAAAAACTATAATTCTTAGATTTAGTAATTAAATGATAGTAATTAATATTTGGATTCATTTGTTAATAAGATGTAATATTAAATTATTTAATTGAAGATATATTTTATAGAACTGAATTATACTAATATCGACACTATACATTAATGGATCAATCTCAGTCATTTTGTTAAGTATTGTTGAACATCCGCTCATAAACCTGTTCATCGTTGACTAATTTTCTTCTAACTTTACCCTAAATATGTTTCTGAGATTCTTACAATATGATCTAGTGGGTTAAATTTCGAGTAATGAGAACGACACTAACAAGCAGTTCGAGTCGGTATTTCAATTGACATCATTTTAAAAACTCTATTCAGCTTTTTTTAGACACTTGTCTAGAATAATTCTTTATTTTATCGAACAAATTTTAAATATTTGTAATGCTCTTCGTTTGTCCAATGTCCTAAAATTAGAATATAAAATAACCTCTACGGTTTTGAATTATCTAACTATTGGATTTTTTAACCTGTCGCACTGTCTCTACTTTCTATAAGAGTTTGTCCGAATTATCCTCTTCATTCTTCTTCTCAAAGAGATTTTGAGCAGGAATGTCAGTTTATTTAATGAGATTGTCTTCCAGTTTAATGTAAGGAGGATTTGGGATTTTAGGCAACTTCATCTAGGTTTGTTCTGTACTCCAGTTGATATAATTTGATTATTAAAAGTAATTTAGAGGATAAGATTCATTCTATAGATATGGTTAAGGGGCCTAAACATTGATAACAAAAAGTCATTACCATATAGGTTGAAACTTAAGGATAGTAAGGGTTGTAGTTAGAGTAATACACTTGTGGATTCATAGCAAAGTCTGCCTAGTGGTTTAAATTGTAATACTTGGTTGAAATTAGAAAGGAGAAGTACTGTATGAAAAGGGGTTGGATTGCATGCTTTATTTTTGTTTAAAATTTAGTTAACTTGAATCATTTAATCGAGAATATATAGTGCGAAAGAATCAAGATTTTCTCATTTATAAAGTCAATATTATTTTACCCCCCTAATTTGAACTTCGTTCTCCCTTTAGAACCTTATCGATATATTTATACAATTAAATCTGACAAAAATTTTATTAATCATGTAATCACCCAACACTCATCCACACACTACACCCATTTAGTCTCTCTGTCAATTCACTCTGTTGCCTATTACTTATTGAAATAAGTCTCCCTGCTTCCATCTACTCTCCCTTTTTAATCCCAGTAAAATTCAAAAATCGTCTTTAATTATCCTAAATATTGTTGTTTCATACTCAAAATTAATCTCAAATGCTATTTTTATATAAGCATTTTACAGAAACCTCATTTTTCTTTATTAAATCCTTAGTCATTATTTAAAATTTTCTCCATCCAAATCACACTCTCTTTTTTGGAATTCCCCTTTATTGTTAATTTCATCCCTAAATTATAAGTGTTTCTTATAAGTAATTTCCTTCAAACATTAAAATAAATAGCATTCAGTATATATATTTTAATTATATTTAAACAAAATTTATAACGAAGTATCCAAATAAATAATAATAACAATAATTATTTAAGCTTATTGTATTTATATTTCAAAGTAAATTACTATAGACATCTACCCATTCCATCCTCCTGGATCAATTATTAACAAAAATCTTAAATTTCATCAATGACATCACTCACTCTCTCTTCTCGTTCTCCTATCCCTATTTAATATTATACTCTCTTGCGATCTACAATTCTCAAGAATCTAAAGCACTTATATTCCATTAATCAATATTATATTTTTAATTAATAACGAGAATCCAAATGAAAAAATTAAGTCTTCTAAATATTGGATAGCTACTTAATTAGAATCAAAAAACAAGCATTACACACCATTCCTAAGAATAATCCAAAAAATTTAGCAGCTTTGATCTCATAACCAAAAGTCCATATAAGAACTCTATAAATAAGCAACATCTAAGGCATCATGCTAAAGATTATTTTCCTATTACTACAAGACAACATGAATTCTAAAGTATTAAATCTCCTTCACAAACTACAAAGGCATCCAAACAATTCAGTATTACAAATGCTTGTATATATTAAAATTATTAAATTAGTATCATAATTGTATAAAGATGAAGTCAAGTAACCTGGGTCAAGTAGGAGAACATCTAAAAAGAATTACACATATTAGTTAAAAAACATTCTTGTCAAAGATAAACTATCTCCGTTTGACATTGGTTAAAGTACTCTATATAATTCATCATAGGAATTGCCACCCAAGTAACCTAACCTAACATTCCTTAATCCCCTAAAACTAATTTAAAGACCAGTCCCGACGTTCGATCAATCTATGGCGATAATAATAAATAAAAACTATCAAGCAAATAAAAAAGCCAAAATACCACTGAAAGAATGCTTCAATTAGAAACTACCAGACAAAAGATAATTGCTCTTTAGTTAAAAATATAAGGAAACATACAACAACGATCATAAAGGAACGTTAATAAAAATAATTTATTTGATGAAAAAAAATAACAACTTTCCTAATCAATTCAATAAACTATCTAACAATAATTATAAAAACCCCAATTACCTCAAAATGCTGTAAATGTGCTTAAGCATTATTTGGATTAACTATCGGATTATGAAAAGAAGGAGATCATTGATTATGAAACTATCTACTATCTTCCTCCTAAAAATATCAGATTGTTGAACCAAGATCCGAATGAAGATTAACAATATAATAATGGATTTGATAATAGCAAGTATCACATTTATTTATTTTACCTAGTGGTGATTACAAATTTGTTAAATAAGATTAAATTGCTTACAGATATGAAATGTAGGAAAAATTAGGGCATGGAAGTTTTGGATACGTTTTTAAGGTTCATGATCATAAGCATAAATAAAATACAGCATTAAAAATTATTAAAAACAAGGAAAAGTTTTATAATTAAGCGTTAATTGAAATTGAAATATTAAAAGTAATCAATAAAGCAGATCCTACATGCTGCTTAATAAAAATGCTTAACTATTTTGAATTTAGAGGACATATTGTAAATATTTATCATTTAATTAGAAAAGTGTCTAGTATTTGAATTGTTAAGTTGTAATTTATACGAATTCATAGCTATAAACGAGTTTTCTGGCTTTGATCTAGATTTAATAAGAAGATTTGCTATTTAAATATTGTAGGCATTGCTGTTTATGAAGGAATAAAATATAATTCATTGCGATTTAAAACCAGAAAATGTATTATTAAAAGATTTTAATCGATCCGGAATAAAAGTTATTGATTTTGGATCTAGCTGTTTTGCAAATTAAAAATTATATACATACATTCAAAGCAGATTTTATAGGGCACCTGAAATTGTGCTTGGGCTCCCATACTCAACTTAAATTGATATGTGGAGTTTCGGTTGCATCGTGGCAGAACTATTTACAGGATAATCATTATTTCAATCTAAATCAGAAAAAGAGTTGCTCTACCTTTAAATTAAAGTAATAGGACATCCTGATAAACAATTATTAGATCATTCTACAAGAAAATCTAAATTTTTTGATGAGCAACTTTAATTAAACTATATCATAAATGAATTAGATTTAATTTAATAAATTAAACCTTTATCATAATTACTTGATAAATCATCAGAATAGTTTCAAGATGTATCATCATAATATTTAAACTTAGTTTGTTAAAAAGTGTCTAATGTGGGATCCTAAGTAAAGGATGACTCCTGAAGAAGCATTAACGCATCCATGGATCATAGACGGGTTACCTTCATCAATTAAGTATTAAATATAATATAAATTTTAGAAAATAACATTTATCATAAATGAAGCATTACAGATAACTATAGACTGAAGGAAATTTAGACTATTTAAAATAATCATAAGGATAGGGAGAGTAATTAGAATGATATTACTATCTTAATTTCAATATAGATTATTATTAAATATTTATATAATAGGTAAAAATTGTATTTGTTTTATTCAATTCAATTTTTAGGAAATATTATGTTAAATTCTAAAATTTAAATAAACCTTCTCTTTTTATAGCATTCATCGTTAAAGAGCTGTTTTATTGTTTCTTAATTTTTTATAGTACCCTTTAATTTTACCATAGAGGTTTATTTAATATACAACTCTAGCTCTTAGATAGTTTAATCCATCTATTATTGTTATTCTTCCATATCCTCTATCATCATTTTAATTTAATCCTTAAACAAAATATTGTTGTATCTCTATAATAAATCTTAAGATTTCTTCTCTTTTATAGTATTCTGCTCTAATTCCTGCGATTATTTTTCATAAAATTTTTTTATATAGTTGCTTTGATTCATTTATTTCTTTTTTTACCTATTTGCATATTCTTTTATTCTCTCATAATATTTTGTGATATGAAACTACTTTATGTAATTAACTAAAGCATATAATATAGAATAAGATTCGAAATTCGATTTAAATTTATTATTGAATTCTTGAATCTCACAATTCGAGGGTAATTTCTTAGTTAATTCATTTAATTTAGAAATTACTTTTTAAATCTATACTTTTAACTAATTTAATTCTGATGGATTTAATGATTAATTAGACATTTTACTATTTATTTATATTTCTTCTAATAATTCAAGATCTTATTTTTATAAGTTTTCGTAAGTTTCAACTAGTTCAATATCCATGGTTATGAAATTTATTTGTTTTCTTTAATTCACTGCATTTATTAGAAGTTCCAATTCTTGTCCTGCTTTCTAGCAAATTTTTTATAATTGAACAAGCAAATCTTTCGTTTAATTTTTGAAACGCCCTTATTTATTCTCAATCTCTTAAAATTTTTCCTTAAATAATTTCTCGTTTTCATTAAAATCATGAAAATTTTTATTCAAAGCATTCTATTAGTCTTCTAAAGTTTTTTTAAGATAATCTTTCTTATCATTCATTTTTCTCAAGAACTCGTTGCTTTCACATTCAATTTTAATTGATTTTTTAACCTTCTAGAATTGCATATATTAGGATTACAATTGTGTATTTAATTGATATAATTCTCTTTCTTATTGACTATTTTATTCCCAAGATTATTACTCTTTCATTAACAAGTGTAATTTAGTTAAGTGTTCTGTTTCATCATCAACTTATTACTTTAACTTTTCCTAAACTTATTCCAATTCATTTATGTTAATTTTTGAGATTTCACAGGAATCTTATTTATCAAATTATTAGCATTTCTAGTATAAGTTTTCATACTCAGATATTTTTTAATTTATTGTTTCAAATTTTTTGTTAATCACACTCTTATTTGAAGCAACTCTACAACCTTAATTGCTAAATAAATTGTCAAAGTCTTTTTGTAAATTTTAAAATTTATCTATGGAGTTTTTTAATTTTGTTTATGCAGTTTCAAATACTTTTATTCTTTATGCGTTTCTTAATTAAATTTATTCATCATGATAAATTTATTCACTGATATCATTATGGTATTTCTAAGAATTTTATAATTATTGCCAAAGCGAGTTATAAACTTAATTAAATTCTTAATAATTCTAAAATATCCCGTGATTCAATATTTGATTTAAATATTCTGACTTAGACTATGAATCTTCAAGCTGATTAAGTTATTTTTTAATTTCTTATCTATATTTCTGATTTTGAGATAAATACTACAATTTTTCAATATAATCATTTACCTAGTCTTATAAATCCTCTATTAATTTTTGCTGTTTATTAATAAACTCTTCATCAATCGTTTTAATACTTTAAATTGTATTTTAAGTAGATTTTTTTAGTTGACTTATAGGTTACTAAAGTTCTTCAAGTTTGCAGATAAGAGATTGATATTGAATAATCTACTATAATTACTCAAATTAACAAATATCATTCTATTTGTATCTTAACATTTCTAAATCTAATGTAATTTTCTAATATGATTGTAGAACATCTTGAATGCAACTTTTCTCTTAAAAATGAAACTAAATTTCTTCGTAAATTTACATTTTTTCCTAAATCTTTTTAATATCTGGAGTAATGGACGAAAAAAACTATTGTGAACTCTCGAGTTGTGTTTAATAGATTTTTTTTAATTTATTGAGTTATTGCTCTCTTTCTTATTCTTGTTTCTCAATTTGTATTGTACTTCTTAATTACTTTTCAATAGCATTTATCTACACAGATATCTTATTGATCACAATGAATTATTATTGAACATAGTTTTTCTATTCACTAACCAATTTATCCTCTTATTCTTGAAGCATCTCCAAAGTCTACAATTATTCTATCTCTTATTGTGCTTATAAAATCATTATTATTTAATCGTTATTTTAATCAATTTCCTTATTTATTTAAGATCTTAATTAATCTTCTTAATTATTTTACACATTTAAATCTGTAAGATTTTATAATTGCAATTGTAATTGATTAATAAATGAATTAATAGTATCTTATTAAAATTACACCAGATTAAGCAAATTTTATCTTTTTGCTTATAATTATTATTAATATTTTAATTCTTGCTTTTATTCCATTTGAGTAACCTTTTAATTGTATTCTAGTAAATATTTGTTTTCATATTAGAGCCTAAGACTTTCTTCTAATTATTTTACTTGTTCTTATATTTTCTATTCTTTTTCTTGAGATGCCTCTTACTTTAGTTTTTTAATTTAATCATTATATTCATCATCTTTCTGCTATCTAAACTAATCCATTTAAATTTAAAATTATATTTCTTACTATATCTTCATTTAAGTTATTTCTTAAATATTCTATTCATATTTTTGAGCTTTTTCTTGTTACTCTTTTATTTCATTTTGTTTTTCCTTAATTTAATTCTCTAATCTAATTTTGTAATCGTCTTAGAGTTTATCATATTTTGCTTGTAACTCTTATTCAATCTTGCGTCCTAAATCTCTTTTCATCTCATCCAATTATTCTTAATATTTCTAATTGGTAATTGATTTTGATAATTAATTCCTAGCTTCCTCTTAAATTTTTTACTCCTCTTACCTATTAATAAGAGGCTTGAAAATTTGAAATTTTTACTATCCATTTGAGTTATATGCTGTCAAAATATCGTGTAAATTCAATCTAGTTAAATGATCTTTGCGAAGCATTTGTTTAATAAACTATTTTTCTTTGTTTTGTATTGATTAATTTTATTCAATCTATAGATCAATATCTTCTTATTTCTAATTAAGGATAAAATACTGAATATTCTATTAAAAATTACCTAAAATAGATAATTGTTATTACATTTAAAAAATACTTGACCAACTAACACCTCGTACCAAATTGCCCCCAAAGACCATATATCAACTGATTTAGAATATAAAATGCCTTAAGTTCCCATAACTTCTGGAGCCATGTAATATGGTGTTCCAACCTTGTAAGTATTTCTCAGTTGATTTTAAATTTATTTGGCAAAACCAAAGTCAATCAGTTTAATAGTTATCTTGTTGTTTTCTCCTTTGATATAAACAAAGTTTTCAGGTTTCAAATCTCTGTGGAATAATCCCAATTAATGTAGTTATTAGACTCCTATTACCATCTAAAGTCACATAGATATTTACTTAAATAAATAAAGAATTTTTTTCAGCATAAGTCATTTTTTTAAATTCATCATACTTCATAAATTCATAGAATTCTCCATGAGCTTGTTCCATCACAACGATTACACCTTAATTTTGAGTTTATTGGAATCCATATATTCCGATGATATGACTACAATTCTTTTGAAAAATTGTCTAAAGGACATTAATCATCCTTTAATCACATCGATGGCTTTCTTTAATCGCTACTTTTTATTTTGTTTAAACATTAATTCCCTTATAAATTATACCTTCAGATCCTGAACCAATAGGTGGGTAAATCTTTTCATATTTGATTCCATTAATGAGAATGATATTTTCATTTTCATGTTGTTGATATTAATTTTAAAAAACTAAGTTGCTGGCCATTCTCGAAAAATGGAAAATTTATGTTTTAATTAATATTTGTCAACTAAAAGGAGGATTGAAATTTATAATTTGATATTTCTATCAGGTTTATGTATAAATTAAAAATATTTATATAATAAAATACATTAATATGTTGATCAATGTTCATCTTCATTTTCCTCATCTCCATCATTTGTATCACTGCTGGATTAATTATTGACTAAATTGATATCCAATTTAACCAATTATTAATTATTTTCCTCCTATTACTTTGGAGGGGCAGGCTATTCCTATTTCTACGTATCAACACTCTCATCATTTTCTTTTTGGAACTTTTGAAGATGTTGTTTAAACACTTCGTCTGCTAATAATAAATCAATATTTTGTTTTAATTTCGCCTCCAAATCATATTCTACATAATTTTGCTCGATTCTTCTATAAAATAGAACGTAAGCATTTGGAGTGACTATGTTATTAGTTTCTTTGGTGACGATTGAATCATCAAATTTGTACCAATCTCCATTATTCTTGCAGAATGCAGTATAATGTCCACTTCCAGATTCACCAATGTGATTGCATATTGCATATAATTCATATAAATTATTATTGTCTAATTTATTGAAGAGATGTAATACCTTAATGTAGAACAAAATTAGTCATATCTAACTTTTCTGGATATATGATATTGGTTTGTAGTTTGGATTTAAACAACTTGTATGAATCTTTGAATCTTTTAAGATGAAAGATCAGGATCTTGGAGGTTTTATAGATTTACAATGTCTTATAGGCTTAGACATGATCTTTGCATCCACTACAATACCAACTGTTGTCCACTTATAGTTACTCTGGTTTGGTTGAATATTCCAGACAGTGTTCCAATGTATAGGTCTATTTATATTTATTACTTTTTTGATTATTATCCCAATTGATATTGACAACTGGAGCCTTGTAATTTGGATCAAATATCTTTTGGTACTCAGTGTACATATCATCTATTTTTTCTCGACATGGTTTAAGCCAAATGATTTGGATTTCTGGTTGTAACAATTTGTCTTCCCTTTAGAAGCAATCACCAAATATTTTATCAGTAAACTCAAGAGGACAATCATTACAATAAGCCTTATAACAATAAGAGCAATTCACTTGGAATCTTTAATTTGATTTGAACATGATCTTCCAATACTTATCTAAAATATGTTATTGATAGGTTTCCTCTAAATTTTCAGAATTAAGCCAGCTTTAATCAAAATCTGCAAAATTTTTGAGAACATTCTTGAAACAATTAAAGAAAAACATGTGTATTTCCTTGTATTTGTAATTTTAAGATAAAATGAAGTACATAGTAGGGACGATATCTTTTTTCCAGTTGTTCATTGTTAATATTTAATTGTGGATTAGAACATGAACTTATTAATCATTTTAGATTAGTTATTCTTGTTCTGTTAATTTTCTTAATTGTAATTTTTTTTCTTATTTTAATTACTTTTTAAGTTATTCCAATCTTTAATCCAAAAACACTATTTTATTAAATATCTTAAATACCTTCTTCGATTGAAAAAGTGGAACTTAGTGTGAGTATGATTTGATCCCATTCACAATTCAACCATTCCTATGACTTAAATTACAACACTTCTTTTAGCCTTAATTCTGGTTCATAGTAGTGAGTGACTGGTTGACTCAGCCAGAAGTTTTCAGGATCGATAATATAAAATTCCAAGACCTTCTTCTTTTCTTGAGGGATTGTTACATTGACCATCAAATATGGGTCAAAGGTAATAGAAATTTTATTACAATTTGGACACTGCAATTTGGATCTATATTGACCATACAATTGATCAACAATCAAGGAGTCGTTCCTTTTTTTGAAACATTCCCATTACTCTTAACTTACTTCATCATCAGGTCTATTGTTGTTGTCAGGAATTTCAACATATGGTTTGACTTTGACTCTATTTAAATCTTCATTCAGCAAATCAAGAGTGAATGTGATGAATTCTTGAGCATCATGTTATGCATTTCCAGCAAAATTAGGGGATAATTTGCCGACTAATCTCTTAAATTGGAATGGCGATATAGTTGTTTATTTATCAAACCAAAGTCTTTTCAAAAGATAAGAAAAGAGTGATGCAAATTCACCCTTAGTCCCCAAGGCATTCTGTGTGTTAATATCAAATTTGAATGAATTATCCAAGAAGTATCTAGATAGTTCAGTTGTGTTTGATAAACACTATAATGCACTATTCATATAGCAAGTGTTCCCTAAATTCCTGAATCCTGTTAAACCCAATTTAGATTATGGAGTTGGTAATAGATTAACAAGGATTTCATCAGTATCATCTTATTTTTCACATACTTGAGTGTGTTGATATGAATGTTATTATAAACAGGCTTCAGAACAATATTTAACTTTTTTGCAAGCACAATTAAATGTTAAATTATAATATTGTGAACAATTTGTACATTTTTCTTCTTATCCAAAGATATTGTTTGATATTAAGAAGGTGCTGTGTATTTCCTTAGTATCCATTAATAAGATTTAATCCTTCTCAAAGTTATAATCTTTGATTTACTTATTTTGAGTAGGATCCAAAAATTCAATGTCTGTGAATTCCATAAATTACTTTTTCTCTTTCTATGCTTACAATAAAAATGCCTTGAGGTTATCTAGATTCCAAGAGCTTCCTAACTTATAGAGTCTGACATTGTCTTTTGAAACGAATTTAAATGATGTACTAAGTTTATGGATTAAATTCTTACACTGTTTTTAAAGTTTTACTCAGAATAGTCACAACCTCGCTTATTTAAGCAATCGGGGAAATGTACTATTCCCCTTCGATCATTGAGGCTTGAAGTTTCGACATGGCTGAAGGGAATATGGGCACGAATTTGATGCATTAAAGATAGGCTTATATTTATCTTTTTCCTTCATTGTCAAGAAATGATTCTCTCTCAATGGTAAAATCGGATCGATATTTGTTGTTTCTAAATTCACACATTTATTATTACCCTTTCAGAGATTACCACATATTTGAATCAATTACGTAATAATCTACTCCCTCAACCAAATTAGGTTTCAATTGAGTATTCCATGGATTAAGTTCAATAGGGTCGTACTTGAGCACTTATTTTGGCTTGTGTCCGATATCACTATTGATATTTCCCAAGGATATTGAAGTATTGGGTTCACCGTCGTACCCTACTTTCTTCTTCCAGTTATTTAACCATCTTAATAATAGGATGAATACTCAACTGTGATGAAATAAGAAAAAATGATCCACTCCTAGAATTAAATTCTTATAGAAATTTTTCCTCCATCTCTTTATACTTTTAAACTTCCTCGCTAATCATTTTTAAATGAATTTTTTAATTAATAATCAACTTTGATAATCATATATTAAAGTAAAAATATATGAGTGTTTCAGAATGAAATAATAATGATTACTACCCCTTCCGTCTTAACTCAAAATCTTTATATCTAATTTATTTAGAACAATTCTCATCAATAATCAAATTATTCAAGTAAAATTAGAATTATTTAATTGACAATTTATTTCAAAATTAAATAAATACATTCTATTTAATAATTATTATGGGATCCCTTCCCACCCCCCTTTGTGTTCTCCGTATCTATGAAATCAGCTCCACATTCTCAAATTGTATTTGCTCTTCTCTGAAACGACAAAAATTAATTAAAATATATTATTATTTGTAGAATAATCCGCTTTATAATTGGATATTGATCAATTGCCATCAGATTCATCATCCGAGGGAGTTTGCTAATTCTTTATTTAATCTGTGTAGTCTTCAATTTATTTGTTAATCTGAAGTACATTCTTTCTGTTTCTTTCGTATTGCTTCTCCTTATAACTTGTAACCAACAACTTGATATCCCTCTCGATCGATGTTGTAATATTGGTATCCTAATTATTTAAACATCACCTTACCTTCGTATTCGCCTTAGATTACAAATTATCTTTGATATTGCTCACTGTACCCAACAGAGTTTCTTTATTTTCAAATAACTAAGTAATTATAATAGTATACTGTCTATAGATCCTCATCCCATTCACTTAAATCACTTCCCTATTGCACAAATACCTAGTATCTGTCATATTCCAATTTGGCAATATCTGTCAACTTAGTACCAAACTCCCTTATGAAATCTCCAATCTTCTTAAATCCATGATCTCCTGAGACGTAATCAGACATATCTTTGGTTATAAATCCTAACTTTCCATCAAAATCTCCTAATGCTGCTTCTATGTCCACCATCAATTGTAACTCTGTAGAGAGTAGATTGTCCTTAAGTTTTAAGGTTTCTTTTTCTAAGTCTTCTAATTTCTATTTCCAACCTTCTTCATTTCTTTCTTTTGCTCTAAATGCCAATTTCTTCTGATGTTCAAACCTTTTGATAGTCAATATGGTTTCATTTTCACTTTTGATTTCTCTTGCTCTGACTGCTTGTTCGAATTTCTATTACAATCATAATAATGCTTACTTCAATTGATTATAACTTAGCAGTATTCTTTTGAATAACATTCTTTTAAAGATTCTCAACGGTTTCTTTAATCTTTTCTTAGAATTTGTTGATTTCCTCTTCTACTCCCTTCATAGTCTTAACTTTTTCTAATTCCTCATCCTAAATTAATTCATCACTTAACTTTTCCACCAAATCCATTCTTGCACTCTTTCTTTTAAATAATTCGTCATTGTTGTTCTTCTCCTCCTATTCTTAATTTTGCATCTATTTTAGAAAGTCTTCTTAAGTAATAGCATCAGTTCTAAATTTCTCATCTGATTCTCTTATCTAATTTCTCTATGCTTCATCAATAAAACTATAATCCAAGTATCTCAGATTAGGTAATGAATTAATAATATGATTTTTATAATCTGGTTCTTTAGTAAATGGATTTCCTGCTACATTCAGAACTTGCAAATTCTTAAATTTCATGCCTTTTCCTTTGCTAAAATACTGTGTCACAATTTCGAAGGAGGGTATTTTATTATTGCCAATTGATAAAACATTCAGAGACTTGCAATTGTCCAAACCTCCAACAGATGTTAATTAATTATTAAACATTGATAGGTCTTTCAAATTGACTAGTTTATCCAATCCCTCTATTTCCTTGATCAAATTAAACGATAAGTCGAGCCAATGCAAATTGACCAAATGATCCAAATTCTCTATCTTCTATATTATGTTATTATCCAATTGTAACTTCTCCAATCTCTCTAAACCCTGGAGGTTTTCAATCTTCCAGATGTCTATACAATTGTTATAATATCGGATGTACTTTTAAAAGACAGTGACATGACACGTAAAGAATTTAACATTATTTAATCTCCCATGGTTATTTTGTTCTCCGCATTGTAATCCTTGACTGATTTACTAACATGTTATAATTCTACAATTACATGATTAATATTTCATCAATAACTGTTGGCTCAATTGAAGTCTTATTATTTCGCTTATCGATCTTTGGAAGATGGGCACTTTGGAAGTTTAACATTAATATAAATATATTATTTCAATTTTTATTTATTATACTTTAATTTGAACTTCGTTTTAATCCTCCCATTTAAATAAGCTCATTGACACTCACGGCATGTGCGGACTTAAACCGCAGAAGTTATTCACAAAATTAAATATAATATTAATCCCATATAATTTACTCATTATTAGTAAATGTATATATTTAAAATAATTCTTATTGTATACTGACAATCATTATGTTCATTCTTCTTCTCCAATAGGAAAGGAAGTCATACAACCCCAGAAACCATTACAAACACCCTGAGTATTGCTACATTCAGTGTAGCGTTAATCCTCTTGGCTATTCTCGTAACGATTGTCAAATTTAGAGTGCTTATCGTCAAAAATCAGCAAATCATGACGAGTCATAAGTGCTCTAAATAGTTATTTTTATATTTTTTTCATTAATAATTCAAAATGATCATTAATTTCTCTTTGGCTTTTTCCAATAATGGGTGAGTGTCATTGTTAAATGCATCCAACACAAGAATATCTTATTCCAACTAATGTTTTGAGAATCGTAAATATTCAAGGCTATTTTCAGGGAGTAGAAGAACTATATAAATTAACCTAATAATTTAGTAGTGTTCTTGTGGAACTGAATGGTTCCTTACAAACCTCTATGTAAACTGATTTGCTCTCTCGAAAAGCATATTAATAATGAGACTAACATTTTGTTCTAAATTATTTATGGTCTTTGTTCTCATTTTTTAATATTGAGTCACGCACCCAATAATTTATTTGCATTAAACCTATTAATTAAAGAATTATTATCAAATGAATTCTTTCATAAAAATTAATAAATTTTATGATTAAATACTTGTTTGTTTTAATATTACTTTATTTGACTTAAGCCAAGAGAATCAAGCAAAGCTATGTCATTAAATAGCTGAAAGATTGGCATTACATCTCTAAATTCGGAGCTGAAACAGGCGAAGTCTTCTATTCACTGACGTATCAAGAATTACTAAATATTAGCTTCCGCATCATTAATGCTGAAGAAAATGATGAGCGAACGATTCCGATCTCGTATGAGTTATATTTAGATGAGGAATGGCAAAATGCTATTGAGAAGAGTGAATGTGATGTAAAGATTAATTCTTATAAAATCAGAGAAATGGTGTTGCAAGGAGAAAGGAGACCATTTGGGTTTCTGTTTAAAATGGATTTGAATTCAAAGGAAGTCTAACAGCAAAAGTTAGAGCACATTTGTGGTATTTTGCATTTAGTGATTGTGAAAAATAATTAAGAAATTCATTTCCAGTTGAAAATAAAGTTAAGTTAGAAGTGGAATTACACATAACAAATGTTGGTGGCACTGAATTTACATTAGAATAGTTTGGAATTTTGCAAATTATAGGTGTAATAGCCTTGATTGATGTAATAATGCTTATTTATAACGGGATTCAAATTCTAGAAAAATAAAGAAAGTATGAAGAATTTAGTTTGCCATTGTTTTTATTGGTTATTACTTTATTATTGGAAACATTTTCATATTGTTTTTTAACCATTCATTTATGGATATATAGTGAGAATGGTGCTGGATCATTATTATTATAAGTGTTGTCTGTTATTTTTTAAGTGGCATCTCAATTTTCATTGACAATGATTTTAGTCATGTTGTCATGGGGATGGTAAATCAACTTTAGTAAATTCGATAATTTTGAATTATTTTTACCAATTTCAATCTTAATAGGGTTCTTCCAAATTACAATTGTTGGAGTCAGTTTCATTGATTATGATTCATATTTTAAGGATCACTCATACGAAGGCTGGGTTGGATGGTTGGCTGCTCTGATTTACATAGGGGAACTCATTTATTTTACGAATGGCTTAGTTGACACTTACAACAAGTAGAATACAAAAATATAATAATTTATTTTATTATTGGGTTTGTATGGTGGAGTGTATTTCATTAGTTTCCCAGTGTTGTAGACTGTAAATTTGGTATATATGATCATTAATATTCTTTAGTTTACAGCTAGGTATGTGAGATATAAAGTGATGGAAATCGGAACAATGTTATTCAGGACTTCTGCGATTTTGTTGCTTACTAGATTGTTTACTTCAAAAAAATCGATATTTGCTCAGATTTCAATAGAAAACAAGAGTTTCTTGGATAGGAATAAGGATGAGTGAGAGTAATGTATATCTGTTTATTTATTAATTTTATTAATTTTGTAAAGATGAGTAAAGAGAAAAAGATTGAGGCATCCATGTTAACATTTTTTGTATAGGAATTGAACTAGAACTTTTGGGAACAGACCTAAACAACTGAATTAGATGTAATGATTTTCATAACTTTAAGTCGTAAGAATTCTTGATTGAACATGAATTTGTTAGAGAGGCCATGAAGGAAGTGAAAGTCAAACATACCTTGCTTGTGTTGGGAGAGGAGTATTTGTATAAGATCTCTCCGAAATAAAATTTGAAGCGAGTTCCCTTAAATATATTGCATTTCGATACGATCCCAAAATTACCAGGAAGATCATATTTTGCAACTCAATTCTGAAAATTAATTATAAGGATTCAAATTAACGTATGCAAGCAAGATACTTCAAGTTTTTACATCAAATTCTGTTGTTTATTTGTAATGGTAAGCCATTTTAAAACGTAAATGTCTACTCTCTTCCTTCCATGAAACATATCACGTTGAGAAAATGATAGGCAAGGGCAGTTTTGCTAAGGTATATTTGGCCACTTCAAATGGATAATCATATGCTATTAAAGCATTTAGTAAGCAATTCATAAATGAATAACCGAAGGTACACTCTGATTTTTAAAGTAGGGTAGGGAAAGTCTCCTTAATGAGATGTAAGTGATGAGAGCCATAAAACATCCCAATATTGTGTAATTGGTGGAAGTGCATGAAACGCAAAATTCGATATATTTTGTTTTAGATTTAGTTGTTGGAGGGGAATTGCTCTAGAGAGTGAAAGAGAAAGGTAAATACATGTGATTATCTAAGGACTACTGAAATCTGATGATCTAATTAAAATTGCATTTAATTTACTCAGTGCCCTAGATCATTTACACCAAAAGAAAATATTCCATCGAGATTTGAAACCCGAGAATCTCCTTTTTAAATCGAAAGATGACAATTACAATATCATGATCGCAGACTTTGGTTTGGCAGCCTTCTCTGATCAGGAATTAATATTTAAGAGGTGTGGAACTCCAGGTTTTGTTGCTCCTGAAATTCTACTTTATATTGACGGAGGACCAATTTATGATACCAAGTGTGACATTTTCAGTGCTGGTGTAATCCTGTACATATTAATTGTATAATCTATCAAATTAATAATTAGACTGGTAAACAACCATTTCCTGGCCAAGATCAAAAGGCCATTTTAAAGGCTAATAAGGCTTGTTAGGTAGATTTCGGATTGCCAGCCTTTTTGAAGACTCCAATTGAATTTTAGGATTTAGTAAAAAAGATGTTGTCAAGCAAAATCAGTGATAGGCCAACTGCATAAGATGTAAGTATTGTTATGTATTCTATCAAGTGCTTAAAACACAAGTTTTTTGCTAAAATATCTTAACAATTAAAGCAAGATTAATAAGATTTGGAAGAATAATAACAATATGTAATGAACAATCTAGCCAATTATGACATAGAATATACAATTGGGTTAAAGAACAATACTTAGAAGTAAAATATAATTAAATTAGTTCGGAGGATTTAGTAGGATCACAGTAATTACAATGGCGAAAACCAGCTTATAATGGTAATGTTTAGACTGTGGAAACCTTAACTAACTGTTCCACAGTTTCGATCAAATAAATTGATGCTTAATCTTCATCTTAGTTCTAATAACAAAAATAACCTCAATAATCTAAATTCAGTATTTTCAGTGCTAAATTATCAAGACAAAATAGCTTTGATGGAGGAACTGGTATTATATATAGATCTACGTAGATATGTTCAAAGATTGTGCATCTCCAGGTAGAAGTAAGATTTCAAAAGAGAAGGATTTACATAAGATTGCATTGAAGAACTCTTTTCGATTTTGTTAAAAGCCATAATTGTAGGTGGAAGATAATCAAATCAATTAAGAACAATCAGAAGTAAGTGAATTGATCAAAAGACACAATTCTAGTGAATTGATAAAAATGAATCGTACTGATCATGAAATTTAATCTCCTAAAAAAATCGAATGATATAAAATTATAAAAACTTATTTAATATTTAAATTCAATAATCTTACATTATATTTTATCTATCCTTTAAGTTTATTTACCCTTTTCCTTTCTCCTTCATTTCCTTTGCAGTTTTGATCCTCTACTTCACCTCCGCCACAGCTTTCTTCATTCCATTCTCCTCAAAGGTTTTCAAACTCTTCTAAAAATAGCTCAAAGCATCTCGGAATTCCTAGACTATGAACAATATTGTGCCTTTGTTAATTTAAATTGATAAATATACCAATAATCTTTTAAGTCTTAGCTACTTACACACTGCCTTCTCCATATACTTTAACTTCTAAATCTTCAGTTTCGTATAGTTCCCCAAGTGCTTCTTAATGTCTCTACTCCTGTAATTAAATTATGGCAATTTATCGTTTGATCTTAATGACCTTCTTATCTTAAGCGGTGTATAACTCAATATAGATTTATTTCACTTTCTATAGGCAAGCAATTTGTTCATCAGCCTATTTTAATTTTTCAAAATAAGTTGATAATTATTAATAAAGTTCTGCAACATATTCAGTTTTATGATAATTAATCTCTACTAACATATCGATGGCACTTGTTTGGCATTGAATTGCATCCTTCCAATTCTCCTGGCAAGCAAATATCTTGGCTTTCTCAATATAAGAAATAGCGCTCTATTCTGACTTATAACCATATTTGGCTTCTGTAATAGCAAATACTTTAGTAATGCATTCTTCACTAGCATCGTAGTCTTTCATCTTTCTATACATTATTAATGATGGATAATTTACGTGTGACAATTAGACATCAAAGTCAATGTTTAAATTGAATGTTCAGTTTCGTCTCCATAAATCTAACATTGGGTTTCGTAAGCCTTTTTCAATAAATCCAAGGACTCTTCATAACTATTGATCTCTAGATAACACTTTCCAAGTAATGTGAGTATAATTGAATTGAAACTCTTGCTTTCTTATTCTTCATTATATAATTTTGCGTTTTTCTTCAAGGCCAATGTTAGATGATCGATAGCTTACTCGTAACATTTATAATTTAGATATGCTTCACCTATATTAGTATGTGCTTTCACCAATTTAAATTACCCTTTGCCATGTGTGAATACCAAAATCTTTGATATAATAAGATTATAATTAATACCTTGGCCAATGCCAATTAGTGCATTCTGATGTTCAATATTTACTCTTCACTCTTATCTTTGGCGTACTCATCTAGCATCTTCATCTTTTCTTCCAAATCCTCAGATATCTTATCTTAAATTTATTTTTGTTGGTCTGGTTGGTAATTACCATAATTCTTGTCTTGTTAGTATTTTTCTTTTTATGCTACACAATTATCACAAATATTTATCTACAGTTATCAAATTGATTAGATTCCATCTAATCGTCTTGATTAAATTAATCATAATCCTCTTCGTTTTGGTCTTAATCATCCTAGAAATTCCCATCATCATCGTCGTACCCTTCTTGCATGTTTCTGTTATATCTCTTATATATTAAATATAATAATTTAAATTAAACTAAAACTCTCATGGTGTTATATTCTACAACATACTGGATTACTTAACTATCTCTATCCCAATCTCCCCTTTGACTACTTTGCCATCACTCATCGTCCTTTCTTAGTTCATATTTTTGTTATTTACTTTTGATTTATGATATTTTATTAGCCTCATTAATATTAACAACATTTATCTTATTTTTGGCAATCAAACCCTAAAATTTCTGATAGGTATTTTTACACATAATGAATAAACCTTTAAATCTTGCTTTAACAATATATTAATAAATATGATGTAAAATTTTAGAAATATTATCAATGTACCATCTTAGATAGTTGAAATTACCAAAATCTCTAAAACGAAAGGAGATGTGGAAGAAATGATTTCACCAGAATCTGATCAAGAAGTCTTATCTTGCTCTACTCCTCAAAGCAATTATATGTAAGGAGAGCATGACTCCAAGACCAAAAGAAAGAAGAAACACATTAGATTTAGCTTCTAAAATCAAGTTTGTAGTTGCTAGTTAAATTCAAATCGAAATTCCCCTACCGATTCACCTCGTTTGAATTCACCATCAATTCAATCTATTCTCAAGCCTCAAAGCCTATCAATGTTTTGTTAAAAAAAGAAGTGAATCTGAATTATTTATGTTTTGAGAAATCTTGGTTAAAAAATAAATCTCTAATTATGTTCACACGAAAATAAAAAAACCCAGAATTGTCCACTATATTTATAAACCGACCAGAATCAACCCTTTGCCATGCTTTTTCACAGGCAAAACTCAGTGTGTTTTCTATGCTAAAAGAAAATTATTATAATTAAAATGTTAATTTAAAATAAAATAATCTTCTTCAATTAAGTTGATCATATTTGTATAATTTCTAATTTTGATATTTCAACTATCTCTATCAATTAAAATTAGGCATATCGGGCAAATTTGACTTTGCTAGTCATTTTAACAACTTGGATGATATTTCTAGTCCATAAACGTTTACAAATTCACAATTACACAATTATTTGAAATAGAAAACTATATTATTTAATTAATAGCCTTACATTTAATTTTAATGCCCATTATATTCAAGTTAAATTTAGAACAAAAAGATATTTGGTAATTTATCTTTTGTACTAAGAAAAAGAAAGTAAATGTTTGGCTATTCTGTTAATAATGCTTTCTAAGCAATAACAATTTATCTCTCTATCTGTGTAATTGATTTTGAGCCTAAATTAATTGCAATTTTGATTGGAAGAATTCAAAACAAACATTGATATAATATGTGTATGTGCAATAGTTGTAATTTTAAATTCAAATAATAAATAGGTGCATATGGAAGCAAGTGAAACTGTCTAATTTCACAGGAACTTATTATATAAATTTTATCATTTATATATATAAATTATTGAATATAGATATGAAGAAATATTTATTATATTATAAATTATAAAACCAAGATAGTCAAATTAATACGATATACAAGAATAAGTCATTAATATTACAATATGAGTGTAATTTAAAAATCTCAATTAAAAAAGTAATAAATTTGTATAAATTACTTAACAAGACTAATTAATAATAATATATAAAAATTAAGTATCCTTTATCTTCATAATAAAATTCAAGAATGAATTAATTAAACCAGAGTTATCAACTTTAGATAGATAATAGTATAAATATCTAATGATACTTATTATAAAAATCAAAAAAATTCTAAGTACATTTTCTTTTATAACTGATGTTATCTTGATTTGCCAAACAACTATTCCAAATTCGCAGTAGCATTAACAAAGATACTTCTTGGAGTAATATTAGAAAGTTTCTTCAATTCCAACATATTAGCATTTTGATTAGCAATATTAAATACCATAAGATCAACTTTATTCTTTTCAAGTACTTATTTCAACTTTAAAAACTATTTCTCGGTCATTTTAACATTTACTAATAATAGGTTAGATAATTATTATTACTTTCAGTGAAAATACAAATATATTTATACCTAGTTCTAAAATCATTTGTTTATATTGGTTATTCTTTATCTGTGATATTGCAATGATCGATTTCGTTTCTAATAAATTTTAAATCATCGTCCTCGGGTTCAGAGTCTGACTCACTATTTAAATCATATTAACAATCCTCACTAAATAATGATAGTAATTAATCAGATACTTAAAATTTTCATTTTTGATCTTGTCATCTATGTTTTCTTCAATTAAACTTTACCTTTCATCCTCCTCTGCAACTGTTGGTAATTGCTTTTTTTGCTTTTCACTAAAATGTTTGCTTTTCTTCTTCTCATAGTCACTATCAGTGATGGTAATCTTATGTTCAAAGAAATTCCTAACAGCATATTTTAGCGCTTCCGATATCTTTGATTTTCCTCCTGGAGCGGTGATAGCCATGAACAATTGTTTAGTCAATAAATCTTTATAAGTCCCTTTAGGTTACAAAGGGAAAGCTTCATGAAGAGAATTATTGAACCCATACATTCCAATCAAATCTTGAGGTTGCAGTATATGGAAAATTTTGTTACAAATACTATGAGACAAATTAATCTGCTCTATCTTCATTTCTTTTGAATAATCAATCATGAATACGACCTCGTAGATATTGATTGAAATTTGGTTTCTGAATTATTGGATGGGCAGAGGAGAAATATTAAACAGATTTACAATTTTCTCTAGAGCTGTTAAACAGAAATCACGTACTTCAGGATCATAGTATTCCCCCATTTCAATGATTTAAGTTAAAATCTCAGCACCAGTTTTGAAGTTCCCTTCAATTAATTCGTATATGGCTTATAGTTGTGTGATCTTAGAGAGCAAGACTTCTTTGGGTACATTTTTGAACATGTCAACAAAGTTGTAATCCTATTCTGCTTGATTTTATTCTAAAGCAAAGTCCTCATTTAGTTTGCTGTAGTAATCTAAGGCCTTCTTTTGAGATATTTTGAAATTACTCAAGTCTCCAATTTAGATATAACACAAGGCCTTTTTAACATGAAGATTTAACAATCTAACAACATTGCTTTAAGTGAATTATTATTCCTTTTCTGCTATGGCTTCAAATTCATTAAATAATTTGAGAGTTTCTGGTATGAAAATTTCATTCTGCATACAAATTGTGAACATGAATTATGCAAGTTGAAACTGTCTATTTAACAATTTTGCTTTGGCTAATTTTTTCTTCTTCATCAACTCTGTAATCTTTTCTTCTATCATTTACAATTCTGTCATTCCTCCTGTAGAGAATCTAGAATCTCCTCTTACCCTTTCTTCTTGATCTTGTCTATACTCCTCATCCTTGTATCTTTCATCTTATTGTATAATGCTCTCCTTCAAGTCCAATCTCTAACTTATAATACTACTTTAATTATATGAGTGACTGCCTTGATTCCTGGCTCTGTTTATAGATACATTTGGAGATAGTTAGGCAGATAGATGTGGTGAATTCTCAAATTCTACTGAATTAATTGGTAACATAAGTTATCTACTTTCTGCAAATGAAATTCTCTTCTTGTAGATTGGAGTTTGGATAGAATTGGTTTGAATTTAGGTGATTTTATTTTGTGTGCCAGTGTTGAATAATGCAACGTGAGGTAGATTGGTTTTTTATAATAATAGAGTTGTAGATTAATTTCTAATATGCTATCCTTTTGGTTTATTGACAAGAGATTGTGAGTTTTATTTTAATTAACTGTTTACCCTTTTGTTTTTGCTATCCCCCTTCTTTACTTGCACGCTTATCCAATTGATTTTCATTTATTCCTTAAATCTTTAGGCCAATCCTTTCAATCTTAATTTGAAATTTTGATACAGATTTGGTTCTTACAATGCTGCCTGCATACTTAAACACCATTTTTTAAGTTCCTTGATTTCTATCAACTCTAATTTTGCTATATAGATGGCTTCTTCCATTTCATTTATGGCTTCAAATACTCTGCCTCCCTTCATATGCAAGATCCCAATATTATTGGCACATATTCCAACTGCACTCATGTTTCCTATCTCTTTCTTGTAAAAGTCCTTTGCTCTACTTAATTCCATCAAAGCCAAGGCATCAGAATGTTTAAAATTAGAATACTTCTGATTGGAATATTTGATGGTTGTAACAAAAATGTTCATGGTTTGAAATAGGGATTTAATCTCAAAGGAATTGAAATAATCCTAATAATTAATCAATACTTCCTCCTGATCCATGTTTTAGATGTCAATACCATTCATAAATTCAGTTAAAACATTGATTGGCTACTCAAATGATTAACCAATTCGAGCAGCTGTGAACCAAACAAATAGAAATATGACTAATTTATATTGATGGACAATTACCAACTGATAGTGCAATGATGACAATCAAAACGATAATCTCCAACATCCTAACATTATTTAGTGAAGTGCCTTAATAGAGTTCTTGAATTAGGGTTTGTTCCTCAAAGTAATGAACCAAGATAAAGGAAGGCAACGTGAAATTGTTTTCATTTGGTTCTATATACACATATCTTCTCCCATTTTCAGGAGCTGTAATAACAGACACTTTCTTTGTGGATTAGATATTAATCTTAAAAAATAGCAAATAAAACTTATTAGAACCAAACGAATATGTCAAGGACGTTTAATTTAGAGTTGCATCCTTGACTAATTCTTTAGATTTATCCAATATCAGAGGTGCCATGTTTTCAATCAAGGAATTATAAGAAGATTAGCTGAAATCTTTAGTTTTTACTATGTATTTAACAATAGATTCGGAAATAGCCATATTGCTCAAATCTTACGGGGCTAAGGTGGTGAATTAATCATTAATTATGGCAGTAAACAACTAATGTTCAACCTCCATCTAATTGCTATGCTATTGCTGATGTCTTATTGTCAACTCTTCGAGATATGAATTTGAAATCTTTGCAGTCAAGAAGCATTACTTCAAGCTATCTTACGAAATGGTTTGCGTTATCGTCAATTACGAGTTTTCTGAGAATTCATCCTTATCTGCATAAGACATTGAAAAGTTTAAAGTGGAGTCTAACTTAAATCTCTGAGTTGGTAGCCAATCAGCAGTATTAAAATGCTTCAACAAATTTTATTATTTTTTGGTGAATTATGGCATTCTCACAACCAGAGAGTCTGTGCAATGAACCATCAAAGAAGTATAGGTGAGGGGATTCAATTTTGATTCATTTTCACTCTCTTAGGAAGTGAGATATTGGTCTTGAGACGATGATCTTGTGTTGCTATAAATATATGATTATCCAATACTTTATGATGATATCTGATAGTATAAGCGATTAGGTAATCTTATTAATGAAAAAACTTAACATAGGGTCTGTTTTGTGCAAGGATTCCAATTAGGCATAATTAGAATGACTCCAGGCCACGGTGTAGTACTCCTCTGTTTATTGGCCAGATGTAAATGAATAAGGGGGTATTTATTTAGTATTCAAATTCCTAGATAATTTCAAGGGGATACCAGGATGAATAGTTTTAAAATTCACCAAAGCAATAATGCCTTAGATGGGCACTCACACCAAATATTTGATTAAAATAGGCTTAATATTGGATGTATATTTCCTATGATCCAAGTACTAATTACTTGTTATATGATGTTCATTTCTATTTATAGCCCATTCAGATGTCTGTTTATGTGGAATTCTAAGAGGGAATCCTAAAAAGTCGGAATACTCACAAAACCAAGCAATCCAACTTGTAGCACTGCTAACATTAGAATCAAAATTATAGGTATCAATATAACAAGTAATATCTAATTTTTTAGTTCCATAACTCTCTATTAAAAATTAATGTGATATAAAATAATGAAAATCAAGATATATAAAATTATGAAATTTATATACAATTCGATATGTCACGATAGACAAAAATATCAATTGCATTTGGGAATGTTCTTAAAATAGTAGGTTTAACGATTATTATCAGGACTATTAAATGGATAATTATCCTCCCAATGTAACGTCATGAAAATAATAACTATTACATAGCAATAATACAAAAGCGAAATCGAACAGTACAAATAAAAAAACTAAATCATTTATTGCTTGCTCTCACTCTGGATGAAAAAATGATACTACACAATTTTTAAATTGTAATTTCCTTATTATTTAAATTCAATTGTTTCTGTAAAAGATTATCCGAGTTTCTTTTGCGCTGTTTAAATTGATTCTGTATTTTGTAAAGCTATTCCGCCTTATGCTAGTTGGTTTTCTGAATCTTCAATGGAGTATCCCTTGAGGAGTAAGTGGGACTGGCGAATAATTGTTTCCACTCTATCTTCTAACTGAGATTGAGAATGGTCTGGATTTCCAATTGACTTTGAGGTTTCCTTTTGGATTTTGCCGTGCCCCTTACACTATAAACCAGATTCGGAGATTAGAGTCCAGACCTCGAAGCTGTTTAAAGAGGAGAAGTATTAGCACTTCGAGCTGAAACATAGTTATTCTGAGCACAATTAATGATGGAGCCCTGAGATTAGGATTTAAAATGGTTGCCTTACTTCTTAACCTAATTCTTTCTCCATTGTTTAATTTTTTCCCTTTTTGAATCCTCCAAAAAGATTTTATCAATCAATTTTTGATTGAAATCTGAATACTTCCTGGTCAGAGGAGTCTTCGTCTTAGGTTTCTCAGTGTTTATAATTTCATCTGGTTCCTGATTTGACTTATTAACCAAATCACCCAAGAAGTTGAGAGATGATCGAGGAGATGATTGATCTTCTTACTTCTATAAAATATATGAATGCATAATTTACTAAGAAGTTTCGAGCTTGGAGATCATACACCACTTGAACGAAGCCTTGATTAGAAGTGGTCTTCAACATAGTAGCTCCAGCTCTAAGTTGAGGTTATTAGCAATGACGACTGGGTCCAGCCATGGTGATTTCCTTTTTGATTCCCATTTGGATCAATGGCTTTTTGTTCTTTTTATTAGCTAAAGTACGAGGATTGAGCATTTTGGTTGGTGATTGAGTCAAAACCTTCTGCATCCAAGGATGACCCAGTATTTGATAAGCTGAATATCTTTCCGATTAGTCGGGATTCAACATATTGGCTACGAGTTCCTTATACTCTTTGCTTAGAATAAGATGAGAGGGGAATGTATAATTACACTTTAAGATATTGTCAATAGTTTACTCATCACTTCGAGAAGTGAAAGGCAGATTAGCACAAACAAGAGCATATAAGATTACTCCCAAAGCCCAGATATCGATGGCTGGTCGTATTTCAGTCGCTTAACCTCCCACCACCTCAGGAGGCATGTAACTTAATGACCCTCTGTCCACCTTGTCAATTGTGAAGTTGGTGGAGACTGTAGCAATTCCGAAATCAATGATTTTGATCATTTTCTCAACCTTAGATGTCAATAACACATTTTCTAGTTTGAGATCTCTATGAATGAGACGTTTATCGTGACAATATCGAATAGCCTCAGCAATCTAACGAAATATTACTCTAGCCTCTTCTTCAGACAATCCGCCTTTCTCTAATTTAATCAAATTATTGTACACCTTGAATGTATTCAACCAAATCCCCTCCTTGCAGGAATTCCATTATCAAAACAACCTGCATGTTCGGGAGTGTATAACAATTCAATATTTTAATGATATTATTGTGTCTGAGATTCTTCATCACTTCTGCCTCTCTAAACACTAAATCAATATCCTCAGCATTCCACAATTTCCCAGAATCTATCAGCTTTATTGCTACCTGTTCTCCAGTGACTTTATGTTTTCCCAACATCACCTTCCCAAATCCACCCTCTCCAAGCACTTTCATTATTTGGTAAACACTTATCTGAGAATAAGCATCAAAGTCGCTGCCTAAGAAACAAATCGGATACAAATATACTGTCTGATATATAAAGGAGAGTCCCCTCTTTTATATATGGAAGATCCTCTTAAAATATCTCAATGCCCTACTAAGTGAACAACCTAAGGCATTGAATTTTCATCTGATAGTAATTCTCAGCCTTCGTTTTGATATCAGCCATGCAAATTTGTCTCTAAGAGTTTTACAATCAAATTACTTAAAAGAACCTAAACCTTATGATATTTGCATCTGGTTATCCATTTAAGGTTAGCAATAGATATTTGCGCTTCTCTGCTTGAATAGAATCATTTATTTCAAAATCCATAAGTTTTTAATAAATATTATTCTGATGAGACAACAGTGCATTTATTTAAATTATATATTACATCAGAATTGTCTTCTTTGTCTTAGCTTTTAGTCCCTTCTCTTCTCTCTAGTTATCATCAATCCCCATCACGCCTCTCATTATGTTAGGTTAATCCACCTCTCAATTGATCAACTCTGTAATATTTGGTATACATGAAATGTCCTCCCTCCTCAGTACTCTGATAGCGTGTTATGGCTTCATTTATATAGTCTCCACTCTAGACTTTTTCAATAATTTTGAGGAACTCTTCCCCAGACTGAATCTAATGTTATTCAGATGTTATCCTCAAGGTTTAATTGAAACTTGAAGTGCATCAACACTCTCATTATTCTGAGTGATTATGTTTTCATTTATATATTAGATTTATTCTTAAATTTAGATTAAATTTCTATCACTCGATGTGATATGCATTAAAAGACTTTGATCATCTTCTCGCCCGCATCTCTATCCTTACATTCAAAATAGATGTCTTCTATTAATAAACTCTTGTAATCTTACTTGCTAAATGATTATCAAAGTCTTACTTGTATTGATCTAATTGCTCAGCCAAGCTATGATCAATTTGATCATGATATATGTCTAATTAAATATAATACTATTCAGATTAACTATATTTACGAAATATACAATAAATTCCATCCTTCTCAAACCCTTTTTATGTGAATACAATCCTGATTATCTCATTATTTATCATATGAATAGGGAGATCTTGATTTTAGAGAATATTACATGAAGTTTCACCTAATTGTAATTCAGCATAAACCAAACTACACCCATTTTTGGTAGGATATACTTAAAATGATTTAATTTGTTGAATTAACCTCGAAGTGGATGGCATGACATGTTCCTAATATAGTAAATAGTATATTTACATGATAGATTCTAAGTGGTTTTATTTTTGAATAATAAATAAATTTCATATGCAAATTATCATTTGTGTCCTAGTATAACATAGCATCTTCCTAGTCTAAAATTTACTTAAAATTATGAATAGCATTGAAACTATCCAAATTTTGCAATGTGTTCTAAACCAATATTTCCATATCTTTCTAATACTAAATTTGGTAGCAATACCTAATTACTTAGATGAAATCAGGTAAATATGGAATCATCCTCTAAATTTTATCCCTTGACAACAAACTAGGCTTGGCTTGAGACTTTGTTGTTAATGGTTGTTTATTAATGTAAGGTTCCTCTTTGGGTAAAGATCTATCAAATTCTTCTAAAACTTTTTCTTAAGGCCAACTTTTTCTATCATTCTCCTGAAAAGCAATCGGTCCATTGCTAATACTCTTTTTCGTGATTCCAACCAAATTTAATTTCATTTGACTTAGTCTACAGCTTTGTAACGTATTTGTCTTAGTATTCAAATATACTATAATCACAAATTCTAATTTACTTTTGTCTTTAATCCTTAACATCTTATATTTATAAAACCTTTCAAATAGACTGATCACGTACCTGAGTATTTAATAAAATATTTAAAAAGTTTCTCTTTCCATTTTTTCATTATTCCAGATTCCTTAAAACCACTTCCACTATAATATTCTGTTTCATTTTGATACATTTTAATTAATATTTAATAATTATAAGCTAATTAAATCCCAATTCCCATCTTACTATTATAAGTACTAAGTACTATTTTTTAGATAATTTCTCTAAAAGTGAGGATGTTTAAATACTCTTCCTTTAGAATTGCTTATACATCTATTTTAAAAAGTATATCTCATATGACTTAGGCTTTACAGCATAAGGTATATATAAATGAATACAATATTTATTGAACAATTAAAATATATTTATGTTTTCAAATACAAATTCACAATTCCAAAATCCTCCTGCATCCTAAGCTTACAATCAAACTGATCCCATATGTAAGTCATCTAAATACTGTAGTCAATTAATCCCCACTAGGCAAACCGGTGTATCAACCTCAATAACCCTTGCCAATGGAGGCAGAAATGAAACTCTACAGAGGATATACTCAAGAATTCGATTTAAAAGTTCCGACTCCTTAACCGATCAAATAGGCCTCATCCTAAATTGTTATGTAGAATTAACCTCAACAATCAAAAGGAAGTTAGAAAGTATCTTATGTAATATGTTTGGATATCAATAGTTGATAGATTGGATTATGTACTTTTTACCCATCGCCTTCATTATCATAACATTGATTATTATGTCATGCATGATTGGAGCTAAGACAAAGCATCTTAACCCAGAAGGAGCTCATAATACATTATCAACCTTAAAAGAAAACTTATCGAAAAACCCAATAGAAGATATAGTGGTAGGAGGCGAGGGAGCATCCTCACATATGACAATGTTCGAATATTATAGTCATAAAGATGTTGGATGTCCTGATGGATATGAAGCAGCAGACATTGGAAAATGGGATGGAGTTAAGTCTGGTTGTTTATGTGAAAATGGAGAGACAAGCCATTCCGCCACTTGTTTTTATAAATCAACATGCAAGAGAGTGAAATCCCATGATGCTGTGGATCTTTAGATTTGGCAATCAAAGAGTTTTTGCATAAAAACTTATGATGGATGGCAACCTCTAAATGGAGTTGATTGCGATGATGGCTATAAGAAATGTGGGAATCTTTGTGTGCCTGTCTCTAGAAAGTGTCCCTTGTCTAGTTTAGTGAAAGACAATAGTAGGTTTAATGATGAGCATTCAATAAAGATAGGCAATGATAATTTCATTAAAAAGTTTGAGGATTCTGAATCAGTTGTGGATATGTAATTAGTTCCTGGTTTGGGCTAAAGTGAATCTTCACCTTGCTATAACAATGAGTTAAATCCAAGCTTTTAATCCCAGAAATATTATCCATTTGCTAAAAGAGCAGAAAAAGGATGTGATCAGTACTTGGATCTCCAGAATCACAGAGTTACTTTGAATACTTTCGAAACTCACAAGGTTTATGAGCAGAATGACTTAAATGATCTTTTGCATGAATTGCCATTTTATCAAAGTTATCTGAGTAATGAAGATACATATGCGTTCGAAATTATTAAAAGAATTAGAATAAACCCTATTAAGGAATGTCAATAACTGAAACCGAATTAAGTTGAAAAGATTTCATCCAGTAGCAAGAGTATATACACTGCTGAGAAATACCTTTCTTTTATTATATTGTTATTGGCAGCAATCACTTTATTTTTGGTGCCAATTCTTTATTTAATCAGGAATAGAGTATGATTATCATTTCTATCTAGGTGTTTTAATGGAAAGACATGACAGAATTCTCATAACCAAGATTCTTCTGTGTTCTAGCTTTTATCATTGCTGCACTCTGCATAATCCTGGGATCATTCTATATTTATCATGTTGATGGAAATGTAAATCTACAAGATTATTATTTAGAATGGATTGAAAGAGCATAACCGTATGTTCTCGTAGTACTTAGAAAAGAATTGCTTCTCAGATTAAGGATTGATCTTAGTATGATTTAGTAATTAAATTATAGGCTGTTGATTAAGTTAACACTTTTGCAAAGAATGTGTACCACTCTACGTATAGTTATGTGATATTTACATTTTATGGAAGTGTTGGTTTCTTGGTGATCCTGATTTTACTCCTGATTTACTAATTTTTTGAACATAAGAGTATTTTTGAGAATCCATGGTAATACAGAATCCAAAAGTAATATTATGAATTCCATTGAATTAAATCAATTTTAACTTTTTAATTTATTAATCTGTCTCCACATAACTGGTTATTACAAAAGGCATAGGAAGATACCTATTTATACTGTGAAATTTTAGAAAATCTACGAGGAGGAGAGTAATAAGAATAAATCTATATTCGAGAAGTAATAAAGAAGAATTTAATAGTGTTAATATCTTATAATAATAATGAGTCAAAATGAATATTATCTAATACAATTAATTTCTAATCAAAAACTTGGTTATAGAGTTACATATATTTTCTTTTTGTATTATTTTTATAGAATGATTATCAAAATAGTCATCTTATAATATTTATATCTTAAAATAACTGGTAGCAGAGGAAATGTTAAGAATAAATTCAAAGATCAAAGAATGATTATCCTTGTATAACAATTATTATAATTTAATTCTTTCACTTATTAAAATATTGTATTATATGCAGCAATCATAAACAATCCTAAACTATTTAAATGGAAATTATCTACTCACAAGCAGCACTGAGAATCAAATCGTTACTCTAGAATTCGATTCTCAATATTATAACCCTTGTTTTTACTTCTTGCATTACTAATTGTTTAATCATGTGAATAGCACTAGGTAATGAATGCAGTTATTGCTTATAGACCACTCCTAATTATTGACTTAGAATACAACTTTAGATCATAATGGAAGAACGTCTATTCTAATATTGAATGTTCAGAGTAAAATGGATTCAAGAAATACGTGAATAATGTTTATTTCATCAGCAAGGAGGAATCCTTGGTTAATGTTTTAAAGCAGATAGTTGCAGATAACATTAAAAGCCTTGAAGTTTTGATTTCAGGATTAGAATTGGCTGAGCAATCGATTTACAATACAGTAAGGGAAATTCTGAAATAACCCTTTCGATCTCAGATTAGTTTATTGATGCCTAAGGATTTTAAGCATAGGGACGTAAAAACGATTTAAAGTATATCAAATTGTAGAATGATAATTGAATAATTGTTGGAGAGTGATGAAAAGTTGTAAAAGAATGAGAGGGAATTTAAAATCTATAATTTGTTGGTGATGATGGTATTGAAGAAGTCGAATGGACATTCCTTTTTGAAGAATTATATCATTGATGGTAAAGAGTTGTTGAAGACGAAATTAAAAATAAATAAAATAAAAAAGGAGAGTCAAAAGGATGAGCAATTGGATGTGACTAAGAAGATTGGTGCAACATTCAATTTGAATTTGAGTTAGGAATAAAAATTGACGAAGAGTGAGATTGATAATTAAATAAATCCGTACAAGGAGATAATTTCTTAGGAGAATGCCCCTTTGATCTATCAGAATGAGGGAGATGAGAAGAGGATAATCCTGGATGACGAGCAGGAGGATTTTGAGGAAGTGGAGGAGTATGAAGGATGAAATGTTATTTTAATTTATTTCATAGAAATCTTATTAATCAGTCTTTTATAAAAATTAAATGTAAAAAGATTCTACACTTTCGGATAAAATTATTGTTGCCTCAAGAGTAATTATTATAATATTAAATTAAACAGACTTTTATCAAAAATATCGCCTATCATGTAAAAGACCACTCTCAATTATTCTTGTGCAGGTAATGAAATCCATTGATAATTTGGACATAGATTTAACTCACAAATAAGCATAACAGGAGAATGCCAAATTTGGGATTGTGATTGACAAGGAAAACTCGTATGCCGTTTTGCAAAAGAAGAAGTAGCTTCAAAATAGGGAAAATAGTAGTCAATCTTAATAAAAGGCAGATTTTCGATCCAATAGTGGTTTGTAGAAAACATCTTCACTCCAATAATTTTACAGAGCCTCATCCACAAACGATAAAAATTCTTATCAAAATCAGAAGAATACCTATGCATACTTAAAGGACATGAAAAATTCGTCGGCTATTTAGTAACTTCAATAGAGTGGTTACCAATAGCGTCACATCTCCTCGAAACAACTTAAAGAGTAGAATGGTAAGTTAACTGAATAAGCATCAAATAATTAGTTGAAGACAAATACACTTGAAGGTTATGAGGACAAGAAGCTGAGTCTAAAATTTATGAAAAGTTGTTAGGATAAATAAAAAAATCTGAAATCTAAAGATCAACCAGAATATAACAATCAATAAATCTTGGACAATAAAGCAGATAAACTCAGATACAAATAATAAGGCCTATTGGCTAAGTATTTCCCAATCCAAGCAAATGAGTAAGCTAATGATAAAAACACAGATGACAAAAAACAAACAAGAGATGTCAAACAAATTTACAATATTTACACACAAATCAAAGATATTAAAAATTACTACTCCAATTCCTTAAAACAAACCCAAGAAAAGAAAGGACTATAACTTCAGGATTTTGTGACTCAACTCACTTCAAACAACATCAAAACTTCATCAAAACAATTGGTCAATAACTACACTCATCTGAAAACAGACAGATAATAGTATAACGAGGTGAAACAAACTCATCTCTATAAAAGTAGTGAGACCTAACAAAGTGAACCTGTAATACTCATATTATCATACTTAGTTTCTATATTACATTTCAACCATTCTATAATCATTGAGAAGACAGGAATCAAATAGACATGACGATAAAATAAGGGATCACTTTTCGTAAACCTATTAAGTATGTATGACATTTATGCAAGGGATTGCTATTTGCAAATCAACTGGATTTGACCTTTGATGAAGATAAGATTGTTCATCTCCCGAGATCTAATAATTTGAAAACTATTGTGTTTGATTTGGATGAAACCTTAATTCACTGCAATGAACATGCTTAAATTCCAGGGGATGTCATACTCCCTATTACATTTCCAAATGGCGAAACTGTCCAAGCCTCTATCAATATTAGACCTCACGCTTAGAAGGTGCTCTAGACCCTCTCTAAACATTTTGAGATCATTATTTTTACAGCCTCGCATTCCAGTTATGCCAACATCGTGATTGATTACTTGGATCCCAAAAGACAATGGATCTCTCACAGATTTTACAGGGAGAACTGCTTATAGACTCCTGAAGGGGCGTATGTGAAGGATTTAAGGTAAAGGATAAATATTTTTAGAGTGTTAGGAAATAGGAAATTATCGAATGTGCTTTTAATTGATAATGCTGCATACTCATTTAGTTAACAGATTGAGAATGGAGTGCCAATCATCTCTTTTTACGATAATTATGATGATTAGGAACTGCTGCTTTTACAAAACTATTTGTTGAGTTTTAGATACGAAAAGGATGTGAGAGATTTAAATTAAAGAATGTTAAAATTAAATTTATTTATCAATTATTAAGATCTAAAGGAACTACTGTAAAGTTTATTTGCCATGTACATATGATTGGTGTTATTGAGCCTGTGGATAATTGTGAATGATCATATATTGTTTATTTTATATAAAATCGCTAGAAATGCACATCAATTATAATTTTCATATTTTCATAAAATTAGTTAACGAACATACACAATTTAAAAATGATGAATGTTTCAAAATGCAGCAAATGCTTAAATGTCCCAGATGATATCCTAATGTTAACATGTAGTCATGATTTATGTTTACTGTGTGCAGCCAAGTCATTTTCACAACAACCTTCCAAAAGAAGCAAAAAGGTAAAACATCCTTTGATTATTGAACAGTTCTTTGTTTGCGACATCTGTTCCTCCAATACCGAATTAGATGCCAATAGTGTTTACGAATTAGAAAAACTACATTTAACCACAGCTTTGTAAGATAGATCGAATCGCAAACCTGCCTCATAGTCTAAATCCAATATAACATCCGAGAAACAATTGAAGCCTCGTTCGCAAAACAGACAGGAAAACAAAGAGAATGCAAAAGAAAAACCCATTAAATACACTGCTCAAACTATGGAGGCTAGAGTGTCTGTGCATCAATCTCAAAGGAACATGAGTAAGTAACAGAGTGAAAATTCCTTCATCTAAAACTCAAGAGGAATGTGTATTGATCACCCTGAAGAGGAAGTGTCTTACTATTGTTTTGATTGCAATAGCAAATGTATTTGTCCAGAATGTATTATCCATGGAATTCACAAGAATCATGAAGTCAAAACAATCAAGAAATCGTATCCAATTGTCAGGAAATAGTTAGAAGACCAATTGGAATAAAATAATCAATGTATTATCCAAGTAGAAAACCAAAAGCAGGAATTAGAAAAGAAATAGATTTAATAACAAGCCATTTAAGATCATTTGAGGTTGTAAATTGCTCAGGAATTTTAAGTATCCATTACATCCTAACTTAGGCTTTACATCAACTATTGAATAGTAAATAAAGTGAACTATTAGAAAAAGTAGACAATTAACCCACTATTATGGAACAATAGGATGGATATATTAACAGATTAAATGAGGTTGAATTCAAGTTATCAAATTTTAATGAGAAAATTAATGACGTGATAGATTCAAAAGATGAATGTGGATTACTCAATTATTATGGGTCAATTTATGGACAACCAACACCACAAATACCTCCACTTCCTAATATTAAAGAAGTCCAACTATCAAATTAAATATTTACATAAATTAATGATGTTAAAAAGTTGATCGGAGGTCTAGATATTGATTGTAATTAATGATTTAACTCCATCAATTAAATATATCATAATATTTTTAAAAATTGATGGTCTCCTCTTCTATTGACTTATTATATAAATCATAGTTTTGTTTCATTTGATTCCAAATCATTTTTAAATTTTGATTTACAATCAAAGTTTAAGAATAATGTTACAAACCTTCATATTTCCATATATTTTATAATTTTTCTATTTTGTTTGATAAATTCTAATTAAGTTAATTCTGTGCACTTAACTGTTCATTGTTAAATTACTAATTGATGATTTAATCAGTATGATTTTGAATTCTTCAGAATATTTAAGATACTCTATATGAATAAAATGTTATCAATATTGATAATATAAATTGTGATTAAAAGATGCTTTATAACGATGATGGAATTCTTATTATTTTTATTTATATATCATTTATATAGTATTGAAAAGTAGTCTCATATATTTTGTATTCAGTATTAATATTTCTTAAAAAGTAATATCTCGCTACTAGTGATTTATCCATCAATCCTTATTTAATAATATAATATGAATAGCTTTAAAGTGATGGAATAAATGAAAAACAAATTTCTAAGCTTACAGACTTACATGTTTATTCTTAGATTTTTTGAATGATTTCAATAAAGTATAATTAGATATACCTTCATATATCTTAGACTTATACCTTTTTTAACAGATACTATTTATCCATCAAAATAGTTCCAAATTGCCTGGACATAGAAAGGACCCTTAAGGGGAGAAAATATCAATCTATTATGACACAAATTATCAATTAACAGATCAAAAACTTGAGTGATTAATTCTTAAAAGTTGTATTAGTAATTTAAATTAAAAATCTTTTGGACTCTCTAATCTTAATGTTGTATAAGGTCTAATAAAGATTCTTGTTAGACAATCCGAAGTGCGTATCATCTTCTTATAATAAATTACTTTCAAATGGCGATTTAATTTAGGATTGTCTATTCCGTTAATATAGGGACTTGGCATTTTTGCTATGAGCCCTTAGAATGGAATGTTATAATGTAAATTTGAAAAGTAGGAATTGATATTTGTTAATTTATTGTGGTTATAATATATATAATTGAAGAAATGAAATAAAAAATGCATTAGAGTTTTGGGCAAACAATGTCCGTAGAAATTGCTAAGATTGCGAATTACAAGAATATGTTTAATATTGAGGCTTTGATTGTCATTCTCATAAATTTTATGTCTCTAATGAGCTTCACAATAGAGCCAGAGAACAATTCAGGATATTTATATTTTATTTAAGTACTAAATCTTTTAAGTCTAGTTTTTGAGTGTATTCACTCGCCCACCAGACATTTTATTTGTGCCAATTAGTATGTTACTCTTAATTTTGTATTTGTTCGTTTATGGATGTCTATTGTTAATGTCATATTCACAATACAGCAGTTAAAATAAAATGATCATCTCAAACAAGTAATTCAAGCAACTCAGATTCATGCTATCCTTGACTGCTGAGTGCATAGTTTAACTCACCTGCCCAATAGTAGTCACTTGATTTATTCTAGTTATCTATCAATATGGGATTGTTTAGCAAATACAACAGCGCTTGGATAACAGTGCCTATCCTGAATATTGTGTTGCACTCATTAATATTGTTTTGTTACTTTTATTTTTATCGAAGTTACCAATTCAATTAGTTAGGATTGTACAGAAATTTCAGTTTAATTTCCTATTGCTATTACATCATAACGATTTTTGTAGTCGCAATAGATTGGAACACTTCTCTCTCCATTCAACCTTATATATTATTACTAATGAGTATTTTGATGCTTGTGGATCTAATACTATTCATTCCCTATAAATTGACATTTGAAAATCAAATTTATTTATTTGGTTGCACTGGGTTGTTTATCCTGGGAATGTTGGGTTCACTCAAGTAATTGTTAGATTACATCACCAAAGACAATGTCTTCGAAACATTCGTTATAAGTTACCCCCTCTTTTTTTATTTATTCTAATTGATCTAAAATATGAAATGGAAATAAATGTTATTGTATATGAGAACTGGATCTATGAAATAGATGGACATCAGAAAACTATGTTTTTCCTTGGAGGCCCTAGTTTGGTATGTAGAACAAGCAAGAACCAGCCAATATGTCTTTATGCAGGCTATTTTGATCTTGAAACACCACACTCAGAATTGCACAGATCAAAATTGTGAATGCAAGGAAGATTTAACTAAACTCTACACTTAAAATCTTGAGAGCATGACCCATCGATCATCATTCTAATCTAAGACTGCTCTTCTCAGCAATGGGGACAAGAATAGCAATCAACAGAATCTCTCTCAAAATCTAGATGTAAGTCAGTTCCAGAAGACCATCAAAGATGTCAGTAGGAGAAATGATTCCTATGTTGGAATTCCAGGAATAGTTGAAATCCATCAGAAGATCACCAAACCTCTCATATTCTAACCGATGAAATTCTTGTAAAATGATCTAATAAATGAGGAATTGATATCTCAATACATCAAAAGGTAATTTCACTAAACAATTCAACAACTATCTTTTTCACTCAATCTAGATGATGTAGAGTATCTATCATTGAAGTACATATCTTTCATGTTTCTGTTCAAATAAAATAGTTCGTCCTCATTGACCAAATTAAGACAAATCCAAAGCAGAACTGCTAAGTTCTCGTATTTCTTTTGCAATATTACTAAAGTGACAGAAGAGCAATTTATTGAGGCGCTTAAAATGAGACATTTCGAAGAAAAGAGTACTTATGACGATATTGTTAAAATGAATGTGACAGAGATATGGAGATTGGAGATGGTCAAAGATGAAATTGTATCGAATATCGTGTGTGTCATAAAGAAGAAGATTAAGATGTGGGAGAATTTGTGTTCAGGTGAAATCTCAAATATGGATAGATTACTAATTGACATCATCAAAATCTCTAAATAAATAGAGGACAGTCGAAATTAGGTAGATTAAATCCTAGATGATTTTGCTGGATAAGTCCAAAAGAATTATGCCTATTATCTAAAGTATTAATGTTTTAGATCCCTCTTTTTCGACTCAGATTACAAGAAGGCAGTGTTTTATCAAAGGAAAGTAGAAGATTCTTGGTAGTTGAGCAGAGTTGCACATAAATAAGGACAAATCGGAAATTTCTAATGGCTGTCTGGAGACCTAGTCACTTTGGAAGTTAGCGTTGGTGTGTAGAGTGGATAAATTATCAAGGGATTTTCTAATAGATTAGTAGATTTGTTAGGATATGTAAGTTACGAGGATATGATTCAGAATTTGCGTATTAGAGGATTATAATCTAGCAGTTCTACATCGAATTCTGATAAAATTGGCATTTCTAGTATTATGCCTCCTTATTTAACGGCATCTCATAATTACTTCATCCAAAGATTCATACATAGAGGCTACACCTATTATTACGATAAACCTATCAGTTCATTTGGGTGTGATGCCTTAGGATTTGTATTTCCTATCAATGTGAACTTGTCATTCAACTTTCAAAATATGAATGACTTCACACTGTTAGGCTCAATCTTAAAGATCAAGGATGAAGATGAATACTTAATATTTGATGAATGGGGACGTATATTGGGAGTATCAATGAGGACTTTTGATAAATTAATCTTGAAAGGTGCACTTGATGAATTTGGCATGGTTCAATACAAATCCATCCATTAGAAATTAGATAAACTAGGAAACCTCAAAAATAATTTGATGAATAAAATAGCTAAGGATGATCATGCTAAATTGTTTAAGAAGACTCTTACGGTACACTAAAAGCAAAGTACTACCAGGAGTTAAGTTAGAAGGACCTATTAAAAACCATCTGATATTCTCTTATAATTTGGTAGTGTTCAGCATTTCTTGCCTCAAATCGGAAAATAAATTACAGAAATACTTTCAAAGGATATTTTCAAAAAGTTACAGAGAGAATCTCAAGAACAATTCAATAAATTGATGGATAACCAAAACAATTAATAATAAAATGTGATGGAGAAACAACAAAGCAATTTATTCCAAAGATAACTTAGTTAATTCATTGATCGATAATAGAGTATAAACAATTAAGGACTCAGTAGTGCAATGTTAGACAAAGATTAATATCGAAATTTTATACTCAATACATTTGTGGATGACAAAGGACTTATGAAGAAAAACATGTCTATCTTATAGGATGAGAAATTGGTGCTTTATGTTCCTAGAAATTATAATGAATTGATTGAATATTTCAATGATGCAGGAGAACGATTTGTTGAAAGTAAGAATGATTTTGAAACCAAATCTATAAGAAGATAATAATTACAAAACAAATACTCTTACATCAAACAATAGCAAAACTGTTATCATCTATTCGATGCTGAATTTTAAGATTTTATTGATAACAAAATACGAAAGTACTATTCAAAAGCTTTACTCAAAGAAGCATTAGAATCTCAAGAAGCTAAATTGCTGTAGTAAGTGAGATATAAATGTGTCTCAACCATTGATGTTGGATTAGGAGGTATAAGTGACAAGGATTAGTTTCTCTATTTTGTTTGCAGACTCTCCTCCTTAAATCTGCAAACAGCCAAGAGGAAGGATGTTCTGAAGATCCATATGAAAAAAGAGAAAAACTAATAATTTGATGGTGGCGAGGAACTGAGAAAAAGCTTGATCCAACAATTTTCATCCATGGACTCAGTGGACAAGTAAAAACCTGCTTGGGGACAATCTCTATCGATATAATAACAGTAAGAAAGTTCTGTTCCTCAACCGTAAATCAAATTCAAAGGAGAGATTGATAAACCAATTATTGTAACTCTCGCCATTCCTGATAGTAGGACTTATGTTTCTTCATTGGATCGAGAAGAAGGACCAAATATGAAGGTGAACTTTGAAGCTTAAAACTAAAAACTAAATGAATCCTCGTTTGATATAGATGGGTCAATGAGAGAGAGTCTAATCTAGAGTGGCAATCATTCTATGAAACAGTCATTGAATTTGGATGTTCCAACATTATCGAGACAGAATTCACTAGAAAAAATGAAATAATCATTAGGTTAATCTAAAGAATTAAACAAAGAATTATCTAGAAGCTTGTCTGATAAAAAAGAAGAACCTCCAAAAAAGAAACTTAAGTTATCCTTTTTGAAAAAAATGGAAAAGGCTCTTGTTCCTAAAGATCCTCCTGCTGGAAGTCCAACTACTCCAATTGCTTCACCAATCCCAGTGTAACATTAACATCAATAGCCAGAGAAATAACCATCCAATTTAAGTGTTCCTGAAGAAAAAAGAAGTTCATTATTAAGTCCAACAGGTTTATTTTCTAAATTATTCACTCGATTAAATTTAAGGAGAGTATCCAATGTGGAAATTAAAAACGATTAATTCGAAGCCCCTGAACAAGGTTTTAGGGAGTAATCTGAGAATTCAGACAAAGAAGAAATAAAAAAATGTGGACAGAGTACTCCATCAGGTACTAATTCTATGTCCAGCAACAATATCACAAGTCAAGCAGAAGGGAAGATTGAAGATGATGATCTCAAAAATGATGACGAATTAGTTAATATCTTTGAAGTCATGAGTTAGGCTTCAAATCATTAATCCATTAAATCGATCTCAGCCATCTCCATGGCTACTCACATATCGTTAAGATGTCTAAAGTATTTACCAAGATAAGCAAAATCCCTGTAAGTTTTTAAAGTCGTCTTAATTCTATTGAATATATCCAGCATTATTAGTTTGGTTTCGACAACTCAAAATTACTTTGATAAGCTAAGTGTAGATCACTTGAGTTTAAAAATTAATAATCAGTATCGCTATTCTGCTATTGTGTTATAGTCTGCTAATTCAATCGATTAATTATCTATTATTCAATTTTAGCAACCAGTTAATGCTACTTTGATGAATGAACTAATTACTTATTGTTCTAATTTGAGTTTAGAGATTAGTTAATCATATTTTGATGTTGTAGATCAAATCTTGAGTGCTGTTTCATTTCCATTACCCAAACCTGATGTTTTGAGTATTCCTGATGAATTTTGGATTGTATCCCTTTCGCAATTTCTGACTTAACAAAAAATAGAAATAGATGCCATTTAATTAATTAATAATTACAATAGGAGTGATGCCACTTTCCATTAGTTGTATAACAATTCTATTGACTATTTGCTAAGTCGTCTTATTTTTACTCAATCTCAAATCAACAATATGAGTCAATAATTGAGAGATTACAAGAACAATAACATCTTAAATTAAGCATTCATTGTGACTTATTTAATGGCAAGTTTTGGCGGATTGCATTTGATAGTCATATTTTTAATTGTTCCATTCATTAGATAAATCAATAACATATATTTTCGAGTCCTTTGCATTCTAAGCAGAGTGACTGTTGAGGAAGCAGAAGATGAAATTAAAAAGTTAACTCTTTCTTAGCATCTACTTGAGGCTCAAGATGATTCATGGGTCACTCAAAACCAAGTCAAACTTGTGTTTTACAATAAGAGTTAAGACATAGATTTAAATCAAAAGTATTAGAATATTGTCAAAGCAAAAGGAAAGGAAAGCTCATATTTTCAATCAAAATTAAGTGACACCTCTTTGAGTATTTGGAAAGACATGGGCCTATACATTATGATTTCCTCTATTTCAATCGGATATCTTATATTTTCAATTATCATTATCCAAACTCAGATAGACACCTTCACTCCCTTTATGGAAAATTTTGATTAGACTGTGAGTACCAGCATCTATTCTTCAGCTTTGATTTCAAAACTATCAATCACTCCCGAAAGATACGTGAATCTTAATAGCTCAAGCATACCAACCCAATATACCCTATATGGCTATTAGTAAAATCAATAAATTTCATATTTCCTATAGACCATTACCTCTGATACGAGCAAGATCAAAACCTTTATAACTGATATGACCACTTTTTTAGAGCAATTAAATTTGGATTACAATTAGAATACAAGCAACACAAATACCACGATTACTAATGAGTAGTATTAAAATAGAATTCAATATCTGGAGTAATTAAGTATTTTGAGTGAAATCAATCATATACTCAAAGACAATATTTGCTATTATTCTTAACAAAATTTATGCCGATTCGACATCTAATTCGACTTTTTTAATACAGGATTAATTGGTGCATTAGATATGCTCTAAAAGATGCAATTTAATTATGATGAATTTTTAACTGAATACCATTCGATGTCCTAATCAGACATCTCTATTGATGATGCATAATTAGTCAATTAATATTACAATTCACAATATTATCAATTATTAGTGATGTATGGATAAGAGTTGTTTTTCAAGACTTTTGATAGATTAATTTATCTCCTGGAAGCCTTTTTGAATAATGAAAAGAAATCAAAAGAAACCCTTATTTCAAATCTATTCATAGGCATTGGCATTCCAATTATGATTTTGACCATATTTTTAGCTGGTTTAGAAATGTATATGCTCAAAAACAAAGTGAGAAGAGTTATGCTATCCTTGACATATCTACCAACATTTAAATACTAGGATAAAATCATACTGTCACTAATTAAATCCATACTGAAAATTTGATCCAAAATTATGCTTTTATATATTTTAATATAAATATTATTTGCAATTATTAATCTTAAATCCTATTATATTTTGAAACAATCCTCATAGGACTGAAAACTTTGAAATATTATAATCAATAAAATTTACAATTATAGTTACAATTAATGTAATTTCTTGAATAATAATCCCCCACATAGTGTAGAAATTATTGATTTGTGCATATTAATTGAATAATTCTTAAAAACCATAAATTTATAGATAGATTAGTTTAGATTTAATATAATAAAAATTTACCAATTAAATAATGATGATACTAGCACCAGAATTGATTTATCATGAAATCAACATGCCTTCCTTAACCTGAAATTTATATATATTTTATTAATAATTTTTAATGAGTTCCAATGGCAGTGCTTTGAAGGGATCAGGTAAAAGGAAATAATAAATAAAATAGCAACTCCTGATTTGGCTAAACAGGTATTGGTCTAGAAATTGGCACAATAAATAGTAAATCAAATAGTGTCAGATGATGTGATTGATGATAAAATTGAAGAGGAAGAAAATCAAAACAAAGACCCCACTTGCTGTTAAATGTTTTGTGCTCCCTTTACCTTGAAGTATTACTAACCATTCTTCAACGATTTGACATCTAAAGTAATAGCATAAAAACTATGGGCATCGTTTTTTCCATTCAAGGCCACCTTCTTTGAAATACAAGACGGGAAACCAGATTTATATGGGCCAGTCTGGATTTATGCCACTTTAGTATTTGCAGTAGCTGCTGCAGGTAACATTTCAGGTTATTTGGCAACTCCAAGCAATATTGCATTCCATTACAATTTCGATTTCATCCCAACAGCATCCTCACTACTATTTGGAATAGCATTACTAGTGCCGTTTGCAATTTATATGGTTATGAAAATGTTGGGAGGCAGACATCTTCACTTAACGTCCTTTATATGCATATATGCCTATGCTTAAACATGCATAATACCTGTGTGTATTGTATGCTCAATACCGAATCCTTAATTACAGTGGGGAGCATTGATTTATGGAATGATTAATTCATCTTTGTTCTTGATTGTCAATTTTTGGGGGTATGTATATGAATGCAAATAAATTTTAGAGAATTGGAGAAGAACATACAAACCAAGAAACATATAGTTATCTGGTTGATTGCTGGATGCTAGGTAGTGTTGTTGTTATTGTTCAAGATGTACTTCTTCTTGTACGTATACACGAATCCTTATACTGGATCAAGATTTGATTAACTCACAAAGATTGTAAATGAATATAAGTAATTTAGGTTCATACGGATCACTTATTCTTGCATCACCATCAATAACATTGAGAATATTAAATTATTTATAATATTATCATTTAACCGAATGTCTTCAAAAGATAAACAAAGTGTTAAGAGTGACAAGTCTAAGGACAAGAAGAAGAAATCCACTAAATTGGACAAGAAGGAATCTAAAATTCTACCTCCTCCAGATAATGACTAATAATAACTAATTGCAAGAGTAATTGGTAGAATTGGAGACAAAGAAAGCAAGAGTTTGGGTATACAAAATTACTAGATTAGCCAATTGTGAAGATGATCCACAAATGCAAACATTCAATACTAACAACAATTATTAAGCCACTGATTTTTCCATGCAAAATAATTAATTTGAAAATTATCATACTGCCAATAAGAATAATAATCAATTCAGAACCAATAAATTTATGACAGATCAGACGACTTATTAATAATAGTAGTAGGATCAATATTACCAAAAAAGTCCATAATAATATTAAGATCAATTTTATTCAACCAGTTATAGTCAACCCTATAATTTAAATCCATCATTTACATAATAAGCTGCGTTCGATTATAGACATGAAAGAATCAAAGATCAAGTTTAATAGAGCTTGTTACCCAAAAGATAAGAAATACTGGAATAAGTCTAAAAGGTTATTGCTATTAATGATAAATTAGATAGATAACAGAATAGATGAAATCAAATATCAATCCCAAAAAATTGAGAACATTACCAGAGAAGAATGCGAAATCATCATTGATAAATTAAAAAGCGTTGAAGCTTAAAAGCTATAAATGTTGTATCATGATAAGAATGAATTACTCAGGTAATCTCGTTCATTTATTTCTTAGAGACGTCGACTAGATTGAAGCTCTACAATAAAGGGTCTCGTAATTGTAGGATTTCAACTCTCAAAAGAACTTAGACTTATTTGAAAATATAGAAAGATTGAGTAGGAAGAGAATTAAAAAATAGATTGAAACTTACCCAGATGATTTACCTTAGGATTTGATTCAATTCAGACAATTGTAATAGTAAAATTAGATGCTACAGAAACTGATGGATTTCAAGAATGAAGTCATTTGGAAACTCTATAATGATTCCTAAATAGAAAGTAAGAAGATCAGAGAGGAACTAGAAAGATAAGCAAATCAAGAATTTCAAGAATGGTCCAACATTGTAGATTAATACTAATCTGAATTAAATAGGTATAAGTTACAATGCACCTTTTGTGGAATCAACTTTGATTATTAATTGATCAATTCTGATTGCAATTTAAATCAATAGGGAGCTAGTAATATATTGATTAATTAAAAGAAATCTAATTTGACTGTGAATAGGTTCCTCCAGAACAATTCTTTGGTACTCGAAGACACTTCTTTTGTAAAAGTTTATAAATGCAACAATCTTAAATTTAAGCAGAAGACAGTAAGGTGTGATAATATATATAAATATTAATTTCTAAATCTTAATAGTATAATTTTTTATAGGATTCTGAAATGAATTATGTTAACAAAATTCTATTGAAAATTGTTACAAATTAATTATAATAATTATTATATTTCCCGCTTAAAGTATGGAAGTAGAGAAAAATATAGACACGTCCTTTATTTTTGAAAAACTGAAATCACATTCAGAAAAGAAATCTCAGCATTAGAGAATCGGATTAGAAATAAAATAATCGACTAAATTTTATTTGGTTCCTAGAGACAAATGTATCAAGACATAATATTGTAACATCTATTCTGCGCGCTATCTGAACTTGGTCAAAAGGTTTTAAATTGATAGCGAAGATCCTTAATTCATAGAGTTGATTTAAAAGATTTAAGATTAAAAAGGGACAATAAAGGCAATTGGGACTTTGTTCAAAGAAATGAAATTAAAACCATACTATTTTTCTCAAAATCAAAATAAAGCATTATAAGGTAGATCATACATTCATATTCAAGATTATGTTTCGAATGAAGATGTCTGTTATCTAGAGGATGGATCAGGAAGAATTAAATTATAAATAAGTAATGCCATACTCTGCTTACCAAATAAGAAAGAGAAAATAGTTAATGTTTCCGATTTGGTGACAGGAATTACATTGATGATTGAAGGATAGATTGTTGCAAATAATATTATAAAAGTTGAAAAGTTTTATTTGCCTTCACTACCTGAGACACCTATGCTGAAGCAATTAAACTCGAATTCATATCTCTGTTTAATATCTGGCTTAAATTACAATGCCTTAGAAAGCACAACAAAATATAGACATATGATTGATTATTTATAAGGCAATTTATATAGTGGGGAAGGAGGAGATGTAAGATTTCATAACAATTAATTTAGATTCCATATAATATATCATAAGTTATCTTCACCGGAAATTTGTACTGCAAACTAGAAGAGACACTTGATTAATAATCACTGCAATAAGACTTCAAAGGTGTGTTCAGCAAAATATAGTTAAACATAAAAGGAGTTGATGAATTGATTAGTCAGTTAGCATCAGTTACTCCAGTAGCTGTAATGCCTGGAGAAAATGAGCCAGTTTCCCAGATGCTACCCTAGACACCTCTGCATAGATCACATTTTCCAGAAACTTTTGAGAAAGAACATCAACTAATCTTGTTAAGTAATCCAACAGAATTTACTCTGGGTGATTTAAAGATTCTTGGAACAAGTGGATAAAATATATCAGATATTAAGAAATGTTCTTAGGTTAAGAATTAAGAAGATGTGGATCTACTGGAAATGACAATGTTTTATGGAAATATAGCCCCAACAGCTCCAGATACTTTGATGTATATATATTAATTTCTATTTTTAGTTCGTTTCCATAGAAAGACTAGGATCCATTTGTATTGTAAGAGTTGCCTAACATTTACTTTGTAGGTAATATGCAAAAGTTTGGAACTAAGATGGTTGCTGATAATGTAAGGATTGTTAGTGTGCCAGCATTTTCTGAAACTGGGACAATCTGTTTAATTAACTTAAGCACATTAGAATGTTTTCCTGTTATTATATAATGAATAGCATTTATAAATATCAAATTTTAATTTTCTTTTTGCTTTAACACATTAATTTTGTTTCTAACTATTCTAATTATTCGTGAATCATCTCATGAATTTTCAAATAATTATATTATCTATATTTGTTCCATTGATGCAATGATTTCAACTCCTTTTTACTGGTTTTTAGGCCTTGCAATATAACTAAGATTTTTGTAGAACAGTTTTCCTTCTGTATCCAAGACAATCCGAAATCTACTAAGTTGTAATGATTTATAATACACTAATGAAATACTTATAATAATACATACCTTGACATCTTACAAAAGAGTTGACTTTTCTCTTTAAGTTTCAAGTTTTATAAATGGTAGATTATTGTGTCCTGTCAAATCAGAATAGATGGTCTGATCCAAATACTATTGAATGAAATCAGTCAATTATGTAGAATTCTTTTAAAGTTAAATTTGTTTCCACATATATTCCAAAGATCGAAAGGCCCCTGTTCTTGCCATCGTATACATCTAATCTAGATTGTTAATTCGAATTATATTCTATCGTTTGATATCCGAATATATATCCAAAACTTTAGCTTATAATTCCGATTATGATGGGAAATGTGTTAATTTAATTATCTATGCTTCCTCTGAAATTTCAAACTTGACTTTTTATTACTTTAATTTATTAATCAATTAAATTGGAGTCATCACAGATCCTTTCAGCAAATCATCAACTGCACATTTATAGCCATTTAAACTGCCAGACTTCTTGCCATAAATTTAGACATTCTGAGCTATCTGCTCATCTTCTGGTAGTTGCGATAATATCAATTCTACTGGAACAGATACTTAAATTTCAAGCCATTTCTCTTTTTCTAATTCTTACAGAAAAAGTTAGATTTGTTTTTTACTAAAATCATAATTTAATGAGGTTTCATTTAGAAGAATCTTTTTGATTTTCACTTCAGATTATTCAGAATTTTACAAATGCAACCATTTCTTAGTCAACCAATAAGATATATCATTTTCATCTTTTTATATCAAATCATTTGTATAAACACAATCCTGCATAAAGATAGCTAAATTCTCTATTTGAATAAAATTTGAACTTAATTCAGTTCTTTATGTGAAATAATATTCATCACATAAAAAGATATGAGAATTGGCTTCTCTATTTAATTCTGATATATCCAAAATGAAAGTTTCAATGTTTAATGGCAAATACAGGTGAACAGAAAGATAAACAAAATTCTTTAATCCTTCTGGCAACTGAAATCCACTTGGTAAAACTATTATATCAATATTTTAAGAAGCAAAATCATAATAACTGGCCTGTCTTTAACTTTCAGGTTTTTTTTAATGGATTGAATTACTCTTAAATCCATTTTACTATAAAGTAAACTGAACTGATTCTACAGCACTAATATTATGACAGAAGACAGCAATCCCAGTCTTTCTATATAGTCGTTAACTTCTTAGTAATGAGATCAATGATTTAATAGGGCTCTCATCCTTTGAACATGTAATCTGAGTTTTCGGACTGAATGATCTAAAGATAATTATTAATAAGTTACTCTCTATATGTCTAGTATGTTCTGTTGAATGGTTATGATTATCGGAGATCTTGAATAAAGACACTTTAGGTAATGGGTAATAGAATGTGAATGAATTCAGCATTGGCTTTTGCTAATTATTTTGTAAGATCTGTTTGTACTTTGCCTATTTCTGTAAATGACAAATAATAATTGGATTGATCTAGCAGGAGTAGTTTGATATCTAGATTTGATAGATCAATTAAATTAGCCTGTTCTGGATGTACTATTAATAATTTAATATTCCTGCTTGAGATATTCTTAACTATGAACTCAATCTAATGATTGGGAACTTCAGGATTGATAGCTGCCCATGATACGATGTCCTGTATTCTTCTTAATTTCTCCTTAAGCAACACGTAATTGTATGAGATTATGACAACCAAACCATCTACTAAAATGGATAGCAATTAAAATAAAATTGATCGTTAAATTGTATTTAAATTTAGTGAGCAAATAATATTAGTTGCAGTATTTCGACATAAGAAATCTATTGGATCAGTGATCAATTCTTCAATTTCTAATTACTTAATAGCATCCTATAATTTCCTATCGTACCCTTCCGTAATTGGGGTTTTTATTTATTCTTAATGATTATTTTCTTTAAAAGGTGTCATGTTAAAGGATATGATCTTTTTCACTTCTTCGCTAACTAAAAAAGGAATTGAACTCTGTTTCTTTTATTATTTGGGAGTAAACGAATATCCAGAATCAACAGAATCGTTCATTTTTAATATTTATTAATAATTGATTAAATAGAGGTATTAGCATTATGAAAAGGTCATAGAATAATTTTATGAGACTTATAAAGGCTTAGTCTAGAATTTTAGTATCATTTAGGGACCTCATCAAGACAAGAATGATTTTAATTACATGCATGAAGAATATTAGCAGTAGATCAAAATTTATTATTCATACTATGCTTGTCAATAGACATAAACTTAATAAACTATTAATTATTATATTTATCCATAATATGAGTACTTGATGCTTTTAATATATTAACTTCAAAGAATAAGAAGATATATAGTTATTTCACTCAATTTTTCCAAGCAATACAAAAAACAAACTGCCGATGTTCAGTTCAACATAATTAGGTTAGTAGAAAAATAACTTTCAAGTTCTGGTTCAGAATCGGCAGCTTTTCTCATTATAATTTTCAGAAGGGTTTGGCTTAAAAAGCTAACCAAAATTTCTCTACTTTATGATATAAGAGAGTCTGATGAAAATAAGGTATCCATTGATTTAATGAGTTTATATTAGTTCATGAACATTGAGTTTTAAAATATTATTGAGTCTGGGACTTAATTGACTGTTTGATTTATAATTATTATATTCAAAATGGATAATTACAAAAAATACCTCTTTGATGAGAAGTTTCAAGAACCACTACCTCGTAATACTTACTCATTCTAGGCTCAAGAGAGTCAGGAAGATTAGCCCAATGAATCAAATTTTGATGATGAATATAAAAAAGATTTTCTTCAAAACCAAATTAAAAACATAAGGGAGAAATTAATAATGATGGGTTTTCCCAGTTTAGGTGATTTGTATAGCAATTCAAATTCTGAAGTAGATCTTACTGTAAAAGTGTAAGAATAATGTACATTATCAAAAATAGATTGATTGCTGTAATTAAATAAAGAAGGGAGGATATGGATTTCAAGAACACTTATCATGAAAAAATTAATAAAATAGAAGCAGAAAAACAGTAACTCTCATAAAATTTTGAAAGAGCGTCAACAACTAAAAAAATTTTGGAGTAAGAAAATAGTACTTTATAAGCTAAGATAAAGAGCACAGAAAAGGTTTAAAAAGAATAACTGTAATTATTTAAGCTATATATTAGTAATAAACTGATGCAGGAAAGGGAGGATCTGTAAAAATAACTATCGAAATTATAAAGTAGATCAACTTAGTTTGAACATGAAATGAAGTAAAGGGATTTAGAAATTTAAAAACTTAAAGATCATATTAAAAAATAATCGGCTTCGAAAACTTTTAAAAATAGTTTAGAAATGACCTAAAATTTAGAATAAGGAGGTCCAAGTATTTTTGCAGCAAATGGAGAATATGAATTTAGTCAATTAGTCATGAAAAAGTGGGAAGAAATCAATAATAAACTATTAAGAGAAAATGAATAACTTAGGGAAAATCTAGTTAAGATTCATAATGAATTAGGAGAGATACTGTAAATTCGAAGAGATGTGTATATTAAAAGAAGGAAAATAGATTTTGGGGATGAAAATATTCCTCCAGAATTAGATAACCCATAATAAAATATGCATTAATTCAAAAGTGATTTGTATAAGTCTCCTTTAGAAACTAATGGTAAATAAGCTATTTAGATGCTGTAAGAGAATCTATAAACATTTAAAGAACTTATGAAAAAGTTTGATTAACAATACGAACTTTAATTGAATGAAGATGAAATCGAAATTGAGGCTGAAGGGGGTAAAGTTAAGGCTTGTAAAAACTTGACTGAATTATTCAAAAATTATAATTATATCTTTGAGGCCTAGGATAAGATGATAAGTTAAATTATTAATAAAAGCCAAAACTTAAAAAAAATAGATGAATTAAACTTTAATTTAAATAGATTCAATAGAGTATTAGATGATAAATAGATTGACGATGTCAAAAAATATCTCTAAGACCAGAAAAAGTACCTGGATGAATCTAAAAATGAGATGGATCTTATCAAAAAACAATTTTAGCACTAATTGAAAAAAAGAGAAGAAGAAAAATAAATCATATAAGTAATCTCATCGTCTTATAATTAATTAGATGAAAAGATTAATGCTTGAAGAAACCAACGAGAAATTCAAGGAAAATATTAGGATGCTAGAAAATGCAAGTAGATAAGCTTTACAATAACTTAATTAAGATATTAATTGACTCATTATTTTGATTTAAGATTTTTATTATATATAATTAAAATTCTTTTCTTCTACTTTATTTCTATCCAAAATAACTGTTAAATTATTATGAGTTATTTTCTTTATTTATATCTACAAAATTATCAAAAAAATCATGAAAATTTTTAAATGAAATAAACACTTTCTAATCGAGAACTTAGAAACCATTAAAATAATCATGAATATTTATCTTAGCTTTATCATAACTAAGGCAGTAAGAGAGAAGAATTGAATTTATATTTAAAGTGTATTTATAAAGTCAAACAATTTTATGAAATCTAACTGAGACAGAAACCCAAACAGCATAAACGTCTTCTGGATAGATTTCCATTTTCACTCGTACTGCATGATATGTTTGATCTCCTCTTGCAGTGAGTACTTCCCCACCAACAGGAGATGTTTTGATATCCTCCAACATCTTTTAAATATTCATGTGATTAAAGCAAATTGGAAAACTCATAAATGTATGACCTTCAGGTATGTAACTTCTAATCGCAGATTGAAATTCAAATTATGCAAATTGTAATCCTATTGTTATATCAAATTGTGTATACCAGTTATTTTCTCTGTTTCATAATTAGCTAAGGCTATTTACATGATGCTTCCAAGCTTTTCATCATATCTAGTAGCTAAATTAATAACTAAAAATTAAGCAAATCAAAATACTCTTTCTATAACTTCCTATGGCCTCTCTAAGTTATAATTCTAATTTTGGTTCCAATTCATCTGCATATATCGTTTATCTTAATAGAGTAAGTTGAAAATTCTATGGTTTTAATAAAGAGATTTCATTTGGATCGACAGCCTTCCACTTAGTGTAATCCTCAATATTGAGATCTGTTTTCAAGACAGAATCATTCTCTTGGATATTTGCATAAAAGTATTTATGATTAAAGATGCAACCAATTCTTTTATATAACTAAGGAACCTATTTTATGATGTGTCTTTATATATACTTTAGGATCATTCAGTTCAAATTTATGCCCAGTTAAAGGTTCCCAGAAGTTGTAGGCATATTCAGCCTGTTTTTAATTTGGCTTTTTTGGTTTCTATAATCTTGTCATAACCCATCCATGAGGTCGATCAGCTGTAGAACCAAAGACAACAAACGCATCTAAATTGAACCCTAGAAAGAATGAACACAATAGCAAACAATGATCCTCAAAGTCTCCACCTTTCAATGCTATAAATGTTGGGAATCTGTGCCAAACTTCTAATCTATCTCCTGATGGCCCTCGATCTGAAGTTTTCATGGGTATTAGACTCACAAATCTGGCAGCATGATTCGGACTCATTATCCCTCTAACACTTTATAATTCTCTAATAAAAGTGCAAGAAGGTCTCCAGATTCCATCTTGGGATTCTGAATATAATTTAATTGGTCGAACAGATAGTTTAAGTTCTTTAAAATCATTCCACCAAGCATTGCCATACGTATGAAACCTATCGGATATTTGATTGATAACAGATTTCTCTTTAGATAACTAAGAAACTACTATGTGTTCTGGCAATAATACTAAGCCAGTTTTAGGTAATAATTCCAAATGAATTTAAAGTATACCAACATGATTCTTCCTTTCATTTTACATTTTGGTATTATAAGTAGTGGGAAGTTCTATGTTCAATGAAATATTTCCATAGCATAATAAAAACCTCCATTCAATTAATTTTTGAGAAAACAGCTTTCTTTACCCATTTTAAATTTAAATTACGCATAATTCAATTGGATGATCTAATTTGCTTAAGGTTAACAAATCAACATTGGCCTTTTGAGCTTCAGTTCTCAAATCAAACAAAAATAGTTCATTAAACTCAGGTTCTACTGTGGCATCAACTGTAGCAGATGCAAATCTCTGACCGCAAAAACTTAAATATAGCTACAATTTTGAATTTCCAGGTTCTATAAAATCCAAGAATGCTCTTCCTTTGTATATACGCAAACTAACTGAACGATAATTAATACGATCTGGGTCTACAAATGTAAGCTTAATATTCTCATTTGATCATACTTGTTTATTTTATTTATTAAATTCATCTATTTCATCCAAATGTTTGATATCCAAGATGAGATTATCAATGAGGTTTGTTTCTCGCAGCAATTTGGTCAATTTTTCATTATCCAAATCATCAATTTGAATTTTTTCACTTTCTATTTTTTTCTTTAACTTATCAAATACTTCACCTTTATCAAAATAATTGTTGATTAGTTATCGAATTTTAGTTATTTGTTCTTTAGAATACATATTTAAATAAATTAATTAATGGACATACAAGACGCTTCTAGAGTTGTTTACATTTGTGGAAGTAAGTCACCTATGTTAAAATAGAGTGTGGAAAGGATGTTTAACTTGAAGCCAAAGACATTGTCAGATGCCAATGCGGCTACAGAATTCTCTATAAGAAAAGAAAGGCAGATCCAAAGAATCCACCTTAATACGAAGCAATCTGAATTATTAACATTTATCTATGCCAATATACACTTCTAAACAACTGAATTGCATTACTCATACTCTCTATACCCACTTGGATGTTACTAAAATTTAGTTAAATAAGTCTCTATTATTTAAGCATTAATAAGGGTTATACTAAAATTACACTCAAATTTCTATAAATCGCAGTCTAAGTATCTTTAATGATTAAATAATACTCTTTATAAATATTCTGAGTAAAGAGAAATGATAATAAATATCTTTGTTTACGTATTAATGCAACAAGCAATCTAAGCATTTCTCCTTGTTCCTAAGGATTCTGATTTCACAATCAAAAACATACCTTTTGGCGTTGCATCCAAAGCCAATGGTAATCCCTTCCCAGCTACCATCATAGGTATATCAATTGATCAATCAAATTAGGTGATTCTGTGATTAATTTGGCCAAACTCGAAGACTTGGGGTATTTTAATGGACCTCTGTTTTCCACTTTGGGATCTAAGGTCTTTGACAGCGGAAACCTTAACAAATTTGTTTCCCTCTCAAGACCGTATTGGAAAGAAGTCAGATCTTAAATCTAAACTCTATTCTCATGTGGAAGCCAATTAGAAAATAATTAAGAAGCTTTGGCTGAGATTCTTACACCTGTTCAAGATAGTAATAAATCATTTTCTATTTAGCCAAAAATCATTTACCTATCACAATTGGAGAATACACTGATTTTTATTCCTCAAAGAACCACGCTTTCAATATGGGATCTATAATCAGGGGTCCTGATAATGCTATGCAACCAAATTGGTACTATTTACCTGTAGGATATCATGGAAGAAGATCATCAATTGTTGTCGATGGAACAGATATCAGAAGACCATGGGGATAGGTAAAGGCTCCAACAGCCGAGAAGCCTTCTTTCACAAAATGCAAGAGATTGGATTATGAATTAGAAATTGGAGCTGTAATTGGTGGAGCACCAAATAATTTGGGAGAGCCTGTTAAGGTCAATCAAGCTGAAGATAGAGTCTTTGGGTTTGTTATTCTAAATGACTGGTCTGCCAGAGATGTTTAAGTGTGGGAGTATGTACCTCTTGGTCCATTTGGAGCCAAAAATTTTGCATCTACAATTTCACCTTGGATTGTGTCCATTGAAGCTTTAGAACCATTCCGAATTCAATTGCCAGAACAAGACCCAGAGCCATTCGTCTATTTGAAAGAGAAAAAGTATATGAAAATTGAATAATTAGTCATACATCTTTCGATATTAATTTGGAAGTGCTCATTGGTACAGAAAAGAGTCCAGAACTAGAGCATTTTACTACAAGCAATTTCAAATATATGTATTGGAGTGTGAATTAATAAATTGCTCATCATTCCATCACTGGTTGTAACATTTAACCAGGAGATCTCTTTGGATCTGGAACAATCTCAGGAACAACCAAGGATGGAAGAGGATGCTTAATGGAATATACATGGAATGGAAAGGAGCCTTTGGTATTGAAATCAGGGGAACAAAGATTATTTTTGGAGGATGGCGATGTCCTTGAAATGAGGGGATATGCAGGAGAAGGAGAGTAAGAATCATTCATATTTTAGGAATCGTGTCGGTTTTGGGAGATGCAAAGGAAAGATTTTGCCTGCTCTGGATGAGGCTTATTTCTAATCATGAAAGTTAATTATTATCAATATTAAAATTTATATTTAAAAATGGGCAAAAAGACAACATTACTTTTTAAGTTAGTGAGTTCAGCTGGCACAGGGTTTTATTATTATGGAGAGAAGAGCACAAAGTAATTGGAAAATAATTAAATTAAGGAAAGTAGGCTCTAAATTGATTTTAAGAAAGTATGATCCATTGGTCAATCAATATGTTATCTTTACAGAGGCTAAATTGGCATCAGGAAAGAAAAAGTGATTTGATCAGACATATGCAATAAATAAATTTAATTTTAAACTTATTTTAGGAATGCAATTAATTTTTATTTCATCATTTTCTATTTTATTACTTTCTCCATTTTTCATGCATACATGCAAATGGTTTTTGTTAATTTTAAATGCAAAATTTGTTTCATTTTGTAAGACTAAGATATCATGAAATAATTAAGATTCTCCACAATTAATTTAATGTCTATTATAAAGTTAAGGAAACTCTAGAGAAGAAGGCTGAATTTATTAATTTGATAGCCTCGTATATATTATTATGCTATTTAAGTTATAATTATATTCTAAGTCAGCATAAAATCTAAAATATGCTTATTTTTTAACATTTTATTAATCAAATTCGATAAGATAAATTACGTTTCTAAGTTCTTCTTAGAACTTTCTTAATACTGTTATAAATATTCTAAGAATTAGGATAAGATTATTTTAATCAATAATTATTTAATATTACCTTCATGAAATCAAGTAACACTAGAAAACACAAGAATATCTTGTAAGCACAAATCTATGATGCCTAACAATACTAATTTGAAGAAGAAACTTAGCAATTGTAAGAAAATGGAAATTCAAACCAAAATTTCTTTGATTATTCTAAGAGGTATTGTTTTTCTTGATTTAGAATCGAAACGATTGATAGATTCTTGAAAGAACTACAGAGCCTCAAACAAATGTCTTTTTATAAAACTGAATGACTTGATGAGCTTTTATGTTTATATTTATTAGAGTTGAAATATTTTTCAGAATTTTCAACAATATCTTCTAAATTAAAAAGAAAATAAACTATTTTGGAGGACAAGTACTCAATTAAATCACTCTCAAAGATAAAAATATCAATAAATAATTTAAAATTTACTTAAAATCTGTTTATATAAGTTTTAATCAATATACTATGTTTAATAAAATTCAATATTTTTTTTGTTAAGCACTTTAGGGTCTTGCGATTCTACCAGAGCTAGAAGAAGGATCATCTTAAAATTAGAAATACCTTAGTTACTTGCTTTATTCTGATTAAGCATCGGATATTTGAATCCAACTGTAGTTCCTACGTATTTCTAATTGTCTGACGTGTAATTCACTTAGTTTGGATCTGAAATCAACAATCATTATTTACTTAGTTCATAAACTTCAGAATTTTCATAAACCAAATCTTTTGGTCTTAAGTCTCCCCTAACTAATTTAGCTTAATTCAAATCTTAGCTTTTCTAAGCTCAAACAAAATAGTTACATCTACAGTTTTAGTTAACTTGGTTTTTCCAGAACACACTAAACATCTCTAAGTGACGACTCTATGATTTCCTGTTAAGATACTCACAGTTTCTTATTGGTTTACACTGATGATATAAATACAATATACTAAAGTAATGTTTATAAATAGTTTGAGAACTCCTCTAATTCTTTCATTCCTTTAGCCAAGATGCCATAATTTTCAGCCATTGTTTTGTATTTTTCTTCCAAGGCTGTAAATTTAGCTTTAGTGTCTTCTTCATTAGCTTTTCTAAAGAATATATTAATATTCGATACTCTGCAAGTTATCTCTATAGATCAGTATTATCATTTGATGTCATTTATTTCATATACTTTCTCATTTTCTTATCAAGATCTTGTAGCCCTTCCATCTTCTTTTTCATGTCAGCAATATCATTCAATAGATTTCTTATGAACATCTCAAAGGACATATTTTCTCCACAAGCTTAACCAACTATCTGGAGTATTCTTGCTCTTAATAAACTCATTGGTTACGATATCTCCTTGTCAATAATAGAGATAATATCCTCTTTGGATAATTATTATTATTAAGGAGCCTACTTCAAAAGGTTTAGTTGTTATAGGAATCTTTGTTCATTTACATCAATTTTTCTTTTCAATTCATTTTCTAATAGTCTTAATTTATTTTCTTAATCTGTATAATCACTTTTTAACCTTTTAATATCAGCTTCTAATGAACAAACTTTATGAGGATCAATGTCACTTTTTCCCCCTTTTGCTTACCCATCAAAATTTTCAGTCTTGATTTTTAATTCCTCTATGTCTTTCCTGTTTTATTCGCCCCTATACTAACAATCGGCAATCTTATCATCCATTGATTTGATTTATGGAATCAATTTTTCTAATTGTAAAATGGCATCCATTTTTCTGGACAATTCTCCAACTTTATTTTATAATTCAACAGTTCTATCACTTAGTATTTGTTTAGTTTATTCGAATTTTTCAAGAGGTGTATATTTCTGAGAGATTGTATCATTCATTTCCTTCAATTGGATTCTTAATGTTTTGAAATTGTCTTGATTTCTTTCATCGTTGTATTAAAATTTGGCTTTTAATTCAGCCATTTCATTTTAAATTCCCTTAATACCTTCATCTTTCTATTTGGCTATGTCTCTCATAACTCTATCATAAACACCTTAACAAGAGGATTCCACAAATTTGTCATTGATTCTTTATTATAATAGCTTTTCACAATCACTTATTTTCCACAATGTTTTCTTCTCTAACTCATTAATACTTTATTGTAACTGATTTTAATTTTAAGTTGCTGATCTCTCCTAATCCTAAAATCGTTTAGTAAGTTTCTTATTTAAATCCTCAATTTGATCGGATAATTTAGTTTTTTGTTCTTTCAAGCCCTTCTCCAAATCATCTTTTAAAGCTCTTTTGGCGAGATCAGCCTCCAATTTGTTGAGTTTAGCTTCCCAATCTTTACTTCGCTTGAATAGATAAGCCATTCCTTAACTGAATACTCGCTCTTTGTTAATTACCATACATATAGCATTCTCTATTTGATCTGATCCATTTTCAGCCAATGGTTTCTCCAACTAAAAAGAAATCTATTGCTCGAATTCAGGATCACGTAAAGACATCGACTTAGCTGTTCTCTGTAAATAGGCTTCATACTATATTTTATTAAATTATATCCTACATCTTGCAATTTCAATACTTGATTCAATTAGATTTATAAGTTGTTTAGATAAGAAGAATGTCCATTAACTGTGTTAGTAACTTTCTCCAAATAACTTTTAAGTTGTTCAGCTCTTAAGTCAACTTGAAAAAGAGTCTCTTCCAATAAAAGAGTTGCTGCTTGTTGTGCTTTCATTAATTAACAAAGTTTATAAAATATTAACTTATATTTTATAAACTTATTTAGAATATTTCCCCTTTTGTTATACAAATACAATTTATTATGCTACTGATGGCTTGATCCTGAAGGTTATAATAGTTCTTTAGGTATAAATAAACCGACATTAAAAACCTTATTCTTATAATATTTAGAGCGATGAATTCATTTTTTGACTTTATCTATAAGAGTAAATCATTTAAGTTGATATGAACCTTTAGTTTCAATTAATTGTTAACTTTTGATGATCAATATTTCACTACTATAAAAAAAGATATTAAACATTTACTAAATTGAAAATGTAGAATCGTAGAAAACTCATTTGATAGTCTGAAACAGAAAAAAAGAATAACGAAATTCAAATTTATTCAATTAACTTATAAGGCTTACTTTTTTGCTTTCAAGATATCATAAGAATTTATCAATGCTTTTTGATGTTCAATTTCTAAAATACAAATTAACAATCAAAGTAAACTAATTTATTTGTTAATCACAAAAGTCTTATCTATATTTGGTCATTCCTCTTAAATTGAATAATCTATATATATCATAATTTATAACAAACAGATTTTATTTACATTCAGTAAAATCAATCGAAATATAATACTTAGCTACTTTTAATAATAAATTTTTACTCTATATAGACTGAGCAAAACTTCTTCTAGGTTTTAACAAAAAGCTTATTTAATATTATTTTAAATATATAGCAATAAATTATAGTCATTTCCAAAGTTAGTCAGCTGAAGCACATATTCCCGGTTTTCTCCTATTTATTAATTAATAAAATCCAACTGAGGTAAGATTAAATTACTTAATTAGATCCCCTGGATATTAAACATATTTGATAAACCTTTTTAAAACGTTTAGATTAAATAGAATATTTCTATATTTGAGGCCTGAAAAATTATCTTTTCTGAAATAGAATTTATAAGCTTAAGGGCTTTCAAAATCTTAGTCATCAATATACTATTTAATTGATAATTTTTGTATAATTAAAGACATATCACTAAGATATTTATCAAATTGCTTATTATTAATTTAACTTATATTTTTGCATCTTTATTCCAAAATTTACAAAATCATGCTAATTTATCTTTATTCGTTTTATTTTTCGTAGAGTAGATGAGTTTAAATTAAAAAATAAGGATAAATTTTATTAATCTATATCAATTTGTTAACAAGATATTGAAATTTCTTTTTAATTGATTTTGAATTATTATTGATAAAGATTGAGAAGAATTTTTCGCTTTCATTTTAAGGAGCTTTATTATTGATTTACTAAAATTATGTCATTGCCTTAACATTCCGTTTTTATTGCTGTTCTTCATCTATATTAAACAAATGATCAAATTTATATAGTTGAAATAGTGCAGGTTCCTCTTTTTAAATTAATAGAGCAGATTATTCAAGCCGCTTCTTATCTTAAATTAATGTTGTATTCTTTTTTTTTGTTCTGTCGTGTGGTTTCCTGGGTTATTATTAGGGATACATATGTTTCTTAATGATAAATTCTTTGTCGGGTACAAATTTGATTAATGGACATTCAATTAATTTATGAGAGTCTTTCCCACATGAAAAGCAAGAAACAGTAAAATATTGGTCATCTTAATATAAAATCATTTTATCTCGTATAGCAAAAAATAATTCTTGATCATCAGGATGATCTTATAGTATTTTGAGAAAGTTTTTCCTCTTTAAAATCATGGCCTTTGTAAACCCGACGCTTTTATAGGTCTCCTAAGACTCAGTTCCCATTATAAAGTTCTTAATACCAATAGATGCTCCTTTATTAACAATCCCTAAATTTATTTTTCTACCTTATTAAAGGGAAATTTAAATTGAGCCGTCCTCTATATAATATAGTAATATATCATTAGCAGATTTCAAATCTTATTCAGGCGTCAGAAGTACCTCCTCTACTTCCTTAATTAATTGCCTTTTGAACAGTTGGGTAAAAGGTATTTTAAATAATGTGCATTGATCAAATATTTTCTGATGAGCCTCGTTAATTAATTATTGTCTCAGAAATTCGGATAGAGAATCAATGATCTCTTTTTCTTCCTCAGATTGAGATATGACTTGGTTTTCCCAATAATATGTTAAGTACTGTCTAATTTGCATTTGCAAACCAGAAGACATAAAACTCTTATTCATATAGGAATTGATTATCCTAAGTTTCCTCTTTCTTTCTTCCGAGAATGCTGACATCTCTGTAATGATATTTCCTACTGTATTTACACTAAATGGAAGCTAAATACTTGAAATCATTATCAGAATAATAGTTACAATCTTTTCTATGTTAGACTATGGAGTTACATCTCCATAACCAACTGTGAATATAGTAACAGCTGTATAATAAAAGGACTAAAGATATTGAGTATTCCATTGTTATTCAGTCATATTAGTTGTAATAAGCCAACTCTTTCCTTCATAATTTTCTATACTATATCTTCCAATCTAATTTATATAATAATGGTTACCCAATACCAAAAGCAAGAAAACAGATGAATCACATAAAATAAAAAGGCTATCAACTTAAATAAAGCAAAAACAGAGGATGTTTTTTTTGAAATGTTCAGTCCCTCTTCGTAATTCGTTGCATAATTGATGATAGTTTTGTGATGAACCAAAAATATTAACAAACCTATATTTAATACATTGTTATTAATGTCAAGCGAGATCTCTCCATATCTGTCGATTATGAAATAGACTAGCAACTAAAATACCGATAACCACTATAAACCATATGTATTATATAAGCTGTGTTTTACTATCTTACTTCTTGATGTAACTGCTTCTCCATTTAAGAAATAAACTGTATTTAAACTGAGTAACATATCAAAAATTAAAATGAGTAGAAACAATATCGAAATGTATTTGAAATCCTGGAATATAAATTATTGATTAACCCAGGCCAAATCTATTGGGATTATGTATAAAAAGTATAGCCTGGCAACCACTGCCACAATATCCCATATTACTTTAATAAATTAGCCAGGATGGATTAAGGGTATTTTGTTCAGCTTACTCTATAATACTCCCTGTAGATTTTATAAAATTCTTAGTTGTTTTTGATTAAGGTGTGAAAATGTGGAGACCTTTCTTTTAAAAAAAAATTCATCTGATGACCCTAAATCACCAATTAAAGATAAATGAAAGTCCTTCACTTTTTTAACCTTTTGTACTTGATCCAACATATTGTCCACAAACTTCCGAATGTAATCATTCTTTTTTTCTTCTTTCATCTGCTTTTTATTATGGGTAGGGAGAAGATATTAGTCGGCATAGAATGGAGAGGATTTCGGAAATATTGATCTGCTACTTTTAATTTTGGAGCTTAGCAAATTCGATTCACTCTATTCTGAGAATAGCTTTGCTTCCATTCCATTGTTTTTTTGTTTCATATTGAATTTAATATATATAATAATCTTAACTTTCTGAAACTAAAATTTCATATTATTTATTTTGATATCCACATATAAGGAAAAAAGAAGAAATTTGAAGTATGTTTTTTATTGGCAAAATCTCCTTTTCCATTTCATCTTAAATTTTATTTAACTAAAAAATAACTTTAAATGGACCGTTGTATTTTTTATAAATATTTTTTAATAAAATGGATACTATTGCACTAAAACCATAAGGATAATTTAAAATCTATTAATTTTAATGAAAAATTTAATATTCTTTATTTAATAGAATCATTTTTTTAATTTCTTTTCTTCCTTTAATGCTTAAACCTTGACTTTGAAATTATTAATCAATAAATTTAGATTTTATTCTACAAAAACATGTATGAATGATGATATCACATATATTATCAAAGTGAATACTAAGTATTACAACACTAATTACATATAAAATTGGGAACTAATCCAAATTGAATAAAGCTTTGGCTTATCAATATTTAATATAGAAAGTAATGACTTAAATAAATGCTAAATAGAAGTTTTGAAAAGATTTAAAATAGTTGTTCAATTAATTTTGCTGATTTCATATCCAAAATTCCTGAAAATAGAATGCCTAGACATAAAATAGGCCTAGATATAGATTGATAAATATTTTAAATTAAATCTGCTACATATAATTAGTATTCTTTTATAAGAATCCAACCCAAAAGTGAAAAGAAAAATGCCAAAATTGCTATTATTTTATAGCGTGTATTAGCAAAACACTGCCTTTTATATTTCAAGCCAGTAAGCAATCCTATTAAATATGAAGACATTTTATATTAAGGTTTTTGATAGAAGTTGTAATAAAATTGTTTATCTGTCATAGCGTAAAAAGATATCTTATAATTATTTTGAATGCAGATAGCCATACTATAGAGCAGCACAGTAATAATTAAAAAAAAGATATAATTTGATAAATCTTAGATGCTATTTTTGTTTGTATCTGAAGTACCTTTTGATTTCAAGAAACATGATCTCTAAATAATTTAACACTTTAACTTACAATCAGATGAATTGTTGGAATAGATAAACACAAGAATATTAGGGTTTAGATTTCCACAGCTATGTACCAACTCCACTCAAAACAGCCAAATTTATTGAAAATATTGTGTGTCAAAGTACTAACATATGCAATATTATCCATACAATTTTCTGTATATCCAACATTAGTGAATAATTTTGGTAATATGATGTAAATAATCAGAAGTATCCAATATAAGGGATATATCCTCATTATTCTATCTAATATCATTAACATAGACTGAATAGGAGACAACAACAAGTTTGGATTAGTTAGTAGTTTCTTTCCAAGTATAAAACCTGAAATAAGGAAGAAAATATCAACAGCATATAAGGAGTTTATCATGATTATCATAAAATTGCTATTGATTATACTTTGTCGATCATTTTATCCAATTAATATTCCATAATGACTCATTGAAATTGATAACATGGCTAAGATTTTGAGGAGATTAAGAGAGAACATCTGATTAGGTCTATATTGAATAAGACTTGTAATATTAGTTTATATCATTTTATTAAATTAATTGATTTGAATTTTAATAATGGTTGATTGAGGAGTTGATAAATGATTTTTAAATAATTAAATTCTTCTTAGTAATTAATAGTGTTTGTAAAAGAACGTGTTTATTAAATAATTTAATGATTAAGAATTACGGAGACAGATATCATCTTATCGACAAAAAGGCTTTGGAAGATAAGAAGCTAGATAAGGACTAACTAGTAGAATTTGTAAGAACATCAGGGATAAGTGACATTGGAAAAAATTACAATATTGTGTCAATTATAGGTAGTCAAAGTACAGGGAAAAGTACATTGCTTAACTAGCTTTTTGGAACAAAATTTGATGTCTAGAATAGGTAATAAAGCGTTGGTTAAACAACTGTTGGTATTTGGCTCTCCAAAGATGTCTAAAATAATGTTGTAGTATTGGATGTGGAAGGATCCGATTCTGTTGAGCGAAAATCAGGAGAAAATGTAAATGATCATAATTAATACATAGATGGTTGAAAATCAAACGGCTTTAATGGCATTGGCGATGTCACATTGCTTTATTATCAACGTTTTTCTTAATGCTTTAGGTTAACATACAAGTTGCTAATTATCCATAATCAAGATCATTATGCAATAGAATTTGAAACTATTTCAATAAGACACAGTCAAGCACATTATTTTTGTTGTAAGAGATTGGGATGAAGATGCAAATTATGAGGAGGCGTCTCGTAGATTGAATGGTTATTTGTTGAATATATGGAATGAGATTCCCAAAGTAAGAATTCGATCTACAATAATAGCCTGATCACTATAAGGAGACAGATTTCCATTAATTATTTAGTGTTTAAGTGGTTACACTAGTTTATTACAAAATGAAAAAAGAGTTTATTGAATAAACAAATGATCTTCATGCAAAATTATCCAATTAGCAAGATCCCAATTTCATTTTTAAAGATTTTGATTATGAGAAAAATGTGAGATGGTCAGACATGCCACAATATTTATCCAATATTTGGGAGGTCATTTCAAATAATAAGGATTTGAATTTACCAAATGAGAAGATTCTGATTTCTAATATGAGATGTTAATAAATCAAATTGGAAGCATTGGATGGAGTGAAATAATTAAATGAAGTATAATTGTGATAATCTAAATATAGGATTTGTAAAATAGAGTAAGAACAAAATTAGTTGATAATTTTGCTCAAGAATGCTAAACCATTATGAATCTAGCTTTTAAACTTTATGACAAGGATGCTAGAGATTATCACATTGAAGTGTACAAAGAGAAAGAGAAAGAGTTGAAAGATGAACTGGTTAATAGATTCTATACTTATTTCTAAAAATAGACCGAATAACTCAAGCAACACTATATGAATACGTTAACAGAGAATTTGGAGACATTGAAGAGAGAAAGTATTTAATTTAATGATTGGATTAGGTATCTACAATTTACCTGATAAATTAAACGAATTGGATCTGTTCAAATTGCAATTTGAAGAACAATTAGCAAAATCCGTAATTCAAAAGGGATTATGGTAAGAGGAAGACCATATTAGATATTTTAGATAATAATTTGATAATCAATTGAAGGCATTTGTAGAAGCCCAATTAGCAACTTTTAAATAATAATTGGATAATATAATCAAATCTGAATGTGACAAAATAGTAAGTTCTTAGGTTCTTAACATCTCAAGCAAATTTTGGTAACAAATAGAATCTGACTATTATGCTATGATATCTGAGAAATATTAAAAATACGAGGTGTTGTTAACAGGATTGAGAGTTCAATAGAAATAGATTGAAGATTATTTGAATAAGTTTGAAGAAGATAGTTTCCATAATCTCAAATAAGTAATCGCTGTTGCCAGTGGCAGATTTAAAGATTAATTATTCTAACAATTCAAAGCTTAATTCGTAAGAGCTCCTGATGGACAACCAAGAAACTGGTAAAAATTAACAGAAGAGGAAATCTTCCATTGCTATACAGATGCCAGAGATAAGGTGTTCTAATTATTAGATTCGTTGAGAATCAGAAAAATTAAGTTCATAAGACAACAAGTAGTATTAAAGAAAAAAGCCCAAACTCTCATTATTTCTTCGAGTCAGAAAGTGTAATATCAAATTTCCTCAGATGCCGATTCCGATGACGTTGTTCTTAACGATGTCTTTTATACATAAGTCAAAATGCAATTGGCAGAAGATATCGATGTCTAATATCAAGATGCCATTCAAAAACATGTACAAATAAATATTGACTATTTCCTTAGAAATAAGATTTCCTGTAAAACATTCCAAAACCATTTTGGTTCTTGTTGTTATTCTTTATGTACGATGATGTATTAAGATGGATGGGCAATCCATTATTCCTATATCCAATTTTGATAATCCTATGCTTTGTAGGATTTTGCATCGCCATAGGTACAATATTGATCTCTATCATTATTAGGTCTCCATAGTTTACCTAAATTGGCATTTTAATGGGTCTTTAGAACATTGAATCAAGCTGTTATTCCAATAATATTTGGAGGGATTTCAAAATTAAAGGGAAGTTGAATGATTATTTTAATAATCTATAATAAATATATTAAATGTTAACAAAAAGTGCAAAAGGCGACCAATTGCATTAAACCATTACTACAGTATGGTTATCATAATAAATCCTAGATAAATTATAAATCGATAATCACATCAGAGAAAAGATCAGGTGAGATTCCATAATACATGAACAGTAAATGTAAAATAAAACTGCGCAAGGAAAAACTTTACTTGCCCTATCTACACACAAGAGAACCCTCTCTCCCAACCTTGAAATCGCCTGCTAATAAACAGCAACAACTAAACAGCATGAGTTGGATATCATTAATTTAAGTCTAAAATAAGCCAAGAGATAGGTCCATTTCAATCGCCAATGAGACTTATTTCCAAAGAACTAGATAAGTGAGTTTCTTAGAGAATCTATTAAAACAACTAAATAAAAATAAAAGATAATCTTGAATTTTGATAAATACATATGACTTTGTAAAAAGTGTTTCTGTTAAATGAATATCAATTGTGTATCCAATCTAAATATTTAATGTTCTCTTAGAAATCGAAGTAATTTTAGTGGAATTTTACTTTTTACTAACAAATAGCAATTATTAATAAAATAAATTGATGTACAAATAAACATTGTGTATATATAGTCCATCGTCATTTTTTTGGAGAAGGAGAACTAACATTATCATTGTCCTCCTGTTAAAGTTTCTCTAGAAATCTTTCAAAATCCTTCATTCGAATTTTCACAGTTGAAATGCTAGACGTCGATCTTTGAGTCATTGATCGATGGGATAGAAGCTAGACAATGTGATATAAAATTGATACTGATAATAAACTGCTATTTCTCCTTATTGATTTTTTGTTTTCTGCTCTAAATAGATTTCTAAAAGTATCGAAATCCAAACTCTCATTTGAAACTTCTAATTATTCCAACAATTCATCAATGTCAAAATTCAATTCGAATTCAACTGATAATATTTCAATTATTTTATTTTTATGTACATAGCCACTTGCATCTGGTTCACCTCCCAAAGCTACAAATGCATCAACTACAATCATCACATAATTAATTACTAAATTCGCTATATTGTATTTATTCCTCATTTTCCTTTTCTTTGCAAACCAAATCCTTACAAACCCTGGTGATATACAATAAAGTTTAAAAATCTAGTTTCGTTGTGTTTCTATCCTCCATTTCCTTGAAAATCTTCTCCTTGCAATTGTCATTTATCTCAAAACCAAATTCTAATCAAATAGTTGTCAAATACCTTTCAACAAATCCATCATATCATGATAACTTAAGAATCCAACCTTATTATAATCCATACGTTTGAACATTTTCATGAGCTAGTCAATTTCATTCTTTTGCAAATCGCAACTTGTTGTATATTTTAATAAAGAATTGTAATCTATCTGAACACTTTTGATATTGCTCTAATGGATTTTTTGTGATGCTTATTGTTCTACAACTTATAAACTATTCACATTATTATCCATTTCAAAAAAACCAAATATTATTTTATAAAACCTTCAATCAAAAATGACAATGCTTAAAATATAAGTCATAAATTCAATGCTCTAATGGTTATCCAAGAAATTCAATTTATTTTAATTCGATCTTAATACAATACATGGCATCATAGAATATGTAAGAATAATCTATTAATCCATAGAATAATAATTTTATTGTTAATTTTTAATTATATTTTTTATTACTAATAGGTTCTGTATGCCAAAAGTAAATTAACTCAATGGAAATTCATAACATAATAGCAAAAACTCAATGAATAATTAAAATGCAGTGTCCCTAAATAATAAATTACCCCATTCTTATGAAATCGAGTGTGACAGAAAAGATTGCATGATGGTGAAGTTGAATGGAATTCAGATGCAACATTAATTATTTCTTCTTAAAAAAGATCTCGATAAATATAAAGCTTTGTATGTGAATGAAAGAAAGAAAATAAGTGACACCTATAAGGAAGTTGAAGAAATCATGGATGCCCTTTCTAAAAAGGAGAAGGAAATTAAAATTAAAGAGATGCAACTTCTCGAGTTTGAACAAACCCTGTTAAAAAAGAATATGCAAAATGATAGTGTAAGTGAATCTCTGCAAAATTTAAATAAAAAATTAATTGACAAAGAATAATAACTAGCTGAAAAAGAAAATCAAATTAATCTTGAGGCTAAAAATCAATATCGACTAATTGATGACCTAAACAACCTAAAGACCAACTTAGAATCTTCAGTTAAGTTTTTAGAATAAAAGGAATCACAGCTATTTGCAACTCTTCAATAGTTAAACCAATAGGAACAAGAAACTTTGTAGAGAGTCGATCATATCAACCAATTTATTTCAAACTCAGATCAACATCTTTCAATGATGGAATCAATCGAACAATTATTCAAACAGAAAACCCAGAATATTGATCAAATAAAACAATCAGTAACTTAAAAATAAGAAGAACTATAGATGTTTGAATAGCAATTACAACTTAAGAGTGTTTGTGCTTCTTTAAATGAAGCTACTTTTATGAAAAAGGTCGCCTAAACTGAAAGAATAGTTTTAAAGACACCTACATAAGATACCAATAAAAAAGGCCAACCTAAATCTAATAAATGTAATACATTTTCAAACCAAAAAGTGTATAAAATTTAACAGAATAAACTATTTTCAACTATAAGCAGTAGAGAAAATAGTCCAATCTCTAACAGAGAATCATTTAAAATAATTAATAAACCTTATTTCTAAAGTTAGAAGCCAATGCAAGAAATCAATAATTTCAACATTAAATATGATACTATAATATAAAATTGACTGTTTTATAATTCCTATGCCATTTTACTTTTATCTCTATTTACTTTTTATTAACTTCTTTAATTATATCAATTTATCTGTTTCAAAATGCTTGTTTACATAATCAAATTTGATTATGTTGCAAGGATATCTAAAAGGAGTAAATATATTATTAAACTTCAGAGTTTCAATAATACTCTTTATAAAAAGTTTTAACAACTATTATTTTGTTTCATCAAAATTCTCAATAAAATGAATGATTTGAGTTCAATAGTTTTGAATGTTGTTTAATAACAAGATCTCTAAGATTTAAAACTTTTAATCTTAATAGTATAGCAAACATAAATCTCTCTTTATTTATTTGTAGATCAATAAAAAATATTCGATACACAGCTCTTTTGTTTATTAATGTTTTAGTCTAAATACTTTATTTATATTCGCATATTATTAAAATTGAATCTGGAAAATGAGGTTAAATATAATTAACCTTAAATTTGAACTATTAACTTGTTTTCTTATAAATATCTATTTTGAATCAACAAACCACAGTTTTGAAATCAAATACTATTGATATAAATTTACTATTTTAAACTTTTAGATAAGGTTATCTTGCATTCTCTTGATTAAACATATTATAGAAGTATTTTGCCATCCTACACATACTGATCTTATTTTTTAGTAAAAAATTAGGATAATACATGCCTGAGGGAAATTTAAGTAACTCTAATTAACGCTATTATAATAATTTTGTCAAATTGAGTTCTGCAAGAATTTGACAGTGCATTTATTCTTTTATTTTGAAATTGACTACCATTTATATATTATAAATATTCTTTCATGATGAGATGGTTGAATATAGCATATGAGAAAACTAGAAATGTATCTAATATTGGATTATTTAAAGAATTTTTAGCGCCAGAATGTAATTTCTATATCGATGATCTAAATTCTAATTTTTTATCATTAAAAATTTCATTCATTTTAATTAATCTCATATTATATTTTATAATATTATATAAAGATTAGATTGGAGAATAACTCAAATGATTATTTGATATTCTATTTTAATTGTTACTAGAGGAGATTAAAAACAAAGAGAAATTGTTGGTAATAATTAAATAAGCTCATATTTTTCCTGACGATATGATATTTGTTTAAAACAATGTTGAATGGCTAAGATTAATTTTAGCTACATTGATTTGTATTGAAGGTATTTGTAAACGGCATTTTTGATAGATAGAAATGTTGAATAATTCTTAGAATTTGCAAAGGACAAAATCTATAATTAGCATTTTTTATTTTTGTTTTCCATAGGGATCCAACTCAATATCTTTTCTAATTAATATGTTTCAAGAATATATTTAAAATAATTATTGCAATAGGGAACGAAAATTAACAACTTTAAATTCATTTAATTAATTTTATTATATTAAATAATATAATGATAAGTCGAGACACTGGGTTCTAAGATCTGGAGAGTGGGATTTAGAGCAATAATTTATCGTCAGGACAATTGGTGGATTTGGAATAAAATAGCCCAATTAATGGACAATAGTTAGATCCAACTCTAGAGTTTTCTTAATTATAATAACTCGAAGCTCTAAGAATGAAGAGAGATATTTTTGACTATAGTCATAAGCAAGCATTAAATTTAGGAAATAAATCGGATATAAATGAGGAAGATTGTTTAATGAGTAATCTCAGGTAAGAAAGTATAATAAAGTAGTGGAAAAAGAAGTGAACCATAAGGTTCGATCAGTTCTATAAGCTGTAATATAAAGAAGCAGAAGCTTACAAAACCTCCTAAGCAGAGGTCAAATAAAACCATTTAGTTCTAATAAAAGCTAGATTAAGATGATTTTGTGATTGGATCAGCAAAAAATCAAAGCGGCACTAATATTTTAGGAATAAAATCAGATGCTAAGATAGTAAAATATTAGACATTCGTTTAATAATTGGAGGAGGAGCAGGAGTAAAATGAGAAAAAAAAAATAGCATAAATACATCGTGATACAATCAAACAATAATCGTTAGTTTTAAGAGGGAAGAGTCGGGAAATGAAAACAGGGTATTGACATTAAATAATTAGAAAGATTAAATGAAGTTTGGTCATAGAAAGCGTTAATAATTATTAGATTAGTATCTCGTTTCATCTAGCAATTAAAGACGAAAACAGAAAGAATAAAATTTAGGCTAATAACTTAAAGAATATTTGAAGTCATCTGCGATAATAGTGCGAATTTCGAATATATGTTAATAAATAGATTAATCAAGCAAAAACCAAGCTTAAGATTAATAATATTTCACCAATTTTAAAGTCGAGCTCTAACAATGTTAAACACTTTAGAATCTGTTAACGACTTTCTGAGTAAATATATCAAAGTCATAAAACCTGATAGTTTGTTTAAGATAGTTTGGGACATTGTCCTATTATTATTTATTGTTGTTAACATATTTTATATTCCAATTTACATTAGCTTTGATGTGAGATCATCTGGTTTATTTGAATGGATATTTGATTTATTGCCCTCATGGGTATTTATTGCAGAAATCCTATTAAACTTCAACACTGCATATTATGATAAGGGATTGATGCATGAAGATAGAAAACAAATCATGAAGCATTATGTAAAGGGTAATTTCTTTTGGGATATCATTGTTGTGATTCCATTTTTGATTTCTTATTTGGATATCCCATTTGTCAGATATACGTTATTATTGCGGCTTACACGATTATCACCCTTAATGACAAGTATTGAGGAAGTGCTGAATTTGGAAGTAAATAATGTTTCTATAAAATATAGGACAGTCTTTAAATATTTCTGGACTTATTAAAATTAATCTTCTTTCTATTATTAACTGGCCATTTTTGTGGATGTGCCTGGCATTGGGTTGCAATAATCGAATATCAAAATTATGGATAAGAAATAACTTGGCTTACTCATTATGAACCTAATGCTATGAACTATGAATGGTTTGATAGATACATAATCTCCTTATATTGGAGTGTGATTACTACTGTTACTGTTGGTTATGGTGATATCGTTCCAGTGACTACAGTAGAGAGAGTTTTTGTTATAGTAGTGACCTTGTTGATTTGTGGAGTGTTCGGTTATTGCTTATCTAATATTGGAAACATATTTAAACAAATCACAGATAAGAAGGCTATATACAAATAAAGAATAAGAGAAATCAATTAGCACATTAGGAAGAGGGGTCTTAGTTATAATTTGCAATTAAAAGTAGAAATACATTTAAAAATCTTAGGTCAAAAAGTATTTTGAATATTTCTTGAAGGTGAAGCAAGAGGAGGATCAACATGCAGAGCAATTTATAGAACAACTAACTAAACATCTTCGAGAAGAAGTCTTAACTGACATCTATAGAAAGACACTCAAACAATCCAGATTTTTAAGGGAAAATTTCAGTGAAGAAATTCTGAATCGATTATGTTAGATAGTGAAAGAGACAAAATTATACCCAGAATAAGTACTTTTTTAGAGGAATGACTCTCCTAAGGCATTGTGGTTTATTCTGTCAGGAGCAGTTGAGTATGTTGCCGATCATTAAAGTATTTTAATCCCTTAAATTCCTTAGATGAAGATGAACACTATTACACTGAAACATTCTTAAAGAAACTAACTCAAGGGTATCATATTTAAGAATATCAATTAGAACAGTGATTGGTGAAAGAGAATTCATATCTCAAACTCCATATGAATATAATGCTAGAGCTACTAAATTTACTTAATTGTTAGTTGTCGAGTAACTATATATCTATAAATATGATTAGTTATTAACAATTCTATTTAATTTTGTAAGAAAATAATGATGAATTTGAAAAGTATTGTTTAGCCAAAGATAATTTATTGTTTAATAGCAATTATAAAGCATTTGGCTAAATTTGTGAAATTTGTGGATGGACTCATCGATTTATTTAGTAAACTTTATTCACAAATGCTTAGATGTCCTTTCGTGTTTTTATAACCAAATAAAAATAAAATAGCTAGTTCCTTTGTTTCAACTAAAACAAATAAGAGATTAGCATTTCCATATAGGACACTTCCAAAAACGAATTGGAGAAATAATGTGCCTGAAGTATAAGAGGCAGCTTTAGGCTACATCGTATTAAACAATATCATACCAGAAAAGTACTTATTATATCATCATTCAAGAGAAATAAATGATAATTATCTCGTTAATTTGGGTTTTGAACTAAATGAGAGGGAAGACGAACTCTCCAAAATTGTACCCAATAAAAAAAACTCGGTGTCCAAAGATCCAAAAATCTTATCTCAATATGATAACACGTCTCTATAATAACCTATCTAATAACCCTCTATATAAACTGTCTTGCAAGATTAGAAGTCACAAAATTAGACTGCTATGTTTCACAAAGATGGATAAAAGATAAATCTGACAAATGTAATTTAGATGTTTAATCTTTAGGAAAGCATTATTGATTGGGATTAAGGAAGTTAATTACGAAAAAGCATGAATAGAATCAAATTTTAAGGACTTGATAGAGGAAGAACACTCTAATCAATTAAGGGAAAACATCATCAAAATAATGGAGGAGGAGTCGATATATTAGAAGAATCCATGATCTAAGAAGAAGTCTAGATTTAAAATACCAATGTTGGATCATAAAAATTTATTCACAATAAACTTAAAATGGTGAAAAGCAAGCATAATAATCAAAATGCAATTGGAATTAGAAAAGTATCGTGGCTTGAGTTCGATAGTGGGCCCAATTAATATTAAGGTTTATAAATCTCTATAACTTGTTAGATGGGAAAGTTGGCCAACAGCTGTTTAATAAATAAATTAGCAAAGGAAGCGATACGAACTTCGATTAACCTCCTCCTGTAAACTAATGTGAAAATGAAATCAAATAGAGAATCGAAGCCAGAGAGAATAGCATTATTTCCAAGAAAACAAATACTAAGTAACAAATAACTTCATTTCTTAGTATCGATATAAATAGAAGAAAAAAACGAAGAAAAACTACTTAACTTTTATAATTTTTTTAAGGTATCGATGGTGGAGATAATAAATCAACAAAAAAGGTTGATAAAAGTCTATTAGGAAATGATGTGTACAGTTCTAGTCTGTATACAAATGGAGGACCTAATAATAATACTGGCTTAATGGATTCGAATAATAAAGATAATAATAATGCAGATAATAATAGTGTACATGTTGCTCATTCATTCGATGGAATTTAAAAAAGAATCTAAGATATTGTTCATGTCCATTTTGAAATGGAATTGGATAGATATAAATCATCACAATATTATTTCCCTGATTACAATGTAGAAATAGTATTAGAAAAAATCGCTGTGTATTATGAAAAAGTTAATGATAAAAAGTTTGACATGAGAGAAATGAAAAGAACAAAAACCAATCTCACTCTATTTGATAGAATTAGATAAGCAAAAAATCCAACTATTAGAGGAACTTTTGTGGATAAATCCCTTTAAGAAAATGATTGAAATAAAGACTTAAATGGCACTTTTTTCAAAAGTTATTTTAAATATGTTCTTTCATACAATATTGAAATTCATCTATAAAGTTTTATTTTATAAAAAACCAGGGACTATTTTAAGACCAATTTTTTCTTGATTTTTGTCTAAATTCGTTATTATGTATATTCTAAGATAATTTTTAAATCTAATCTGTCATCAAACTCATATAACAAAAAATATAGAGTAAAATTGCATTAAGAATTTTATAAATGAATATTATATTCTAAAATATTTAATCTCATTAACTATTGATACAAATATATATTAACTATTAAACACTCATCATAATAATTTAGTATCACTATTATATATCAATTAGAACCCTCCAATTTTCTTTTTAGTTTTATTTTAGTTATCCACAACAACTTTGACTATGTCCTCTAGCATTTTAGGTATAATTTAAGCAGTGACTGGTGTTGTTGTATCACTTGATGGTGACATATTAACCTCTATTAGCCAAGAATTGAATTAATCATCAATCATAAAATCATACCCATAAACTTCAAAGGAACGCTTTCTATTTTTCAATTAATCACTACAACACCTTAAACTATTGATAACAATTTCCTTGAATTTTGGTTGTATTCTTTCGCCAAAAACATCCCAACCAAACTCTTCTATCAAATACTATTAAAAGTCATCTTGAGTCCACATATTACCTTTAATTTCTGACTTATGAAACTTTTGTGAATATTTGGCAATAGCATTGTTGGTCAGATGAGCAAATCTATTATGAAATTGATCAATATCAAATTCTTCAGCTGAAAATCTCACGTAGCATTCATTATAGAAATATATTTTTAAAGGCACCAATTCGGTTACTAATATCCATTGTCTTATATCAAATTTACGATTCTTAATAATCAAAGGGTTTTCAATATACTTCATAGCAACATAATTCATAGTTTCCTTATTTACGTTATCCAAAATTTAATTAAGATCATCAAGACATCTTATGCCTCTTCCTCTAGAGGAATATTCAGGTTTTACAATCCAAATGTTTCTTGTTCCTTAAAGAGAGTTTTAAGGATTCTTACTCAATTATTTGAGCAACTCCTTAATTTAAGGAACATACTTTTGGAGAAATTAGACACCTTCATAGTCTTCATATCCATTTTACTTTAGTTGTTAATCTATGTAATCCTAGATTAAGATTTCACGAGGTTTTTCTGGATCTTTCAAAAGTACAATCCATTCCCCAGGATGAATGAATGGGTATTCATCTTTGAGGATACTCTTAACCATATTACTTAAGGATTTGTTGACTCTATTCATAACAACTAAGCAAAGTCTAATTCTAAATCTCTATCTAAAGGTTAGCTAATTAATATTGAGAGGTTGTTGTTTTTCTTCTTTGATTCTTAGAGTATTGTTCTAATCTTCGAGTTTGTTATTATTGCTTTGATAAAATTCTGGTCTTAATGTATTATTCTAATCATCTATTTCTTCATTCGGTTCTGAAATGATTTAATTCTAAGTTTGAGTTTACAAGCTTTATTCGAACTCTAATAAAATGCTCTGTATTTTGGATATTTTAAAATCCTCAATAAAGTCTGAAAAATCAACTAAATCACCTAGATCATAACATCTAGGAAAGAATGATTCCCAGTTATTAATGCATCTGATATTTCTGGCCAATCCATATTTTGAGCATAGACATTAATTGCAATCGAAATGATTAATTTATTGGAATTCCATCAGATTCATAAAGTCATCACTTCTCAAACTACAAGTCCATTTGAGATCAAAGAAGGGACTATAGGCGTCATCATTTTCTGCCCAATTTCTTTCAAGTAATGCATCTCGAAGTGCATGATATCCACTTGTAATTATAAATACCTTCTGATTCGGAGCAACATTGTTTTTCTTCTTCCATGTGGGATAATCTTGAATTCCTCTAGCACTTATTTTTTTCTTCTTAGGCGTATCATCTTCTTCGTCCTATTCAAATTCTCTTTGGCTATTTTTTATAGCAACTGATTTCTTTTTGGGAGTGTATTTTAACAATTCAAGCTAAATTTACACTTTCAAATAATTATAAATTTTATACATAGCATTTTAAAAGTGCTTCTATACTTGTAACGAACTTTATTGCTTAAAAATTTTTTAATTTTTTAGAGGTGCTCCTCTGCATTCTCCTTCGATTGAATAGAAACTCTTATTAGTTTTAAATCATCCTTAGCTATTTTATCAAAATAATAGTCTTTTTTTCCCATCAAAACCAATAATTGAATCAAATTATATCGCAGAGGATTGAAGTCCTCGTTCTTCTATTAAGGTTCCTCTATCAATGGTGCTAATTTCTTTTATGTTGTTAAAGCTCTTTATTACAATTAGGGTTCTTCAATGTTATCATCCAATTTCTTCAAAGTCTTTAATTGTCCTCTTATTGGCTCTTTCGATTTCGACTTTATAAGCTGTCCTTTTGCTTTGATTGATTAAAACATTTTGAAATTCATATTAATGCTAGCCTTATTCCCTTAAACATTGAAATAAGATGGACGAGTGTCTAACATTTTTAATTAGTATAATTTTATAAAAATCAATAATTTCAATTATGTTCCCCTAATTTCCGAGATATTAGGTATTTATTAACAATATATTAATTATTAATTACAATAGAAGGAGTGTAGCTCCTCCTCCTTTTGTTGTCCTTCTTTGAACTTGCTATCATACTTAATTTCTTGCTTAGCACTCCTATCTATTAATTGTGTTCTCCCATATATTTTAATGTATAAAATCCTTTCATAGGTTCCACAGTATTCGAAGCCTATTACAAAGGCGAACAAACCCATCTGCTATATGTGGCTCTAAATTCACTAGAATTTGGACGACAACCATGTGCTGAATGACTTCTTTATACATCATTCATTTTAGGAGTTTCCATATAGAACTATTTCCCTTTTTCATTGAAATTGTTGAGTTTGATTTTAGGCTAATTTGCAGAAGGCCATATTTGCCTATGCTGAATATTTCGAATCAATGGACTTGGACTTATTGGTTTGGACTCTTCAAATGAAAAATCGACTTTAATAGGTTTCTACTTCTGATTATTGGAACAGAATCTATGATTGTAAAACCCCTTAGACGTTACCTGGTTAATATATATGAACTGATTTACTTACAAGGCTATTATACATTTTATATATATAATTATGTAATCAATGTTTGGATGACAATCATTTAGTTAATTACAACACTAACAATAAGAAAAATAACAATATATTTATTGGTATTCGGTTCATATCATACTCAAATGTTTATCTATTGATAGGCTTAGATTGATCTTCGCTTTCTTTCTCTGACAAGTTCTTAGGTAGCAGTCCATAAGATTTTGATCTTTTTGGATTATTCATCATTATCTGATAATGCTTTTGGTAGTTTTTCATTAATCATTTTGATAACTTCCTAGATTTCTGCATCTTTGAACTAAATGAATGAAATTAAAAGAATACCTCAACTTATTCAAAGAAGTAGAAATATTTATTCAAAATTTAAATAAATACATATACAAACTTTGGATTGTTGCCTATACTTTGATTAGCTATTTTAATTGCTTTCTTGAAGCATTCTTGAACTCTCTAAGCATTTTTAATGTGATCATTATAGAACATATGAGCAGCATTCAAGACACCAATTGCTTATTCATTCTTCTTTAATAGTTTGGCAGCTTATTGAGTGGCATTTCCAGCAAGAGTGTCAAAGTTTTCACCACTAATACAATTTAATTTAGCAAAGGTGGACATAATTTGATTTAGTAACACCACCTTCACATTGGAATCTCCAATTTCATCTTAAAATATAGTGATAATTTGAGTTGCAACATCGTAAGAGAATTCATCAAACTCTTAGGCCTAATCAACAATATTGATGCATAACAAAAAGTTTAGGTTGAGTTTCAAGGCTAATTCAGGAAAGTGTCCTTATAAAACATCAATCAATCCTCTTATTTATTCAAATAACACTTTATATTAGGTTTCTTCTAAAATGAATAATTTTAACATATATTACATGTTTATGGTCCTCCTTAAGTGGCTATCAATTAAATCAATTTAAACAATGCAAAAATGGCTGCTGGGTAAGTATATTTTTATCTGGTGATTTCTCCTTGTTAGAATTTAGCTATGAATTATTATAAGATAGTGTTGTGAATTGCTAAATCTCCATTTTAGACTAGATGGACAGTTCTAGCCACTAATTATTGTTCCTCTTCAAATTCATTTTCTGGGATTTCAACATAATCATTCTATGTAATTAAGAGTGGCTAAATGAATTTGAGTAATTCTCCAGTGATCTTTAAATCGTCAATTACTTAATTCAGATTAACAACAGCCTAACAAATCTTAATTGCAACTTGTCTTCTTTTTTGGAATGGAAGATGTTTCATAAGATTTGGATACTCATTCATTGTAAGAATGGATAAGCTCATGGTATCCAAAGGCATGGCAAGAAACTTAACAATATTTTTTTAGCACTCTTCTGTGAAATCTGTTTCGTTTTATCTTTCGCATAATCTACAACAAGATTTAAGAATGTCATTAACGTATTCTGAATTGTTGGGATAACATCTTAATGTGAAATTGAGGAAAGCCACTTATAAATCTAATAGATTTTTGAATTCAATTTGACTGTTAGAATCTAACATCTAATATATGATATTTGATATTTGTTACTTTGTCAATATTTTATTTGAACATACTATAAATATCCACTTCGGAATTGAATGTGCCCATATCATTATTCAATGCAAAATCAGCCAATCTGCCCATAAGATTGATGAATATATTTTTGATATCCACTGTTGGTTCTAATTGAGTTGTACAAACCTTCAAAAGTTCTTAAAGTGTTTGCAAATGATACTCATCTGGAAATGCTTGAATTGTGCAATCCATCAAGTATGTTTGGGATATAGCATCTTTGCTGCTTGTGATGATATCAATGATTTTGGGTAAGACCTTTGTTTTATAGGTGTCCAATGAAACACCTTCCAAATTGCTTAATCTTGTAACGTTCTCTCCAATGGTTACTTTGAGATCTAGTCTTTCCCTTTCTCTCTTTGATTTGTCTTTTGAACCCTACATTCTAATCCATAATTTGTTCATCTCTGATAAGTTTCTTATAATGATTTCAATAGCATCATCAATATTTCCTCCTGTACCTTCGTATTCAGAGCCTGTGTCTGGAAGTCTGTCTTTGCACAATTTAAGGAAATAATATCTGATAAACAATCCTCTCAATGGATGTTGAATAGCCTAGCATAAACCTTGAGATTACCTTAATGCACTCTAATAAGTCGAGGAGAATCACTTTGGCTCCAATTTCATGAGTTTATATGAACACAGATCCGACTGTGATTAGTAAATATAAACGTGGAATGACGTATGTGGCATGCTAAACAGATTCATATAAGTCTGGCATTTTTCTGCCTCTTCTATATTCTTCTTTGAAGTAATTTTCCAAAATACGCATCTCATCGAAGACCTACATAAACAAGATGTAATAATTTCTTGGACTCAAAAGTGATGTTTTCAATTCACTCAACATTGCCGACGAATATCTCAATGCATCCTTTAATTGAGCCTTCTCCAAAGATGCTCTCATGAAATAGGCTTATTCTTTGACTACCTTACGAGCATCTTCCAAGTACTTTTCTTGATCTTCTTCCATATTATTTAAAGAATTTAATTTTTAATAAATCTCTCAGTCAATATTCTTACTTAAAACACACATCAAAGATTTATTTGATAAATAAAAACTTTGTATTCTATATGATAAATATTTTATTTAAAACAAGATCAATAGTATTATTAAGAATTTGGATTCCCACTTAGAACTTTGTAGATTACCTTTTTAACACAATCCATAAGTTTTAAGAAAATCAATTGAAAATATAACTAAAAAATTCTCTAACCATTTAAAATAGAAAGCCTTCATATCAATAAATTTAATTTTTTTGTTTACTCTATATGTTTAATCTTATTATTTTTCTATCAATATGGTGTTTTTGGCTAAAAATATTAATATAATTTTCCTTTTTTATTTTTACTCGAAATTAGATTATAATAATTACTTTAAATTAGAAGTTTATGTCTAGCTAATGCCATTTTGTCCAAAAATATAATAAGGTTTCAGGAAAACAAACTAACCTCATTCAAGGGCAGCTCAAAAATGATTTCCTTAGAAATTTTCCATCGGTTTAAATGCCTTACTATCATAGAGTGCACTTATATCAACTCCTTTTTCCGGCAAATCTTTAAGTGTGATATACTCTCCAGAAACTCAAAAACTTAATGAGAGAATATAAGAAGAACTTAGTCAATTAGATGAAGTACCCATCTATCACTTTCCTTAGATGTATAATAGAGAGGAGGATAAGATGTAATACTAAGTTTAAACTATGTAGTTTTTTGAAAGTAAATTATATTAATCTATAGGGCCAAGAATCCTAAATGCTTGAAGCCATATTGAACTACAAGAGAAAACGCTGGGATATGATCCTACCAATCAATGAGTTCATCTCAGAGTAGAATTGTCAAGGATTTTGGATTCTCAAAATTATTGTAATCAATATTATTTACTAGTTTAAGACTAAAAAATTCATAGAACTCAACAATTATGATAATTCCAAAGAACTAATGAACTTTTGTTTGAAACTATTAAATAGAAATCTTAATATAAATCACGGTATTCTTTGTCATAATCACACATAGATGATATAGTTCAATAATTAGATGGATGCATTCGAATAAATCCTTATTGCTTATTAAAGAAAAGCTCCATTAAACCATCCATCTCCAATCTTCTTTCAAACCTACTCTTTGAGCATAAAATCTCAAATCATTTAGAAATTTTCCATACTCTTTTTAATGATTTTGAGAACAAAGATCTTGACTCCTTAAAACAACATATTAATTTAGATAACTAATTTAAGTATCTAAAGGAGATACTAATAAATAAATTATTAAGAATAAGCAAATGAGAATTTTGAGCTTATATAAAATTTTGAAATTTTGAAATCCACATTATAATCAAATATTATTTTCCAGATAATTATAGAATAAAAATTTATTAAAGAAATTATCTCCCTAAGTATTAAATGTTAATTAAAATGATCAATTAATTAATCCAAAATCAACATATTAATTATATACATTAATATAATTAAAGAAACATTAATATAATAGTGAGTAAAATTAATAACAAAAGAGTAAGAAAAAGAAAAATCAAAATCAAGAATATAAATAAGAAAAAGGAAAATAATCTTTAATATTTTGACAATTCTTTTAACTTCTTATTTTATTCAATAACTTAGTACTGTTTTATATCTATTATCAGATTAATGTACGATATTTTCTAAAATAATAATTGATTATCATTAAATTCTAAGAACTCTCCTACCTGTAATAAGATAATAATAATTCACAATTATTAATCAATTACAGTCCTATTGTTGTGATTATCTAAATAGTAGCAATTCTTAAGAAAGATCTTCGATGAATCAATTATATAAAATGTCGGCAAAATATTGTAGTTTCTAGATAAATCTTAACATCTAGAATCTGTTCCTATTGCCACTTAATATGAAATAATTCCATATATTTTAATCACTATAATAGGTTAACTACTATGTAGAATCATTTAAAACACTTTAGCGAAGTTTAATTATTATATATAATATTAAATAATTTTTATGTTGAAATCACATTTATAGTAATATGAATAGTACTACTCTATTGCCCTTTGATATTTATTACTTCATTATATAATAATTCAATCACTATTAATTTTACTAAATAAATCAAATTGGATTTCTAAAAGAACATCTTCATTTTCTAAATATATACTACCACTATAATTGTCTTAGTGTATACTCTCAAGTTTTCCCACCTTCCCACAATGCTCTCCTTCTTTCAAAATCATCACCTAATTTCCAATTTTAGGAATGACTGTTTCAAGGAACTTTTAATCAATAATTACTTTTTCTTTAGTACTATTTTAAATTTCAATCAACCCCCCAAATTAATCTATGACTCTCTTAACAACTCCTTTTTTTCCATAATATTTTCCATTGTTTAATTGTTAATCAATAATTTTAACAACAATATTTTCCTTAATCCATGGGGAATCATCAGCAACTTATTATTGAGCTTATGCTTATTGAGGTTAGTTTACTGCATTTTAATTATTTTTATATTTGATATTTTGATATAATTTCTCCATGTTTTCCTTAGAACCTTATTATTTTAAAAGACTTTCTTCTATCCACTACTTATTTCCTTAGGTTTCAACATCTAAAACAACTTGGCTGTCTTTCTTACTTCCTTAGCTGAAATTGATACCAAAGGATATGAATTAATCTTGTGACTATTATTGAACTTAATTGCTGTTAGTTTCTTATCCTGGTAAATTCTAATTCTCCAATTAATTTTGATTATTATTCTCTTATTCATTTAATTATTACCCCTTTATGATTTGTTTTTCGAGTGATTTATCAATGAGAGCATTTTACTTTTCAACTAATTTAACTTTTTTTGTTTCTACTTTATCGTATTTAATTTTCTCTGGATTCAAATTGAGATTCCAAATCATGATATCTCCTGGAGAATGATCAAAACCAATTTTGTTATTTGCAATCAAATATTAAATGAAATCAGTCAATTTAGTCCATTTAGTGCCATTTAAATGTACATGATCTACTTTTCTAATCATCTCTTCATAAACTTTATTTGAGCCAATCTTTTAATCCTTGTATTTTTCCTTTAAGATCTCCATAAAGGCTGTTTCAAATTCTTAACTAAACTATTCAATATAAAAATCAGGATCTTCATTGTATAATCTCATCATTTTCATATGATGGCCTGAATTTAGATGACAACGAAATCCATTCTCATCATAACATTATTTTCTACACATTTGACAGAAGTATTTCAATTTCGCAGTCTTAGTAGCTTATTATTTTCCATAAGTCTAACTATACATTATAATTTTATTAATATTCCGTTTTAAATGAGATTAGTGTTCTGGATTATAGTGTTTTTAGGTCTAGTCTAGGCTATTCCAAAGAAGCAAATATCAATACATAGTAAATACAATACGCCGATAAATGCTCAAGATGTTAAATTAAGTGAAGTAGATTTAGCCCTTTATCAAAATGATATGTAATAAATTGGCCAAAAGAATCACTTGAAATCTGAAATTACAAATTGGATGCAGGCAAAGACAAGTCTATTAGAATAGTTGTCGACTTTTTACAATTGCTTTGAAATATTTTTGTCTAAGTAACAATAAATAGGAATTTTGTTGGTTTGCATAATATGCTTTGCATTTTATTTGATGGTGAAATCTGAAGATAGAAATATGAAATAGAAGAAGTAGAATACCAAAAAGAAATAGAAAAATTGTTAGCAAGATGTCATAGTGCAAATATTGACTGATTCTCTTATTGCGAAAGAACAGTCCCCACTTCCATAGGTTTCAACCATCAATGGATCGCTTCACTTAGAAGAAAGAGTGTTTTTATTATAATTAATATTTTTAGTAATAAATCAGCTGATTAAATGAAAAACAATGGGCAATTTAGTTTGTTTAAACGATCCAATTCGTAGCCGATCATTTAACCCAATTTGCCTGATTATTCTGCTGAAGAGATCAATAGTTTATTGAAGGACATTAGCTGATTATCTAAAGTAATAATATTCATATAAAGAATCATAATTCTTTGCTTGTCTTTCTAATATTCTATTTTCTTGATTATTTTTCTTATAAACAAATTTTTAAAAATGATTAAATTTTATTTAAAAAATATTAAATGGTGAACGTACCAAAGAATAGAAAAACCTACTGCAGAAAATGTGGAAGTCATCAAAGTTGCAAAGTTTCCTAATATAAAAAGAGCAAGGAAAGTCCATTTGCTTAAGGTAGAAGAAGGTACGACATGAAGCAGTCTGGTTATGGAGGCTAAACAAAGCCAATTTTCAGAAAGAAAGCAAAGACCACAAAAAAGGTGGCATTGAAGTATTTATATTTTACGAGAATAGGCTTGAATGCGTCAAGTGCAAATTAAAATGGTTAAAAGTTATTAAGAGATGCAAGACTATCGTCTTTGTCGATGCCAATCAGCTCAAAAAACAATAAGAAGCAAAGAAGAATGCTAAATGAGATAATTATAGTATAATAAGTCATATATTAAGTATTTTATTAAAGAATTTATTTTCATCAAATTAATGTTAAATTTTACTCAAATTTCCACTTGTATAATTAAACAATTATATATATATGAATCTCTGATAATTATAATTTATATTGTTTAACTATCAAAAAGGCTTTTAATATCCTTATTGAGGGTAACCTGGGTATCCTGGCTATGGTGGATAGCCTTATTAAGGAGGATATTGCTGGGCTGGATATCCTGGCTATTATGGTGGATATCCTGGCTATTATGGTGGATATCCAGGTTATTATGGTGGATATCCTGGTTATTAGGGTGGATATCCTGGTTATTAAGGAGGGTAGCCTGGTTGAGGAGGATAGCCTGGCTATTGTGGTGGATATCCTGGCTATTAAGGAGGGTATCCTGGTTATTAGGGAGGATATCCTGGTTATTAGGGTGGGTATCCTGGCTATTGTGGATAAGGTTGTGCAGGATATCCAGGTTATGGAGGGTATCCAGGTTATGTTGGATAGCCAGGCTGCTATGGTGGATAAGGCTATTAAGGAGGGTAACCTGGTTATGGAGGATACATAGGTTATTATTGGTAAGGTTGATTTGGGAAGTATGGTTATTAGCCAGGCATAACTGGAGCTTTAGCGCCACCATCAGGGAAAAACTAAATTTCAATCAAAACCTATCCAGCTTATTTACCCTAATAATTTATATATATATTCTATACTTTATATGTTAAATTGACCCATTCAGTTCCATTTGGTTTTGTAAAGTAAGTCTAAAGTGCCAAAGATCCTTATCCGATCAAATCATCTTTGCTTACATCATCCTTATCCCATATCTCAATGTCAGCAATCAATTCTCCTGTTCTGCGAAATGAAAGAGTGTCAGTCCAAGATGGGTATTTACCTGCATCTTTATGTTATCTAGTTTTTTGCGTTTATCCACCAACTCTTACTAAGCAGAATGGATCCATCTTTCCAAAGGTTTCGGTATCATGAGTTAACTTTGCACTCAATGGCTTGATGATAAGTGTTCCTGACATAATTTAAATAAATGAATATCATATATCAAATTGGAAGTTGTTAGCAAATCAAAAATTTCTTTTAATAATATCTCAATTCCTCAATACTCTCTAGAATATCATCCAATGCCCTATGATTCAGTTTCTTCTATGGTTAGTGATTGCAAACATAAGGATTCAATCTCCTACACAATAACTGTACAGAGGAAACATCTACAATCCGATAATGCAAAAACTGGTCCAACTTAGGCATATTCTTCATTACAAACAAACGATCCATGTATACTGAGTTTCCTGCTAAAGGTAATACTTTTGGAGGTATATTATTTTAATTTAAAAAATTGAGTATTTATTCCTCTGCTTATTACACATTCAGAGTGGATTTCAGCGATTCTTCATATAATCCTGAGGCTTTGTGAGTCTTCGTGCACCACTAATCCATTCCTTCTAAAACCTAATTATCCGCATGAATAACAAGATGTGGTCCCTTAATTATTGTTTCTAATTTAAAATCAGTCAAGACACATGCAATTTCGAGAATCTGATCCTAGAATACGTTTAGCCCTGTCATTTCCATATCCAGCCAAAACTGTGTTCATAATTGTAAATATACTAAGGCATGTTTTGAAAGGGAGGCATCGCTAATATTTTGCATTGTATGAAATTATTATTATAATTATAAAAATTAACTTACATTTAAATTTTCTATATATATTCAGATATCAAATCATTAATATCCTTTTAAGTTGTTTGCTTGTTAGTTGCTTAGTAATTTCAATTCAACAGCCTTTCTAGACCTTTTATACTTTCCAACATAGACCATGCAATTAAATTAAAATCTGAAATAAGTAAAAATTATACCTAATCTAGGATCCCAATTTAGCAGTTTTCAAGACCTCCTTTGTTACACCAGCCTTTTATAAATCATCTAAGTGAACAAAAATATCAGACTTATCTTCATCCATAACAATAAATCCATAGTTTTTCTATTCATCAAAAAACTTTAATCTCCCTGTGTAGATTGGATTTGCCATCTGTTTCTTTTAGTCACTATGCTGCTGTAATTTATTTATAGGTGTAAAACCAATGGCTGAATTCATTTCTAAAGTTGGAAACACGTCAAAGTCATCAGGGTCAGGAAGAACTTCTTCTAATTTCTACTGATAAAGATTATAAGTTAGTTGTTAATCTAGTTGATTTATAAGCATCTATCCTCTCTTCTATTCATCTGAAGATGCTAAATTGTTTTTTTCAGAGTTTATTTAATCCAAAGAAGGGAATTAGTAGTCATCCTATAGAAATGACTATGGTTTGGTCTAAGTAAAATAAACTATGAATAAAGGAGTACGAAATACAAGGTTGATCTTATTGAAATGATTGCAATTGTGAAAAGATCTATGACTATTTTTACTCTCTCTAAAAATCAAATATTTGATGTTCCGATAAGGACTTTTTATGTCTTCTGACAAACGGTTTCTATTGCTCTTTTTCTGGAGTCATATTGATTATGGGGACAGTTTTCTAAGCATGAATGGAAATCAATACATCCTCGAATAAATCATCAAATGTATAAAATTGTTCCTTTTCTTTATTATCAATTTGAGATAACATTTCCTCCATTGCAATCAAACTTGTCATCTATACACTTTTAATAAGGGCAATATAGCCAGTGAGGGAAGGATTATAACAAAATACATATATTGTTCTAGCAAATTTGGTGGGAACATAAACATTACAAAACAACTGAAATCTTTAGTTAGTGTAAAATTCCTTGATTTTCGTTCTCATTATGGTAGCATACAATGATAAGTATTACTAACTATATTGATTGTTTTTACCTTAGCATTGAACTATTGAGTTTCTATGATGTTTAGAGTCAATTCAAATCTTTGTAATAGTTTTGGCAGTTCTGAGTCTGACTTATAAAGTTGTTTGGCTGTTTTCAATAGGTACTCCCTGATTTATGGATCTGGACTATGATAATTAGCAATGGAGAGTGTATCCAAGATATGCATGTCTGTTGAACTAGAAATGAGTCAAAGGTTGATACCGGTTTCTCCTTTATAAATGAGGGAGTGCAAATGGTTATCATTCAATACTTATTTCTATTGTAATATCATTATTTAAATTATTTATATATTTTATTATTCACATTTCTTCTAAATCGTCATCATCATCATCATCATCTTCTAAGTCTTTCGTTCCACTCATTAAGATGTTGTTAGTTCTTATAGATCGATACGATTGATTTTAACTATTAAGCTTTTAACTAAATCTACTTTGTCTTAAGGAGATATTATTATTTTATTTCTTTAATTCAGAATGCTTTTCCACAATCATTTCCCTCATATTTTAATCTAATTAAGATAATTATCTAGTTAATTCCTTATTTTCCTTCTTTAATCTATTCACCTTCTTCTACCAATCTACCTCATTATTCTCTAATTAATCTACAGTCATTTTGAGATTATTGCATTCAGTCAATAACGATCTCTTTTCATGTTGTAAAGAATTAACTTGAGCCTAAACTTTGTTGAATTTTTATTCAAGATCATCCATCTACTTCTCTGATAATTCAACCATTTTCTCAATCATATACTCATTTTACTTTTACTCAACCTTGCTGTCATCTATCAGTTATTTTAATCTTTGATTTTCTTACTAAAAATATTGGAGATCTTAATTTGTTCTATCTAAATGTTGAATAGCAGCCTAGAGTTGTTATTGCAATTAAGATATCTATAAATTAGATTGAATTTACTTCAAAGTCTGCTTATTGCAATTATTCATTCAATTAAATATTATTCATCTTCATTCTTTCTAATTCATTAGAAACATTTGAACTTTTAATATAATTTTATTAATTACTTTTATTTCTCCATCGCTGGCATCTCAGGTAATATCTTTCCCAATTGACTCTCAAATTACTTTGATAAATTATATAATTGATCATTGTCAGCTTCTAATTTCAATTTATCCAATTTCAATTAATTATTGTCTTGCTATTGTTATTTTATATCTTTCTTATATTGTTGCAATTTATTCTTGTACTTATTTTGCAATTTCTCTAATTCTTATTTGAGATGAGCATTTTCGGTTTCTAATTTAGTTCTAAATTTTGAATATTTATTTTCTAATTATGCTAAATCTTTGAGAATATCATCATTTTTCTTAACCTTCACTTACACTTAATCCTAAATCTCTTTATTTCTATTCTTCTCCTCTTCAATTCTGTTTTGTTGATCTTCAACCACTGTATTTAATGTTCTAATGTTTTCTTCCAATTAATTCACTTGATCATCCCTATTTCTTAATTCCCTTGTAAGATATTCTAATTCCTCATATAATTTTTTGTTTCTTTCCTATTCTTATTTTATTAATTTCATAAAATCATCTTCTCTTTTCTCATAATGTTTAATATTCTTAATCTCATTTTCCTTGATTACTTCAATATCTTATTCTAAGCTTCGTATTTTTGCTTTCAACATTTGATTATCCTCACTTGCATATCTTAATTATTGGTTCAGCTCACGTTATTCTTCAGAGCTTTATGGATAAAAATTATCTTTTGATTTGGCAGTTAAATACATAAATAATAATTAAATAATCTGAACAAAAATTGCACTTATCATTTTTTTATCTGAATACGATCGAATATAGACTCTTTTGCATCCATCCTCAATCTCCCATCTCTACTTTTATCCGAATATTGTCCAATCACTATTACTTTATCATTCTATTTAAAATTTGGCACTGCTCTCATCTCCAAATTCCTATCCTTGTTATTATTTATCAATTCTAGATAAAAATAATCAATACTAATTACCTATTGCATTCTCAGCAGATGCTTAATTTGAAAAAGTGATTGTCGCTTGTTTATTATTGATCTAACATTAAAATTATCGTTTACACTAACTCCCAAAATATTTGAATCATCATCAATTAATTCCCTAAGATCCTTTGGGTTAGTATTTTCTTTCAAATTTCTGATAAATATTGAATATGAACCATTTTGCTTTACTTATTATTCTATCCATAAGACTTATATATCTCACCATCCTTTTTAGTGATGTTCAGAATCCCTTTCTTTTTGTTCATTTACTAAGGCTGAACCCTTCCTGATTGGCCAGTATTTTAGATCATTATTACTTTTTTAGAAATTGGCTTCCTCAAAATTTCAGTGGAATGCACATTGCCATTCTCCTCCTCTGATTCCTTCCTGTTCTGTTATTTCTGCCCTGATTATTAAGATGGCTTATATTCTTATCGATGATCCCTTATAATGTTAATGCTCTTTGAGAATATGTGATTGGTGTTCATTAGAATTATTATTTTATAAGAATACGAATATATTAATAATTAACTGCATTCTGTTTCTAAACATAAACAATTTCCAATATTATAAATATTATAAATAATTCATGCTATTATCCATAGATTTTGGCTATTAGAATTAGAAGTTATACATCTAATGGCCTACTAAATCGAATTGCAATTCTGAATTGCCTCTAAATTAAAAAGTTTATTGTTGACTTTACGAAAATCGTCATATTGTATCAGAGTCTTTAGGTATGACTCTAAATGTTGTAATTCCTATTCCGATAGAATCAATAGATTTACATTATCCTTCTTATTATCAAGGTAAGGAATAATTGGGATTCCATTGTCGATTTGGAAAGCATACGAGAAAGCCGAATTGTCAATTAAGACTACATCCTTCAAATCTCTATTGAGAATCCTCAAGTCCTTGACATGACAACCTGATTCAACTCTGATGCAGTCTTCTCTAAACAATCTACCAGAAACCAAGGTTCCTGTTGGATCCAAATAATCGATGATCTGATTTGCATAATCTTCATTCGAGGCAGTGAATATTATTATTTCATAATATTCAGCCATGCTCCTTAAGAATTCTTATGCATATGGTCTGACACTAATTCCAGCCTAATTTAATTTTAATTCTTACTTGATATGTTATATTGTTAATTTGCACTGGAATGTAAAAATCTGATTTCAATTATGGATATTCATTGCAATGCACTAAAGTTTCATCAAGATCTATAACTAAAGTTTTCTATTTTTCTAGTTATTTTAATCATAAATACTTGAGAGAGCCTTAATTTTTTGTGATTTTGAAAAAGTTAATGAAATTTTAATATTTTTTGATTTTTATAAATTCTCGTAAATCTATAAAAAGTGTCTTATATACATTTAAGACTGAAACGTATCTTCCAGTTGGCCTTCGAAATGCCCAACCAAATTATACATGTAATATTGTTTTTATTGAAAATATTCTATAAATAGATTTAATAAAATACTTTGATCTGATAATTCAAGATCTTCAGTAATATAGGTTTCTGTTGAGTGATAGGAAATGAACTTTTCTGTTTGGCTTGCATCTAAGTCGCTATTTGAGTTCGGCTTATTTTAAAGTTTAAGATTTTCATTGAGATTTTTATGTTCTTTACTGTCTTTCAGTTCTGGACCAAAATTCAGATTATCTGATAAGTTCATATTTTATTTCCTTAGTTTATTTGTCCTTTTGTATTTGTACGTCAATCGGCTAGAAATTGAAATAAAAAGTACTGAGGCTAACAATTTGACATCTTATTTTGGTGATGATCCAAGATGACATCATACTAGGTGAAAGTATCGATTTCTTTTGATTTTCCCTCCGCTTAGTTTGCAACATTCATTTTAGTAATATTATTTTTCGAAATGAATGCACGTTTGACTTTCTTTTTCAATTTATTTACCTTCTTAGTTATATTTTTAAATGTTTCTAGATTAATTGAATCAAAAGAATACTTGAGCTATTGATCTCAACATGGGTCAACTTCTCTAAAGGAAATTGTTTCGCATCAAGCCTTTCATTAGTTTACAACTCATTAAAAATGGATTAATTTGTCTAATTCATGCTAACATGTACGAGGTGTTGACTCCCCTATGATGAAATAAGATCGACATCATCAATTTATTTACTCAACAGTAGTTCGTTCCACTCATTTTAATCCATTCCTAATATTTATTTTTATATAGAGAATGCTTTGAGAACATGAATTGAAGTATAAAAAATTTCAATGGGGGTATTAAAGATTTGAATTAATAATACATATTTCAGCAAATTTCCTTTCCTTATTCGAATATATTACTTTTAATTGTACATATTTTTTATAGTTAATTTCTCAAGGATATAAATTTATTTTGTTATTCTTATGTTATTTATAATTTCTCATAACACTAACAAATAATGAAAACAAAAATTATATTCATTCCATAGGATCGCCATATCAAATAAAGCAATTTCTACTTTAAATTTTTGGTAAAACTCATTTTTAGTAATATGGATTCTTTCTTTGCTTTTGACTATCAAATTGGATGAGTTAATAATAATATAATTAATCAATTATAATTTAGATAAATATCTAGATATATTTTTATTTATCTTTGTCTTAGATAAATAAATTATAAACTATATTGATTGTCTATTTGAATAAAGCAAAATGAATAAAACACATATTTATTAACAAGTAAATTGGGATCTATTATTTTTACTAATTATTCAAACCCAAATATTATTAAGCATTATAAACTAATTTCGAATTTACAACAATGTCTCTTAATATTAATGCTAGTAATATATAAATATTTAATATTAAACCGCTAGTATTAAATTAAATTATCCCTTGAGTAACAATGTTATTAATACAACTATTTCATCTTTAGGCATCAATTTAAAGGAACTGCAACTTTAAAATTTGATATTCTTAATTAAAACAAATAATTCATGGTCTTCACTCTTTTGATGATAATGATTATCTGTTAAATTTAAATCTATTTTATCAGATGTAGGATGTCAACTGCTTCTAATTATAAAAGTTATTTCAATTAATAATAAATATTATTTTAAATCAATATTTTGATCTTTGGGATGAAATCTTCATCTAATATTAAACTTACAAATAGTGTAATTGTTGCATTTCTTCCAAATTAAACATTTTCCATACTTCTTTATATGAATTCCAATGAATTTGAACCAAATAGATTCATATATTTCTATTCCAATACTTGCTTAAGCCTTATTTATTATTGATAAATGATGTTTAGGAGAGATACAAATTACTATTTAATCCTTCTTTCTTATTATAAAAAGCATCTTCAAATTTTTTGAAGTTCATTCTAATAAATAGGGTTAACTTTTCATGATATTTCAACAGATTCCTTGGCATATAGCTCTTTAATTATATCATATTGGTGTGTTCATTATATTCTCCCTTTTGAATTTCGAAAAATTCGCACTGATCCTTAATTTTATTTAATTTTCAACTAATTCTATATATATGTATATGAGTACCTAAAAATAAATAAATACCTATTCTATTTGATGTTTGGATTTCTAAATATTCCAAACCTTTAGATTAGAGATTATCTTCATAATCATAATTTCATTTTTATTTATTTTTATATCTAGATTCTAATAATTCTAATTTTACACATTATGTAGCCATCAATAAATATGTAGGAGATACTTTTCAGCCTCTAAGATCTTCTCTAATAATAAAAAGAATTTCACAACCTAATCTATAATTCAAGGAACTTAAAGCCATAAGATCAAGATTGACTAATTTAGACCAAATATAGAACATAATCATTTTTAAATTATTGAAATCCTATGTATATGCCTTCTAGGATATATGTTGCATATATTAGTTTCGACTTCCTATTTATGGACTTATCTTATATTTATAAATAACAAACCTAAATTTTCATATAAAGAGAAATGAAAAATTTATGGATAGTGAATGAATTCATAGTTTGAGATATTAGAAAATTAAATTCTAAAATAGAGAATCCAAATTCAACCTTCAAAGTATAGAGAATTCAAAGAAAGCATTTAAAATATCTTTAGTATTCTTCATTAATGAATAGATTCAAAGAGAATTAAAACATCACATACTGATGATTACCTCTTGCTTTTCTAATTTAAATCTAAAATCTACTTTAGTTAAGTGACAAGCAAATATCATATTAATTTGGATCGATCACATTACCACAACAATCATACCTCTACTGAAAAATAATTTTATAGACTCAAGTACTCAAATAGACTTTATAGGAAGAAACCTTTTAATTAAAAATGAAACGAAAAATTTTAGCTTTCACTTTTCTAATTCTCCTCTAAGAAAATTATTAATTTGAAATCTATTAGAAAGTTAAATACAAGAAGGCTAAACCTTTAATGAAAACCATTGAAATATGATACTTGAGAATAATAATAATATATTAATTCAAACCTTGTAAGATACAGACAATAATCTAAATTTAAGGATATTTTCTTAATCTTGTAAAAGGCCTTTAGATAAATCATCAGTCTAATTTATGGCATTTAACTAACCACATGTGACTTGAACAAATTTATAATTTTATTTGGAGAGTAAATTATTAAACATCAGTTTCATAAATATTCATACATGCTTATATTAATTTAAACAAAATTATTATAAGATTTAATTCATTGTATTTATTTTATTGCAATATTATTAATAACAATAATAGGCATAAATATTAGATATTGATTCTCACTCAATGAACAATTAATCAAATATTTAAAAAAAAAATTAATTTTAAAGATGGAATCCTAACATATCTTAAGTCTCTGTTGAAGAATAGATATCAGGATAAGCTATAATAAAGATCCAAAATATGTTATAGAGATTTATTGAAGCCAGTTAAATTCACTTTCAATTTAAAAAATAAGTTATAATTATTCTTTAATTTTAAACTTTGTGCTTTACTTCTTAGCTATTTAAGATTAAACAATAGACTTTACTTAACCACATAAGGGAGTAGTATCACATCATTCTTATTCTCCAAAATTCATTTTATAATTATTTTGATTAATCCTAATAGATGATATCAAAATGAAAGTTAGAACGGAATTTTTCACCCATTTTGAAATTGGGCTAAAAATAATGTAATCTAATTTTAAAGATATTTTCTGATATGATACTTTGCTGACGGAAATATGAAAACTAGACTTAGGATTGAATATTATCTAATTATGAAGGATGAGAAGTTAGCATTAGAACTAAGAAATGAGTTGCGGATTAAAAATAGCGAAAATTATATAAATGAAAATTAAAAGGAGAAAAGAGAATGTTCAAGAGGCTAGGGAAGTAAATAAAATTTGTTAGCTTTCATAGGTTTTAACATTTTTTATTAAGATAAATAAAGCTTTATTTGTTTTTTGAATTGATAAAGGGAATATATTTTCTAAACTATTTAGATTAATTTTAGTGTCTACTGTTGTCCAATAGCAATTCCTAATGTTTTTCCGCAGTTATATATCCATTTGTTAGAATGTATATATTTATGGAGTAAGATAAAGTTCACTTGTTATGATTATGAGTGCAATTACTTTTACTTTTATTATTTTTATACCACCATCCTGAGATTATACATGTCATTTGCGTTCAAGGCTTAAGCGATAAGTAATCAATATAATTTAGGACTCAATTCAGATTATTATGAGCTAATGAAAATAATTTCCATTAATAACTGTATTTAGTATTAGTATGAATTTAGTTACGTCTACAAATCTTAGCATTTTGTTGGAGTTAGTTGTTTTAATTTAGTGATTGCTATAAGGCTTTAGTTGTTTGATAAAAATGGAGGTAAAAAGTTAGGTAGATTATTGTCTAAGAGTGAATGAATGTTTATAGTTTGTTATTTTCAATAATAAATTTAATATGAGTAATCGAAATAGGAGTTTGGCAGAAAGAAGAAATTCAAAAAGCAAATGTAAGAATGCGATCTCTCAACGCAAAAACTCAGATAGTGAAGATTACAATTTCTATTAGGAATTCTAGATATTCTATCCCCAAGCACAGGAGATAAAGTTTACCAAATTTGATTATATGAAGGAATTCTTTAATTTAGGCATCACTGAATTTCCCTCTGACAAAGAGATCCATCGTATATAACAGGAAATTCTAACAACTAGTGGTTGGAATTCAAATCTAAAGAAGAATTGGACCCTCAACGAAAAGAAAGTGCTCATTTGGCTAGTTGGAAAATTGAGTATAATGCGAAATGAAGACATAAGAGATTTGTCATCGGAGTTGTTTGAAGAGATTTCAAAAATGATTTGTAGAAGAGATAAAGATTAATGCAAATAGAAGTGGTCTCAAATGTAGAAAATTGCACTTCAATCACAACCCTTTTAACCAGAAGAGGATAAAATATTATATGAAATAATTCTAAAATATTAATCAGTTGATATGGGTTAGAAGTGGAGTTAAATTGCTTAAGAATTAAATTAACATTCAATAATATATAGATCAAGTAAATAGTGCAGAGAGAGATGGCTTAATCATTTGAATCCCAAGATTTCTAAGTAACATATAAAATTCATTTATATCCAAGGTAACCATGGAATGATGAGGAGGACATATGGTTATTGAATCTAGTTAAAGAGTAGGGGAGGAAATGGGCAGAAATATCGAAAATTATGGATGGCAAGAGAAGCGAAAACAATCTAAAAAATCGATTTAATAGTTTAATTAAAAGGGAAAAGGATTTGCCAGTGATGTATATAGTTTCTCAAAATTATTATAGATAGACTCAGAGTGGATCAGCTACTAATTTGGATGATTTATTATCAGGTTGCACTGGACCTGAAATAACTGACTTGTAGAAGTTAGCAATTGATGCATTATTAACCAAGTTAAAATGGAGGAGTGCTGAGAGCTAGAATAAAAATATACGGAAAAAATCAATAGAACTTATTGACAATGTAGATAATTAAGTAAAGCGACAATCTTAATAGCGAACTTAGATTACTGTCCAATACACTATTGGAAATATAGAGTCAGAATCAAATATTATGGATTTAACCCCATGCTTAGTAAATGTGAGTAAAAACATAATTTATTTCTGCACTCAAGATCTATTGATTCAGTATTTAGGCCATCATTAATAATAACAGCAATAATTCAAAGATCAATTTGATAAAATTAAGAATGAATTATGTGCCTTTGATGTAGGCTTTCAAAATTTCAGATCTACACTCAGTATGATTGAAGAAATAGAAGAGCCTCTGAAAAGTTAATCACACTTTTAACCAAATGATTTGGATGGATTCTTCAATTTAGAAACACCAGAAATTATTTCCAAACCAATTTATGTGAATTCCCTTGACATGATAACCAATTCAGCCATCAAATATTTGCAGCGGTGGAAAACGGAGAGTTAATTCCATGATCAGAGAAGATCAAGCATACCGATTCCAAGATCACTTCCAAATTTGATATAAATTTAATAATGAAAAAGAGTCTGATATTATTATTCATTGTACCTTTTATTTTATTCAAATTGGACGATTGTACACAAACATACCATAAAATACTGAGAATTATCAACAATGAAGACAATGGTTCAGATCAGCTATCATTTTATGAGCATTTCCTTATCATGATTATTCAAAATATATAGCTCAATTGGATAAATACAATCTCCAATCTTGATAATTGGTTAGATTAATTAGGATCTATACCTAAAAATAATTTAATATAAAAACATATACCATCAAGGCACAAAAATTTTGCTTAATTAATTTGGGGGGAGCAATTATTTTATAACTAAAAGGCAGTGAAACTAAAATAAGTTGACAATATATTGGTTGATTCAGCCGAAGTGTATAGATTTTATCATCAAATTAGATATATGATTACAGAATGCAATTAAAAGGATGTGTATTTTGTATGTATGCTTAAAAGAAGAGATTTCTTTAGAAACAATAACATTTATAAATAAAGAGTTGTACTCTTCTACCATTAAGAATTTTCAAGTAAATGTTCTAATTTCTACCATTCTAGGTCTATGGAAGTGTAGTTTATCCAACCAAAGAATGGGAACTTTTGGGTAATTTTTATGCTGAAGATTCTAATGAATGGTAGATTTTCAATTTAGAGTAACGATTCCTTAGATATTTAAAAATACACATACTAGATTTTCATAGTGCAGAATTCCATTGCACTTTAACCCAAATTAGGTTCAGTTTATTGATATTAAATTTAGAGTGTTTGGACAAACTGTTATAGGCGATTTGATTGATTCACACAAGAGGGATCAAAAGGTCACTAAACCAGAATCTAAGACTGCAAACTCAACATAAGAGTAATAAGAAATTAATTTAAAAGAGGTTTCAGAAGAGGAGGATCGATCTAAAATTGATACATGTTCAGTTGTTGATTATTTTTACCACACTTAACCTACTAAAAGAGTTGAAACTTAATATATAAATGTATTGCCTTATGAATCAAGACAATCACTCTTCAAAGTGACTGCTCAGAACATCCTCATATTGTCTCATAATGTAGAACTATTTAAAAATGAAATCAATCAAATTAAATAACAGGATTTACAACACTTGCAAGAATAGCAAGAAATCAGAACCTTTTAATAGTAATTGATGACTTCAATTTAAGAATAGAAACAACAAAATATAAAATTGCAAGATGAGTTAGACTTTTTAAATAAGAAGTTGTCAATCATTCTTTTTATAATATTTATGTTTATTTTACTATTAGGAGTGGCGATTATTTTATTTCTCATGAACTGTTGTAATTAAAATAAAGAATAAAAACTTGAATAACCAAGAGCATCTGCTAAAACCCACAGCATAATAGTCAAATCCTATCCTGAATTATTGACTCATCAACTTATTGAAAATGATGCTACCAGAAAACATATCTCTTAAGTAAAAACCTCAAATGGGAAAACAAAAAAATCAAATTGATTTTAATTTATATAAATATATATGTATAAAGGTATATCAATCAACCCAATTTAATGTTCAAAAATAATATATAAAATGCAGTGTAGATGCCAAATCTTGCAGCAATTCCATACACCAAAACCGATGAAAATTTAAGTAACTAGATAAACATCATAGATTTACCTTTCTCGCATAGACCATAGCCATATGCCAAACCACTGATATCACTCCCAATAAAACACAAAATTGCCATTCTACTATTGGACTTGATATCATCATTACAAGGAATGCAAAATGTAAACCAACAAATAATGCTGCCATCCACCCAGAGGGAAGTGTTTTGATCAGAAAATCTAGAATGCTTTAATTACTTAATTACTTCTCCAATAATACTCCTCCAATATTCCTAAACCAATAACGAATAATGACATAAATAACACCATGTATGAAGTGTTTGATTCATCAAAGTACGATTTGTAAAGTTTCGTGTTTTATGAAGAGAGAAACAATATGGTAAGAGTGAAGAAAGAAATGAATGTTATGATTGTAGACAAAATCAAGAGTTAAGTATTCTCCTTTTTGAAGATGAATTCACCCTCATTATTTTATTTATTATACCTGCCATGTAAAATTCCAAAACTCTTTTTCCTTGAGCCATAAAAAAAATGTAAAAGTAAATTACTAGTATTATTAGCATCATGTAAGTTAGTAAACATAAAAGTGCCGAAGTTGTTATGGTAAGGGCTATTTTCATTAACTAAATTTCAAACTTATCCACGGAATGCCTATCATTCCCAACATTGTTAATTCCAAGTAAACTTGCTAACAAACTGACAATCCTAAAGGAGGAACATCGTCTACAGGATTTGTGACTGTTGCTAAATCATAACTAAGGTTCATTCTTTAACTGTAAAATATATTTTATATTAATGATTTTATTTGATCACAAAATAATCATGATGCTATTCTTACTTCGTATTAATTTTGTTTTAAACAATGTAGTTAAAAACGAAATCCATTAAATATTTTCTAATACAATTGTAAAAAACAATAAATATGTCTCTACATTCCTCATTCGGCTATGATAGTCTTCGCTCAGTCATTTTTGCAAAAGCAATTAAAAAGTGTGAATGTACTAATCAACGTTAATATAATAGAAATTTAAAATGAGTATTATTCATCAGAAAGTTGTTCTGATGTAAAGAGTAGCATTTCCTCTGATTCAGAAAAGCACATATTTGACAGGTATAATAACATTTAACATTATTTCTAGAGAATTTGCCTCTGAATCTGCTGAACCAAAAGTTGTTTTCAATAATCAACAATCTCCTCTCTCTTAGTTTAATACTCAACAATGAATTTATATAAATAAGCAATTATACAAAAATACACAATCAATGACTCTTCTATAATTTTCACTCTTTGTTAATGGATATATACTATGGGATTGCCATATTCCACTATATTTGAAACAAAAACAGTGATAAGGTAGCAATTGCGATTCCCTCTAAAATAATTGAATCAAATTCAAAGAGAAATATTAACTAAAAAATGATAAAACATTTCTATCCATATTTAATTAAATTAAGTCCTTTTAATAAGATAAATTCTTAATAATTATTATTATATAAATCGTGTATTAAACATTTAGTATAGTTATTATTAATTACTAAAAAGGATTCATACAGAAACAAAAAAATAAAATTTATTGTAAATTTATTTCAAATTTAAAAATAATTTATATCAGTTTAACATATAACTACTTATAACTAATATAAAATTTAAATTGAATGGGATAATTAATTACATCAAGGGACTCTTAATACTGATTTCGAATTTCACCTTCTTTTGACAATAGGTGAATTAGTTTCAAATAAAAATTCCTTATCATGAATGTTTCTCAAAATTTCCCATTCTAATATTTATATAGTATTGAGTTTATTATCATAATTCAAGATATATAAACTATGAAATCATTGATTTAATTCAGGTTAAAAATCTTAACTGAATAGAAAGTAAAATAAAGAGATAATAATACATTATAATTTTAATTTTAAGTATCAGAAGGCTATGAAGGGATAATAAAGTTAGAAATACTTTGAAATTTAAGAAATATATTGAATAAATATTTATGAATTAAAGACTCTTCAATTACCATAGATGTTAAGTTGCTTATCTAAACTACAACTGTAAATATTTTTGTTGAATTCAGCAAATCTAAAAATAATAATGTATTAAATTACCTGATAGCAGTCACAGTATCTCTATGACTTTCAAATTTGAAGAATTCTTATTATTTTTTTATGTCAAATAAATGTATATTCTTATTCTCACCTACAGCTAAGTAGGCTCCTGATGTATCATATGAGATACTGCCTAAAGAAAATAGAATCTAATAATACTTATTTTTTATGATTGAAACAAATTTTAGAACAAACCAGGATTTCTTAAATCCCATTAAAAAACTTGAGTTTCTGAAACTGATGCCAAATTCACTCCATTTTCAGAAAATGCCACTTGATTTATAGATCCCTAATATTATTACATTTTTGATTACTTCTTATCCTTCAAATTGAGCAACCAATTATCCTGATGTAATCTTCCAAATTTTAATCTAAGAATTTTCTTATCCAATTGCTAATAACAATCCATCAGGATGAATAGCAACTGATGTAAACTTGCATTATCCTTCAAAATCAGTAACTTTACTAATTTAGACACCAGATCTTAAGTCATAAAATAACAAAAGTCCTTCAGAAGTCACAATAACAGCAATGTAGCCAAGAGGATGAATAGCTAATCCAGTGATATTCTATCCTACTTTCACAGTTTAAGTTATGACTCCCTCATTAGTTTCAGTGTTAAATTTGTAAATAACTAAATCTCCATCTGAAGTTGATGAAACAAATCTTAAATGCTCATCAATTGTAAAGAATCTGATTGCATTTATTAGTTGATTTTGTTATTGATTCTAATACAATAAAGCCTCAAAACGATAAAGTGAAATCAAACCTGTTTATCCTCCTACTATCACATAATTAGCTTAAATGTCTAATGATGTACCACCTTAAGTTTAAGTGTGTTATTACTTGATTTCATAATTTGATAAAATCTAAAATATTGAATAGGAGTACCTAAGAATTAGGAAATTATTCAAAATATGATTATTGCTTTCTCAAAAGTTTTCTCTAGCTTGTTAATTTTAATGCAGTTTATTCTATATCAGCCAAGTAATTTGCTGATAATTTTTCAGGAACATTATTAGTTTCTACTTCTACTTTATGATTTAATTTATTTTGTAATTGCGCTAATTCTATTCTGGCTAAATCTCTCTCTTTTATTAGTTTTGCTATCACGCGACATGCAGCATCATGTTAATAAAGTGCATGAGTTAATTCATGTCTTACTTATTCCAAATGTTATTTCAATTAAAATTACTCCAATAATAATGCGTCCCACTCGTTTTATAAAAGGGATAGCAATGAAGGTATTGATGTAGCTGTCACTGGTCTTGGCTTTTGAATTTTGGCTACTTTAACCTGAATGTTTGAAATTATATTATTACTTCAATTAGGTCTTCTAAATTCAAAGGTCTTCCAGTTATTGGACATGTGCCTGTACTTTCAATATGCTTCTCAATCAATCTTTTTTCATATATATGTCCACTCACTTTAGAAATTACTGGTGTTTCAATCAACTCACCAGATAGTGCACAAGTTTACCAGGATTACATATATTAATGATATGAATTTATTTGAATATTTATTAAACTTATGTGAATCATCATTATTTTGTAATTTCTGTCTTAAGATTGTCAAATGAATCTACTGGAACATATTAGGCAAGAGTGTAATACTTTCCTTTACCATCATCCTCTTCCTTCTTCTTTCTTTGCAATCTAACCCTAATCCTTCTTGGTAAATTACGAATTCCTCTTGCCCAAATAGCCTCATTTAATTATGGATCAACTCTCACATCATCAGTTAACATATTTTTTTAAGCTAAACAATCCCTTCACTTTTTACCAAATCTAACAATGTGACTCACTGCTCTGGGTGCCTTTCTCTTAAAAGTCTCCTTGTGAACAGCTTTATGAAGATTTATTGTATAGTCTCTGCTTACTTCACCTAAAGGATTAGGCTTTCCCTTTTCTTTCTTTCCCATTAATTAAAATCTTTAAAATTAATTTTAAAAAGCAAATAATTCTCAAAAATTTTTAGAGAAGAACATTAGGTTGTAAATTTACTTAAGGTTTGATTAAATGATCCAGTCTCATGTTTTCTATATCTATTTTAATCATATATTGATTCATTAGAAATACATCCTATTTCATTTAATAAACAAAGCATTTACTAAATTATGTAAATACATTTTATTAAATTAGGGGATGTTTTTATAATTTAATTAAAATCTCATTAAATCTTTAGTGTTCATATCTCTAACTTGATTGAGGAGTATAAATTTAGAAAGCATAAAGATCAAGGATTTGTTAGAAGTAATCCTATCCACAATTCGTAAATGATTAGTATAAAGGTGATTTGTTAATAATTAAATAATATCAAAAGTCATAATTTGAATATTTTAGAGAGGAGAGGGATTAGGGATCTTGAGTACCAATGAATAACTTTTTGACATACTTTAGAACCACTTCTGAGTCACTTATCTTTGTAGACTTCAGTATATCCTTTATGATTTAGAAACTGGAGAAATACTCTTTGCAAATGAATCTGGCCTGTTCATTAGAGAAGAGGACCTTCAGATCTTTGCGAGTGTAGTTCTTTTTGTTGTTAACTTTGCTTATAAACTTTTTTATAGTTATATTCTATCTGGCTAAATCTTTGTAATTATTGACTAAATATAAAAATTATAATTACTAAAGTAATTCTTAATAAGGACTCCCATATTTTTTGGGATATTCTTTGCCTCTTGATGACTTTTATTTTATTAATTCTAATTTTGTATGGAGTCAAGACTAGAATATCCTTTCTCTCTTTCTTATTAATCGCAAACCTCAAATAAACTTTTTTCTTCCAAATTATTTAAAGTAGATGGATTTAATGGATCATCAAGCTCGAAAAATAAATATGACATAATTTTAATTATTTATTAATCTTAAAATAGTTTTTAAGTTTAGTATTTTCAAATTAAACGTGTAGTTCCCCATTAGATTTTGCGAGTTTTAATCAGATTGGACGAGATGACTAAGTATTGGAAGGAGAGTTAGATAAAGAAATGAATATTTATTATTCATTTTCAAAAGCAATTATAAATAAAAGTTTGATTTGGTAACATTGCATCGAATAGTTGATTTTGAAAGTGTTTTTATATAAAAAAAGATATTAATTTATGGTTTACAAAATCAGAAACAAGTCATTCTTCTGGACCAGAGCTGGATGGAAAAACAACTGGCATCCTAAGAATTTCAATGCCCCAAGACCATCAAGCTCAGAATTCACCATCGGTATCAGATGTCGTTATGATCATAATTCATTTTTGAGAGGCAATGAAATAAATTTAATTAATTAGCATACCATTCATACAGAAAGATCTCAAGACACTGCAAGTAGTACTTCTTTGGCAACAAGGAATTAGAAGAATTATTTTAGATGGGTTTGAGAACATTTTTCATTGTGCCTCACATTGCTGAATGTCAAGTCACTCAAATCAAGCATGGTGGTGAAAGAAGAATGGTTGATTAAATCGATAGAGATTTTGAATTAGTATCTTACAATTCTCATCCATATTAATTGTTTACATACACTGTTTGGAATTAATATTTGGCCAATCAACAAGAAGCTTATGAATAGAGAAAGAATGGTGGCCAGGCTATTGAGGATCAAGTGATCGATCACATTAGGTATGTATTTTGAGTACTATTCCGAAGCGAATTGGTGAAAGATGAAAAGGCAAAATTGGGAGCTGGAAAACAATTGAGCATTGAGAAAACAGCTGAGATTGTCATGAATGTGATGAGACAATTGAGAGCAGCCTAATAGAGACCCCATCTTAATAATAGGTAGAGATTTAGTACTTATAGGGAAGACGTGCTGATGGAGAATTTGATGATTTCCTTGAATAGAGAAGACCATTCACAGCTCCAAATAACTAATCAGCTACTCATTGAGCTGATTATATTAAAAACAATATATAACAACTTATTAATTATATTATTTATGTATTATTTCAATATTGTAAAGCTTCCTAAGCATAGAATTTAACATCTCTGTCGTTGTCATCAGTCAATTCATTTATTGCTCTATGTTATTATTAAATGAATACTATTTTATTTGATTCAAAGTGCCTTGATGATCAATCTTCTTTGATAATTATTTAGCCACTCTTATACTAACAAATCTAATATTAGGAACATTGTCCTTCATGCACTTCTAAACAATTGGCCACAACTTATCTTGAATCATAGGTCCATCAGCCACTACACCAATTTATTAGATGGCATATAAGGCATTCATTCTATACAAGAATCCAGTATCCTTATTTAGAGTCTCCAAACATTTAGACAAAAAACTTCCCAATGCCCAATCGATTTTGTAAGTTTAGATTAAATCATTCAATCTGCTCAATCCTATGGTTCTAACCTCAGCTGCCCTATCCTTCAAAAATAACACATAGACTGGTTCTAAATGTTTCAAGAATATGTCTGTATTTTTTATGGTTCTAGGTTGATATATCAGAAATACAATGCTAAATGGAAGACAGTCATCATTGTTTCCTTTCTAACTCTCCATTTGGGATCTTCCATGCTCTTTTTCAAATGAGGAATAAATTGGCCGAGTGCATCAGGTCCAAGAGCTCCAGCAAATATTCCAACGGATTGTGCTGCATTCTTTCTGACATCTTGATTGTCATCACTCATCAATTCAATCAAATAGGATTGCAGTTTGCTTTAACTAATTTCCTTAGGTAAAATAGTAGCAATCTATCCAATAACTAAACAAGCATTTTCTAAGTGATTATGAATATATAATGTATACATTTCACTTATGCAAATGCGTCCTTTGCTAATAATTGTAATAAGGGAATAATGAGGTTTAGTTTTTCTGGAGACACAAACTTGATAAATTTAGCCAAACTTTTCACAGCTATTACTCTGACATCACTTTCAGGATCTTTTAGTAAGTTTGAAAAGATCTAAATTAATGAGGAGTCTGCAATCTCTTTACCCACTGCTTCAGCTAACTAGATGTTTAAGACTTATCAAATACCTCTGCAAATATCTTTGACAAAGCCAATCTGACTCTCCATGATTTGTCTTCTGCTGAAGATATGATCAATGGTAAGATATTGGTCTTGTTTTCATTGATGTTTAGAATCTTAGCAATGTTCATTATGCTTTCCATACACAATAATCTAACTTAATCCTATTCATCTTAACATAATTGTTTCAAAACAGCTATCAGAACTTCTATCACATGATTTTTATCCATGTATTATGCTATTTCACCTATTTTAGTGGCTACTGCTCTTCTAACCATTGGAGTTTCTTCGCTGCATAATTCGGTGAATTTCCTTAGATTTTAAATTCACATAAAATACTATCTGAGCTTTTCTTTCTAATTTCCTGATCTAGAATACATGGGACACATTAAACTGACGGCAGAGACTCTACAGGTAAAATTGGCCTCATTTGAAGCTAGTTTTAAAATCTAATAATTCTGAATAAGTCTTACCATGGGGACAATTGTGTTGGCAATTTCATTGTCTTATAAAAAATTACATACAATTGCGATTGATTTGACAGCTTATTCTCGTACCACAGTCTCATCAAATCCTGCCAATTGTTCCAAAATTGGCAACAAGCATATCGATTATTATGGAATGATTTAACTAAATTAGCCTATTTAAATACGCAATATAGCCTAATTCTTCTGCCATTGCAAATAAGACTTCATCATCTTCTTTCTTCATCAATGCTACAGAATGATAATCAAATATTACTTTCAAAATATGGCAAAAGAACAGACCTTATTTTATCGGTTCCTAATAGTGTTGCGATAATTCTAGCTCTGTGCATAGCATTGACTTTCAGATAAACTTCCTCATTTTCCATATCCTCCTTGAAAACATCTATTGGATTATCACCCATATTTGATTGATTTAAATCTTTAATTATATATAATATATTATATATTTTTTACGATATAGATTCAATTTACATACTCTGACAATCCCAAATCGGCTGCCTCCTGCAATGCCTTACTTAACATATCCTAAACAAAAGTCTAATCTGATTTTAATGACAGAGATTTGTGATAATAATGGATGGCCTTGCTCAGACTGTTTGGTAACTCGCTCAAATGATATGAAAATGCCAATCCAAAAAATATTTATGGAGAAACTGAATTTAACTACAATAGATCTCATCAAATTACCTAGATGCACTTTTCAAATATTTAAATGGCATTTTTGTAATCCCTTTACTTTCTAAAGGTGTGTCCCAAATTCTAAAGTGCAGATTCTCTAATCTTGTGATTTGAATTTTGACAGAACACTAAAGCATTCAAGAAATACTATATTTCACATTATATTTTACATCTTTGGCTTCATTATATTTCTTCTGCTTATAAGCAATGACTCCCAATTCATTTTGAATCATGGGATCAGTAGGATTGATGTCCTTAGCCTATTACAAAGACAAGATTGCAGTCTACAAATTGTTTGTTCTCAGATACTCCATTCCAATATAAACATGAGCCTGATAACAACCAGGGAATTGTCGAGTGATCGATCTGTATATCGACATGGCCTAATCTGACTCATCTTGAATAGCATAAGAATGAGCCAACCCAATCCAACTATAAATGAGATGCTAATCCAATTGAATGGATTTCTGGAACTATTTCCTTGCTACTTCATACTTTCTAGTTGAGAAGTAGTATACTCCAACAACAAACCAACTCAACGCATTTGATGAATAGTTTTCTATCAAATTATGAGCACAAAAGTATAATTCTGCTATCTAATCCAATTCCAATAAACACGATACATATGTTGGAATCACATCAAAATACAATGGATCTTATTTGATTGCCTTTAGTGACCAATCATATGCAGATGCAATATCATAACTATAATAAGCCTTCTTAGCTTTGACATTCAGAATGTCGATATTATTCTTCTTGTCCAATGTTAAGTAGACTAAATCATTTTGAATTGGAATTTCCTCCTTTCTAATGTAAGGACTCCTTATGGGAGATGGCTTCATTTGTTGAGTCTCCACTTTATCCACTATTTATAATTACTAGGCTATCTTTCTTTTCTCTTCTTACAAATGATCTGCTATTTTCTGATTCCCAATATCGCAATTTATTGTCTTGCTTACATAATAGTCTTTTAACCAAGCCTCATCTGAGTTCAGTTGTATTTATTGAATTAGATTCTCCTTCTCATCAGAGGAGATCAAATAGGAATCTACTAACTATTAAAACACTCGCACATTCGTAGGAGTCTTCTGTAAACACTCGTAGTAATTTGAGACTGCCAATTATTTGTTTTCCAATGCCTCATAACATTGTCCTCTTATCCAATCACTTTATGATGTGGGTTCTTCTTGCAATATCTCTATTCCTAATTCATATTGCTTATTTGCATACAAGGCCCTAGCAGCTAATACTGCAAAATCCCCTTATGTTAGTTTGTGCTTTAAAAACAAATTATAAACTCCTGAATATTCTGCATTCGCAAAATGACACTAAAATTATTAGTAATATTACAATTCCAAGCATAAATACCAAATATGCCTATGTATTTTAATCCTGATTCAAACATAACAATTTCTCAGCAAAAAATATAGCCTACTTGTATTGTCCCTAAAGATAGCTACTAATTCCCAGTTGATATATATTCATAAATGATGGATTATTTAACAATTGACTTGCAAAAATTGAATTCGACGATGGATTGAAATAAGGAAGTTGTACTTCATAATACATATTCGAGTATTTCTAAGGTTCGCTAGATGGTCTGATTATTTTTGATGTCTTTTTTTGAATTGACATTAAACAATAATGTTTTAAAATTTGAATTTTTATATATTAATTTTATGTTAATTCTAATTATACTAACTTTTGTACATGCTTTTTAAGAATAAAAAGTTATGGCCAATCTAAATCAACCTTAATTGCATTGTTTAGACATTCAAACTGATAACAAACTCTACGATATTAAAGTATCCTTTCTGGGAAGTGTAGGCATTGACATCTCAATGTTTTGGCAATCTCAATAATAATCATTTATTGAAACCATCAACAATTATTAACCAATGGACACTGTTAAATTAAGATTCAGAAACGATGCAAACAGAAATGAAAATTGCTTCTATGTCGTTGGATATTAAATCTCAAGAGGATTGACACATGACACTGAATTCTAATATATTATTAGTATGGTTTCATATTTTATCAAATTTAGAATTAGAAGAAGTCTTAATAGATGACCTAAATTGGACCTACTTAAGTTAATATCTTTTTGTTATAGTCGTCCCACTTATAGTTGTGTAATTTATTAAATAATGAGTGGATATATTATAAATATTTTTTATTATCGATCTCTATATAGCACTATTTCTGATGTCTATCAAATTTTTACATCAGACTTCTCCTACCAAAGGTGTATATAACCCTAAATTCATTGTAAATATCGTTGTCGGCCATACTAAGCCTAAAGCACCGGATCCCATTCGAACTCCGAAGTTAAGCGGCTTAAGGCGAGGTTAGTACTAAGGTGGGGGACCGCTTGGGAAGTCCTCGTGTTGACAACCCTTTTTTTATTTTATTGATTCTAAAATTTAATCCTGTTATACGAATTATTAAGATTATAAAATAATCTTTGATATTTGTATTATTTTATTATCATATTTAATTTTATGTTTATGAGGATTAAAAATGAAAATTATCTCATTGATGCTTTGATTCTTTATGAACCTTGATCTCCATTGAAAAAATTAAAAGAATAAATAATTACACCAATTTTATCTTAGTTGCACCTTTGTAAACAATTTTAATCATGTATATGACAACATTGAGTTCAAAGAAATAGTATAAATATTAAAATATTTTCACTTCATTTCTCTTAAAATAGTTAAAGATACAATTGCCGTGATCTATATATGTAAATTTTGAATTAAATCATGATAATTTGCTTAATTTTATAATGTCTAGGGTTAATTAAGAATTGAAAATATCAAATACATGTTATATTTTCCATTTATAAATATATATATACTAATATTTTTGATAGATATACATCTTCGGAACTCTAAAATTTGATAATTAAGATACGTCCTCCAAGAAGGATATCATCTATAATGAACAAAAGATATTTAATTCAATAAATTTACAATATGTATAATTAAAGATAATTTAGAATTTTTTCGAATGACATTCCAAAAAGTTCTTATATGTTCAAAAGAATATATTGTTGGGAGCTGGGAAAAATAATTTTATTTTATGAATAATAATCTGCTTTCAAGACTTGAATAAAACAAGTCCGCTCAAGAATCCAAACTAAATACCTTAAGAAAATATTACGAGCTTTCTTCAGAATAAAGAAAAGATCTCGAATATTTTACTCTTATCAAATAGTTCATTAATAAATAAGAGGAATATCATGATACTGACTCTTCCAATGGGTTTAGCATATCTGAGACTTCAAATACTGTGTACATCGAAGGGAGTGAATAACAATAGATATGCATAAAAATGTTTGATATTATAAAATAAATGAAGAGAGCAGTAAAATAGTCTTAAAAATTATGTTCAACCAAGATCAAAAAATTAAATAAGATTATCGAAAAAAGGCATAAAGAGATTAATAAGTTCAAAATTAGCCTTGGTCTGTTATGATTAAAACTATTACTATATTGTTTATTAAATGTATAATATATTTTTTTATATTTAATATTTCTCTTATTCCAATTTATTGATGAATCCTTTAATATCTTAAATAAAATATTCTGTTTTATAATAATAACATACACCATTCAATCAACATATCTCTAATTTCACAAGGTTTCTATTCGAATAGATCAAGTTTTACCTTTTTCTTTATCAAGACAGTTTATCATTTATGTTACATTTAAAGAAATATAACATCTTGTAAAAATTGATTATAAATATTTATATTGAAACTTAGATTGTAATTTGATGAACATATTTCTAAAGTACTTTTTCGAATCTTTTTCCCCATTTTTGGAATTATCCTACTTGATAAGTTATCAGCATATTTGACTATTTATCATAAGCTAACTTAGGTTTAATTTTGAGATTCACTTTTCTAAAGAAATACTTCATTACTATGAAAAGTTTTACTTACTTTTGACTTTCCTAAGTTTAATTCATAGTGAATCATATCAATTATATAAATCATTTTTTCTAAGTAAAGTATTATTTTAATAAGTATCACGAAATTTTCTTTAGTCCATAATAAAACAGAGAGCTTAGCTTTTCTCATTCTTTACTTCAGCCATTCCTTATTTCTTTTTGATTACCTTATTTCCATTTTTGTATATGATTTGAGATCATTGTTCGCATAATCATCACTTTAATTTTTTTAGGAGGATTACTGAACTTCATCATAGGCAAATTTTATATTTTGCTTCAAATTCTCTTTTTATTATAGATGAGTATATAATACAATTTCTTGCCTTAATTAAGATTTGACATTATTTTGTTAGAGTATAATAAAGTCTTTTCATTATTTGTTAATTGAAACTATTTTAAGATGACTGCAATTCAAAGGTTTTATTTTATTACCCTTCCTTATTACTATGAATAAGTTTATGCCATTTATGTCTGCTGTATCTTCAAGCAAAATTTTTTTTTTTCAAAAGATTCATTAAGCAAGGAAAGCAGGGTTTCTATTAGTTTTATCAATTATTTAGGTGAACATAAACAGTGAGTTACATCCATCTATTCAATCGAAAATTTTGAGATATTACTTTGACTTGGTTTTTAATGAACTCATATATAAATGAAAATTAGCTTCATTTAATGATTTTTCTGTTCATCATTTAATTTATATGCCATTACCAAAGACATGTAGATCTCCTCGACTAAGTAATATCTGTTTGAATTATAATACACTATAACATTAATCCTATTATCATATTTTAGAATAATTCCTCGCCCTTGAATTACAAATTTGAACTCTCAAATAAAATCCATTTGGATTTCACCTTTCTGATGAGTTATATAAGCTTATTAATGTAATTAATTTGAAAAACTTCTATCATGTATTTTTGGCACAAGATTAAAGGTCATCACCAGCTGATGAAGAAACCTTAAATTCTAATATCCATTTGTGTATTTTCTTATTTTCTAAGGCTTGGCAATTCAAGGACTAGAATATGATGTTAAAAACGAATTAACTATGACAATTACGCATTATTATATTTTAAATAATCAAGATCTCAAATAACTATTATTCTGGGATTCTTATTCACAAACTAGTATACAATATGTAATGATATAAAATGAGAAACAATTAAAATCGATATTAATAAGAATTAATTTTTAACTACTCTTAGTTTTATAACTTCTTACATTATCAAAAATATATTTAATTTTTACAATGAAATAGGAAAACACCTATTGAGATCAATATATTAAAATTAAGAATAGTAATAAAATATAAAAGGAAACACTATATTATTATAATTTTAAAATGTTTCTCCATTTTTTTTAATGATTTGCTTCTTCATAATAAATGATGAATATCTTACTGCAATTTAAAAAAACAAAACTAAAATATATAGTAATAAATTTCTTGTTTATTATTATATGGACCTACTATTATTGAGTGAAATAATAAATTACATACTTTTAGATGATGATTGAGAATTAAACATAATAGGTTTTTAAAAGCAAAATAATTTTTGGTAATTTGGCTAAATAATAAAAAAAACAATATGTATTCCCTTCCTGGAAGTAAATAACGCATTTTGTTGCCCTAAAAACATAAAACAATTTGCTTTAAACCTGAAATCAAAGAAACTTAGAGACTAAGACATGCAAAGGCTCTTCATCCTTTTCATTAGAAGTTCAAACCCATTTCGACGAAATGCTTGGAATATGCTCTTTCATCAAGGTAGGATTGTTAGTCTATTATAAGTTCAAGCGAATCCGAAGGGGAATGTGAAAACAATAAAAGTTGTCATTGCAGAGATTGTGGACACTAATCCAAGAAAATGAAACATATGAAAAAGAAATATCGACGTTTTAGTCCTGTAATGCATGGAAGGATTAGAGAAAGGAGAAATAAGCTAAAACAAAAATTTAAAAACGCTGTTTATGTCATCATGTGGATGCTAAAGTTAGTAATCCAAAGAAAGAAGAAACCAATGATAATAAAAAAGATAATCAGAATGAAAACTAAATTCTTTGAACCTTCTCCAGAACCACCATAACAAAATTAGTAGATCATTTATCTAGAAGTAAAATCTTAATTATATGTTTGAAAGCCAATCCAACCAGTTCAAGTTTAAATGATTGACTTTAAACACAAATAGCGACAATCAATAGTCAACTATCTAAACAATAAATTGCAAGATTCAGAACGCCATGCAGATAATTATCAGTTATCACTTCCAAAAGTACGATAATAAAATAATCTCTCCAGTAGCCATTCCAAATTACTATTAAAACCTTTGAAAACCTAGAATGACGAAGGCCTTACTCCTTAAAGAAATAATCTACGTTCTATCATACACAAAGCTAATCCTTCATTACAATCCTCAAGTTCTCCTTATTTAAAGCAACCACCTCTAACAACAAGGATAAGGTCACTTTAAAATAGACTCTACCTATCAGGCAGGTATTGAAATGTGAATGATCTATTATACTGTGTTAATTGCATTATATATTAGAAGCTATCATAATCATTTCAACTCTTGCTACTTGATTCATTAAAGAATCCTATCTATTAAAATTTTGTTAAATATATAGCCAACATTCTTCATTAAGAGAGTTATTGATAACAAAGAAAAATAACTACCATCACTCACTTACATTTAAATATGTATTAATAACAACAATTTACTAGATAATTTTCAAACATACTAGTATTAATGAACTCAAAATAAGTTTTTGTTTTTTTTTCTTGAGAATGAGCATTCTAAAATTATTTATAAATGTCTTATCCAAATCTCTATTTCTCTAAGTTTAATATAGCCCTCTTTGCAGTCTATTGCAATTAATTGTGAATTTAGATTTAAGTAAAGATAATTGTGTTTTTGCTCTGATTATATAAAATACCTAATTACTTATGTCACTTTCTTATACATAAGTGATCTTCAAAAAGATTTAAAATATAATTAAGCCATTTGGTAATAATGAATAGAACATAATTTAAATTGAATAATTTATTAATATTAAATAACTGTTTATCTTAAGCAAGAATATACAAAAATATTTGAAGGCGTTTTAATAACAAAAATCAACATCATATGATTTTAATATGTCTGAGTCTGAAATTGCAATGTTGATAAATGTTCATTAGTTGAGGGAAAGAAAGTACTAAAAATAAAAGTATATTGATCAAACGGAGATGAAGAGTGAAAGGGCAAGATAGTCATTGTTCTATTAAACTACTTATTATAATCCACTATGGTTAAAATAAAGATAGCTAAGAAATGTGGAATACCATAATTAAGAATTTCACTCATTTCTACTTTGAGTAATGCTATGATTTTGAATTTGAGAGGTGGTTTCTATTGAGAAAGCAAAGATGTACAAAGAACCAATCGGAAGGCTCTGATTTTTATATATGGGCTATAGATAAGTCTAGAATACTTTAAGCAAATGGGATATTTAAAGTGCAATTTGAATCAAATGAAGAGAATATATGAAAAGTTGATTTATAATGATAGGGTTTGGAATGCGATAGATGAGTGAATCATTGATCAACATATAGATGTGAAATAGGGGTTTGAGTTTAGTTTGATGCTAATGTATTAAAACGGATATGCATAATTAATTTTAATGAAAATAGTATTATTGCTATGCATGATGGTGGCTGTCTCTTTTGGAATCTCATCTAAATTAAGTCATGCGAAGAAGTTGGAAGAACTACATGGTAGCAAGTTGGGCAGGACCATATTGAATTTAGTGAATCTTCATTCATCAGTATAGGGGCCAATTTCGGAATTGATTGAAGCAATAGAAGAATTAGTAAGATTAGAAATAATAATAGATAGCTGACATTAACACTAATATTGATGAAGTAGAATACAAATTTTAAGTACGCACAAACGAACATAATTCCTATGTGGCTTAGGTTGGACAACAATTGCAAGATGCTGAATAAGATATTGCAAGAATGATAGATGTCATTGACAATTTATTGATCCCAAGAAGAGACCAAATAAGAAATAAAATAGAGTCACTCATCGAATATGATGAATTCAATAGAAAAAACGTAGATGAAACTACACTCCTCAGAGAATAAGAACATGAAGCCTACCTTCAGTAGATAGAAGAAGATAATGATGCACTTGATGCCGTTGATGATGCCATCAATTTGGTAAGTTCTTTATCAAACCCATCCTTATTACAAATTAAGAATATCAAATTTACATTGAAAAGATTGTCATCCAAATAATGGAATCGTGTACATCAAGGACCTATGGTGTAAGCATTGCTATAAATTGCATTAAACTAAAATTTCAGTGATCAAGGAATATTGAAGCAAATTGTAGATGCATTGAATGAATTCAGAAATCAAGTTGTTGATGCTATGAACGCATTAACTAAACAAGAATAAGTGAACATCGAAGAATTCGAAGAAAGACTAGAATAATTGGATGAAGAACATAGAGAATTCCAAAGACAAATCAACTAATCTTAAGTTGAGCTGGATGCTACTAATTGTATTTTTAATTGATATATAAAATATAGAAAAAATAGAAGATTGCAATCAATTCCTTGTTTAAAGATAGGCCGACAGACAATAATACAAATCCCAATTAGATTTAGAAAATGAAACCTATGCTGTTGACACCGACATCTACACCCAAACTGCTAATGAACTCCAAAGAGAATTGCCTATTGCAGAATAAGGATTATCGCTCATCAAATCAGCTGATTTTTCTGATATTAAGATATGAATCACATAATAATTATTTATTTAATAATGAAAAGCAAAATCAAAAGATAACCTCTTTAATTTGCCATCAAATTGACAACATTAAATTAACACTTTGATTGCAAAAATCTCAAGGTTCTCAATCTTCAGGGAATAAAATTATCACAACTAGAGGTAAAAGTGGAAAGTCTATCAACTCTTATTTTAGATTATAACAACCTTAGACATTTGAACATTATTTCACAATTTCCTAATTTAATCACTCTATCGATTGCCAATAATTTAATTGATGAATTCTTTGTCCCTCCAAGTATTGTACCTAATATTATCAAGCTCTTAGGATTTTAAATATATCGAGTAATCTCCTAAAGACTATCCATTTGAAATAATTGGAGCAACTAGATGCTAGTTCTAATCAATTATAATTCCTTTAATAAGATACTTAAAATAATCTCATACAATTAAAGTTAGATTGGCTAGGAATAATAAATAAAAATGATATCTGGGAGCATTTAACAATAAAGCAATTTACTGATTAATCATAAATTACATTTAGATAGTTTTTGGACAAAGCCATTTAATAACTGCTACAATATGGATTCAAAAAAGAGGATAATTATTTCAATTAAAGAATTGTACATACATGTATTTTGAAAAATGATAAGTATTATTTTGACTTAATCTTGCCCTATTATTATGAAAATCGTAATAAGTTTGATAATTCTGAAACTCCTTTATGTCTAGCAATAAAAAAACTAAAAATGAATTTTATAGGAGATCTTATGAATTGCATTCAAATCAAATATGAAATCGATGCATTTCATGAATCCATAAAATAAGGACAAATTTCATTAGTTAAGTAGTTTCTGGAGTTAGGGATTGATAGCAATGGTTATAACAAAAAAGGGTTGACTCCCTTAACTAATGCTGTATTGAATATTACTTAAGTAAATATGGAAATGATAATCCATTTACTGCTTTAAAGTTAAGCTAATCCAAATAAATTGAATTAGAATGGGTAATCCTTAATTCAAATGTGTATCATTAAATCCAATTTAACTGCACTTAGATTTATTGCTAATTTCAATAAAATCAAGTTAACAAACTTAAAATTCAAAATGAACATCAAAAATATTAATGGAGATTATCCATTGCATTTAGCTGTGAACAGCATTAGTATCCTTAATTTTTTAATCAGAAACTAAATTGGTAATCCATTATAAATTAATTATTACAATCTTACAGCTAAATAGATGTCATACACTTAATCTAGAACCCTAATTTATAAGTTATTGCAAAAAGAAGAAAGAATTCAGATCTTAAAACAATTAACAAAAAACAGTATGAGATTTTAAAAAATGAATAAAGGTTAAGCCAAATAAAAAGATTATAATAGTGACAGTTCTTGTCCTGAACTATCTGATGATGAAATGCCCAATAAACCTAAAATCAATAAAAAATATATTACTGAGCATTTCAATTTGAGTGAAGATATAAGATAGCTGTCTGAAGATGATGAATGCTAACATAATTATAGTTCTGAATCGGAAATAGAATATCCAAAATATAATCTATAATCTCTCAAATTAGAGCAATTAAATTATTAAAATAATCAATTGTTTAAACAAAATTAGGATGTACGACAAAAAAGTATATTCATCAATAAAATCAATAAGAAAAGACTAAATACCATTTAATTTAATTATTATTCAAGGGAAGGATAAAATTTCAAAGATAAAATTAACTCTTTAATTATTTTAAGATAAGAACTTAATCTTCTAGGATATATGATGTAATACTCAGATTTAATTTGTTCTGACTTTACTTCGTATATCAGTAAACTAAATCAAACTATATTCAATTTAGAATCGGACTTTCAAAACGATTCTCTAAAAGATTATATGAATTTTTAATAAGTTTAATTTTTATTATGAGTTACTTTAGTGATATCAATATTAATTATTTAATGTAGAGTATTTAAGTCTCACTTGCTGATAAATATCCTGATAGAGTGTATGATTATAGTACATTAACTTTAGTCCAATTTTGCTTGAAATTACAGATAAATCTAAAATTCGGTTTTCAGATGGATCATAATGCAAAAAATATTTGGTTAGTAAATCAGATCACTTTTATCACTTTTTTTAAATACTCAGAAACTCTTTAAAATTGTCAAAAAAAGAAGCCATATATTTATTTGTCAATAATTCTGGATTGATTAAACCTGGTACCTAAAATTTCTTAATTAGAAAGTCAAGTTGGAGAAATCTATTCTAAACATCGTAGTAGTGATGGTTTTTTAAGAATTATTTTAAGTGAATATGCTACGTTTGGATGATATTTTTGAGGATCGAATATTATTTCTGAATAATTTTTATATTTTATTTAAAATTTTACATAATTGTATATAACCAATAGACATTGTTTTCAAGATTTATATCATTTCATTAATTAATAGGATTGTAACAATGAGGGAATATCGACATTGATACAATATTGAATCACAAAATGACACAATACACTATGAACTATAAATTAGAGTAAAAACTTAAGCAGGAACTAAGGTCTGAAATGTAAAACAATGGAGATAACTTAATTAATTAAACTCAATAAATTATTCCATAAATCCATGATAAAAGTATTTTGCTCGATAATCCAAAATAACTGTCCTTATTAATTGAATAACATATAATTTCAAAATGAATTTTTTCTCATACATATATGTTCTTATCTCAAAATTAGAAGTTCATGAGATTTCTAAATTTCTGGAAATATGTTGCCATCCCAATAATTCTTTATCATGATCGGAGGATCTTTGTGTTTATAAACATAAAACGAAGAGGATTTTCTCAAAAATTAGTTGGACAACAACACTTAGTTGCAGACTTGTTAATCCTTTGGACAAGGTGGGATTTTTTCAATTTCTATTTATTATTTTATTGTGATAGCATTTTAATGCTTTTCTTAAGAAATAACCTTAAAAATTACAAATTAATTAAGCTCTAATTTCTTCTCTGGCAAAATTAAAGGCTTATTTTTTAATTTTGATTTGGAAATAGTGATATTTAAATATTTCGATATCGCAATATATGTCTACATATTGCTGTATATAATTGATTGCATCAGCTAATAAATAAATCTGAATAGTTTACTAAATTAATTAAACTTTAATAACTCATTTTTTAATAAAATCAACAAAATTAGTGCACTAATAGTCAAAGCCTTAATTCCGTCTATATATAACATCAGCATAATGAAATTGGTTAACTAAGTTGGTATAACAATATACTTATGGTTTGACTTGATTTGTAAATATACATAAGTACCATTAAACTGTAAAAAAATCAGATTAAAGGTTTATTTTATGAAAATGCGTTTTTAATTCTGGAATGTATTCTTAGATGTAATAATCCAATATCTATTAGTCAGTTAATGCACTCAAAATATTCGTATAATAATCTATCGGCATAATAGTTTCCAAAATCTATGTGAATGTCCAAAAGGCATCTTCTAAATCAAATTTGAGAGTATTGATTAAATAGTTGACGATGAAGTTTTATCCCTAACAATACCCAATTTCAGGATTTCTGATAGAATAAGCAATTAAGACTGTTTCAATTTATTTTTCTATTTACTTTTTCTTTATTGAATCAAGGTGATTTAGAGTTCTAACAGAGTCCTATGATTCATATGGTGAATATTTACTAAATAGATGGGTTCAAACAATTCAGGAGGGTACTTATCCTTCTATTCCAGCAATTGTTAAAAGACTCCCTTATTTTACAATTTAATTACTCTAGCTCCAGACAGTTCTAGTAAGACCCTTAATACAATGATTTAGATACCAATTGATGTTCAGATCACAAAAATCACCTGTTTTTATTAGTTTTTTGACTGTCTTTTTGATCTCTAAACAATAACATTCCTTAGTGTACAAATATTTTAGATGCTAAAGATTATAATTTAAAATACAGTGTTAATTTACTCAATGACTAATTCTGGCTTATTTTAAGATTTCGCCTTAATTTGTAACTAATCTCTTCTAAAGGGTTTGAGTTGATTATTCTCATCTTTGATACTCATTTTCAAAGCTTCTTGAATATCTACTTTCATTTCGTCATTCAAGATCTTCTAATAAATATCGTTTTGCTTGTCTCTGATGTAATTTAATCGTTGAATAAGTAAATTCTTTCTTGGCTTTTTTTACATAATCAATTAATTAAATGAAAGAAAATGAATTAACTTAATTATATAAATACTTAATTTACAAATGATGATGATGAACAAACATAGCAATTACGATGAATGCGATAGATTTGATTTATCATAATAATGATATTTTTACTATAATTTATCTTACAATAATATATTATTATTTTTGCTGATTTCGCAAATAATGGAGAACTAGCATCAATTCATAGTACTTTTGTTAGGAGATTGCAATACTGGGAAATCAACCATAGTTGGGAGGTATTTAGAGAACAAATTGGTTGACCCGTAACCAACAGTTGGAGTAGTTAAAAGGGAAACCTAAATCGATATCGGTAATGGAAATTAGAAAGCTCAAGTAATTTCTGGTCTAATTAGATCTATGATACATCTGGGAGTGAAAAATTTAGAGCTTAAGTTTTGGGTGAATTCAAGAATGCATCAGCTGTTGTGTTGGTTTATGATATCACTGATTATCAGAGCTTTTAAAATGTCTAGACTCTACAGAAAGGTATTTAGCAGATTTATTGCGAATTAGAGGTCATAAGATAGAATCCAAATGTAGATTATTGGATAGTTGTGGGGAACAAGTTGGATTTGAAAGAACAAAGAAAAGTCCATATCGATGAGGGAAAGAAGTTTGCTTCGTAGATTGGGGCTAGATACATTGAATGTTCAGCTTAGCAACCTAGCAATATCAATTTGATATTCTTAACTATCTAACAATGGACTTAGATTAATATTTAACCGAAATATGTCCCGGAGTAAACTCAAAGGCTTCTTGAGAAATTGAATAATGATGAATAACAAAAGCAATTGTAGACTTCTTCTTCAAAAAACAATTAAACCAAATTCAAAAATAAGAATACAAGTTTCTCTTTGATTTAGAACAATACAAATAATGTAGTTTCCTCTTCATTTGATGATCAATAAAGTTCGTTTAATGGGGATAGCATGTAAGATTATTTTGCTTAATTATTGAAAAAAACAGATATGTAGACTCAAAAAGTAAATTAATGATATTATTAAGTTAGCTGATGTGATTGTAGAAGAAGCATAAGATAATGTGATTTCATCTTTGAGATAATAAACCCTGGCAATATCAAACTCCAAACCTTTATATATTCTCGATGATGCCAATGCCCAATTATAAGAAAAAAATGAAGATAAAATATCAATGATGAAAAAGAAACATAAATAATTAGATAAATTAAGAAAAGAAATAGCATAGAACTTGTTACTTGTGCAGGAACAAAGGAAGAAGCTCACGACTGACTAAGTCATAGAGAATACTTAAACTTAAAAGTTAGAGAAGGAATTGCAAAAGAGATTATTGAGTGTAGAACGAAATATGGATTTCTTGAAAACAGACATCTTACTCACTTAAAAAACTTAGAAGTTTAGCACTAATAAGAATAATTTTATGTCAAATGACTAATCACAAATCCTCAAATAACATATTAATTAAATTCATAATCCTGAACATATTAAGGAGTAGAATGAATAAATTGCCAAAATTAAAAACGAAAGGAAGAAACTGGAGGAATAAAGAAATCATAGATATAAATAGTATATTGATAATTTAGAAGCTCTATAAAAGTAAGAAAAAGAAATGAGGTTAAAGAACGAATAAGATTTAATTCAAAAGAGAAAAGAAAAAGCTATGTAGAATATAGCTTCAATGGATAAAATCAGACAGGAAAGATCCTAATAAATGATTAAGCAAAATGAATAGGTTAAATAAATTATTGGAGCAACACCTCTGCATGTTAAATTGGAAAATATATTCTAAGAAAAGAATAACAATTCTTAATTAGAGGAACACAAATTAAAATTGAAATAAATCAGAGATCTGCATTAACCTATTAGAATGAATGATCTAAAATAATGGGAAGAAAATTACGATAAGAGGAGGAAATCATAAGAGGAGATAAGAAACTAAAAAATCCAATAAAATAACCAAGTATCTTATCAACCTTCTTATGAATCCTCTATTTATAGATAAGTAAAAGAGTAATAATGTAAATAATTGAAGGAGAAGGAATTAAGTCACAAAGAATACCTATCAAAGTAATAAGCTAAATAAGAATTTTTAAATAAACTCAAGGATTATCTTCCTTCTATTAGTCCTGAAAAGTAATAGGAATTAGAACAAATCATTAATAAAGCACATCATAAAATCAATTTCTATGAATTCATTGAGATGACGAAAAAAATTAAATTAAAAGGAGTGTTTTTTGATAAAGATGGAAAAATTCTAGAAAGAAATGTTGATGTAAAATTCTTATGTATATAAGATAGGAAGAATATTATGAGAAAATAAAAGAAAACGAAAGGAATGAAGAAGAAAGTGCTAAAACAATAGGAAATAAGTATCTAAATGAAGTAAGGAGATTTATCAAAAAGCCAAGTTAACATGAAAGTGTTGATAAATTATAAAGTCAATCTAATCCACAATAGGGTTACTAATAAGCTGTTAGAAATCCTAAGTAAAATAAATTGAATGAAATCAAATCTCATTGGAAATTAAAACCAAAAGTGGTTTTTGAAGAAACTGATCTTGAAAAAATCATTGATGGTAATGAAGGTAACAATGTTTAATATTGAAGTGGCTGGGTTCTCAAATCATCATGTTATGCAGGAGGCAAATAAACTGGCATCTGAAGCAGTCAGAAAAATATAGATTATAGAGGCGAAGGGAGAAGGGAAAGAATGCTTTAAAGATATAGAATCAGCAGATAAATTGTTAATTAATTCCATTAAGGTTGATATTTGAAATATTAAGTTTTAGGCTAAGCTATCTTTAATGGATAAGGAAGTCAAATCTGAAAATAGAGGTATTGAAATATCTTCTAACAAGAAGAGAGGAAGAAGTAATACTAAATAGCGTTTATGAATCCGTTTTGCATATTCATTAAAACTTATTAAATATTACTATTTATCTCTAATTCTTATATGTGTATTATCAATAGTATTGAATAGAATTATTCAAATTTAATTTAAGAACTCAATATGGTTTTTCATCTTCATTCAATTTATTTTGAATAAATTCTAATGCTAAATTTTCGCTTAAAGTACTGATATATTAAATATTTATATTCAATTAATTATAAAAGTCATATATCATAAATTATATGGTTTATTAGTCTCTAATCTGAATCCTTAATTTTAAATATATTCAATTTTGATTTCAAAATTAAAATCATTTAAAATCTATAATACTAAGAAAATAAGAATAATTTTATGTAAAATATCTTAAAAAATGATAACAAGGATAAACATAATTAAAAACTGATATTATATCATAATTTAATATATCTAATAACTTTTCATATTAATTAGTCAAATCTAATCTGTATACAGTCCATATAAACCAAATGAAATTGAAATAATAGCAAAGAATATTGAAAAAATGAATGTAAACCAGGCAAAGCATTTTTTATATATATCAGCGTCGATCTTAAATTGCTTATCCAGATATAAAATGGATGGTATAAGAAAAGTTACAAAATTCTATGAAGTAGATCCCATTAAGCAACTTAATAGTAAAATAGGAGGTTTAGCCATGGCAAAGAGGAATGCCAGTATATAAACAATAATAGTCACATAAAATGAAAACTATTGGTTCTACTTGAGTTTGGCCTCTTCATGAATAGCAAATGATTATCTAAATTTGTGATTCATAGTCTATGATTTTTTATTGTCTTTTTCATCTTCCTTATGAAAATCACCATCAGTTATTAACATGAATTCAACATTCTTCTCTTTAGGAATCAATGGTTTTTTATCCCAAATGTTGAGTACTAAAACTGTAACATATGGAATGTATTATAATAATTGCAATTGGGCACTTACTGCAATCAGAATATAGAATATGTAGAAATAGGAATTACCTAGAGGAGGAGTGAAGTTTTTCGATTGGTAGACCATCCTAATTAAATTTCCGTATAATGATTAGAGATCAACGTTTACAGAGCTAAATGCAATTGCAGCCAAAATTGAGAATGTTAATTCAACGCATAGTAAAAACAACGAACCAAATAATGCACCTTATTTTAATTTCTTTTCGATGTCATCATCGTTCTCAAATCCTCTTTCTGATGCTCTCCCTGTAAAAAACTATGAGTGATAGGCAAAGGCCATCAAAATCGTTGGTGTTGAAATGAAGGATTGTACAACTTTCTGACTCGAAGGGTAGAGAGTGTTGTTTATGGAGTGTGTAAGGTCGAATGAAGCTATGACGATAAAAAAGATAGAAAAGACACCCAAAATCCTAGCAATGGCAACTATGTAAACTGGGTATTTCCATTTAACAAAAAATGGAATCATCAATAGACTACCGATGAATTATATGAATTGCTGTGATGCTAAGGATTGGGCCCACTTGAATAGTTGATCATATTTACCTGGTCTTTAATATTGTTATTGGCCATCATATATATTAATGATTATATGGAAGACTGAAATACACTCATCAGTAGGACTATGTAAAGATATGCGTTGAATATCATGATGCCACGATATATATCAGCTGAGTACTTGGGCATTTGAAATAGTTCAAATAACTTTGTTAGAGTTCCTTGCTTCTTCTTGGATCGAGCATAGTACTTCAGATCCAATAGAAGTAAAGATTAGAAGAAACTCAAAATAAAGAAAAACAAGCAACCAAACACTCCGAATATTATTCCAATCATTTAGAAGTAAAAGGGTAGAGTCAATAAGCTGAACACAAACGAAGAATTGACCACTCGGAGCATAAAATTGAAAGTCTCGTTGCCTTTCGATCTATGTCTGCGAGGAGAAAGCATTGGACTACTGATGTCACCAGCTGAATGCCTTATTATTTAATAATCTACTCTAGCATATCGGATGAGCTCGAATTCTTCTTCTTCATTTAATTAAAATTAATAATGAAAAGAACAAAGGAAACTATCTTTAGACAACATCCCGAATGGTAACAAAGACAAGGAATCAGTGGCCTCAAGGAATTCGATGGCGAAGATCTGTGTATCTCTTCTCATTTTATGTTCGTTAGAATATGATGCTCGAAATAAATATAATAAAGAGTAACAGAAGCAATGGATTCAAGAGCAAATCCAAGAAAAGAAAAGAAAATAAGAATAAGAGAAGGCAGAGGAAATGGCCTATGCCTAACAAACTTTAGAAATCAATAGGTTTAGAGGAATGCTCCAAGATAACTTTGCAGCCAGAAAAACAGATATAGGCGTTGCTGCTAAACAAACTAATCTACAATTCGTACTCATCTCATTCTAAACCACTAGGCTAAAGAAAAGAAAGACAAAGAAGAAAGAGATAAATAAGAGAAGTTATAATATGAAAAAAACGAAAGGGATTTATTACTTGAACGTGGACGCAAACAACCCTATAACGGATGACACAATGATTTTATTATCAAAAGTCAAACTTATGTCATATTCTATAACAAATGTTCCATCCCTTAATTATTTGTACATCATTTTATTATCTCATCCAATTTAAACTAAATATCTATCAGAAATGTTGAATCATCAATAGAACTGATAGTACTTACATAAAATTTACTACTATCTCTATTTTTATTCAAAATTTGTGAAAATTTTAAAAGAATTATAACCCTTTTTGATTCTCAAATTATATGTCTCTATTTTTTATGGATATTTCATTATAAACTGATTTATTCATGGAATTTTTCAATGTATTATCATGAAATTTATAAAATTTCAGAATTATTTATCTGATCTATCTTATCAGGTCTTCTGATCTGAGTTTAAATACAATATAAATCTAAAGTGTAAATCTTATACTGAATTGTAATTATTTCCTTATTGTACACTTATATTTGATTACATTATATAAGATATAAGAAATAAAACTAACACATTAAAGGAAGGTGAATTTAACTTATTAGTTTCAATGAATGTTATTATAAAAATCCAGACACTAACAATCTATTAATGAAATTTAAAAATAAATATTAATTTTATAACAGACCATAATGCAAGTGAAGCGAGCTGTGCCAAATCCAATAGATAATTTTCATACAGAACCTCGTTCATCATAATAATCTTGTCATGTGACCAAATCTAAGCCAATAATACCCACTACTCCTCTTTAATAATCAAAACCTAATAATTTAATCTAATCATTAAATGGATTGTGTAAATACTTCAATCAGAAAGAGGAGAGCAAATAAATTACTTATTATGCACCGAAAAGTATGTAAAGATCATCTGCTTCATTATCACCCAGAGAAATCATGGCTGCCAATATTTAAGATAATAGTCCGCTTTTGGTGAAGTAACTGTTATATGGTAAAAAAGATCAGAAAGAGAATTTTAATCCTAAAGTAGGTATGAGTATAATGGAAGTAAAATAAATGCCTCATTTGAGTATCAATTAAGACCAGAAATTAGTCAAGGTTAATGATAGTAGCCACAAAAAAAGTATGGGTAAATTTGCAAGGAACCAAAAGTCTCGAAATGCTTCTGTGTAATATCACGAAGACTGGAAATTAAAATATGAAGAACTGCAATAAAGTTTATGCGAAAGAATTTAATAATTAGAAAATGAATTGGAAAGCATGGAGAAGAATAGAAAAACAGATTAAATGCACTCTGATTAATAAACCAATCAGTATATTGAACAATTGCAATATATTATTTCTGAAAAGGATTAAGTGATATATGAATAGGAATTAAAAAACGAGAAATTGCAAAATATTGTCGATATGTAACAAAAGGAACTATAGAAACATAAGGAAGGCAAATACAAAGTCAATGATACAAACGAGATTTAAAGATTATAGCAAATAGATTAAAAATTTCAATAAATCAAAGGACATCTACCAGCACTTAATATCACGCTTAAGAATATTTAGTCTATATTCGATGCTGCCTCGTCGGAACAGTAAATAAATAATTTATCTCTATCCTCCGTCTCCATGGTTGAATTGATTAATGAATTTAATCAAGGTGTCGAAGAGAACACATAGAAGTCAATTAAAAGCAATACTTTAATGACTTCCAATCTTCTAGAGTAAAAACCAATTAACCTTTCAGAGATTCTAAACAAGAAGAGAAACCTATGATTTCAATAAATTTACAATAATTATGATTACTTAATTAAATTTAGTTGAATGATCTCTTAAATTGGAGAAATTCTCCTTGAACAATTGAATAAATAGTATAAATTTTATATTGAAATGGATTCACATGAATACAAAGAAAACTATTATGATGCAAATATTATGAAAAGAAGAAGAGCGTAAGATAAAGTGATGGTTGCTCCAATCCTGGAAGTCTTTATGGATATTTGTAAGAAACTAGATTATGTAATCACAATTAATTTAAAAAGAGACATCAAAGGAATATTTATAGATGGTGATACCAATTAATGAATCAAGAGAAGCTCTTTAAAATACTGATTAAATTATCATATTGAATTACTTGAAATAAATAGCTATTTATCTGATAAAATCGAAATTAGAATTAGAGGATAAATTGTGCTCTCTTGGGGATAGCAAGTAATTTGAAATTGAGTTATAGAAGATGGAAGCAGACATAAGACAACACATAAGAGTGCAATAATAACTCTAAATCTTACTAGAATAAGCTTAATAGAAGATAGATGAATTTGAATCTGAAAAACTTAAATCCGAATAGTTTATAACTGAATTAAAAAAAAGTCTTGATAATAAAGAAAGAGAATTGATCTCAATTAAGAACGAACTCCAAGACACAAAACACAAGGGAAACCAAAAGGCTCCCTTCTAAGCAACCAAAACAGAGCCTATCCAATCCTCCATGGATCACTTAGACAATTTATAACTCTTCACCTTGGTTGAGAATTCTCCGAATAAAAATAATTTTAATTAAGTGTAAGCAGCAATTCGCAAGGGACGCAATCAATAATTAAGCAAAGAACCCTAAAAGCCCAAAGGTGATAACACTCCTTAATTGAGTAAGTGTTGTTCCATAATAAAAGAATCTTAAACTCAAGACTCCCCAGACAAAATAGCAAGGAAATATTCATAGCCAAATTACATGGAGATAAATGCTCTTAGATAGTTAATCAAAAAACCATGGTAAAATAGTTATTAATCTATAAAGTCCACTAAATCAGAGAAACGAACCTCAGAGTTTTAGGAGCATTAGTTAAGAACCTTCCCGTGTCCCTAAAAAATGCTGATTTATAAAAGATTTATTTTTAATATTAACATTAATGAATTCTACAAAGTCTGAAATACTTTTTGCAGGATTCAACCAAGATTCAAGTAAACTATTAAAAAACCATAGGCATGTTTTGCGTTGGCACTGACACTGGATTTCGAGTTTGTAATGCATTAAATTCAACTGAAAAATTTTAAAGAGATTTGAAAGGAGGTATTGGTCATGTAGAAATGCTATACAGAAGCAATATTTTGGCATTAGTTGGAGGTGGCTTATAGCCCAAATATCCTGACAATAAAGTGATCATATGGGACGATCGTAAAAATACTATTTCTATTTTAGATCTTGTAAAATGTATTGGAGAAATGAGTTTCAGAACTAAGATTAAAAATGTTAGATTAAAAAATGATAGAGTGGTTGTTGTTCTTGAGAAAAAGATATTTGTTTATAATTTCACTGATTTGAAACTCCTTGATTAAATCGAAACATGTCCCAATCCAAGAGGTATATTAATAAAATTAGAATAAGGAATTTGCACTATTAATACAGAGGGAGATCATACAATTTTGGCCACATTAGAGAAATCTGTCGGCAAGGTTTTTGTAAACAATTATGACGCTAACAAAGCTTATTGTATAGAGGCTCATGTTTCGCCAATTTCATATCTTCAATTAAATTCATCTGGGACAAAATTGGCTACCTCAAGTGAAAAAGGCACTGTAATTCGTATTTATGATACAAATACTGGGTACTCTAAAACATTTAAAATAGTTAAATTTCATAAGAACTTCGAAGAGGAAATGATTATGCGACAATTACTAGTTTAGCCTTTGATTTCAGATCATAATGGTTAGGTTGTGCTTCTGATTAAGGAACTATACACATTTTTGCAGTTAATTAAGAAGGATAATAATAAGAATAGCAAACTCAGAATTAGATTTCTCACAATCCAAAGAGTAAATTTGAATTTCTCAAGGGGTTCATTCCCATATTGGGATCTGAATGGAGTTTTGCTCAGTTTAGAGTGCTTGATACAAAGTGCAAAGTGTCATTTGTGCCAGATGAACATCAATTGATTGTGATTTCATATGAGGGAAAGTACTACAAAGCATAGTTTGATCCTTAAAAAGGTGGAGAATGCATAAAAGTGGAAGAGAAATAGTTGATTAGCGACAAAGTTTGATTTAATATGTTAAATAACTCATAAACAAATTAAATTCTAATATCAAAAATATTTGTAGCTTAATGTCATCAGGATTACGAATAAGCTACGGCTCTTTTGGAACAGTTAACAGGAAATTTGGTTGAGAATTTGAATATGTTCAATAAACATCCCAAAATCCATAAAATACTACAGGACAACTTCGAAATATTCCCTGAGAATTATTTAGTTTAACCACAATAGATGGATGAAGGTATTGAACAATATCATAAATATTTGGAGTAGATTTGCAATTAGACAAGTAAGGAAGGTAAATGATTGAATAATGTTGTAGAGAAGAAAACCAAGAACAAGAATCCCTGGACTGAGGAAGAAAGGAGATTATTTAAATAAGCAATAAAAGAAGGGTCATCAAAAGATTGGAAAGCTATGGCAGCAATCATAAAAACACGATCTCCTCCGTAAGTTCGTTCCTATTACTAAAAGTATATGAAAAAGAAAAGATAAAAATTAAAGTCAGAAAACAAAAATGAATGAATAAATAATATATATATATATATAATTAATATATTTATGTCTCAATAGAATATATAGATTATTAAATAGAGAACCAATGTAATCTAATAGCATTGATGGCAACTGGCACCATCCCACCTGCATTCAGCATTATCTACAACATAGCTGAAACTTAGACATTAAGTCGCGTATGTACCTTTATCACATGTTTATTGATGACAAGAATTGAGATGTTGACTCCAAAAACACCTGGGGTGATTTTAGCAATACAATTCTACAGCAAATTCACTACAAAAAAACTCAACGCATCCTAAATGAGAAGGATAGCATTGTTGTTGAGTTAATTTATTCACACTTGGACATTCGTGTAAACTATAATCGCTACACTTCTTGGTCTTACATTCATTATCTTCCCATTTACAATATAACTAATTGCATGAATGGTTATATGTTATGTCTTCGCAATTTTCTAAAGCAATACAAGAGTCTGCATTTTCACCATTTAAAACGCATTCGCTCGTTTTTATGCCAACTACTTAAATAGCTCCAACACAAAATTCCACATCATAATCTTGACACAATCTCTGATCAGCCTCAGAAACACAGATTTTTTACTAATAATCCCACCGGCATTCTATTTCAGAGCAATTTTCTTCGTTGGAATCAACTTCTACAATTTCTTGTAATTACTCACAACCTGTCAATTCCTTACAATATCCTCCCGTTATGTTAAAGAAACATCTCAAATTTCCAGCAAAATATGAGCAATCATCTCTTGTTCTTTCAAGGCAATTTGTCTCTTCACATTTGCCAGATTTTGTTTCAAAATAGCACCCTCTAGCATCTCTACATAAGTCCTCAAAATATATATCGTTGCATTAACATTTTTTTGCAATAGAGGTATAGAGAAAATATAAGACCCAAAATAATAATGGCAACATTTTATTTTTTAATCAATAGTATTTGAAACGATATATAAAAAATTAGCAATGTTTTTAATTTCAAATAATCATATTGAGGAGATTTTATACTTAATTCAAATGGCATTCTTAAGAATTTGTATAAGATACTAGAAATTTTCCAGATCTACTATTAATCTTTAAATTAATGTAAGTTTCTCTTGAACTTAGATTAAAGATAATTAAACTTAAACCCTGATTTTCGGTGAATTTTTAATTGCAACTATAATTAAATCTAAAAATTTTTTTTTTTTTTTAAAGTATTCAGTTATCTATTTCTAACAATCTATTGACTTATAAATAATTTTATGGTCAAATTGGTAATGAATATAATAAAAATAGTAAGGAAAATTTATTACAAAAATAATTCTAATTTTTTAATGATTTCTAATTTTAAAAAATTTTAGGGAATTAATGTTGGAGATCTTTTATAATTCAAACGAACCATTAATTAATAAGGAGTAGTAACAGCTTTTAACTTTCAATTATCAATATAAAAGTAAATTAATATTAGAGAACTTTTATAACAAGTTATTTAGATTTTCAATTATCACATTTGGCATCAATAATAAGACTTGATTGCATTTATTAAATCTTGTTACTTTTGATTTATAAATTCGAATTAATTCATATACGTCAAAATATCCTATATGCGATGCGAACTATATTTTAAAATAAATAACAATATATAAAATTCACTCCCATTTTGAACAGGCTCTAAACTTACAACCCGTGTTGATTAAATCATTTTCTTTCAAGTTAAAATCAGAGCAGCATTAACCTTGTTTTATCCGAAATCCTTTTACATAATAAAAGATAGAACTCAGTTGAGCTTCCAGATTGATATCTTATTCTGAAATTTAGTTGATGATTGATAATTAAGGCTTAATTTTTAATTGGCAATTTCCTGAATCTGAAGGGAATCGTTATATTAAAATTATGAATTCTTAACGAAATTCTATATCTAAGTCGCATTTGATATTTAAAATATCTAATTATTTGATACCAATCTCTTATAAAGTCTTTAAATTATCCAACAGACTCATTTTATGATAAATATGCTAATGACTTATTAGTATATTATATTTATTTTCAATTTATTACTTTATATGTAGTATTGTGTTATTCTCTTGCGGATTTACAATTATAATTTTACCTGATAAGGTTTTCGCCAAAATTACTGGTCTAGATAATTTAATTTCTAAATTAATGGTTTCAGTTTGAATATCAACTAAATTCTTAATCTATTAATTATTCAAAAGGGGTTTGTTGTTTATTAGTAATGATGATATTAAATTATAGGGAATATCGAAATGATATTAAATTTAATGTATGATATTTTCAAAAGTAAAGTTTGGATTCAGCTTTATACATTAAGGTTTTTCATCTAAGTTAAAGAGATTGATAGTAGTTTTATTAATGTCTAAAAGAAAATCTAGACCCAACGATGATTTGAAATCATTTAATTTTTCAAAATCCTAAAGTACTCTTCCATAGTATATGATTTTTTATTATGAAGGATCAATACCCTCTTTTTGTTGGACAAGCTTTTTAATTTTTAAAATATTATCAGAAGCTAATAATAAAAAATTTAAAGTCTAATATTATTTATCAATTAAGGTAACTCTTATTTATTTTTAGATACTTATTGTATCACCTGACCAAATATTATTCTCAAACAAGGTTGTATTTGTATTTTTTATTTCTTCACAATTTAAAGAAATTTAATCATCCTTTTAGCCAAACTCCAATTTTAAATCCTGAATTTTTTAATGAATAGGAAGTGTTACATTAATTTAACCTTAATCATACCTCTTTATATTAACTTAAATCTTGATAGAATTGTTCTTTTAATATGTTAGAAAAGCATTCTAGATGTTGTTTGAAGCAGAATCTAAACTCTTTTTTAATTCTTCTATTATTTATTATTTCTATTAAAAATCATGAACCAAAACATTGGAATAAAATTTTAGTTCACTATAACTTAAAGGTCTTATACCTCCTGAGATTAACTTTTTAATTTCTAATTGAATTAAATTCAAATTTTGTTAATCTAGGATGGCTTTGCACTCCTTCAACATTTTATTCAACGATTCAAAAATTGCTTATTCAACCTTCTAAGCATCATTGATTTTAATGACTAATTATTCTAGCCTCTTATAAAACTCTTGAATAGATATTAATTCATTTTCTTTTAATTGATTTTTCTTATCAAAAGATATTAAACATTAGCAACATATTTTTCTTTAAGGAAATATCTTAGGATTCAGACAAACCATTGAAATAGGAAATTATGGATGCTCCTCACATTAATCTTGATATTCTATCATATAAATTAGAAATTATTTATAATAAAAATAATAATAGAGATAGGTTTTATATAGATTTTAATCTTTCTACAGTTAATTGCAGAATCATTATTATAAAAACATCAAGAAAAACTAACCTTTGATGTAATAATAGTTCTGCCAAATAGTTAATAATTATATAAATAATGAAACTTAATTAATTCTAAAAGTAACAATTCTAGAATATTTAAAGTGCAAATCCTAAATTGATCTTCGTCAAAGATCTAACTTTCTTAAAATTCATTCTCAAATATACTTCATCCATTGGTCTAATTTAATAAGTGTAGTATAAGTGAATGAATTCTGAAAATATCAGTAATATAAATAATACTTAAATATTTTTATCAACTGAACAATGCAAATATATAAGTTGTTATATAGTAATTTAAACAATTATGAAATAATCGTAAGTGAACAAATTTCTTGCAAATATGACTAACAGACAATATCTTTAGAGCGTGGCATCTCCTACAACGACTGCTCCAAGCAAACACAAAAAGAATGGCAGCTCAACTATCATAACTGGAAATAAATACTTGGTATATGCTAAACATTCTTCCAGATTATTCAAAGACTCTTCTTCTAAACTTCCACTCTTGACAACAGTTATGAAAACAGAATCTCAAGATACTCCTAAAACAGCAATAATGAGAACACGCAAAACTAGTGCAAATTTAGGAGACTTTCGTATTACACAATTACACCATAGAAATAAAACTGAGACTATTCTACTTTAAAATAACTTCACCATTTCTAAATAAGAGGAACTCAAAGATAATTTTGAGGAGGTCTAAAAAGAAGAATAGCCTCAAATACCTTAAGTTCAAAAATCAATAGAACCAATATAGTAATAATCTCTTGTTACAAATCATATACATGATTCAATTAAAATTTTACCAAAAGTGCATTTAACCGAAGTTTTAGGCGAGTCATATCATTTTCCATAAATCAACTACAATAGCTCTAAAATAGCTAAAATTTAAATTAAATCATAGATTAATGAAATCGAATCCTTAAATGAAAAGAGTTGCCATCTGACGAGAAAACTTACGCAATTATTGAACACGCATAGAGAAAAATAAAATTTGGTTGATGTTGAAATTAAAAAAAAGAAAGAAATTCCTAACTTCACAGACCATCATGTGTTTACTTAAACCTTGAGTAACATGCCTGATGAAAGAAGTCCAAAAATTAATGAATCCAAATTTAATTAAAAATTGAGTACTATTGCTAAGAAACAATCCAAAATAAACTATAATTATAGTGTTTAAGAAACTGAATCTCTAACTCCTTTGAAAACTATAGTAGAGGCTCTAAAAGATAAAAAGAATGATAGGAAAGACAATAAAGAAAAAAATAATAGTGAACTCTAATAAACAACCCAATAAAATTCAAGTAAAAAACTTAAAATCACAGTTATATATGAAGAGAATGAATAATAAATAGAGTTTCATTTACCTAGCTATGTTAATGAAGCCTAGTCATACCAAGAGTAGATTGAAGTTAAGGAAACCAAACAATCTAATATTTATTCTTTAGTTTCAAAATCAATGCTTCAAAAGTAAACGATGTCCCAATATTTTCTAGCAAATTTGCTTTGAGACTAGTCAAAAAGTTTGGAGATAGAGTCATCTAGACTCAAGAAGATAATGATGCAATTGAAAATTTCAATTCTTTTAAAGCATCTCAATTCACTAGATATTATCTATAAAATCATATCTAAAAATGTTTAGAAACTAAGTACGATACCAAAATTGAGAATGATGGCATTCAAATCAATAGATATGAAATATTTGATTATCCTGTCTGCTAAGAAACCTATTATGAAATGCTCAGTAAGAGTTCTGGCTAAGTTGGAGTAGATTACTACAACATTTAAATCAAAGTAAATATTTCTTCCATATAAGAAAAGCAAAACAAAAAGGCTAAGTGAAATTCAAAATACATTCTACTAAGTTTCTTAGAAATATTTCGATTTGCATCCAATTGACAATAGTATCTTAAGTCCTTCTGGATCATAATTAGATTTAAGTGACCTTGAAATGCAAAACTTCTTTAAGATTAATTACATTTATTATATCTTAAATTTAGTTTCAGTAAGCGATTTAAAGTAAGCTCAATTAAGATTAATTGTCAACACTATAGACGATGAAACCAAAAATAAGTTCCTACATGAAGAGTTAATGAAATTTCCTGAAATCATAAATGTTATAACTCAAAATTAAGAAGATCTTGATATCCAATGTATCATTGTTTTTTATAAAGAGAGTTATAGTTGATTAATCAATTAGAAACCAAATTGGCTTTGAAAGATCAAAACATAATCAAGAATTAATTTACAAACAAGTTTTGCTCTCTTTAGGTTGGTTTATTTGAAGATTATTTTAGTCACTAAGTTAGTGCGCTAGAAAAAATATATATTGATGATTGTAGAACCATGAGAGACCTCGATAAATTAAATATTAAGGACAGAATCAAAACTGAACAACCATCTAATCTGAATATCCCTTCTATTTCTAGAAGCCGACTCCCCTCCCCAACAGGCTCTGTATTTATATGAAATTATAACAAGAGTGAATCCAAAACCTTGTAGAAGGAGCTGAATCCAATGATAACTAAAGGTCTATTACTAAAGAAACACAAAAGACAGAAAAATTTATTGACCACTCAAAAATTTGCTACTTCTACAAGAGTCATCCAACAAGGGAGTTCCAGCAATTTATAAACCTTATTGCATGCCAATACAAATACAAACACAAACACAATATTTAATCAATAAAAAAGCTAGAAGTTCTAAACTCAATAAAAAGATACAGAACCTTAAGTCAATAATAATGAAACCTAAAGGAATATTCAAATGAAACAACATTTCAATTAATAATCATCTATGGATCCCTCATCCTTATTATTTCGAAATATGTTATTATAGGAAAGCTCTTAGAATGATAAATCAAATATCGAAAGAGTATTCTCCTTAATCGAAGATCATAGATTGATAGATTTAAAAGATTTGCTCCATAATGATCAAAATATCAATATCAATACTCAAGATTACAATGGCAATACATTTTTAATATGGGCAGCTAGGACTGGAGCAAGAGATGTGATATAATTTTTATTGCGCCAAGGAGCAGATATTTCAATAAAGAATGTAAAAATATAATCTACTTAAACTAGAACTCTGGAATGAATGCTATTTAAATGGCTATAAATAACTACCATTATCAAGCAGCAGATGAAATAAATAGATTTGGTAGATCGAATTCTTACATAGCAAATTGATAACATTTGAAATTTAATTTAATTATATTACTTAAAATACATTGAGAAATTGAGATTTTTACCATTTTCCTTAGAATCTTACCTGTACGATTATGAGAACTGTCTAAACTTACATATAAGATCAAAAAGTCAAGTGTTTATAAAATATCCTTTCTTTTTGAATAAATAATTAAATCAAATAAATTGTATTAAAGAGTATACTGAAAATTTGTTATCAAAATTGAATTTGCACTTAAATTTCGTATTCGATTGATTAAAGTAAGTGTAAGTAGTAAATATATATTTAATGCATAATACTCACAAGCATATCATATATCAAACTACTCATTTGTCTTCCCTTAATAAATACAGTTTCTATTCAGCAATTTTTCCTCATTTGTTAATAATTTGTGGCTCAGAGAAGAATAAGTACAGTTTTCACTGAAAATTCACAAGAAATGTGTGCTAATGATATCATATGTTAATCATATTAATTTTTCAATACAAACATAATCAATAAAATCTTAACATTCTGAAGGTTAAGAATCAATCTATTAGATTCTTGTAGAAATTATCATATTATTTTATCGAGGTATCGGCAAAGTTTAATTTACTCGAAAGGATTAGTTGCATTTCTTATTGATATTTTCAGTCTTTATTTGCTACCTGATTTATAATTATGCTTTAGGTTTCAATTACTTTATTCTTGGATTGAGATTAACTTATTTTAATACTAAAAGTCGAGAGCTTTCCAAAAAGGATGGAGATTTACTTGTTGGTGTTACTGGTAGAGTTGTCATATGTCTTGAAGTCAAAAATTCTAATTTGTTATTTTAGCTTGATGATGTTGTTTTTTATTTCTCATTCTTTCTTGATCCTACAATAGTATAGTAAGGATTTCGGGTTGGAATCTCAAATAAATGCATTCCAAAAATAGTTTTCTATCTTTTTTATATTTCACAATAGGGGACTGTCGGTTTAAACATAAAATAAATACATAATATTGATTAATATCGAATAGGAATAAATCATATAAGCTCTATTCAGTTAGCTTTTAGATTCATCTTAGTAAATTTTAATTCTTTAAATAAGTTCAAAAACCATAATATGCTAACTTATCATAGATTATCTATTTTCTAGTTTATACAGATATTAATAAATTTGCTTAATTTTTCCTCTATCAGTTTTAATTAATTTACAAGAATTCACTAAAAGATTTACTAAGGAATTTCTTCTTAAGTTAAAGGATTCTATATACCTATTAATTACAGAAATAATGAATAGTTTATTCATATTTCAAACAATTTAAACTATGAAATAGTGTCTACCACCTTTTTAATTGTGGAGGTTTATAAAGTAGACAGCATTTAATTAAATTACGAACTTAAAAGTATCAATACAAGTATTAATTATAATGAAGATTTATGATGAATATGAATTCCTTTAATAACAATTCATAAAAAGAATGATATTTTTTATTATTTAAGTCTCCTAGTAATTCAATTTTAAAAAAAATTATTTAGAATAGAAATACAATTATTTGTTCTTTGAACTTTAATGCAATCATGAATATTATACTGAATTGAAATTTTCCAGTTAGATAAAGATTTGTAAAATCAACTTTTTAAAGAATTTGAAGTTATCAATTTATCATATTTTTAAATCATATATAGATTCATGCTGTATTAAGATATTCTCTGGCAATTCTCATTTTTTATGAAATAAACTAAAATGAATTAAATAAATAATTCTAGTATTTAAATAAGAAAGCTATAAGCCTTTCTTAGAATTTAATTAAATCAAACATCATTTTTGTTTAATAAAGATAAAATTTTTTATTTGAGTTTCAAATCACCTTTTTTCAGTCTGTTTGCAATTTATTAAAATCGATCGAATATAAATTAAGATATAATGAATTCAACAACCATATACAAAATATCTCTTTAAAATTTGATTCAATTTTTTTATACTCCATTTTATTTTAGACTGTATTTTGAGCAAAATAAGATGATAAATAGCCATTATAGCTTATTTATAATAAGTAAATATTTAAAAATGATAAATTTAATTTAATCTGAATCTATGGAAATATTTTGATAAATAAATAAATTTTATTTATCAATTTAGTCTGGCTTTGAAAATGAAAAAGAAAATAAAATAGGTAATTTGTATTTCTAATTTTATTAATATTTTATAATTAATTTATAGATGCATTTGAACATTCTAGGGTCTAGGAAACCCAGTTAGGTTAACAGTCCAACCTCTTTAAAGAAGCCCGCGATATCTTAACTTCTCATTAATTTCAGACAGCCTATCAATGTTCCTAACAGTTCATAAGTATCGCCGCAGAATTCTGAACAAAATCTGCAAAAAGCATTACATTCTCATAAAGGATCTCAGATTGATGTTGCAAATCTAACTAAATTGATTAGACAGAGCAAATCACCAAATTTAGAAATGAATGATGCATAAATCAATTAGAATTAAAGCTCATAATAATTATAGGCATTATTTGCCAAAGCAAGAGAAATTACTTAAAGTAAATCAAAACCACCAATAATTAAGCAATAAGTCCAATCAATTTAAACACAATCTATTAATCAATTAAAAGAACTATTTAATGATAATTTATATTGTAGAAACACATTTCATTTTCATTTTGTGGTTGGTATAGGCGGTTTTGGTAAAGTGTGGAAAGTTGAGCACAAAAAAACTGGACAAATATACGCAATGAAAGAGATGTCAAAGGCATTGTAACAATATTAGTTATCGTAGAATTATCACAAAAAAAAGTGTAAATTCAGTTATGAATGAGAGAAAACTCTTGAGTGAATTGAAACATCCCTTCTTAGTTAATATGAATTACGCTTATCAAGACAGAGAAACACTTTATTTAATAATGGATTATATGTCTGGAGGTGACCTAAGATATCACATTGGAAAAATGAGAAGATTTAATGAAGAGTAGACTAGTAAATTTAAAACTAAAATTTTGAGGGTTCTTTGTGGCCTGCATATTCTTGAGTCTCGAATATGTGCATGCAAATAACATTATCCATAGAGATATCAAACCAGAAAATTTAGTTTTAGACAATAAAGGATATGTTCATTTGACTGATTTTGGTATTGCCAGAATTATGAAACCAGAGAATTCAAATGATACAAGTGGCACACCAGGATATATGGGTACAAATCCAACTAATATTTTAGCTCCTGAGGTGATGTACAGGTAAAATCATACATTTGCCGTTGATTTTTATGCTTTGGGAGTTATTGCTTATGAATTTATGTTAGGAAGAGTACTTATTAATATTAATCTTAGAGACCATATGTAGGAAGATCTAGATAGGAAATCAGAGATTCAATTATGGCTAAATAAGTTTAAATTAAGAAATCTGATATACCAGAGAACTGGTCATTAGAGGGTGCTGATTTTATAAATAGAGTAAGTTTGATGTAAATTAATTAGCTACTCTAAAGAAAACCTGAAAAAAGATTAGGCTTTAATGGTAGTTAAGAAATCAAATAACACTCATGGTTTAAGAATTTTCCTTGGTAAAATTTAGAGAATTTTGAATTAGTTCCCCCCTTCCAACCAAATGTATTTCTTTTATGATATAAAATAGAGGACTGAAGACAATTTTGATTAAAAATAAATATTAATTGAAGACGAAGAGAATAACGAATTGATCTAACAGAATCTTCTGGTTTTAAAAGATCCTTCCTCTGTAGGTATTAATATTTAAATAATTAAGAATTATTTTAGGGTTATGAATTTAATGCTAATCAGAGTATTAATAAAAATTCATCAACCACTGATTAATCGTCAAGTTCATCATCTAAGCATAGTCGAAATTTCAGCTAAAATATTGAAAAATAATAATTCTTTGAGCATGCTCATAAATGATTTAAATAATCCTATTCATCTAGTATATTATAATTATTTATAATTTATATATAATATTTAATAATCATCATCGATTAATCAGATTTAATCAGTTTAGAAAATTCCCAGAAATTATGTTTTAATCCATTTTCCTTTTAGAAACAAATCAAAAATAAATTTTTCAATGAAATTGTCTAAAAAAGTAGCACAAGATTAGCTCGACAACCAAAAAACGAAAAAAATAAAGAAAAACAACAAAAATATTAGTAAAGAAAAAATGATGTAAATTTTAAAACTAGTAATGCTGCTAGCAGATTTATACAAAGATTTAGATAGATTAGATGAAGTCTATCTTTCAAAATTCGATGAATGTTAAAAGTAAGGTGCAAAATAGAAGCTAAAGCATCTAAACTTACGTACTAAATCTAAATCAAATTTGAAGGAAGAATTAAAATGAGAGCAAACTTGAATCAAATTATATCATTACATCTTATTATTTAGTAGATTCATATTAAAACCCCACTTATAATTGAATTTATAAGTAATGATTATTTGTATTTTCCTTTCAGTAAGAAAGTTGTATTTAATATTTTCCCTTTACTTACATCTATTCGTTAAAAGATACTATTACGGAAATACGAAACAAGATATTTTGAGATCAGGATTTGAATTCCTAAGATTAAGAAATTCACTTGTCATTTATAATATGATAATCAAAAATATTTTAATTATTATTTTCTAAATTCCCAATATTTACATTAGAATTTAGGCTTCTCTAATTTTGTATTTTTGAAGAATTTTACAACATACCCAACTTTTTAGTCCTCATCAGATAGAATATTATGGAGAATTAATACGGTAAGCTGGTTTAAGAACAAATTCTACGACTTTTTATGATTTTATTCAACTTATTACTTGATGAATTGAATGCAATAAACAATAATTGCTTAATTTATACTTTTTGGTATTGTATATAATTCTTATTCATCTTTAAGGATAAAAATACTAATGAAGAGAGAAAGATTTATTTCATAAAGTAATTATATAAAGATTGTTACTTGTTAATAATCCTATTATTAAAAAAAAATGATAATTAAAGAGGATTTAAAATAGTTTGACACTTAATCATAGATAATATCAAACAAAGAGTTGTATTTATAGGCTACAGATATACTTATTCTGAAATTCAAAAGAACCTAAACCTATATCTAGGACTTGAAAATTAACATAATTTTTGATGAATGTAGATCCTAACTTCAGATGTAGTTATTAGAAAAATAACAAAATTAACAACAGGACTGTGATATTCCAATTAATCATATCCTAAAAAGATCTAAAGAAGAAAAAAAATAATCTTAGAACTTGTCGTCAAGCATATTTTCTAAGTGTTCTGTTTGTCAGAATAAGATCTTATCAGAAGCTGGATTGGGAGATAATTTGAAAAAGAAGAGAAAAATATGATTTAATATAATATAATTATTGATTAAATTGATTATTAATAATACTAATCTTATTATATATAAAAATATAATGGATATAGAAAATTAAAATTAATGAAATTATTTTATAAATCACTCAATTTATTCTAGTTTTTAAGGTATTTTATTTCTATATTTTGATAATTCAATAAATGTCCATATGATTCTTAAATCATCAGATTCTATATATTTTAGATCTTAATCTTCATATGCCATAATTCTTTTAAATTCATCACTTACAGCATCAAAATTAAATTGATGGTACATTAATAGATTTTCTAATAACTCATCATGGTCTATAGTCCAACCTTCTCTCTTTTACTTCCATTCCCTTAGCTAACTTGCTTTTTTATCAATTTTTGGTATTTAAGGAGCTGAATCCAAGTTAATGATAAATTTGGACTTTTTATTTGGCTATTAGTACACTTATTCTACTTCTTCTTCCACCTCTTCTTCTGGTTCTAATTATTAATTAATTAATTTCTGTTCTACATTATTATCATCAAACTTTTGATTAATTTATTACATTTCTTAATTGAAATACCTGTCCCTTATTTATTTGGCTTCCTTTTTTCATATTAATATTTTTACGTCCTCGGTTTTATTTAAAATGACTACGTTTCCTTCATCATCCTTAGTTGTTAGAAAACATTAATGAGGAGCTATATTGTCAACTTGATATTTTTCTAACTCAAGTTCTACATTTTTTAATTCATTTTCTTTTTATTCTAACAATTCATCAACTTCTTCTCCATCAAAATACTAAATCTATAGTTACCTGATTTCTTTGCATAATTGTTATTATTAATTTAGTAATTAATTTCTTGTTTCTCCTCTCTATTATCTTTCCAAAGTCTATAAATATATCTGATGATCCTATTCTCTCTTTATTTCAATTTAAGATACCCTTTCTTATTATTCAGCTTCTTTTCCTCCAATAAACCAAGCCTCACTGATTTTACGTTCTCCTGGTGTCACTGGTTTATCATCCAAAAATTGTAAAGTCTTTATTGCAACTACTATGGTTTTTCTATAATTTGGACATTCTCTCACTTAATTTAATTGAAATAAAAAAATACCAAAACTATTTGATTTTAAATATAAACAGCCGATATTTGTCGATTAAAAGATTGAAATAATGGGTTCTTCATAACTAATATGATTGTTTGAAAGATCTAAATTCTGGATTGATGGACAATCTTAAATTTCCATTAATGACTCATAATTGGTCAATTGATTATGAGATAAATTAAGATTTTGGAGTTTAGTCAAGGAGGCTATGTTTTCAATTTTCTTGATTGAATTATGGCTTAAATTTAAAGTAACTAAATCTTATAATGCAGAAACATTTTCTATTTTATCAATCAAATTATGATTTAGGAATAAGCTGATCAATTTCTTAAGCTAACACAACCCTTCTATCTTTTGCAAAGCATTATTATTTAACCATAAAGCAACAAGATTGAAATATGGTTCAAGATTTTCGATCTTGTCAAATCCTAGATTCACTAAAGAATGGAGTTACCTTTGAAATGTAAATATAAAGTGTCATTGTTTTCTGGATTCTAATACAATCCTTCTCTTTCACAGATGATTTTCAAATTCTTCAGATTCATAATCACAGTTCCATTTTGATTTCTCTCAAGTGTTTTATTCATAAATTAATATAAATATATCATAATTTCTATAATTTCACAAGTTCTTTGACATAATCATTAGGTCTCAATATGAATGTGCTTCCAATAACTAAATTTTTGTTAATGACTTTGTTGTTCATAAGACTCCTGGCTTCATTATACCCAATACCTCCAACAACAAAAACAAGCTCAGAATTAATAATTAAATCCTTACCAATTTATCTTATTCATCGAAGCCCACATCATCCTGCATCAATTTGATTTATCCCTTCTATCTAAGAGATTTACCTTGGCCTTGAGCATTTGTTTATTCGTTTAATACTATTTTTTCAAAGTTTCCAGAAGTCTAAAAGTCCTTGAGTATTAAGTCTTCAATTTATTATTCAATGATAGGAGTATTTCTACATAATTCTAATGTTTCATTGGCCATTTTATTTTTAGCATACTTCCTGACCTATTCATTAACTCTTTTGTGAGACTGATAAAATAATAGTATCAAATACTTTGCTTCCACTATTTTAAGTTTGGATTCCCAATAATTTTAGATTATGTACAGCACTTTACATTTCAACCGATAGAAGATCAGTCAGCTATCTCCTGTCCTTTTCACTCACATCAATTTGGATGATGGCTGACAAGATAAGACGTGCAAAATCAAATTCATTTAATTTTGGATTTTTTAGTACTTGAAAAATCTAGTTTTGATAATTTAATAATAATACTCTCTAAATGATCTTCTCTCCTGCTACTGAAGATCCTTTCTTATCACATCCTGTAGCTAAGGTCTATTCTAATTCTCCTACCTCCTGTAGATCCTTCTGTCGATATAAATCTAAGCATTTTTCTACAATTTCCATATGCATTGTGTATTTTGCCACTAAATCTTAGTATTAAGGCATGGTTTTAACAATGTCTGTCATTTACTTTAAGGTCAAATTTTAATCTTTATCCTTGGCAACCTTAGCAGCTGTATTGGTTTACATAAATGTTTAGAAATCACTACTCACTTCTTCCAATACATCAGCAATATGCTTAAATTTATATTTCTTGAATAATTCATCCTAATCATTGATGAGTTATTTCTTAGAAACTTTCTTATCTCCTTATTGCATATCATATTAGTAAATGTCATTCTCTATTTCCAATAAATCATAAAACATTGGTTAATAATAGAAATCATGCAATAATGGTGACAATACATCTATTGCCCTGTCTACTATCACTAATCTTATCTTTCCACATGTTTTATCTTTTTGATCATATTGTGAACTGTTGGATCTCTTTAGAGCTTCTAATATTTCTCTTAATCTCCCCTATGTGAATTATGCCAATTATTAACAGATTTTCCAATTGTCTTATCTAAAAATCAATTCAAATGTATAAAATTTCTCAAATGAAACCAAAACTGTACAGATTTTTTCAGCCATCTCTTGCAGGATAACATTTCCTTACTTTAACTAAATACTTACTTCCTTTATACACTTCTAATCCGAAAATCATGTCAAATGTGAATAATTACTCATTAGTACAATTAAAGTCTAAATTGAATACTTTGCAAGTTGATAATTTTTTGACTAAATTCTATTCAGATTGCATCTTCTGAGCTATGCCTTATGTCATTTTATTATTGAAAATCACATGAGCACATTTGTATTGTGGAAATTACGCATTTGCAAAATCCTCCATCAATAAAGCAACGGACTCTTAAGTTGGAGTAATAAAGTAAATTGCTTCCAAATTAAAAGGTTTTCTTTTCAAATTTAGATTTTCTACTGCATTTATTCCTTATTCCAATAATCTTATATTTAATTTCATTAATACTCAGACATCTTCATGTAAGCAGACACTATTTTCAAAGTCTTCTGATCTACAACAAGAATGGAAGTTGATAAATTAGGTTGATTATCGATTCTTAATTGCCTAAATAAGTTTCTCATCCTTTATCTGCAAACTTCTTTTAGAGAAAATTGTGCTTATTCCATTATAACTTTTATTATTATTATTAATAATTTAATAATCAATGTGAATAATTACATTCCATTCTTTTAAATATCGAAATTCTTTTAATTTATGATCATACCCATTACTTGTATAACTACTATTTAATAAGATAAAATTATTAAATAAGCTTCGATTTACTCAATCACTCAATATAATGAAGAAAATTATAATCCATAGAGTGAATCAATATGAATGAATCTATAATATAAAGACTATTGAATTATATATTTCTTCCATTCTAACAATTAATCTATCGTATAAAAATTTTCATTAAATTAACAATTTCTAAAGTAGATCGTGTTTTTAGAGATTTGGAATATAAAATTAAATTGAAATCTAATTAAGTGGATACTTTTATTCTAATAGAATAACTGATTCCAACTCTATTGGAAATTGAGAGAATATAATGAAGAGTAATTTTCATTTATAGGTTAAATAGGAATGGATAAATGTAGATGTGCAAATTAAAAAGTATAAATTTAAGGGATCAATTTTTGATATTGATTATACTGATTTAGGTAATTTGAATTTAAAGCAAACCTCCCTTGTAAAATATCCATTAATAATTTAAAATATTGATGTTTATACTAAATCTAGGTTAATAATTGTTAATTACTAATATATTCTCTAATATTATTTTTGCTTTTAATTAAAGAATATGGAAACAAGAGCTAAATCAAAAAACTGCTTTGTTATCTAAACACATTCAACTTAATAATTATTGACAATCCGCTCTCCGAAGATCAGGAGCCAGAGATATTTTACTAAACTAAGCATAAATAAAGACCAAAAGTAAGGCTTCATAAAATTAATATCGCCAAATGATATGAAATCAAACATAGAAATGTAAATAATTACATGATTAATTTTGTAGACTCAAAAGAAGTTGCAGTTCCGAATCGACATTGGAAGGGACCTTAAATAAGAGATGTTAATATTTATTTTTAACTTTTACTCAATAAAAAACAAAATACTAAAGACATTAGTTTTGTATTAGAAAGTGGAGAAAATTCATCCTTTGTGTTTAAGCCATTCTTTTTCTGTTCAAAGTTGCACTAGTCCAATACAAGATCAGGAGCATCTCTCCACCAAAGATGTCAATATGTCACCAATTGACACATCACCATCCCTACCCTGAAAGCCCTACAAACAGAAAAAAAAAGAAGAGTTACAGTATAGAGACTAAAAATAGAAATTGTAGTTTTGGCCAAAGAATTCAAACCTTGATTCTCCATTAAAAAATGAAGTTTGAAGCCCAAAAGAATAGCACGTATATAAGACAATTTAAAAACTCTGATATAAGATTAACTCGGTTGATTAGTTAAAAAGCATTCAGCACTCACTCATTACATACAACAATTGATAATTCCAAATAGTTACCTGCTATAAATAGGCTGGAGTATACTGAAAGACCATGTCTAATTTCATCCTAATCAAAAAAAATTTCTCTAAAATTAAAGAAAATTCATTGAAATAATTTACTCAAATAATTAATTGTACATTATTTTATTATAATATTTCAATAGCCCAACTTCTCTAATTCTGCATTGATGCTAGTAAGTTCTTTAGCTCCAATAGCCTTTCTTCTAAGATTTTCTCTTTAAACCTTTCTCTTGTAATATGCTGTTCCTCTAATACATTAGTTTGTTAATTAATACCTTTATTTTCTCTTCTCTTCAAGTCTGTTAACAACTGCTTATGAATTCCATCCGACTGATGCGCATAAATCACCCAATGAGCAGAAGGGTCTGTGATTCTTGAGTCTGATCAATTTAATGGCATCTGGAATAACTTGTCTCTTTCTTGTGTCATAAGGAGGGGGGACACCTTCAAAGATCTTCAATCTTTCAAGGGCAGCTGCTCCTCTCTTTGACTTGTATTGAAGCATTCCTCTGACAACCTTCCAAAAGCATCTTGATGGTGTTCTATAGTGCTTGTATCCTCTTCTGGGATTGAAGGCCATTCTCTTATTTAAATATTCTTCGAAGATGACTCTGTTTCTGAAGAGAGATCCTTCAATTATTAAGATCGCTTACCTGATTGTTAAATCAACTCAGTTCTGACGACAACAATTCTTTATCCTCTCTACAATTCCTTGGCAATATAAGAGGCTAATCTACCCAACAAATGGCCTTTTCCGTCAATCACTATTTCCTTCTCAAACATTTAATTTTAAATAAATTTTCAAAATGATTTTTATATGATAAAATACTTAGCACTCACTAAATCCATTCATTATTAGATATACTAAACTCTAATTCGCATTTAATTTATTTATTCAATCACATTAACATCCACATAAATCAATCTAAAATTGGCCTCTCTACTAATCACTTCAATAAATGAGCTTATTTCTTCAAATTGCGCATTTAAGGAAGAATATCTCACTATATTTTATTTAATCTTGTCATTAAAATAAGATTAAATCAATTATTTCAAAAGATAACTGCAAACAGAATGTGTTAATAGAAAGATTCCTAATGAATCTTAATGATCACTCTTTAGTTTAATTTTCTATAAAGTTCTTAACTCAAATATTTTATTTTTAATTTAGCAGATATTTTAAGCAACATATCCAAAATACTATTCTAAATTATTGCTATATGCTATTCTTCATGTTTTAGGTGCAATTACTTTCCCTTTTGTGGATTATTTTATCATTCTTTCAATCTTAACAATTTAATTGTTTTTTTAAAAGATTCTCTTTCAAATTTTAATGATTTTTACTCTTGAACTAATTCTTTATTCATATATTTAAGAATTGCAAAAAACATGATTGTAATAATAATTATATTAATCATATCCATGAACACTTTATGAAATGATATAGATAATATAAGATGGTTAGTATAGAGAGTTCATTAAGTTATCATTCAATAATAGCATTAGTGTCAATTTGAGGTTTCTCCTTAATAAATTATATATTAATAATAATGAAAGCACCTAAATATATTTAGTAGGATGTAATTAAACAGGTATGTTAGGCTGAATAATTCCAATAACATAAATTTAATTTGGTAAATACCAGATCTGACCCATATTTATCAAGAAGAGTATAAAACCGAATTCATTTATTTTTAGCATGTTTTATAGGACAATGATAAATACCAATAAATTCGTGCAAATAAATTCTATACCAAATTATAAGTTGACTTACAAAAGGAATAGCAGTTATTGAAGGAAAATAAAAAAATACTTAATCGAATAGTCGATATTGGAAATTAAAAAACTTATTCATCACTTCCAAAAAGATCACTCACTAGATAAAATTCAGCTAATTCAATTAAGTCTCTCAATTTATCTTACAGAAAGAAGGAGGCAATCAAAATAGTTGGAGAAAATGAGAAATTGATGCAGCGTCTACAGAGAACTCCTTCTACATTTAGAAATAAAGAAACGTTTCTTAAGGACTACAAAAAGTAAGCAATCAATTCTATTTATACAAGGACTGAAGAACTCAAAAACAGAATCTCTAAATACTCATAGCAAAATCAATAAAAGTTGGGTAAAATAGTTCAAAGATTAACAAAAACTACAACCAATCAGAAACCTCCGAAATCAAGCCAGAATAAAAGTAGTGCTCCTTCCTATAAGAACTCTGTATTATCTTAATTGCGTATAGAGCCGGAAAGATAATAACAGAAGTTTTAGTTTCCAAGAATTAAATGATTAATATATATAATTGTTTTTGTAATTCCTTATCAACAGAATTATCTCTTGATAAGGGCTAAAATATATTCACCATCCTTAGGATCTGTACTATTAATTTTCAAATCCAAAGAACCATTCAAATTGTAACAACCATATAATAATACGCAACTCTTATTTTCTGCATTGGCACCAGCACAGATAATTTCCTATTCAATCACTTCAATAATCTAAAAGAATATTCAGAATTTATATTACATTAATATTAATTGCTTAGATCATCTTTCTAAAGTCTTATTCAGATTTAATCTTACTTTGAAGAGTGACTTCTTTGACATTTTGATATCTGTCCCACAGTTGCTCATATTGATCTACATTAATATTGGCTGGCATATATGATTTGATTTATTATTATGGGATTGTCTATTAAGGAGGTGGTTGTGACCACTATTATTATGGTTATAATTGTTATTATGGCACTACTGGTTATTGAGTTATTATATAAGGTTATTGAACATAAACCTAAGGAACTCCTAGAACTGGCTATTGAGCTGATAAAGGATCATCAATATCTAATAAATTCTAAACTTGAGTTGGTGGTTTTTACTGAGGTGCTTAGGTTGGATTTGGATTTGCATTCATAGGTTTTTGAGTAGACACTGCAGAAATTCCTTTTTTCTAAGTTGATCTAATGTATGAATAAGTATAATTACTAAGGTTATTGCTATGTTTGGGAAATGGAAGGAAACAATTGATTTGCTAATTTCTACTTTTCCTTTAAATTTGGATCTTCTTTTGGAGGTAAAGGTCTGACAGGTGGAATATATGTATTTTAAGGTTAATTAGTATTCACCCCCATTTATCCACTACCCATAGCCTACATGGCGGTTTTAGTTGTAGTTGTTTAACCACTTCCATTACTTCCCATTCCAGTAGTTGACCCAATAGCCATAGGAGTGGCAATCACAGGTTTTGGAGCAGCTGGTTACTTTTAGTTGTAACCTGTGTCATCCCAAGGTCCTGCTATAGTTGGAGCTGATGGGTTCTAATTCGTTGTTTTATTTTCTTCAGTTCCAAAAGTACCAGTTTTGGCCCCGCCTCCATATTTATTATCACTATAAGGTCCAAAATTAAGGGATGGTGCTTCTGTTGCTGAACCTAAAGCTGCTGCCTTCACTTATAATGAAGGATTATATGGTTGAGCTCCACGCTATCTTTCTTATTAGACATATGCGTCTAAGAACGACATTTTGGGATCCACAGTGACAAATTTGGAACCTTTGAGTGCTGCATTAAATTTAGCAAGTGTAAAGAAATCAATGGCTCTTTATTAACAATCAAGATTTTTTGACTGCATATATTTTTAAAAGATGGTTCTAGTTTAATCGAACATTTAAAATGCTCTTGCAGATTGCAATTTAGCTAAACATGTTAATATCCAGGATATGGTGGTTTCAGATTCTAATTATGAGTCTAATTTTGTGATTACTAATTGAGCTAATTCATTCAATTTATTTGGGTCTTAATCATAGATTTATGATCCAATTTCACCAATAACCCAGCAGACAATTTTCAAAATATTATCTTACAACTCATTTTTTAATAGATCTGAATAAATTTCAGTAATGAACTCACCAAATTCAGTTCCAATATCATTAAAATTATCTATTAATAATTTAAAGAAATTGTTTCTGACATCATTATCTATGAATTCAGATCCAAATTCAAATAATGTGTTGGCTGTCTTAATGAACCATTCCTGAGTAGGTGCATGTTTTTCATTTAGCAAAGATATTTTAACGAACAAATCCTTTTTGAAATTAGCATCTGAACTTGTTTTGAGGAAATGGATCAATTTTTGAATAATGACTTCACAATTTTGTTCATTTGTCATTTTAAATAACAATTCTAAAGTTTCTTTCTTTAATGTATCATCATTAGATTCTAGACAATCTACAATTGTCATCTGATGTTCTAACACATACTTCTATGAAATAGAAACAATCTAAGTTAAGGCATTAATTCCTAAATATTTAAGATTATTATTATCAGATTTCAAAAATCTAGATACTGAATTGGCTGCCTATTCAAGGAGACTTTATTGAGGATAAATTCCACTGATGCACTTAACACATTGATAAGTCACAGCATAACCTATATTGATAGTTGTGTCATCAGCTCTTCTTAAAGTTGATCCCAATACTTCATAAATCTATTCACTGACTTTCAAATCATTGGCTCCCAAAAGAGTAAGAATTTAAAGCAACTTAATTTATAACCAAGGAGCAGGAAATCTATGATAATCATAATCCTCGATTTTAATAAATGAAATATTACTTTATGTAGTTTGTGTTCTATAATTTATTTGAGCATCGAAACAAAAGTACCTGTCAATGGCTTGTACTTATTAACAGCGCCTCTCTTTAATTCTTCATGATAGAGATTGAAGGCTGCTCCCATAACACTTGGCTCTTTGTCTTGAATTCCCCTTCTGATTCTATCATCATAATCTTATTCTGTAATGCAATCCTAGTTCAACTATCTGATAATCTACATCACCATCAATGCCTATGATCATATCATCGATATACTTTCTTCCTCACAATGTCAGTGTTATGAGTCAATAATTTTAATACAGGTTCTGTCAATGCATTCACAAAGGTCTTGCTGATCAATTTTCCAACTGCAGTAAGAGCATTGACTACGATGTGAACATTGGTTGATGCCAGATCTTTCTGGAGTGTGGCCACCAACAATATAAGTAGCTCACTGTCGTTATCCAAAAATAAGGAACAACACAAATAGCCCAGTCTCTTAAGTGCCAAATTCTTGGACTGTGTAAGATGAATTGCATTGATGTGTACAAAGGATGCATCATGACTTTATACTTCACTTTTACATTTTACCCCAACATCTCTATGTAAATTGCTCTAATGAGCATTTCCTTCACTTTTTTCGGTGGCATGTTCTTCTCATTTAGTTTGGTCTTTAGTTGTTGAACTTCTTTAATGATGATCTTGTCTTCTTCCTATTTGCTACGAGTCTCTCCTATTGATTTGATCAGATCATGTAATTCTTTGCTTAAATGTGATCCCGATGACATCCCAAAAATTAATAAAATATATTTTAAAAATCTCGATTATTTCCTAGTATGCATATATCATTAAGTGTTCTATTCTTCTATACCTTCCAAAGATATTTCTAATTAGAGCTATCATTATCATATGGATGGATAATTACACCTAGGGAAAAGAGCATTTTCATATGGTAAAATATTGAAAAATAATAAACATCCATTATAATATACTGATTGCAATATTATCTCATTTTAAGGCAGCCAAGTATTCGCTATGTTCTTAGAATGGTGTTGATTCTAATTTGGTGTGTCCCCAAAGATCTGGGGTTAGGAAATTATAGGTTTCTTTAAGGGCATGGAAGGTTGCTTTCAAGAAGTTTGATCTGGTTCTTGTACTTCCTTTGGATTGAGTGTAGCAATCTTGGATACCAGCCATTTGTAAGACCTTCTTGGATGTGATGGCTGCAACTATACCAGTACCTCTGGGTGCTGGAACCAATCTAACTCTGACTGATCCTTCCTTTCCTGTCACTTTGCATGGGACTGTGTGTGGTTAGGCGATCTTGTTTCCCCAATATCCTTTTCTGACTGGAATCAAATTAAGTTTAGCATTAATTGAGGTTGCATAATTCTTGAATGGCTCCTTGGACTTCTTTGGCTGATTTCCATCCCAAACCAATGTGTTAATGGGAATCTCCAACTACTACGTAGGCCTTGAATCTGGTCTTTTATCCTGCGCATGTTTGCTTTTAGACTGGACCAATGGCAAGTGGTTCTTCTTTTAAGGTCTTGAGGAAGTGATCGACAATTTGATATTCTAAATTATATAAAATAATTGATACCCTTAATTGGAATTGAGAATTAGAAAATAGTTTCAAGACTCTTAATTTTACCACCCTTTACTAATCTTCCTAATTTGGTCAATGGGACCCATTCTTATTCACCACCAAATCTTCTTGGACCTCTGTTTTATCTTGGAGCTCCTCCTTCTCTTCTTTCTCTTTATCCTCTTCCTCCTCTTCCGAAATCCTTTCTTCTCAGCTGGGGCTGCCTCTTATTATTATTCTGGAGCAGGTGCCTATTGTTACTCTTATTCTGCCATTAAAATAAAAATCTTAATTTAAAAATTTGTTTTCAAAGTTGTACATATGCATAAAAAAGAGGATAAAATAATTAATAAATGATTGGTTTTCTCTTAATTATACTTCCACAAGCATTTGCAAATTATTTTGAATAGAAGTTGTCAAGACATGTTTATGAATACAAAGATGTTCAAAAAGAGGATATAGTCACGAGTATCAAACCTCCAAAATGTTCAGATGAATTCTTAAATTATTATCATAATGACACTTTTGTTACTCAAATCTGTTTTACCAAGAACGTATTTTATAATGTGGAAGTGATCTTGGGAGATCATATAGATAATAAAAGCATTTTTTCATTGGCTGTATAAAACTCATTACAATATATAATAGCTTGATTTAACATCTCCTTGGACATGGTATAAGTCAAATTCATGTGTGAGTTGCAAAAACCTAAATTCATTAAAATTTGACAATAACAAAAAGTGCAAAAACTCAAAGAAAGTTGGAAAGTGCATTGATTCAAATTTTGAAAAATTATTCAATGCAACTAAATGGAATGATATCAACGTTCATGGTTAAATATACTCACCAGAATCTTTAATTTAAGGAACTTTTCAAACTGACACCATAAAATTACTTGCATACAATTCTTCAAAAAAAATGACAATATCTCAATTCCTCTCATACGAATGGGGGAACAGCACTCCCCCTGCCTTAGTTAATATCACAGGATTGCAGATGCTTTAGGCAGATTACATTAACACTGAATTACCGATTTTGGCAGATGGTGTAATTGGATTCGGATTCGGCTATACCGAAACAGATGAAGAGAAGGCATAGAGTAATACAGACTTCGTTGAAAAATTAGTATAAGAATAAACTTAGCTCCATTTGACCAGATAATAATTCGCTCTGTACACTTATTAGAGTTCCCTTAATTTTTCAGAGATGGTAGTGTAAGTGGGAGGATTTGATTACAAGTATGTCCATAGACAGCAATAGAATGTGAAATGGATAGATAGAATTGAAAAATCTGGTTATTATTGGATGATTTAGGTGGATAAAATTCAATTTATTGTATTTTATTTATCATTTAATATAGAATGGCTAAGGCAATGATTTGATCAATGCAAACTTACCCATTAACAAAGCCTTACTAACTCTGAACTCTTAATTTATCGAACTCCCCTATAACATTCTGATATCCTTAATCCAAGCACTCGACAATGCACATGTAGGGACAGAATGCAATTTAGTAGATGATGAAGTATTTATAATCTATAATTCAGATGTATTTATTGTATTGCAAGAACTATCACTTCACAACAGCCACTGATTATCGATTGACCTTCAAATTTGGAGAACATACTATTCCTATTGATAATTATCATTTGATCTATAGAAAGTGTGAGAGTGTGAGTGAAAACCAGATGATTTAGAATTGTCTCTTCAATATCAAGGTTTCGGAATCTGATTATATTATCTTGGGAGAACCCTTCATCAAAAATCATTACATTGTATTTGAGAATCAGCCAGGTAATAATGTGAGAAGAATTGGCATAATGCCAGCTGCTGTGCATATGTTCTATCCTGACAATCCAGATTATTATGAGTGGGCTCTAATGAAATTAGTGGGATTCATATTCATTTTCGGTTTAGTCAGCATTTGTTCTGTAACTTTTGTTAGAAGTGTGTGTAAGGATCTTTACAGGGCATTTAAATATCGTAGGGTAATAGTCTTTTAATATAATAAGGCTTTGAATCCGGAAGATAAGCTGTCACTCAAACAGACAAAGGAGGTGGACGAACCAGACTATACAACTGAGGAGGATATTCAAATTCAACAGTAAAATGAGGATGAGAAGAAGGTAGATGAATGGACATAACAATAAGAATAGTTTAAATTTGGAGAGAAATTTACTAATTAATATGAATAAAATGCATTGTGATTAAAATGACATACATATATATATATATGTTTACATAGTATGATGTTTGCGATCAAATTTTGGAATTGAAAGTTTCACCCTCACCCAAATATGTGATGCCATCTATTTTCCCATTGGGCATTTAAGGATTACATGGGGTGTCTTCTAAAGTTTGAGGAGGTTGGTTAACTACTCTTGTTGAGTTTTTTAAATTGCTCTTTTCAGCAAATGTTTTGAGTGGAGACACCTACAGATGAATGACATCCCAGCTGATGGAATTGAAGAAGGGGTGATTCTTTATTTCATCATATCCTCCTTTAACTCCTATGCGTTCTTTAGGATCATTTTTGAGTAGTTTCTGAATTAAATCACATGCAGCTGGACTCATGGTCTTAGGATAGTTAGGATCGTTGAGTAAAATTTGTTTGGTGATCATTTCAACTCTTCTTTATGGATCGTGGAATGGTGGATTACCATTGATCATTTCAAAAATCAGAATTCCTATTCACTGTATAAATGCTAAGATACCAAGGGTCCATATATCAACTTCGTAAGAATGACCTTGTCTGGTAATGATTTCTGGAGCCAAGTACTCAGGAGTGCCAGCTAAGAGGTAAGATTTCTCATTATCTTTTCTTAATGTTGCTAATCCAAAATCTGTCAATTTAACGTGTCCTGTTTCAGTCAATAGAATGTAATTTCTGGTTTTAAATCTCTGTAAATCACCTTCAGTTTTGTATTTAAGTATTCAAGTGCCAATACTACTTCTGCTGCGACGAATCTTACAACATTTTCAGGTAATCCACTCCTCTTACATTTGAGAACATTATAAAATTACCCTCCATTGATACACTCCATCACAAAGAAGATATATTTAGGGTTTTGGAATGCGAATTTCAATTTGACTATGAAGGGATGTTTGCTTTATTTTAATACATTTCTTTCTAAAACTGTGTTGGTTTCTAAATTGCATTCTCTAATTTTCTTTATCTAAATTTATTTCATTGCATAAATTTTATTAGTGTCCTTCTTTCTCACCTAATAAACTTTCCCGAAAGCCCCCTAATTTTGGATTAGTTATAATACTTGTCCTAGCATTCCTATTTTGATAAAATCATCTTGACTGATCTGCTGTTTTAATGGAGGTGGTGGGATAACTACCAACACAGGTTGCTTAGATGCACTATTAGTCACCAATTTAGCTACTGTCAGACACAATGAATACTTTTGTCATCACTTATTGAACTAATGAAGGACGTTTTTAGATCATGATTAGGACAACAATTTCCCATAAACTATTATATTAATAATTCATAAAATTTCATTTATTAGAGTCCAAAGATTTCCAATAATTTTAATTAAATAATGTATTTACCCACATTTTACAAATTAGGATACGAAGCTTGGAGTGCCAAGGGCAAGAGATTCTTGGGAATTATGCCCGCTGTTGGATGCTGGGGTATGCCTTACTATTTTATTCCATTTTAGCTGTCTGGGCACTCTACCCAAATCTTTACAACACAGTATACACTGATTTCATCCCCCCTCCCAAAGGTAATTGTATGTCCTAAATGAAGGTGTCTAAAGAAGAGTACAGGAAGTCTGAGACATTGATATATTATTATTTGAAAATTAAGATCATACAATACTTCTTAGCTATCGAATATAAGTCACCCATTAGAATTCGATATATTTCCATAGTTTTTATTCAATATGTTATACAAATATATATAAATTCTAACACACTATCAACATTTCACTTGTTTCTCTAAAAGACTACATATTCGTTAACCTATTTCGATCATGCAAATACATTACCATGCAAAGTGGACTTCAGAGCTTAATACTCCTGTTAATTTTTAATTAAGAAATTTAGAATAGATTGCTACATTTACTAATCGATCAAGATCAAAAATTTCTTGATCACATAATTAGCAAACTAATGATTTGCCAATTGTACAAAGTTAGAAGCTACATAGGAGAACTATTATTAAGCTTAGTTTCTAAATAGCAGCCAGTTTAGAACAGTTATCAATTCAGGTTTGCTCAAAGTCTCCAAAGCCCTTTCGACAGTATTGCTAATACTTATGGAGATGAGTCCTTACCTTGCATACTTATTGATGCTTAATTGATAAAACTGTTAGATTACAAGTTAGATTAATCGAGTTTTCTCGGGAGATACAATCCAAAACTATAATATGTGTTGAAGAATATAGTTTCCAAATTCGGTTTGACTCAAGACTGAATAGTTGGCGATAGATTGTTTAACTAGGTTGGCAATGTAGTTGGGAGCGTATTGTTGGATGATCTTGTGAATGATTTTGCAACCGTAGATTTGTTGAGCCATATAATGGAACTAGAATAGGGACATTATATTTACTGATTCTTCAACGATGGGAATGAGAAATTCCATTTTAGATTTATCATAGGATTCAAGCATCTTGAAAATGACGTAATTGCCATTGGAATCGTAAATCAAAGATCTCATATTCTAAACCAATTAAGAAAGTATAGAATTCTAGACCTCCTCTTTGCCTTACGAATACTCAATTAATTTCTGCATGACTCTGCAACCGAAGGGATTCTTAGACAAATCATAAAAGTGCGTTTTCAACTTATTAAACATCCTGCTCTTCAGTTTGACATCTCCACTGCTATCAAAGATCTTTTGGACCACATAATTCCCAAAGACATCCTTCTCGATTTGGGGACTGATCCTTTCCAACTTTTGGACTATCAACAATTACTGTTCTGGAGTGCCAGATTCAATGAGTTTCTGTAATTTTCGAGAAATGATTTGATTTCCCCATAGTGAATCCTATTGAGAATTTAATTTTAGTAATTACTATCAAACTTGAGATGTAGATGTCTGCCTCAATGTCAGGTTCGAAGTACATTAAAGGACTGGCTTCATTAGAGTGATAGACTCCCATCCCTATTACGTTGTCACTCTGAAGATCTTTGAAATATTGCTCTTCATTGATCGAAATCACTCTCTAAGATAGCACTTATTTATTCATTTCCTATATTGGTGATTCCTATAACCAAAGTTCTTTGATATATTTAAACTTTTGATCGTTCAGAGACTGATTAGAATTGGGAGACGATTGACCCTCGTTGGTTTTGTTCTTATTGTTTCTTCGGATCAGATCCTTCTACAAACTCAAACTCTGATGCTTCTTAAACTTCTCCTCCTGATCGATTTCATCGATGAAGTCAAGAATCCCACTATGCTAATTAGTTAGGGGATCTAATTTGGGAGAAGTGTCCAATGTTAACTGCTCGAATTCGGATTGAAGAGAAATCGTAATTGGAGAGCTAATCTCCTCTTATCTTCAATAAGATGAACTCTTACTTTTATTTAGTAGGACTGCAGGATTGAATTGCTTATTAATAATTCATATGTAAAAATATATTTAATATTATGTCGATTATATATCTACTTATCCGTAATCATTATTTACCTCCCTTGGGTTGACCCTAATTTTAATCTGAACTACTACTTTGGTGCATATGTAGATATAATGGACATTCGGCGCGTCTTTGTCCTCATTTGTAATGGCAATCGACGTCGAAATTGTTGGCTTGTGCACTTATTTAACTACCACATTCCTGCATTAGAATAATAATCCCACATACCAATCATATTCGGGTTTCTCAAGGTATTACAATCGATGCTCAGGCAAACCGTACGAGATGATAAAGAAAACTCCCTTAGGCCCCAATACTCTATGAACCTCCTAGATCACCTTCTAGGCATTCGAGGATGAGGACTCTCCACACTTAAAATCTATTTGAAGTCATACCAATATTGCATCCAAAGTTCCCTTGTCTATTGCCCCATCAAATGCTCCTTCCTCGAAATCCATCGCTCTTGCATCCATGTGTAAATCTAATTGAAACTGCCTTCTTACATTTGAAATTCGGCCCCTTGTCTTTGTACTTCTCCTACATTGCCTTTGTAACTACATGTGAGATATCAATGTTTGTAATATTCTGATAACCTTCATCGAACATCTCTTCGCTCAATCCTCACAAACTCAATATTATCATTACTTGAATTGCCTGCTCCAACATTCAACAGCTTGCTCTCAGGTGTGAAACATACTGAAACCAGATCTTTCACTCCTGCAAATCTCTGATACCAATCAAATGGCTCGGGATCCCTAACTGATCATTCACTCGCTTTACCTCGTGTATCGTTCCTCCCAGTACTCTGCTTTACCATATTGAGACATTTGAAATCAAAATGAATTCGAATTAATTATTAATGTTTCTGTGTTTCAAATTTTAAGAATAAAAATATATATTTATGAAACAGTGCATTTCTATTCAAATTTTATTACTCATCATTTTTATATAATGTTATTAAACTAAAGGAGGGGATTTCCAATCTATAACCAAACTAGTATGATTAATCCTAATTGTCAAATGCATAAATAGCGGAATTCATAATTTATAAAAACAATTTAATTGATTTTTGTCTATATTTCAAATTAATATGATCAAATTCTTTTCTAACTAAAAACCACTAGTATTCAGACTACTCAATCTTATTAAAAGGTGATTTAGAAATTTGGTACTCAAATTCTTTAATAACCTTTTATCAAGTAAGTGAATGATATCTTACAATACTTACATAAAGAATGTGAAATAATGATTAAACCTCATTTCTTACTCGGAATCTTGATTAGAATAGAGAAAAAGTCTCTTTAATGTCACTACTCATTCTGTCTTTGAAACTTAATAATTTAATGATTATAACAATTCAGTGGGGATTAGAGTTCCTATGAGTGTAGGGAGATAATATATACATATAGGGTTATTTATTTGATATTGTTTGAATATTGTATTAAATTATAGTTTTATCTTAAATGATTGATGTAATATTTTATAGATTGATTGATAGTTATTATTTTGTGATTCTGAAATCAGTTAGTTATTATTATGATCTTATCTTAGGATCTAAATTACTTCCATCAATTTCTTGAATCTACATTGCCTGCACTTTCTGATCAAATAAATTGAAATCATCCTTAATTTCGTCAGATGAATAATTTAGATCTCCAATGTATAAGATTCTAGTTGTTTATAGTTTTCTATTCATAAAGTATTTTGAAATTGAAAAAACGATATGATTAACCAATTTCTTAAATAGAAAGGAAGGACAAATTCAGAAAAGGTTGGATTAAATAAAAAATTCATACATGATAAATTTTACAAGTAGTAGGAGGAAAATTTGGTTTGTATTTGATGATATGCCAAAAATGGAAGTATGGGATTGGGTTGGAGAAATTTGGAGGAGTCACTGGGAATTATATTGATTTATGAGTAAATTTCAAAAATGGAATAATTCGTTTTTTTATTATAATTAATTGTTATGTTGCTGATAACAGCTTTATTATTTTTAGGAACAGCTAAGCATTTTACAGTGGAGTTAAAAAGTCGTCATACCTAAGAACATTTAATTGAAATAGTAAATTTATTGTAACATTCACATGCTGAATTGTTGGAGGAAAACAATTATTAGAAGATTGGAAAGGGTGTTGAAGGGGCACTCCATTTTGAGACAGTGATGCTGGAGAAGAATATTTAGAAAAAGAATTTGAAGCATTAGAATCATCATAATAAAAAATAGGAACATCATCACAAGAAAAGAAAAAATACAAACATGGTTGTAAATGAGTCATTGATGGATGTGATACCTTTAACAGCTGAGGAAAAAGGTTTATTTGAGGAATCTGGTGCCTTAGCTCCAGTTGACATACATATAGAAGAATAAATGGAACATTAAAGTCAAAAGTTATTGACTACTAACAGGAATCAAGATGGATTATATATAGCAGATGTACCATTGACAAATATAGCTAATACAATGTTCATTGGTGAGTTGTAGGTAGGAAGTGCTTAAGGAAAAAATTCATTTGATGTTATTTTCGATACAGGTTCCGCTTTGACTTGTGTTGCTTCAGAGTAATGTAAAGATATCGGATGTTAGAAGAGTAAAAGATATAATAGAGCTGAAAGTTAATCATTCAATGAGATTGGCAAGTCAGTGGAAATTGTATTTGGAAGTGGAACTTTGAAAGGATTGATAAACAGAGAGAGAATCAGAGTAGATGGTTTAGATTTGAAGGATGCTTTGTTTATTGAAGTGACTTAATAAATTGGAGACGCATTTCATGAGGGGGAATTCGATGGTATTGTGGGATTAGGCTATCCTCATATGACAGGAGTACCCACTTTGTTTGATTACATGATCTAATAGCATAAACTACACTCAAATGTGTTTACATTCCATTTGAATAGAGCAACTGGAAATTCAGGGTCATAATTAATTTTTGGTGGAAGTGACGATTCTCAAATCAAAGGAGAATGGGTTTATCATAATGTTCATGAACAATTCTATTGGTCAATAATGGCAGAATAGATTAAAGTGGGTAATAAGGACACTGGAATCTGTACACATTAACATAAGTGCAAGATGGTTGTTGACACAGGAACCACTTTGTTGACAGGACCAACAAAGGATGTGAGAGCATTGTTGTCAATGATCAGAGTTGAGCCAAAATGCCAAAATTATCCAACAATGCCAGATATCACATTTGTTATTGATGGACATGATTACGTCTTATCACCTAAGGATTACATTCTAACTATCACATGTAAATATCATAACTATATCCATTAGAATCAGGAGTTGAGGCACCTTATCATCATTCATCAATGGATTAGATTGTTGGTTGTGCTGGAACTATCTTTCCTTTAGATTTACCACCCAAACAGTATGATTTTATATTAATTGTAGAGGTCCCTTATGGATCTTAGGTGATGTATTTATCACAAAGTACTCTGCTAAGTTCGATAGAGATAAAAACAGAGTTGGTTTGGCATTAAATAAGAATCTTGATGAAAATCATAAATAAACATATCGAATAATTAATCACTCATTTGTACTAAAGTATTATTGAAATGTCTGCAGCGCTTCACTATTGTATATCAATCGGACATCCTCTTTATTAAGTTATTCGAATGCTTGATCCTCGTAACCTCGGTCATCATGTAAACTAAGAGTAGACTTCTTAGATGGCAACAAAGTTTCCATCTTATCTCTCTCAGCCTATTCTCCTTAATTATAAGGGGAGATCTTATGAAATATTCTGAATATCGTATCTATGAAGATGAGACATTCCATCATTGAATGGAATTTAATTGATGCTTGTTCACTCTAATCATCATACTTAGACATTTGACCCCGAGTAGATATCATTTATTCTAAGTACAATAAGAGTTGAGTGCATTGATCGATTCCTTGACCCAATAAAGTGGGAGGACCTGTTCTCTTCTACTTCTCTTTTCCTAATCGAAAGAATGTAATCATTATGTCAATATTAAACTATTTGATTCTTGCCAGATATCTCTTTTTTACTGCCTTGTTTTACACATAAGACTCACTCAATCCAATTAAGTACTTAATGATGAACTTCATAGTGCACACCTTCAATACACTAGGTGGTCTCTTTTGAAATTAGTCGGACAATTCAAACCAAAATTAATTAGTATATAAGTCATTCTTCTTCATTTGTTAAAACATACTATGTTCTTCTGCTTAATTGAATTCAGATCTATTTATGTTACTATCAATATAATATCTCCATCTGTATTCACACAAAGCAGGAGTCATTTTGCTGTAAAAGAATATTTTATTCATCTAACTTGAAATTTGTTAAAAGTCATTTTGGAAATGCTTTTGCAATTTCAATAATAGATCATCCTCTTGTGAATTCCACTTTACCTTGTCCAATTACTAGAGTTCAATGTCCATTAAAAACAAATATTTAGTATTTCATAGTAATATTGTAATTATAATATATGAAAATCATTATAATATTTATATCAATCACCTTGAAATTAAATGAAGTTTTTCGATGTAATTTCGTATTTCACGCCTTCAATTATCACATATAGAGGTTGTGTGTTCCTTGAAGAATTGAACTCGTCCAATATCTACTTTAATTAATTATGCTAAGTCTACTCCTGTCCTTTAAACTAGTAAAATAGCAATAGTATAACTTACCTATTGAATATGTTCACTTAATTATCTAACCTATAATTCATTCACTCTTTATCTCAAAATGTGATCTTTCTCAAATAATTCCTATGTCTTTGGTTAAGTCATTGTAGCCATTACTCCTACCAACATATTCATTAAAAAGAACCCAATAAAAATGGTCAAAAACAAAAAGTAAAAAACATAAATAGCCTGATGTCGTATCACTATCCGGGCTACATCTCCCCAACTATCAAAAGTCACTACTTACAACATGAACAAATAAGATTAAGTCAGAGAATCAAATAAGGGATAGCCGACATCAACTTTAATAAATTAGTGACCAATCAAAGCCATAGTAAATAGTAGGCCTCCTACAAAAATGATGATATGGCTGACTCCAGGCAACACTTCAACAAATTTGAACAGCAACTTTTAAACATAGAGTATGGCCAGTACTATAAGAACTCTCAGCATTGGTCCGAATCTGATGTCTTAATAAATGGATAATGAAATTATGTCCACGATTGTTGCTGCTGGACCTGCGATCAACAAGATTATTACGACATATAATCTGACCGAATATTCTTCGTTTCTTATTTAGGTTTCATCGTGAAATTTCTCTTCAAACTGGCTTTTTTATTCAGTGATAAACTATCTGAATTACATTATCTTCTAGTAACATAAGATGCAGAAATATATCCCAAAGATATTCTCTATCACGATCAAGGCATAGTTGATTTAACGTAAACTACTAAATAATTATGCCATTGATAGCAGTATTTATAATGAAATGTAGAGGTAGATTGAGACCTCTGATTCATTCAATCCCCAAGATTTACGATTTAATTAATAAGGAGTCTGATCCATATCTAATAATTTCAATGCATCTCTTATTTCTATTGAATGTCTGTACTCTAAATTCAAATCCTAGTTTAGGACATCGTCATGTTAAAAGTCATATTCAAAGTTTCTTCTCAAAGTAGGATTTGAATAATAACTCACAAACGCTCCCAATAATAAATTGATAAAATAGAAAAACATGAACAAAATGAAAAACAGGAAGAATATACTCCAAGCTTATCCGTAATACTTTGAAACCGATTGATTAACTTACAAATTCCAACTGTCTAGTGTTAATACTTAAAACATAGACAACATTGACTTAAAAATATTTCTAAAAAACTTCGGACTAATTTCTTAGAAAATAGCATAAGCTATGTAACTATATACATAATATGTTAGAAGAAGAGCAAAGTTGATGTATCGAGATACATATAAAATGTAAAATACATCCTTTATCAATAATCTAAAATTAATCAAAGTCTCACCTTATTTTTTCTAAACAGAATATACGCAATAGTAACATAATATCAGAAATAGTTATGGCAACTTCCACGGTTACGATTGCAAAGTAAACATTTAGAATAAGACTCAGAGGACCGCTGATGATATCAATGATCATAAATCCGACACCTAATTAGTCATGTTTATACCATAATAATGTCTGTTCAAATATAATTTGTTTATGAATTTATATTTAATGAGAAAATCGATTGTTATTAAAAAGCTGAGGACAAAGTTGATGATTCTGAATCTCATATCGACTTCATCTTGTTTTCCACAGAAAAAAATGAAATTCACAAAAATCATTATGCCAATGCAAGATGAAATAATCTCGCTTGTTTGCAAATAGAACCTTCTAACAGAGAACACCCATCCATCCCCCTTTGTTAGGAAGGGAGGAAACAAAGCGATATCTTTCTTAGCAAAAAGTCTAAATGGCATGCAATATATTATTTTATAAATATAATTTTTATGATATTCTTGAATTACATCCATGATTATTTATGGAAGCAATAATGAGCATTCATCCTATTAGCAAGAATGATCAAATGAATTTTCTATAATATAATATAAATGAACTGAGCTGAACTCATCCTCAGAGAACAACGAGATGAAGTTCGCAATTATTTTATAATTAATTTGTATTCGTTGAATGCTCATAAATAAATTATCTGATCATCCAAACTCATAAAGTGGGTCATTTGTCCATTTGTCTCCGTAGGCTTATGAGGCCTTATAAACTTTAGAGTAAATTAAAAAGAATAATATGCTGCAGCAGAATTCCTAAATCGTTAGAAGAGTTTCATCACAATATGTTCAATAGCCTCAAAATAATTATTAGCATTCATCCCATGAAGCTTTGGCATCCCCAATTCACCCGAGAAAAGAGTCTTAAACCAATTCATCATTATCATTCATTAAAGGAGCTTTATAGTCAAATCGCACCTTTAAGTAGGAGACGGAGGGAAGTCATAAACCTAGTTCTCAAACGGAGAGGCAGATTAGTTAGCAATAAACTTTGGGAAAATCAGATGAGCCCACTCCATTCTTCAGAGACACTTTATCAAGTGATCGCAATAAATGCAATCAGACTAGCTTAAGCCAATATTTGGCTAAACACCAATTTCAATAGCAATTCAAATATATCAATGAAGAATTATAAGCATTTAAATAATAAGTCGAAAATGATGTCTTGATTGAAACTGTCATTACTAAATTTGAATCGCCTAAAGACATTTCCGAAAATAGTCAGTTGCTTGTAGATCAATCATAAAAGGAGAATTAGTCCCCCACAACTAAATTGATGATGAAAAAGAAATTGATCTTAAATCAGATCCTCTCTCTCGATAATCAGATTAAGATCATGGAAGATGAAGAGACTAAAATTGCCCTTGATCCTTAAAAATCAAGGAAAAAGCAAAACACTAGCCAATCCTCTCAAAATCAACAAATTGTTGAAAGTCTTTATGAAAGAGCATAAAAAAAGCAATCTAATTTTAAAAAACTTTTTGAGGAGACTCAAGTTCATAAGAATCAAGAAGAAATGAAAGAATGCACATTTATTCCGAAGATAAATAAGCAAAACATATCAGGCAAGTTTATGGAACGCTTGGATGATTGGGTCAAGAGGAAAAATCAAAAGATAACTTAATAGCAGGAACAAAGCTAAGAGAGAATCATGAAAGAGTGTACATTTAGTCCTTTAAATAAACAATTATCCAAAACCAATCTTAATCATACTGCAGTTTATTACAGAAATCAAGAGTGGTAGAATAGATTGAATATTAAGAAATAAAAGTTAAAAGCCTAAAATTCACTTATTTAAATGAGTGCCAAGAAGGAGTAGAATACTCCCAAGAAAATAAATAAGAGATCTAGTTCCTCATAATATCAGATTGATCTTGCCAAGATACTACAATCAACAAACTCATAGAATACAACCAAAAGGGTAAAACATTAGTCTCCTTTCCATACCGAAATCCAGAGTGGGATTCTTAATGCATCAAACAAAAAAATTGAAAATATTGATATGAAGTATTTGCAATTATGTGAAATAGCCAATAGAATTAAAGCCAAATCTAAATGTTGATTTTTAACTTTTATATAATATATATATCATTATCAATAATTTAATGGGATCACTCTAGGTGGCTAGGGCCTTACTATTTACTACATTTCAATTTCATCAGTTTGTTTTTTGATTTTTAAGTTGATCATTATCATAATAATTATACACACAGCCAAACAAATGACTCCAAAGATTATCATATTTAGAGGATCATAATTATCTGGCAGGGTAATTTCTATTTAGAGAATTTGTTTGTACATTTATGATTAACTTGAACCAAGGGATCCTTTACATGTCTTAAATAAATCTAGATCTAGTTGGTTCTCTCCTTGCTGTATTGGGCCAATTGCTAATTTTCATAACAACCACTCAATATCTCATTTTTATCAAAAACCAGACAAACTGAACTTAACTACAAGTAGCAATCTTCCAAACATTCTCCAATTATTAATTTACGGTAGGGAACACTTATGCAATTGGATCCACAGAAAGTTTCTTTGTTAGATATTGAATTAATGAGATGAGGCCATTAAAGTTCTAAAAATTTGGAATGCAAAATTTGATGTTCTGGTTAAGGCATCTCAACTGAGAATGCTTGTATCTCATATGAAAATTAATTGAACTTCTCATTGGTTTTGATTAGTTATAATTAGTGAATTGTATTCTTGGTTTTAACATACATTTGATCCTAAAAGGTTCCAAGATTAGTCGAACTCAATTCTGATAAAGACTTCATTATTTTCACTAATATTATAATCATTATGATACTATTTTGTTCATTTAAAGCGTTAGATAAAATCATAAGAAAAGAGATTGTCATAAATAAAGTGCCAAAAAAGCCGAACGAATAAAAAAAGAAGGCCTTTTTCAATCCGCCATCTAAAATATGAGCAAATTTTCATACTTTTCACAACTCCAAAGAGATCTAATTTATTAATTTATTCCATTTTAGAATTGTCTTGATAAAAAATTAATTATATTAATAAAAAAATGGGAAAGGGATTTTAGACAATAAAGTATGTGATATTTAATATTAATAATAATTCTTATATTACTCACTTAAATTCAAAAGTACACATTTCACAAAAGTGGTTTGAATTTGATTGTAAGTATGTACAAACTGGACATTGCATATTGTCATCATTTTTGGATCCTGTTTCTGGTTTAAGATTAGGCATGAACACTTAAACTTCTTCATCGATTCTCACTCTAAAATACACGCAAATCTTTACTGTTTTTTAGGTTGCTACTATGGAGCAGAGTTGCCTTATTCATTAAAATTAATGTCCATGGTTTCTATAAAGAGTCCCCAATCCATCGAAGGAATTGTCTTCATAATTGTTGTCAAGTATACAGAACTATGGGGAGGAACAACCTTACAAATTTTAGCTGGATGTCTATCATTCATTAAAAGTTACTACCTAAAATTAACCATGAAATCTGGATCAAGAGTAATCTAATAAGTTATGTGCAGAGTTTGATTTGTAGTATTATTCAACATGAATCTCTTCAACATAGGAGCCATTTGAATTTCAATATCACAATGTATTAATTATTGGGGTGTCTCTCCAAATTGTCTAAAGTTATATACACATTACTTACACAAGAGGAATAGCAGTGGGGACATCACCCTACTTATTTGCATCTGAGATATGTTCTAATTCCATTGAGAACTAGGACAATTAAGTCATGGATTCTTGTTCAGCCTTACTTTACTCAGATGTTTTATTAATGTCAGTACCAAAATCAATTCCATCGATAACGTCCTTCTTTTTTGGAAGAGGAGGGGGTTTTGGAATGGTGAAAGATCCTTGTGGTTGAATCAGGTGATGAACATTAGAAGAGGGATCTACTTTGGCAGATTACAAATAAATGTTATCATACAATATTGTCATTGGGAAGACATTATTGGTTGTCAAAGTAGGTTTAGATTCAGCAAAATAGACTGTGGATTCATAACACTCTAAGATGACTCCATCAACTTGGACAACACTTGAGATTTATTCTGTCTGTATTATATTGCCTATGATGTAGATTGGTTGAATAGGCTCGTATAATCCAATTTCTGTTATTTAAGAGTAGTTGGTTTTAAATTGCTGCCAAAACTATAAGGTTTCTTCAACTTCCTTTTGTTTATTGAAAAATATGGTTGTTGCTATGACAGGATACTTTTTACAATCTTCTAAGAATTCATTCAGAAATCCTTCAAACCAATCTGTGTATTTTGAGTATAAATAACATGGAGGTGGCAGATTAACCAAATAGGAAAATACTTATTTATTCGCATTAGCAGCAGCCAGAGTCATTTTCATCATTTGGATAGCCACATTTTAAAATCTTTTTTGATTCTCAAATAATAAATTCAGGATTGAAATGTTATCATTTTAAGAGCCTATGTGAGATTAATAGAGTATGCTTTGATATGATAAATTGGTTGAACAACCTGTGGTGTATTTGTCTTAATAATTAGGCTCTGGGAAACCAAGCAACCATTCAATGCGTTCTTGTTGATAAGCATCGTAAATGTTAAGGAGATTGTAGGCTAACCCTAAGTATTAACCCACACTTTCATAGTTGGCTTTGTTGATTTCTTCTAACAATACTTCAATTACAGATCTGGATAGAGGTTCATTGTTGAATACCATTCTTTAGATGATCAATTTAACTGTTTCAAAATCTTGGCATTCTGTTAAAGCCCGTTTATAGAAGATCTAAGTTTGAAGACAAAGAGTATCATTTTTTGATAAAACATAATTTTGGTCTTGCAATAAATATTGTATGCATTAGAAAAGTTAGGAATAGAATGGTACAACCATCTTACTGGCCATAGTTATCTTTTTCTCAGAGATGAATTCATAAAATTATGTTTTTTATAATCCTTAAGGAGATTGCTTTTCCATAAAGAAATCAGCAAATATGGAAACCAACTCTATTTGACTTGCAAATTTGACATTGATAACTGAAGATTTGACAAAGTCCCTCCAAAAGGTGAAATAATAAATGAACTTAGTTGGATTTTTGGCAACATCATTTTATAGTTTCTGTATTAAATCAATAAGGAATCTCATCACAATTTGATCACAACTTACTGTGCTACTTTCTGGCTATAGAACTGCCAATAATTCAGTGTTTAATTAAAGAGCATGAATGTAGGTGATAACATTTATAAAATGCAAGAGAATTTGCTATATTGCTTGCCTTATATTGTAATCAGGAGCACACAATAATACATTAAATACTCGTTATTGACGATTTACTATCATATTTTGAAAAACTTAAAAAGCATTCGTAGGTATAATATTAATGAGATTCATAATGATGAGTACATAATTTTTAATAGTGGAATGATCGGATGACCTCGCAATCAATTCTATTGTTATATATGTCATATTCGATAACAATTAATAAATCTTTTCTTATCCCTATATGTCTTAATAGTTATTGTAAATGCCAAAATACTATGGCACTTATTCTGGATTTGTGATTAAGGCGTAGTCCTCAGGGTATGGAAAAGCATCTCCGATTTCTTTAACAAACCTAAAGAATTCCTCACTGTAAACATGTCTCTCCATCATAAACCTGTGATTATCATGCCAAATCTCCTGATACAAAGAGTCTGGTATGTGTTGTTAAGTCATAGTCTTGTAATCTAGTTTATATGTAAGATCTTAATTGTCCTCCTCTTAAATGACACTATCAAATTTCTACATAATCTCTTGTTTTTATTGTAGATCAGCAAATTTCAATTCTACTTACTCTTTCTGTATTCTCTCATATACTAAAATGTATGCATTAGTGCTACTGCCAGACTCTTGAAAGTCTTGACTATCTTCAGTATCTTTGCCTCCGTAACATTCATGTGGTAATCTTTTAACATCGAAATCCTCAATCACAGAGTCATTAAATTTCAACCACTTTTCATCCTTGGTATTAATCAAACTATAATAGTGTCCATATTAAGCAGTTCCTTTGTGAACCACTACTCCTTTCAATTTGTATTAATAATATGATTACTACTTGATGTCAGAGTTAAGCAATCCTTCTCTTGTGTACTATTATAGATTGAGATTGTGTGGGAATTCCAAACGAGTACTTAATTTTTCATTCATGAAGATATCTAAATTGAACACAATTCTTTGGATATGGACTATCAATACATTTGGCAAGGTTTATAAGCATTGTCGTTTGATGAGATCATTCTTTTACTTGCATTATTCACAATAGTAATCTTTGATGACCTCTCCATTAATCATACTTTCAAAGGATTCATGAATAGATTTAACCCCTTTCACTTTTACTGAAAGAGTGTAAAAAAGATCAAATTTCTCTCTCATATTTTTGCACCCATTGCATATCATTTAACTGCAAGTCTACCCACCGTAAATAGACTCAATAAATTGTTACCAACCTTTCCCCTTTAGTTAATTATCTAAACGATCAAAAAATTGATTTAAGAATTCTTAAGCATCCTATTGTAAGGAGACATTAACAGGTTGATTATCATAATCCTTAAAGGAATAGCAAAAGAATTGAGGATTGACATCAGGTCTTTCACTTAATTCCAAATAGGCTAGTAATCTCTGGAATTGATGAATTGAGTTATCATCTATTTGATATTCTAAACCCTAATTATCTTTGTATTGAACCACTTAATTTTCAACACCATCTTCAGCTCTCAACATGCAGTACCTGAATTCAGGAGTCATGAAGAATTGTTACATCATAGCATTCATGTAACAAATACATCCCAAATTACGAATGCCCACAAAACCATGATATGTTTTTGGATTCAATTTTATATCAAATCCACTAAATATAATGATCTGGTATATGATTGTATTTAAATCCAACATCTCTGGATTGTAATTCTACTTTAAATATAATATTATGATTCTATAAACAATCTTCCTGCTCTCAGGAGACTTGCTCTTAACATAATCTGGAGTGTATTATTTCTAGGGTGTAAGCTAAAACGTATTTAAATGGAAGCAAAACAAGTGAACCTGGTATAAGTACATGATCAATTATTATGTCAATATACTTTAGTCTACAATACTCAAACTTTCTAAAATTGATAGTAGACCTGTAAGAGTCTTATCAGATGTCAACCCAATTCTTGATTCTGTTGGTTCATATTCCTTTAGTTGTGCTATGATATTTTCTGCAAATTATTTATCACTGTATTTTGATTCCTGAATCAACTTAGCAAGTAAATCAAAATAGGATTACGATTCCTTGTTTTCATTTTTTGGAAACAATTCAATTAATATATTAATTAAAATCTTTCCCAACTGATTCTAACATTTGAATATCAAATACAAAGAATTTCCTGCAAATTTCCTTATTAATAATTACTTGGGAGCATATAATAACTATTCATAACGTTATTTAATTGTTTGGATAGATGAAACAAAGTAATCTAAGCAATTGCCCAAATTATATCCAACGATTGTAGTGATTAAAATTAAAATAAACTCAATGATAAATCTGTCTTCAGTTATATCCAGTTACATGCTGATTATGCATTTTAACAAATCAACATAATCTAGTTAGATATCTAACCCATTCATAAACTTGACTAATTCTAAGAATTCTTCAGTCTCCTTCACTCTTAATAAAGGTTTATTGTCAGAAGAGGATGGGTAGGTACCATCGATTAATTAGGCAATGGTATCAAATGTAGCTTAAATTGGTTACTTGACATGCTGCTGAATTTGGTAGATGTTATTGAAAATAGGTTGGAATTAAGCAGATATGTGTCTACAGAGAATGTTCAAAATCAAACATTATGCTAATTTCACAATTTTAATATTCTCTTATTCCAAGTTGTTTAAAATGAATTGTAATTACTTGAATCCGCCATATTTAACAAAGTTTCTACAATATTCTTCAGTATACAAAAGATGTTCGATAATTTTGATTGAATATATTAATTAATAAGATCTATCCTTTGTGAAATCTTCAAAGTTAAGAATTCGTTACTTTGCTGCTTCAAAAACTGGCAGAGAACACAATAACTTCCAACATTCTTAAGCAATCTAATCGCTTTGATTAATGAAGTGGAACATCAATCTATAGAATCTTTCATTGTGAGCCAATTAATAACGAGGCAATTTCTGTTCATCTAAATCAACTTCATCGTTTTCTATTAATGTTAGATCATTCTTATAACCAAATGAATGCAAGTTCTTCCAAACTATAGATGAAATCTTTTATCGAATACAACAATCTTCATAAAATGAAATAAAATTGTCAACTGTTAAATATCCTTTCTGTTCACCATACAAGTTCCACACTTCTTTGATTTTCTTTCCATCTTTAAAACTCTCATCATTTGCAGCCTTCACTCCAAAACTAGACAATTGCTCTGAACTCATCTTACCGTCTGTTGAATACAACTCAAACAACTTATGCAAGACTTTAATAAATTTAGGTGTTAATTTGTTATCCTCAACCAAAGGTAGTTAAGGAATCGGCTTTGTCTTTCTTCTGTACACATTTATCACTTCACTCTTTCTAACATTCATCTGTTTCAATGTCTTACCATTATCTGTATCCTACACTGTAACCCCATTTCTTACTAATTTCACCTATTCCCAATTGGTATATAACTCTTTCGCTATCACCCTTCTCAATTCAAACATAGTCATTCTAGAATACACCTTTATTGTTGTTCTGTTACTAGGAGCTCCATCTCCCATGTCATTCACAATATTGATACTAAATCCGTCTCCTTTTACTAAACCATCCAATGAAAGCAAGGATCCAACACCTTTAGTCTCAGTTTCATTCAATAAATTTCTCAGAACATCCAAACATTTAAGTATTGTCTATTCATTTGTACAATCCATCTTATCCAAGATCCTGTCTATGAATTGTTCTTATTGCGATAAATTCAATTTCACCAACAATTAAACCGCTTTATCCAGTTGAGAATTAAACACTATATGCCATAAATATTCAATTCCTATAATTTAATTCACGTCCACTAATAGAGTCAATTCTAATTGTTGATCATTTTCATTAACATTTGTGTTGGTCATACTAATAATATTCCCATATTGATCACAATTTTAATTCAAATTTGATTATTGTCTATGTAATCGATACTCTTTTTGATTTATATAGTACAGTATTGCCTAAAAGCAATTAAATGCATTTTCAGTGAGATGTGAATCTGAATTTAATAGTCTTAAATAGAATGCATCTAATTCAGTCAGACTGAATTATTAATCTTTCTCAACTAGATCTCTTAACCAATTGCTTGCCATATCACATTCCTGTTTACAAATAGGTTTCAAAATTAGTTCATTCCAAATTAAATCTAGAAATTATTGATTAATGATATTTGCTGCAGTGCCATTAATTTTAATTAAAGTTTTAATCAAAAGAATTCTTTCTTATAATTTATTCATGTATCTTGCTGATTCTTATAGAGTCTCTGCATTGATGCCTTTATTTTAAATTCGAAGATTCTCTATATTTTATCTTAAAATTTGATGGATATTAGATTGTTGAATAAGGTCCTTCACAAATTCATCCTATGTTATCTCTTCTACCTTGCTTTCAGTTTAAGTAGATTATTCAATTTCTTCCTTAATTTTCTGTTATTGCATAAGGTTAGGATTGTTCTACACAAAAGGATATGTCATAACTTAGGAAGGCTATGATTCTGCATTATTGTCTGGTTGTTATGGTTATGATTATTATTTTGATGGAAATGAACATATAAAATGAGATAGTGTTTTAATTGATGAACTCTCTACTTTCATTTATTAAATATTTGATATTAACTTTTGAACCATTTGAACTTTAATTTCCTTAATCTCTAGATTCTTGATCAAATCACAAAGATATGACCTTGATTTATCCTCTAAAGACTGCTTTTATGACTAACCAGCATATTCAATTATTCTCCATAAAGTATCAATTGACAAAATTATCAATTCTTAATTTTTAATTTAATATCTATTCATTTCATATAATAATTAAACATGCTCGATCAATATTGAATCCTCTTTCAATTATTTGATTTATTCCATAAAGAAAATCACATGATATTCTCGCATAGCAAATGCAATTTCATTGATTAATTTAAAAATAATGGGTCTCAATTCATTATCATTCTATTACATCAGATCCCAAATCATAGACATATGTTTGGCTGTAAATGCATTTTCGATGTTCAAATAAATTCTGATCAACTCCTTTGTCCTCTCAAGTAATTGAAGATGTGTATTATGATGAAACAATGTCTCCATGATATTCTCACTTTCAATCCATTACAAAACCGTTTAAGGACTCTTATCAACACTAGCCTACTTCAACATATCAGTCAACAGCTTTAATCCCATAATTTTCTTATCCAAGAAATTACAATTGAAACAAACCTACACAAATTCCAAACTCAACTTTTATAGCCATTCTCTCCTTTATTCCTCATTCATAATTCTATCCAAAAGTACTTTAAAGGCTTGGATGATCAAATTCATCTTCTCTCTTCCCATATTTCTCAAGGTTTACTCATCAGAATGAAGCAAAGTTTGTCTCAAACCCTACAATTTGGGAACGTATTCTTGGCAGAAAGATCTGAACAATTAAGCATGGATGTTGCCAATAGCAGACATGTAATTGGCCAGAATATCAACTGATTAAATGTTGAGTATCTTTTCGAATCCTCCAAAATATCCAAAATGATTGATAAATTAAATCAAAAGAAAACTCTTTGATTGTTTAGGTCTCAAGATAGCATAGAATTTCTCTTCTTGATAATCTTATTAGTATAGGATATCATAACTGTCATCAATATATTGTTCATTTGAGTTGAATTTCCTTACAATATGATCATCACAAAATGCTAGTCTAGGATGACATGCAGTTATTTGTTCATCATAATGTCGGTTATAACCAATAAATTTTTTCTAAGATTCATCATCTATTGAATTTCCATCCTCTGTATAAAAGCGAAATGCTATGTTATAATTAACAATAGGTTCTATGTCTTTATCTTCAATACGTTGCTAAATAGTGCTCAAAACCCATTTGTCTGATTGGGTTGCCAGGATCACCTAGCCTATTTAAAGATTGAACATTTGATCTAATCTTTGAGATCGAGTTCTAAATGGCATGAGATGACCACTTCTTATATTGTATATTTGTTTGACAGATTGCTCGTTTAGAAATCTAACCTTTATGTCGTCTTCACTGTGTTCTTCTACCACTCCTCTTGACCAATTCCATCGAGCAGTGCTACGACAGAGACGCAGACAATCTACATAAGTGCCTTCTTAAAGTTGGTCAATGAATTACTTATATTGAGGATTGAGTGAGTAAGAATATTTAATGAACTAACTTTATTCAATTGATTACTTGATCATGCCATTCAGTACGATGTGCATTATGCTCATATATCATACGAGATGGGTCCATTATAGTCCTAAATATTTAGCTTACCTTCTCATCTTAGAGATTATTGGAAATGTATTTCAATACGCACTTTATAAATGCTTCTATGTTGAAAATCACTCTATCTGGATAACCCTTATGATTGATGATGAAATTCACACAGATGTTTATCAACTCTGGTAAATATTGTCGACCATCTGCTGTGACGGTCTCCTCCATATACTACTCTACTCTTTATAAAGCTTGCAGAATCGGTTCATATTGCTATTCCATTTTGGCTGTCTTAAGCTTATCCACCTACGACACCAATTATTTCATCGCCTGTATTTCTTCACTCATTTATATTTATAATTCATCTTAAATTTTACAAATGTAGTTTATATAGTAAATAAAATAATCCAAAACAATTATTTCAGACCCTCTTGCATCACGAATGCAAACCCTCAACATTTAGAAATACCGCCTTAATATCATTGTCTACCATTCTTCTAAATCTTCTTCCTTATTAATATATTCCTCATAATTTATTCTACATTCTATAACCTATCTGATCATATCTATTCAAATCTATTCTTGCGCTTAAATATTCTTTAGTTTAACTATTACAATCTGAGTTTCAGTGCAAATATATTGAATATTCATAATAATAACAAAAGATTCATCTGCTTTATTATGATTTGCTTAAAAAGGACCCTTGAAGTTTTACTCAACTTTAAAGATAATTCTCTTATTTTTATAGAATAATCATTCTTTTATTTAAATATGAAGACAAGTATTTTAATAGATAAACGACACCTTGATAAGACATATCCCCAACTAAAATTGTATAAACATTTATACTCTATATTTTAACATAAATCTATAAAAAAATTTGACAGAGTCTTTTGAAATTTTAATAATGTTGAGTAAAAAGATATTAGGAGGGTTAGTAAGATTTTTAAATTTATATTTTAATTTGAGACTATCTTTATAATTTTGAAAATATAGGTTTTAAGTTGTATAAACAGAGATTTGAATGATGTGTTGAGCCTAATCTCATTTTCTATCAATGATAAAATTTGTATTAACTACATAGCTATACCTATTCTTTATTACTATGTCTTGATATCTGCAACTATGATATAATATCGAAAAAAAAAGACTTTGCTTTTTGGATATTTACATAATTATTGATGTTCAATTAAATTAATAAAATTAGGATTATTATAAAAATTGATTCCAAAAAAATAATGATCTTTATGTTTCTTAAATTTATCCTATTTACCACTTATCATAAAATACTCATTTTCTCAGTTTTCTATCTTTTCTTTATCTTTCTTCCAATTCTTCTTTGTATTTCATGGACAAATCAAAATCATCTAATTACCATCCTATTAGGTCTTCTCTATATTGCGAATCGGAAGCCAATGGAAATCTCTCAGGCTTGCATTAGAATGGAAAATCTTTCATCAAATTGAACATGGTTTTGCCATTAAACTTCATAACTTCTTCTTATTACCAGCTAATATATAATTTCAATATATTTCATACTTTCCTTCAACTTCAGCCAACACTTAGGCCTATTGATTAGACATTTTTAATTTACCATCCTTTTTGTACTTCTATAGTATAGTCTGGTTCACTTTGTATATTTTACCCTCAAAGTAATCACATTGAGTTTTTCCCTTCTTTTAAGGGTTGAAATACAATTCACTCAGAATTTGATTCTTATGATCGATATATAATTATTGTCCTTCAGTGTAAAAATAACGATCTCCATAAGTGATACCAGTCACATAACCCTTACAATAACTATACTCAATCTTTGCATCACTAAATTCTATTACAATTCTACCTTCATTGCCTCCTGTTATTGTATTTGCCCCTATGCTGGCTGTCGATTCCAAATTACCATATATTTTATAACCCCTACCATACATAATAAATGCAGCAATTGGAGGATGATGACTAATTTATTCTAAGTAAACTGGACATCCCTTAATCCATAATTAACAAGTCTCTCCTAGAATTGGGTTGAACGGCTTTTCAAGATTCAGATAGATTATAGTAAATGAGAGTGAAAATGCTATCACTGCTCCCATCTACTAAACTGGATCATTTGGCACATTCTCTAGGAAATGTGGAGCATAAGCAAATGAGGCCCCAAATCTTTATAAATTAGTTCTCTTCTCAAAAACGTAGACTGGAAGAGAAACACTTAAGATGGATTTACCTTTCAATATATTGGATCCCATTTTGCTTAAAATGTATTTGAACACTTTTTTCTAGGCTTCCAATTTTTTAGTATTGAAAAATTTCAAATATCCTTTCTTTGTATCAAATTACCATTCATCCCTATAAAAAAAATGTAATCCATTAATTTCATTAATCCTTTCGTGTTAAGCATCATCTTTAAAAGTGACCATGTAGGGATGTAATTGAGAACTCCACATTTCACATCGTAATACAAAGTCTAGCAATTCCTTATAGAATTCATCCTAATTCTGAATCAGTTATGATTTCTCCCACTCCGGTCGTATATCTTCATGCATGAATGCTTCATCTATTTCAATCTCATCCTCAGACTCATCATCTATTTTAATTTACTTTTTCTCTTCTATATCCTCTGTTTATTTATTATCTTCAATAGTCCCTGTTTTCTATGATTAATTCTGTTGATCATCAATAATTTAATCATGAACTGGAATACTGAAATTCAACATCTATTTTTATTCTATTGTTGTATCTTTCTTAATTATTCTTTCTTCGTTTAATTTTCTAATTAATATAAGGTCTTCATCACTTATCTACTAAGAACTAGTTTACTTGGAGTCAGAATAATTTTGAAACTTCGATTAATATTTCTATTTTATTTGTAAATAAGATATTGAATCCTACCTTGTTAATTCATAGTCTTTTTCCTGCTCTATTTATGGTTATGATTTATGCATGTAATTATTAGTTGTAGTATTCTGAACATTTTCTGGGATAACCAATTGCTGAATATTTTTAGATTTAACTGGACGACTCTCATAAATATTGATTAAATTTAAAATGAATTATGGTGCTTATTTTTATAATTTTAATTCCATAACATACTAAATTAGGTGCACATACTCTTTTAAATATTGAATGGTTAGTTATAAATCTTAGTACTATGTCATATATCCACCATTAATTGTCTTAGTATCAACAACGAATAGTTTAGGAGTATGTTAAGAGATAAACACAGCACAAATATTCCAATGTATATTATTGTTACCCTTATCATCTGATTTGTCTATGACATATATTTCATTGTAATTGCAATAAAATTACCTAACATAGTTGAATGTCCTTGGCTTATAAAAGTAACCAAATGGTTCTCTAGTTTCCTTAATTTTGATTGTTGTTGAGCCTACAGTTTCCAATTACTCGATACTTTTTATTTATTTATTCCATTTTGTTTATGTTTTTGTATCATACAAAGCCAAGATTAAACTATTGACAGTAGCATCAGTAATGGGAAGAAATATTCTAAAGTTGTAACAGTCATTTTTATTCTGCATAATTCTTATTGAATCTTCAAACAAATAGAGATTAAAATCAGATTCATCCATCAAATAATCGTAGCTTAATTTATATTTCAGATCTTTGAATATTAACGTTAATTCTGGTTACTCTATAGGAGTATCATTTTGTATTGGTAAGTTTTAATTTAAAATTGCTGATTCTCCAAGAGGTTATTATAAAAATATTATTCTTTCTTTGTCAATCTAATTTTAATTTTTGGATTCTCCTTAATTAAATGCCTATTGATTATCGAATTCATTAATTGAATAGTGTTTCTATTGATTTAAGTCTTAAGAATAAAATAAACCTTGGTTTATACTAGGTCTCTCCCTATCCATTTATTTCAATAAGTCCAAATTGATATCTTTTGCCATAGGTTCAACAGTCATAGTCTCATATCGTCTTCCCCTTCTGCCTTAATAAACACATTATTTAATATCATTAAACCATTAATTAACATAATTTTTATCATCATCAGCAAACCAAAAGTTTTAAGAGAGAGATTTATGCAAAAGTAAAAATTTGAATCTCTTGTTATCTGAAATTGGATTTTAGATTTCAAAGAATCGTAAATTGAGAATGATTTCTTTATCTGACACAATTATCAATTCGCATAGATCAATATCTATAGTTAACTTTCTTGTTTTCCAAGTTGACTCATCCTTCATTTTAATATCAATGGAGCCTGTTTTTTTTGGTTGAGACATGTAAATCAGAATGGTCTGTCTAAATATTTTTTCCTTAGTTTCCCTACTTACCTTTAGTCTGCTTACATCTTTATCAAATGCAAGATCCTAATATAAAGATTCGACCTTTTCAATCACGTTTTCTGATATTTCTTAAGGGTGAACTTATTAAAACTTTTAAAATCGTTTATAAAGACAAGCTATTGATTCTTCTTAATTCATTTATTAATAACTAATCAAAAATCATCAAACATATGTTATTTTTCATCGTCAATAGGTTGAATGTCATCTCTTTCTTCTGGATACTTGTCAAACCATTGAGAATCTGTTTCATTTCTTAAAAAAGGTATCCATGGAGGCTGGATTTTCTTCTCATAAACTTTTTACCATGGAACGCCCCTAAAGAATTTGTGATTCATCAAGGCTGCTCCTTCCTAATTTAACAAGATCAAATTACATCTTCAACTCCCAATCTCTTATTGACATCAGAATTTAACAATTTCCTTATTACATCTTTGGCTCTTACATGCAAAAACTTGGGAAACTCAATAACTCCATTTAAAATCTTCTTGTATATGTTTGTAGGCTCAATATCATAAAAAGGAGGATGTCTAAATAAGATATTAATTTAACTCTATACCCTGCTAACATTTCGAATATCAATACTCCCAATGCCCACCAATCTATAGATTTTCCGTATCCTGTTTTTGCCCCTTAAATCAACTCAGGAGCCAAATATTCAGGTGTACCACACAAAGTCTGAGTGTGATTGTTTTTAATCTTTTTCGCAAACCCAAAATCTGCTATTTTAATGTGTCCTTCTCTATCAATCAATAAGTTTTCAGGCTTTAAATCTCTGTAAACAATGTCCTTTCTGTGCAAGTGTTGAATTGCCAACAATATCTCTGACACGTAAAACAATGTGATGTCTTAACTAAATCTGCCATCCTTCCTCAATCGAGAAAACAATTCACCTCCTGATACAAATTCAAATAACATATATATGCATTTCGCATCTTAAAATGAACCTTTTAACTATACTAAAAATGGATGTTGGATTTCATTCAAAATATTCTTCTCTGATTTTATATGATCCACTTATTTTAATTTAATGATGTCATGTTTCTTCATTATTTTCAATGCGTAAACTTAACGACTCGGATCACGTTTTATGCGAACTTGTTTAACACGTCCAAAAGTGCCAGTGCCCAATGTTGTATACACTTCGAAACTATCTATCGAGAGGTTTTAGAAAAGTTATTTATCATTAAGTTTTCCTTAAACAGACTAAAATGTTGGCTCCTCATCCGATGAATCCTCATTCATTCGTTCAAGTTGCAATTTTTATAACTTACGTTGAAGTTCTTCAATTTGAAGTTGGTTCATGACAGTTAATAAAATTAATATATATATTTATTTATCTATCTAAATGATTTCAAGTTTTCTCCAATTACTGTGATCCCATACCTCTAAATTAGCCATACAATCAGATTACATTGAATTTTGAATCTTATTTTTAAATCATAGAGAATTCATTAGTATTGATCATCTATTATAAAAGGAACTATCTAATAAAATGATCTGTAAAAGATGTAACTATAGATATTGAAATTTTAACATATATTTTTGATAAGATTTAATTACTTAATAAAATCATAATAAGATTGCATCTTATATAAATTCTTCAATGCACTATTCAAATACCATGTCTCCTATCTCCATCAATAGCTCCAGCTTATCGTCTGATGCTAAATTCCATCTAAACTCACTATCTTACATCTATATTTATATAATTGATTAATTACATCTGCAATCAACATTTTGTGTACTCTTTACTCTCTTATTTATATGATAGGATCATAGTAATATTGAAGATCAGTATCATACAATTCCGGGTTCTATTGCATATTCATTTGCTAGATCATCATTTCTGTAGTCTTAGCTTCTAGAATAACTTATTTCTCTCTTGGAACATAGTATTCTTCTTCTATTGGCAAGAATCCACATAAGTAATTTGCAAACTAAATTATTCTAGATTCCATCTTATTCAAAAAATCACAAAAGTCCTCACATTTAATAGCTTACTGAGGGATTCGAGCCTCCCAAGGATAAGGCTCTCCGTTATCTATTATAAGATTTGTAATAATACTATAATAATAAGGTCTGAATGTATTCAAAACTTCATTGCAGGCATCAAATATAGCTCTATTGTGAATATGCTCAAGCTCTTTTAAGGCTTTAGATACATGATTCAATTTCTCAAAGTCGTTCTCTTAAAGTCGATGAAATTCATACTCAAAGAAATATTAATCTAACATCACAAAATTTACATAATTTCGATCCATATTTTATTATGAATAATTTCCATAGAAAAGCTCTAATCGCTTTTATGGTGAATATCCATATGGAATATTAATCTTTTAAACAATCTCTTCTCCATAGAGAGGCAAGATATAATCAAAAAGGTTGTGAAGATAGTATCTAATTTCAATAATTGAAGTTGGTATTTAAGACATTGTAGGTGTAAGTTATTAAATGACTAATCCAAATTGATTTTACTAATTCAGTAATTCTAATATATTATTATATAAATTTACCTTCGGTTAAATTGTCTATAATGTCACTTATTAAGTCATTTGCAATCAAATCCAATTTATCTTTCATGTTCATCTCTTCATTAGGTTAAATAATAACCTCTTTAAGAAACTATCTTTGATCAATTTAATTTTCTTAATCAAGATCTTCAGATTAGGTTTCTTCAAGTTTTTCTAACTCATTTTCAGATTGTAGATAAATATTATTCAAAATTTTAACCTCAGATTAGCTTTGTTTTGATTTTTTAAGATTACTAAATCGTTCATCTACTTTTTACTTCAGACTTATAAGTTTTGAATTGTTTTCATCGAAACTTGATGCAATCATCAAATCTCTCTAAATCTTTTTCATAGCACTTGCTTCTTTTTTCTTGCTTAATTCAATATAATGTCTTGTGATTTGAAGATCTTCTAGTTCCTTTTTCAACCATTTATTTAAGTCAGCTTTTTTATTTTCATCATTGTCAACTTTTTTTATTTCTGTGAAATATCTTAATTATATTGCCTCCTCTCTCATGTTTAATAATTCTGTATCCCTTTTCATTAACTGAGATTATAAAACTAATATCGACGATTTACTTATCTCTGTTATCTAGTCCTTTGATGATTAAATTAATTTAACTTCACTTTAATCTTAAAGAGCCTTGACTTTCTTTCTCGCTTCGTTAAAATTCTTCTCTGTGCTTGCTTCTTAAGATTGCAACAATTTGACATCAAATGAATGGTCAGATTAATTTGAATTAAGTTTGAATTTAGATAATTGACTCTAAATAATGGAAATAATGGCATGTTTCATTTAATTTTTGAGTTTTCTCATAGCAGCTGTCTTCTTTTAATCATTATCATAAGTTTCCAATTGAAAATTCCACCCATTCAATTCATTTAGTAAATTTCATCTACCATTTTTGCTTTTTCTAAATTTGATGCATTCTGTGAAACACTAAATTGGTTGCTTAGACAAAGTTAAAAATCCGTTTGATTTTCTACAACTAAAGGTATTTTATTTATCACTTTTTATTCTTCAATAATTTAAGAATTAAGTTAATTTTTATTATTATTTACAATAATTTTATTTTAGTTTTCCAACTTAATCTGTTTGTTATTTGGGACAATTTAGGTTTACGCTTTTTATTTTAATACTTTATTTATTTGAATAGGATGTGATTTATTTTAAGTTTAATCATTGAACAAGGACTTATAATGTTTCTAGATTAATCTCTTCATCTCTTGCTAATTAATTTTTTGATTTTTTTGCTTCATTCTTATACAGTGTTATTTCCATGCCTTTTATATCTTAATTACTGCTTTTTGGATTCCTTGATATATCAGTACTTTGAAATTAAAATCAGATATAGTTGCACTAATGCTTTATGAATCTTAAAATAATAAAATCAATTTCTTTATCATTTTTTGCAAATAAGTTGTAGGAGGATATTTCTTGAACAATTTACTAATTTCATTGTCTAATATTAATTCACTATGATTATTCAATTATTAAGGACTTTTAATTTACTTTTAATCTTATCTAGCTGAAGATGACGATCTTTTTTTTGAAGAATCGCTTTATAAATCTGCAGATTTTAGAGAATTTTATTGAAAAAACTCTTATTTGCTTTGGTTAGCTAGACTATGTACATCAGTTTGGTGTTCTTTGTGCTTTTGCTTTTTCTTGGTAACTTTCTTTTTAGCTTTTTTAGGCGATTTAATCTTTTGATCAAGTGTTTTATTTTTCAATTATATCTTTTGCTTCAACTGTTCTAATTTAACTTGGTTCTCTATTCTAATTCAAATCATATAATTACTTTTTTTTTTATTCTTCTAAAATCTGAATTTCATAATTTTTTGCAAAGATAGAGTTCTAAGTCTTCTTTAAGGTCAGATATAAATCATTTTACTTTTGATTACCATGATTTTTTAATTCTTTATAACTCTCCTCTTTTATATAGATTTATTTATTCTAATCCTTTTATAAATTTTATTGTTTTATTTATAATTTATTTATATTGTCTTGTATATTCTCTATCTTAGAATGTTATTTCTTCAATACGGTTTCACTTAAAGATATATCATAGTTCTTAAAATTAAGTTTGCGGCTGGTTGTCGTTAATGATTGAACTTATTATTTATGATTTTTATTTTAAGTTGGATAAAACGATTTTTTTGTTGTGTTTACTAGAGAAACAACTTTGCCTTGTTTTTTTTTAGAAGCCCTCTTCTTATTAGTATTCTTAATTTATAGTGACTAGGATTTGAGTTTATGATTCTAATCTAATTTTTATTCTGGGGATTTGATTCTTGAACTATTTCTTTATCTCTTATTGTTATTTATGCTATTTGGTTCTTGTAAGTTACTTTCATAAAATTATGTATCAAATGAATTTTGAGTATTCATGTATGAAAATAAATTAATAAATATGTTTAAAATTGATCACTTAAATAAGAAAATTTATGCACTGATTAAGTTTTTACCAGAGTCATTGCAAATACAAAATAAGTAATTATATGCTCAATATTTACTGTATGATCCTCTGTTTCTAATTTACAAAATGATAGAATTTTAGAAGTCAAATATTAATATCCAAAATAAAATAAATGATAAACCGTAAAAATAAAAACATAATATAATAAACAGAGCATTAAATATTAATTAGTAGGTATATCATCTATACTAAAATAATTAAGTTGAATTACTAAAATTTTGTTTATATTTTTTATTCTAAATAAGTATTATCTCATTTATTAGTATTGAGAATCAGATGAAAACAATTCAGTAATGATTGTTACATAGGATTTGAGTTAGTCACTATTATTTTTATTACAACATAATAAACAAATTTCTGAAAGCAGAATATTTCTAGTATTCTTTTAGTTTAATTATATTTTTATTCCACTTAATTCGAATCTCTTTTCATTATTTGCTCTCATTTTTAAAGTATTTCTGTTCACAAAAATCCGTTTAGAATTATGGTTTAGATAAATTTTAATATATATATTCGTAATCCTTCCTTATTGTATTTTAAAAATAAAAATAAATATTTATTTGAAAGCATCAGTGATCTTTACTCTAGAAATTATGTGATTATAAATATCTTTTTACACAAGCTTATCCAGATAATTTTTTATTAAATTATGAAACATAAGCTATGTTGCGAAACAAAAAATTTGTAATTCCTTCATTCTATGGAATAAGATTAATATTCATTTTTTATAATAATTTGAAGATTTATTTGTTAAATATTTAGGATTTTAGAAGACAAGTAACTCCAAGGTATCCAAAATGTTACAAACAGTTATCACCTGTTTCAATATTGTCATAGAGACCTTTTTTACAAGTAATGACACACCAACATAAAAATAAATAATTAAATTGTTTATAAATAATATTTAATTCCATGAAGAAAAATGAAATTGAATTTCAGGATAATTCTATATCCATTAAGAGGTAGCCTCTTTTAGACAGAAAGAAAAGTTAGGATAAGGATCAGGGTCTCAGAAAATCAAATGTTTATGAAGGTGGTTTGAGTTAATTGAAAAAATCCATACTTGAAACTAGTTAGTTCTAAAGAATTGAAAAACATGTATAAATGTGATGTATTGTAGCCATCTCTTCAAGAATTCTCTGATTCTATGAGCTTGATGAGTATATAATAGAAATGCCATCAACTTGTAAAATCCGTTCAAGAATAAGAAGTCTAAGAAATTTTTTTCATTTTAGATCATTTTAATACATTAACCTCTAAGCCTAAGCTCAAAGATATTTATGATTAAAAATAACAGACAATTCTTCATATTTCATGTTTTAAAAATCTGCCAACTGCAGTTGAAAGAATCTTGATGTATGAAAAAGATAATTCCACAGCTGAAGAATTCAATATTTGGATGAATTAAAAAAATAAGGATTCATTCACAGCAGTTCATTTTGCTGCCTATGTTGGATCATTAGAAACATTAGAAATTTTAAAGAAATATGCGTGTGATTTAAAAATAAAAAATGAATAGGGTCAAAATGCACTTTCAATAGCAGCATAAGGAGACTAAGTTTCTGCTATGGTTTGGCTGTATTTGCAAGGGCTGTCTTACACTGAATAAGATGAGAAAGGGGGAACTCCATTGCATTGGGCTACTTATTATGGTAGTGAGTTTGCTGTTCAATTTTTGTTGAGTTGGTTACAAAAGTCTAAGGAAGGGAAGAAAATTATAAACCAACAAGATACTGAGGGAATGACACCTCTGCATTTGGCGGCAATGACAGGAAATTAAAGAATTGTTAAAAAACTACTCTATAAAGGGAGTTCAAAAACCATTAGAGACAATAGAAATTAAACTCCAGCGTAAACAGCATTAGAAAATGAATACGAAATAATCTATAAAATTTTGGAAACAAATAATTGTCTATTTGAATTTTTAAATATCCGAACAAGGTAAATGCTAAGTTCACTCTTAATAGTTATAAACCAGCCTCAATCAGTTGGAATTAGATATGTTCATTTTTTTTTATTTATTTCTATTGCATGATTGGATCCGTGATTTTCGTATATCCATTTTTCCATGCTGATGCTTGGTTATAATATTTATCCATAGCTTCATTTTTGATTGGACTCGTCTTTTATTTTTTGACTATGTTCATTAGTCCAGGATATGTAGAAAGAAATGATGATTCAAGAAAACTATTTTCACTTCTCACCTAATATGAACCTTGGGAACTATGTCCAGAATGCTAGATACATAAACCATTAAGATCTAGACATTGTGAGTTTTGTTCAAGATGTGTTATAGTTTATGATCATCATTGTCCATGGTTACATAATTGTGTAAATATTTATATTTTTAATAAAGATAGGAGCTAAAAATTATCCATATTTTATTTGTTTCATTTTGACAATATTTGTAAACTTAATTCATCTGATCATATTGAATGCTATATTCTTGATAGATGATTATCCTAATCCCTTGCATAATCCTCATTATCCATGGTTCAATAATGTCTCTAATCTAAAGGCACTTGATATCTCCAAGAAATTTGTGCAATTAACTATATTAATTCTATGTTTACTCTTTCTATTCCCCTTGGCATATTTGATCTATGTTTAAATGGACAACTTATTCAGAAACATAACTACTTTCGAGAAATATAGATAGGAAGAATAGTCAAATGTTTAAGGTTCAAAGGATAAGAAAAGTCAATAAACTATATAGTAAATATCCTTCTAATTTTAGATCTACTTCATCTATTAGATCATCAGTATCACACAATTTATCGTGTTCAAATTGCTTAGAAATGTGTTGCAACAATTCAAGAAATACTTCATATCAAATATGACACATTTAAATATTTATAATAATTTGAATTTTATTCTATCAAATTTTATATGAAATTTAATAAATTATATCCTTGACTTTATTGGTTATTATTATTTACTCTTCCAAATCACTATCCTGTTAAAATTTGTTTTGGGAACATTATTACAATGATTCCAACTCAATATTGATCGAATGAGATTATTATGATTTTTCATCTTCTATTTCTATAACTTCTTCCTGAAAATCAATAAATTTAGTAACAAATTAGCATTAATTTGAAACATGATCCTTAAAATTTTTCAAATCTCCTCTCCAATTTTCACATCGCGTACATTCTATTTAGACTTCTTAAATCATAGACTAAGCAAATAAATCTTTTTCTTATAAAAAATTTCTGTTAATTTGATATCTACATTCAGGACAAGTTCTCTTATACTATAGCCAATTCAAAATACAAGATCCACAGAAAGTATGCCTATTTTTACAATATCAACTGATATACCCACATGATACTCTTAAAGGTTTATAAAATACATCCCTACAAATAGTACAAAATAAATGTGGACTAATCGGATATAATTGTTCATTAGATATTCTAAATTACCGAGGCTTATTCATTATTTTAATTAGTATTCAATTTACAAAAATTGCATTATAAATATCAGTCAAACCATCTATTACTTTATAAATTTCACTTAATTGCATATTTTTTCTTTATTTAAGCAATATTTTAGCTTATCTAGCTTTATTGACTCACTTTCTATAATTTGTATTTGATCATATATGTAATTGTTTTTATTTTTAATTCTAATTAATTCAAAGAATGCTACCAAAATACTTGAACTATATATCCTAACCTCATTCTCTTATAAAAATAACATCAATAATATTGCTAATTTCTCAATGTGAAAAAACGAAATTTTTAGTCATTACCTTTTTAATTGACAGTATTCATAACAAAAAAATGTGAATTGATTGAATTTAGTGTTAATAGAAGGGTTAATGCTCTAATTTTAGATTATATTCATGTATTTTGTTTTTATAATTGAAATATTACAAAGTCATCCAAAAAAAACTTATGATCTGTTTCTATATGTTTCAGAAGGTGGCTACAATGGAGGTAAATTATAATGACCACTTCCTTCATTTAAAATGAATCTGCCAATAATTTTAGCTGAACTTTCTGTAACTCTTGGGTGATGCCGAAGGAAACAGGGCTCTCTAACTTTAATATCTCTATTGATATTTCATTGGTATAGACGTCTATTTACTCAGTTCTAATGGCGTAAAGATCTTATTATCCTTTTATGACATCAAAAATGAAATACTTCTGGTTTCTTAAATCTTTGATAGGAAACATTCGAAAGAGTTGATAGATTATTTATTGTAGTAATTTTATCCGTGTTTTTGAGACAATCCTGTTTGTCGTACCATTAATATTGCTCAGTGTGAGCTTTTTAATTCTTGTGATCTAAAAAGTGCGATTATAATAAAATTACTTTAAAGTGTTCTAATATAGGTTTTCTACTCTCCATCATACAACACTTATCTATATAGAGGATTGGCTTCTGGATTGAGCATGAGATTAAATAATTTATATATATATTTATGAAGTTATATAATTTTAATGTCAGATTCATATTCCATTTTAAATTAAACTCTTTAGACTTAACTCAACCCTCATTTTTGGTCGATTAGAATCTAATGCTATTTTATATGAAGTACCTTATTTGATGAGAACTCTTTAAGTAGGACACTTGCTTAGATCAACTATTACATGAGATTAGTTTTAATTGTGAGTTTCCTTAACCTTCACTTAAACCAATTTAGTTTATGATCTATCGGTCCTTAAGTTTCTCTAATTAATGGTTGATACATTATTCTCTTTGGCTTATCGGAATGGGGAAGCCGAGGGTGTAGTTCGTTGATTAGTTCTTGGAGTGAGCTTTTAAGCAACTGTATTCTTAACCAGAGGGGATTTTGTTCTTTGTTAAGTCTTAACTTAATTTTGCTATGGTATTTATTGAAATTTCCTATAAGGAGATGTGCTTCTTTGGGGAGATACATCTTTCTTTTTATTGGGCTAATATTGATTTTGGCTTGGTTGGTTGGGTTTGTGACTCTAATTTCTATTGCATTAGGAATTTAGAGCTTCTAGGGTTTATTTGGAAGTGTTGCTATGCTAAACTATTAGTGTTGGTAGATAATTTTTAGGATTAGTCATCCTTCCTTATAAATACTTGAAGATGGATGGAGGTTGTGCATCGTTGTCTTAAACAATAGGTAATTCTTAGATTTCATGTGATTTTAAAGTCATTCGTAATTGATTCAGGCATAAATGATTGTTAAATGATGTCTGGAATCTACAGGTGTCTATTGGTGTCAGTTTAAACTGTTGAGAATATCTCTTCAGATTAGGTGGTGGAAGTGGATTCTTTGTTAATGGATTTATATTTGTGGAGTGATCCTTGTGCTGAGAAGCAAACTGGTTTTTAGGTGGGTTTAATTGCATTATCAAAGGTTTTCATTTAGCAGTTAAACAAAATTTATTAATAAATTATCTTAAGTAATGATAAACTGAGTATGTTTACTAATAATAAGGGATTATTTTAAGAAACTCAAGAGTTATGATAATTATCAAAATATGAGGTTCTTATTAAAAATTCATAATATTTAGGAAATTTAAATATATATTATATATTCGAAAATGTACAAGAGCAACTTTGTCGAATCTCAATCCTTCTTCAACAAATATATGTAGTAGGCTATGAAGAATAAGAAAAAGGCTAACAACGAAGATGCAGCTGCAGTCAGATGTTAGAGATGTTTGAAATATGGTCATTTGACTTATGAATGCAAAAATGAAAATGTGTATTTGTATAGACCCTCAAGGACGATGCAATTCAAGTAAGAATAGCTGAGAGTATTATTTTAGAGAGAAATAATTACAATACGAATTAAATAGTGAAAAGCCACCTGAGGTTCCTGATGCATTTGATGGGGATTGGAAAAGAAACACAAAAAAGAAGGTGCCTTTGGAAGTATCTTCAGATTCAAGCAGTGATGAGGAGGTGTAGGTCAAGAAAGAGGGAACCACAATCAATGTAAAGAAATAAAAGAGTTCATCTTCTGAGAGCAGCAGTGAGGAGTCAAGTAGTAGTGATAGTGATAGTGATTCATCAGGTTCATCCTAAAAGAGAAGAAAGAATAGATCCAGGGACAAGAAATAAAGAAAATGAATTATATATGCATTAAAATAATTATCAATAAATGAGTAGTAAAAAAAAGAATATATCCAAAAACGATGATGGGTATGATGATGTGGGATGTTTCTGTGGGTGGATTAAGAAAAAGAGTTCTAAAAATGTTAATATCGAATAGAGCAGAATATCCCTCCATAAATAGCAAAGAAACTCTCTATATAAATCTGCTCTTGATGTTAGCAATCATAATGGTACATCATAATTAAATTAATTGAATTCAACCAACTCTGAAACATAAACAAAGAACAGTGATATGTCCCCTTTTGTGAGCAGTTTTGCAATCCCCATTTTTGAGAACAATTATCCTTCAAATTAGTTGTTCTAACTCAAAAATAATTAAAGTGGAGACTCAATCTTTGCTAAAATCACGTCTACCAAAATAGATGTACCTAAATCTCTGGGTTTCAACTAGGACATCTGCAATGATCCAAAAATATCAGATCAGATTTCCAAATATATAGCCACTAGAATTAAAGATTAAATTAATTCATTAGCTGAATTTGGATGTGGAGATGGAGGGAACACAGTTCAAGTATCTTATATAAAATTAATAAAAGTTTGCTAAATATTTAGACTTTGTTATCGCCATTGATAAATCTACTGAGGCATGTTTGAAAACTAGAAAAAATTGTGATCAAGATACTTTAAATAAAGATTTTCCAAATCCAAAAGTTGAAATCATTAATTCTGATATTTTTAAATTAAAAAGACGTTTACCTTTTGATAGTATTTTCATTAACCCTACAATCAATACAGAAAATGCTCAAATTTGTAAAGATTTATTGAAAGATTGTCAACCTAATTTGTAACAATTATTAATGATGATTTCTGATTAGATTGAGAACTTAATTATTTAATTCCCTGCTTAAATTGACTATTCATAATTGCCTCTATTACTTAATATTAATCAATAATATTAAAATAACACTCAACATAAATATTAATCTTTGGTATCATAACACAAATAACAACAATCATTCATAGCTCATTGTTCTCTGGAAATTGAAAAAATATATGTTAATGGAATTCACATTTAAAATATTATCTATTATGGTAAAATTGCAAATATAACCAGAGAGGAATTAAGATCTATATTAATTACACAATTATAAAATTAAGAAGTTAAACCAGAAGCAATCTAGAATCTTATAACAAAATTAAAAGATAAAATAGGTATGTTATTTTTATTAGTTTAGGGAGTCTGGAAGTTGTATATGAATTACTTAATGCTTAGAGTTTTAAGTACAACATAGACAAATTTTTAGAAGTGGTTTGTGATAAATATAAATTAGAATATGGAGACTATGCGTACATTCTTTATCAAAAGTTATCCAAGTAATAATACGGGAATATTTATTATTTTAGAGAATTTTCATAAAACACATTCAACTATCATCATAATTTAAAAGAGTCAACCCATGAAGTATAGGAATCTGAATATGCTTACAGTCCTAAATTCTCTTATAATTTGAATGGATTACAAATGGATGACACAAATTCAATAGATGAAAATGAAGATATGGAAGCATTGGGTTTAAGTTAGGATGATAAAAAATCTAAATTAAAATGATATCATTTAATATATTTCTTAATCAAAACTTTTAGTTACTCTATTCTAACTGGTTTTATTATGAAATCTTTCATTCCACTTTCTAATGCTTTACTTAAATTATCTTCTGTGTCATATGCTGAACACATTATGATATTTAATTTATCATCAATTTACAATAATTAACTGGATGTTTGGTATCCATTTAAACCTGGCATTTCAATGTCCATAAAAATCATCTTATATTATGCCTGCTATTAAAGTTTGCGTTTCTTAATTTAATTTATGGCTTGATATCCATCATATACAATGTCGCTTTCAAACCCAAGATTCTTAATCAGTAAATTCAAGGAAATCAGATTAAAAGCCACATCATCGCAAATGAGTATCTAAGAAAAAGTTTCACTTTAAATTAATCTATTTGAGAAGAATGTTTGAGTCCAAATAGGAATCTAATGTTCTTCTTCAAATCCATTATCAACATCGATCTGATTTGGAGATATTATTTGATCAAACTTAATCGATGGATCTTTAGGTCTTATCCCAAAGATATTTATTTAGTTATTAATCCTGAAACTCACCTTGGTAAACAAACCCTCTTTGCTTCTGATCTTGAAATACGATTTTTTAGAATATGACAATTCGTTGCTCATCCTACTCCCTATAGTGAATCCCAATCCAACATATTTCGTAGTGAAATTCTTTAACTAATGGTATATATCGTTGTCAATAGATGTATGAATGATATTATTGATAGCATCTAATTCTGTCTTTGCTATTCCTCTCCCTGTGTCATGAACTATAAATTTGATAAATTGATCCTTCACAATCCCTGATGATTTTACTTTATTTTTAGCAGTAACACAAATGACATCATTTTCCCTTGTAAATTTGAGGGAATTATTAATTAAATTAACTAGGAGTTGCAATATTCTTTCTGGATCATTGTAAATCATTTGGTTTTCAAGAGAGTCAAAAATAGAAAAGATTAACTTTATCCCTTTTGTTGAACAGATTTCCTTGTAATACTCTTCTAGTTACTTATATACATCTTTAATAAGAAAATCCTTTATATTTAATTGAAATGTTGAGAGCCCAAAGGAAGCATAATCTAAAATATCATTAATTTGATGCATTAACAACTTATTTGAAACTATAGCAGGATTTAAATAGTTTTATATAAGTTGAGTTGAAATGGATTAGGTTTTTAATGCCTGAAGTAATGTTAATGAACAATTAAGGGGTGTTCTCAATTCATGAGAGAATGAGTTGAAATGCAATGTTTGAAACTTTTACTTTTGGATATATTATTATAATCTTTCGTTTTCTGTGATATCATAGATGAATAGTAAATACCCTGTTTGATTCAAGACGTTGGCAATTTTACAAAACTGCAATTCAATAATTTTTTCACCATTGTTAGTTGTCATATTTACCTTCAGCTTGTTAGCTTTAACAAAAGTTCTTTGATCTAAACTATAATAAAATATAATGAGTACAGATTAGATAATTAGCAATCGGCAAATAGGGATAAGAGTAGTTGTCTGAATTCAGGAATTGTAAATTGATTCTTCTTTTATTTTTTGGTTAGAAATTAAGAGTCCAGTAATTTTTCACTCATGGATTTGAATCGCTTAAGATTTTATTCAGCAGAGGCGATTAAGCTCTCGATCATTTTGCAATCAGCTTTTTGTAGGAGATGTTTTTATGAAGCTCTGAACTTAATTTCTTTGTGTTAACTGTTCAGATTTTAATCCTATTCAAAGGCTCTATTATTTTAAAAATAATTTACTGTATAATAATTTTTTATAATTGAATCATGGTAATGTCGTATGACTTTGTTGAAAATAACTTCTATGTTTTCTCGTTTATGTATTAAATTTCAAGATTCTATCCAAAGTAGATGATTCCTTATCGACTATGGTTTAAAATATAGATTAATTCATCCCTGGTGATTAAATCTATTTTTCTATTTGAGGAAGCTATTTCTGCAGGCACAGTAGAATATGAATGGAAGACGTCATTGGATGAGGAATGCTTATGGGATAGGAGTTAAGAGTTCTGATTTGTCTGGATAAGAATGATGATGACGAAAATTAATGCTGTTATTGTGTATTGATGAATTTAAGTATTTAGGAATTGTATTTCAATCATGCATTATAGAAGAGTGGCAAATTAAAGATACTTCAGCTGTTTAGTTGAATGCTCTTAATACAATAATAATAAGTATTTGTAAAGATTGTATGAGTTGAGAGAGGTAAAAGTTAGTCTGATTTCAGAAGCCAGTTGCATCTAATAGAGGATTTGTAGTAAAATAGTGAATTGTTGAAACTTCATTCTTTTGTGTATTGCAAATTAAAAGAGTATGCTTAATATAGCTATGGCACATCGTATTCCTGACATTATGTAGTTTATATTTGAGAGCGGGTCTAAAAGGTTTAAAGTAGCATCTGTTACAATAACCAGATTTATGGCTAAGGCAATCCAAATATTCATGAATTTTTTATACGTAAATTATATCACATTAATTAATTAACAATGGAAACAAAAACATGGATTTTGATATTGAGATGGGTCAATATTGTAGCTGCGTATCTAATCGAATTACTAAATTAGAGTAGTAATTGGAGCCATGGGAATCTACCAATTAGTTACATTTTAGATGTTTTCAGATTTTCATTTCTATGAAATCTGGAGTATATTCACCCCAGTTTATTCATTGTAAATCATTTCACCAATCTATCCAGGATCTTTTGCGGCCTATTATTGGCTATTGAATTTAAGAAAGATTTCATAGCAGATTAATTTCAATTCATGATGTCTTGCTTTGGAAGAGGCATATTTTACATATTGTATTTATTAATATATCATATTAAATAGTTTGGGATCAGTAGTATCGTATTAACCAACAGGAGGATCATCAACATAAGTGTAAATTATCTCATAGAATATAGAGCTGGATGGATTTGGGGGTTAACTTTGTGGTTAGTAGGAATATTTTATGTGGTTATTCATTTCGTTGGACCCAAGAGTGCCACTGCTGGATTAAAGGATGTAATAGTTTTCCTTTTATTTTAGGCTGTCAGCGCAGAATATGGAACTGCTTGAACAATATAAAAATATATATATATAAATAACAAAATTATATTTATGTAAACTCTTCTGAAAAGTTATTCATAATTGTGGGTAAATCAAATAAAATATGGATTCAGACAGTATTCTACTTATTATATATTCTAGTGTGTCAATACGTAGCAAAACAAATAGCAGACATCAATATTATGCTACTAAGCCTTAGCAATATTAGAAATTTTACGAGATGAAGAAAAAATATGATTTCAAAAATGATGATTTGACCTTCCCCATCAATATACCACTTAAGCAAAGGTACTCAAAAACCAGATTATATTAAGATATGCATATCGACCATAAAGACAATTCAATAAAGCCACCCCATAAAATGATTATCTTAATACAGAAGTTATGAGTGGCAATGAAATCCTCTTATACTTTGAATAATTAGACAACCTGAGAATCAATGAGATCTTGAATGGTCTTGAGAGATTGCATAAATACAATAAAGGATGTATGACTAAATTCATAATTAGAATTCAATCTTGCTGAACATCCTTGGGTTAAAGCTGCCTTAGACAAAGTATTTGAAGAACACAATCATCTAACCAAAATTCAATTTATACAATTACTCAATATCTACAGTAATTATGGTATTGAAACACCAGAAGTTTGGGCAAAGTTTTAAGAAAGAATGATTAAGTAATGTGTAAATCATATCCCAAAGACTGTTACCCAATATTCCAGCCAAATTATTCGGTGAATGTGTTAGACTATTCATGGAAAAGTCGGAAAGATCAACTGATGAATTCAAAAAAGATTTAAGTCTTGTGATCCCAGTTCATTTAACTAAAATGTCTCCATAGGCAATTGCAACGGCATTTGAAATGGTTTACAAACACAATCTGATGACTGAATACTTATTCTTTGATCATTTACACTTAATTTTGAGAAACAGATTCAAATGGTTCATAAAGGGAAAAGCTTGTCCACTCATGTTGAGACTCCTAAGAGAAGCTAACTTTGAAGTATTTATTAAATATTATTAATAGACATGTGAATTCTTATGGCCTGAAGTCTACAAACAACTTGAGGCAGAATTAGATAGAATTCCAAATGACTAATGTGCACCAATTAGAAATGAATTAGTCAAAATTGGTGAGGCTTTTCCCAGTCATTAATAATATAATAATATTATTATTGCAAAAAAAATAGGTGCTAGGGCTACTTGGGAAGCTACTCTTGGAGGATAAGCCAGAAAATTAAGTTTAGTGGAAATTGTTAAAAATGATATCCTTTATTATAAAGAGAAGTAGAAGTTATAGAGAGGTCAAAGCTAACAGAGTGTTTGATATATAATGATAAAATTGTATAATATCAATTTATAACAAGACTTTTTGTATTTCATATATTTTAAAAAATGTACAATATTAAAATATGATAAAACTATATTTTTATATCATATTATGTACAACAATACACTTCTAATTCACTTTTTAGAGTAAAATACCGTCTCTAACACATGTCTTATTAATTTCAATTAAACATAGCAGTGTGCAAACTAGAATTTATATTATTGTAGTAGTGATATCAGATAATATATATTCATTCTTACGAATATATATTGAAATGTAACTTGCCAAGTGGTTGATTTCATTATCAAAATCAAGCTCGGCCCATAATTTTATTAACAGAATTCATCAAGACTATCTATCTTCTGTAATTTAATAAACAAATATATCAATTTAACTTTTAATAATAAAATTTGTAATGCAAGATATTTCTATATTAGAAAATTTATTACTAAAGCCTTAAGAAGAAGCTTTTAAGCATTTAGTCAAAGGATCCGATGAATATTATTACTTTTTTTTCCTTAAACTCTTCCATGAAAAAGGAGCTAATTTATCTAAGGAAGAAAAAGAACAACTAAGAGAATTCATATCCAGAGACACAGAACTTTCAGAAAAAATAAAAAAAAGAAAAATCTTTGCACAATTAGACTTGTATTCCAATGATGTCACTAAGAGAAACAAATTGTTAGGATTACTAAGAGAATATGTATTTAAGATTGAGTATAATAATGATGTAGAACCTCAGCCTTTTTACTTTAGTGATGTATCAAGGTTATTATTTATATAAAATTTAGAGAGGAAGAACAAGAACAGGAATTAGAATAAGAGAAGATAATTGAAAGAGAAGATATTATTGAAACCGAAGACGTAAATTAGAAGTAAGAAGACCAATAATCAGATGAGAAGGATAATTAAAGAGAGATAGATAATAGAAAATTATCTGATAGCGAATAAGAGGTTGTTTAATAGGAATAAGAGATTTAATAAGATGATTAATTGCAAATAGGAGGCTCCTCATAACATGCAGAGAGTGATGATCAGGATAAATCTGAAAATTTGGTTGTTGAATAAAAGGAAGAGGAAGAGCAATAGGACTATGAAAAATACTATCCATCCCAATTTGATCAATCCATAATTAGTTTGAACAAGTTTATAGAAAACTTTTATATATATTCACAAGCTAATTTATCTTGGCTATAACCTCAATACTATCATCTTTTAGATATTGACAGAATTTTAAAATTGAATAATGAAAAAACAATAGAGACTTACTTAGAAAATGCTTAGAAAATAGATGAGTAAATATTTGTTAATATTTAGAAATCCGGAAGTTTTGCAATTATTTAAATATCTTCTGAGTTAAAAGCAGGAATCAAGGAAGCTAAATTAATTTCTACCAAAGTTATCTCAGGCATAATTAACTGAGCTATCAGAATTTAAACCTAAATTATTGGATGACAGGTAATTTGTGAACATATTTTTGTAAATTAAGTTTGAAAGACAAAAAAATTAGATTAAAGATGATAAATAAGCACTTTATAATTTAAAGGAGGCTTAAACAGAATTTTTATTTAAACTATCACCAAAATTCTAAGATATGAAGATTAGCGAGTTAAATTCCTTAATTGAATTTGGAGCCAATAATAAAATATCTATTAAATAAGAGTGGATTATAGAATGGCTTAAAAATTATTAACCTATTTTTAATCCTTTGGTTGACGATTCTTAGTTTTATCAAAATAATAATAAAATTGTTTATTTGGTTGGTAATAATTTTCAATTTAAAATTCTTAAGAAATATTTAGAAACATACTTAAATGATAATGAAAATTTAAGCTTTCTGTCACAATATATATCAATCAAGATTCTAGAATAGATGGAGGCTGAAATAAAATTATATTAAGGGAAATAATTGGAACATATCTCAAAGATTTTGCCACAAGATAGACTTGAGAGAATGAACAACGAGAAAATTCTAGCCATTTTAGATCCTTAATAAAAGTCATTTACACATGGGTATTTAATTATATTATTTCAAGAGATTAAGTGAGTTTGTAATGCAAATTAAAAAACATTTAATAATTAAAAATTAAGATATTTTAAATTAATTGTGAAAATTATTGTCTTTTAAATGAGAAAAATGCAAATATTAACATTTCCTTGGAAGGAATAATTCCCAATGAAGAAATAGAATTCACATATCAATAACCACCAATTGAAATATTTTATAAAGAATTTACATTTGAAACCATAACCAATTCAAGATACGGAGCCTTTGTAATTGAGTTTTTGGGAAGCGGGTTATATGCAAAGGCCTTTATTGTAAAAGGGAGATTGAGTTTAGAGAATACTATTACATCTGCAGGTCATTCTTTAAAAATATTCAATGAGAACAAAGAGCTTTGTAAAGGTGAAGGAACTGGAGTGTGGCTGGAAAAGAAATTCTATTAAGTAAATGAGAGAAATGAGATTATGATACCATTTTCAGTTAATCCCAAGGATATTAATTGCATTATTGTACATGAAAATTATGCAGAAGTGTCTTCGATTAGAATTGAAGTTGAAAAATATGAATTGAATTGCCTATTTTTCTTGGATTAAGAGTAATTCATCTCTGAAACTGAAGCTTCAATTACTATATTCCCAGAACTCACAGTTGCTAACAAAAAGATTGATATTGGATTATTGAAAAATACCAAAATCAGAGTATAATCAACAAGCAAGTCGAATGTAATGAGTTACAATTAAACAGAAGAAGCAAAATTTAAAAATGAACAGCCTTATTCATTTTAAATGAGAAACCTTTCAAACTTAACTAAAACTAACATTGTTGTATTTGGTTAAATCATGTCAATGACAGAAAATAAATTGTTGGATTTATAGTTTGATTTCAATATTAGTTATTCATATGAATCAAGACTTTGCAAATAGTACGTGAAATACTCGGAAGAAAATGGGTATGAAATAGCAGTCATAGGAAGGAATGGTGAGATATATGAAAATTTATTATTCGAGTTTTCTTTCTATACTATGTACTCTACTTAAGTAACCCCCACTAAATTGAAAACTAATGAAAAAGGCAAAATATTGTTGGGACAATTAGAAGGTGTAATAAAATTTGTTTCTCGATGTTTATCTTCAAGCTCATAGTAGACTCCTCCTGATTTGTATTACACAATTCAGAAAACAGAATAATAATAAAATAGTATATCAATTTAACATTTAAAAACAACTTATAACGAATTGTTATAGAATATTGAATTTAAGGTTGAGTAAACAGAGGAGAAATATTTAGTGATGGTAATTGCTTCTTAATTCATTCATCCCTCTAATTAGCATATTGAATTTGCTTAAGATTTACAAAGAAAGTTATTCACGAGTAATGAAAAGAATGATTCCAGTTTTCTAATTTAAAATGAATTCTAATCAAATTAAAATGTTTAGTTTGAAATTGCCTATGTGTAAAATAGAAGAACCAAACCTGCTTACATTGGAAACACTCTTGAGAAGCCTAGCGTTTTGTTAAATAGGTAGTTTGTCTAAGAAACTAACAATGCAGAAGAATAAGAATAGGATGAAGATGATAATAAAGAATGTGAATTAGATGAAGATGATGAATTATGTAGTGAAAGGGATGAATCTGAGAGGGGATCGATGGTTGAATGTAAAGAAGAAGCATATAGAGGTGGAAGGTTAAAAAAAAAAAAAAAGAAAATGTCAAGGAGGAGAGAAAAAGCAGGCAATTAATGTACCAAAGGAAAAAAGTAAATTGATGTTACAAACCACTTGAATTTTTTGAAGAGTTCTGCTTAAATTCTAAGTGTCAAGTAGCATTAGTCTAATCAATATGAGTTGACTTTTCCAGATTAAATACAGTAAATTCAAATCATTGTGATAAATTAAAAAAGTATTTAAAACAAAGTAATTGGGCTTAAATCTAAAGATCCCTATAAAAAAGACATAACACATAAATCAAAACTAGAAATTGGAAAATTCTATTCTCCCTATAGAGAGTCACTTATTATTTCAAAAGGCTAAGAATACTTATTAACAGATTGTGCAAGCACTCAATTTAAAATAATTGATTCATATGAAGAGGCTTGCTCAATAATGAAAAATATTTCTTAGAATTCTGATACCTCATTAATAGAAATATATTCAACATGGAATGGTAAGAATTTAGAGGAAAAACTTAAACTTTATAATAATAGTCAATCAGACGAATTTAATTTGTTTCTACATTTTAAAGACCCGGCTTTCTTTGAGATATACATATTAGGTTACATAAGAAATAAAATAGAAAAATCATTTATTGATCAATTTTTACTAAAGAATGTTTCATATCTATCACAGAGAGTGTCTAGTGGAAGGTTTACGCAATTAAATGCTCTAGAACAGACTCTATTATTTATATTTTTTAATGAAATCTAAGGAAATAAAGTCTATTCGAACAGAATCAAAAATTGTTTGCAATCAGTAATTAAGAATTATGAAATAAATTTGGCTGAAAGAAAATAATTATTTGATACCATACTAGGAGGAGAAGGTGAAGAAAAAGGCTTAGAGTAAGAGAGTGAGGAAGAATGTTATGAAGGCGGTGCCGGAGGAGGTGGAGGAGATTTAAATTACTGCTGTGCTGATGATAATTATTATAATTGTGAGCAAGAATGTAATGAAGAAATGCAATGTAGAATGTCAAGGCATAGTAGAGGGTCATTTCAATAGGATGAGTATGATGAATAATAACTTTATGATGCATATACGGTGTAAAGGGAGATGAGCATTTAACCATTTAAAAATATTAAATAAACTTGTGAATATGGTGAATTGCATTATAGAGATGGGAAAACTCTGTAGAATCCTAATTTAACTATTTATAATGACTTCTATCATGATTTAGTTGAGCATTCTATATCGCAAGGTGTTCTTGAGAATCCCTTCGTTTCTTCGAAATTCATTTATAACAATCTTGAGAATACCCATAATCTGATCATTACTGCTGCCTTATTAGGATTACCCTATAAAAACTTAGCCTAAGTAGAACAGGTGTATGTTGAAACAGATTTATTTATAAAAGCACAGACACCGTGCATTCTGTTAAAGAAATAATTAAAAGAGTTGCCAAAATAAATCAATAAATAAATATTAGTAATTTAAAAATTTTATGATGAAAATAATAGGTACATCAAGAAAGATGGAGAAAATATTGAGTTGTAACCATTGGAATTTGAAATTAAGAAGATATATCAATGTGAAATTGTTATTACTAATTGTTCATCCAAAAAGTTAAATGTATTTCTATTGCAAGAGATACCAAATGGTTCACTTCCATACGATCAAAATAATTATTCAAGCATAAACACAGTCAGCCTTAAACCCTATTAATCACGCACTTACCATTACTCATTTTACTTTCCAAATATCGGAAGCTTTTCAGTTTATCCTGCAGTTGTATCCACTGAAAAAGCAGTCATAGCAGTTGCCGAGGAATACTAATTCATTGTTGTTGGCAGTTCCTAAATCTTGAACAAAGAGAATCTCATGGATATCATTCAAAAAGGTAGTAAAGATGATATTCTTGAGTATTTAAGGAACAACAGCTAGGTTGATTTATCCTAAATTAAAAAATACTTTAAGGACCGAACATTTTATTTCAAATGTACTGAAATCCTAAGAGAGAAATTAGAATTGAGAGAGGAAATCCTGTAATATGGTTTTATTCACAATGATCTAGAAGGGATTAAGGATTATCTCGCTTTAGAAAACATTCAAGAAACACTGAAAAATTAATTCGTCTATTTGAAATCCAATTTTATTGAAATCAGTTCTGTAAGATTTTATGAATATTATCCCTTATTGGCAAAAAGAGTGCATAAATTAGCTACCATTGAATAGGGAATATTAAATGTATAATTGAAATAAAAGTACAAAGAATTTCTGAATTATCTTGTGATCAAATAAGATTTATCAATCGCTGACAAAATCATATTTTGCTATTATTTATTACTATAATCAAGAATAAACGATGCAATTTAAATCTATTAAAGCATTAATACATAATTCAATGAGGATGATCCAGTTTTGCAATATGATTATCTCAGTGCTTATTTAGATTTTTACATCGGATATCCTAATTTTGATAGGGCAAGGTCCATTTGTGAAAAGTATCTAAGTTATCCAGTTATCGAATGGAGAAATCTATTTTATGAAGTAATGAATTTATTAGCTGAATTTGATGGTGATGAAGATAAAATCTCAGAAAGATAGACAGATGAAAATAAACAGAAGAATTAAGATCAAGCCAACAAAGAAGAATAATTAGAATTCGTTGTTGAAAATGATCAAATCAAAATCACCTATGCTAATATTCATTCGATATCTATTGAACATTATTTGATTGATTTAGAAGTTATATTCTCCAAAAATCCCTTCTTAAGCGATCAAAATTACAATAATTATACCTACACCAAACCAATTCATTCATCAAAACATCCATTAAAATTCACTCAAACTTAACAATAATTGACAATTTTATTTCCTGATAATTTGAAACATAAAAATTAAATTATTCAAATCAAAGGAGATACTAAAATTGTTAGTCATCATTATATTGAAACTAAATTATAAATTAATATCACTGAAAACAGTGGTTAATTGAGAATTTCAAATTAAGAGGGTAAATACCTTGAAAAAATTTATATAAAAACATTCGTTAAGAAAAATGATGGCTAAAATTAATTCTATAAAGATGGTTACACTGATCTTAGAGGTCGATATGATTATGCTACTCTTGATACACAATCTTTAGAAAAGGTGTCTAAATTTGCAGTTCTAATTGTTAGCAATGACTTAGGTAATTTATTATAATCTATTTAAGGTTCCATGATTAAAGAGATCAACCCTCCCTCATAAGTAGGAACCTATGGAAGGGAAGTCAAACTTCAATCTAAATTATGGACTGGTAAAGCATAGAAGGAATAAGAAAAATAAGAAATTATCTATAAATCAAAGAGTTAATGCAAAAAATGATGAAATATTTTAAGTTTAATTCAATTATCATCAATTTAAAATATCTATCTTTTAATTCAAAAGTGTTTAATTTCAATTTTCATAATTCTCTTCTCCAATATCCGAATGACATTTACAATATATTTAGAAAATATAATTTTATTAATAATGATCTTAAAATATTAAACATATATTTGAATAACAATTAAAATTATGTTTGATTTAAACCAAGAGATTTAACGAAATAATTTCCTTGATCATAAATAACTTCCTTATATATTAGATTGTGTACCAAAATTTATTCAATATTTAGCTTATGAATATTCTCAGACAGTCCCAATAGTGATTTTATATTAAATTTATAAATTATTGAATAGACTATGCAATAGCTTCATACTAAATTAAGAGCCTCGTCTGTGCAAGAACAGGGAGAGCAAAGATCAAAACTCCCTAATATTCTGACACCCACATTTGCAGATTGGAAAATCCCTAGTGATGCTAGAGCTCATCCAAAAATTAGCAGAAGAAACCCTCTCTTCAAATTTGGACTTATACCACCTAAAAAAGCAACAACACCCTCTTCATAAACTCATCAAAACCCTCATGATTTTAGGGGACTCAAGTCTGAAGAACAAAGTTAAAGGATTAAAGAGATCATTGTTGAGGATAGAGTGAGTACAACAGAAACAAACAATCTTCATTAGTTTGAATCTGAAAAAAAATACTTCCAACTAAGAAATAGATCCATAAGTGGACCTAAGCATTCCAATTAATTGGTAATCGATTTTAATTATTAATCATTAGTTAATAGAATGCAAATAATTATTTGATAATCAGAAGAAAGCATTTGAGGAAATATTGAAGCAAAACAGTCTCTACAACAAGTACTCTAAAGTTATTGACAAAGAATAAAATATAACAAATTAGAAAATAATGCAAATTTTTAACTTATATAAATGATTATATATATAACTTAATTATAAAGGAACAATTCAAACATAAATCGACACATTTTTTCAATAACCAATTTGAACTCTCAATAATTTTTATTATGTCTGTAATTCATTTCATACTTATCTTCCAATCATATTTAATGCAATGCCTTAATTATCTAATTTAGATAAAGATAATATCCATATAAGTTATTGAAGTCAAAAAATATTTATTAATTAGCAATATCGTTAGAATTTTGATGAAACTCCCTTTTCTTTATTTTAAATGCTTGTATTAATCTAAGATTTTATTATTATCTTCATAGTCATTATATTAGAAACCATTAGTACTACTACTGTGCCTGTGTCATGAGAAATGTTTATTCGAATTACTGATTCTCTCTATTATTAAATTCTTTATTTATTTTTAAATAAAAACTGCAATAAAAGAGATTCTGACTAAATGTTTATACCATAATGAAATCTCATCCATTTCTTACCCAAGAGCTAAATTAATGAGGTAGTCTAATTTTTAATAGACCAAAGCTATTAAAAATAGATAAAAATATCAATTTTATGAAAGAGCTAAATCATATCTATAAAAAGAGGAATATTAAAGATATCAATGGTTACTTATTGTGCCAAACTATTAATTTAACATGAGGTGATTTAATTTTTGAAGAAAGGTGGAAAAGTTTGACTTTTATATGTAATTTTATAATAAGATACATAAAAAGATTGCTTATAAATGGATTTTGATTGAAAGTTTTAAGTTATAAATCTATATAAATATTTAATCAGTATAGGCTTTGGGGGAACATACCTGGCTTTTGATATTCTAAGTCGATTGCTTTCCTCGATTTATTGTATTTGCCATAATATTCCATGCAAGTAAAAGTAAATCTTTTAATTAAGGTAAGGAGAGTACCTGATGCAATTTCCAAACTTAGCGGTTCGCAAATACTCTTTAGAGATTCCAGTTTTGGCAAGGTCATCAGCATATACGAAAATATCTGAACCATCTGAGTCCATAACAATGAATCCATAGTTTTTATTCTCATCAAAGAACTTCAAGAAGCCTGCACTTCTATTCTTCTTTGGTTGATCAAGAGCCAGTTCTTGTAGGAGTTGCGTAACACTGACTTGAGAGTCTTGAATGAAGCGATTACATTCCTATATGATTAGATCACCATCAATATTACTTTCCTCAATCAATTATTGTTTTTACTAATATTAATGATTAAATGGATACATAATTTCTGGGATAAGAAGAACTCTTCTTAATTTGGGGAGGTTTGTGCACTTGATCCATTTTGAAAGTGTCATAGTCAAGATCATTTTCGCTAATGTTTGTTGAGAAATCCTTGCATTCAGATCTCGAGGGTGACAACTACAAATCAATCAATTTCACAGGGAACATTAATAAACAAATAATTAAATATTTATGAATAATTTTTATTTTCCAAATCCTTGAATCGTTGTCCAAAAATAAATTGTATTTTTTATAATACTAAAATTACCTAATTGTAATGAATCTGAATCTATTTTGCACTTTAAACCGCTTTTCCATAATGGATATGACATCTATTGCTTTAAGAATTCTTAAGAATTAATAGAGAAATACTTAAATTAAATTGTAATTAAATAAGAGAATTAAATCATAGTAGTATTATTTATGATAGAAAATGATAAATTTAATCTAACTATTCACATATAGATTAATAGATCATGATATTAATTGATTATAAATATACAAAATTAATCTAATATAGTGTTTATCAATTTTTTATAATAATATTTAATATGTTTTCTAAGCGATCAACTAAAGTAGTCTTGTTGTCATTCAGAATACGACTAGCTTATAAATTGTCCTAGTTGATTGAAACACTTTCGAAGATGACCTGCCAACCTATGGATTATAAAATGAAGTTCAAGTGATAATCAGTGGTCATCTTATTGCACTAAATATACTTGGGTGGTTTTCTTTTTTTCTTATAACTCTTTTATGATATACTTATGATCCATTTATTGTTTCCTTCTTCTACTTATCCCACACTCCAGCAGTGATAGTAAAAAACATTCCATTTTCGCTCAGATTAACCTCATCGAAAACCTACAGTCTAACTCCTATTGGCTTATCATTAATCCCCAAATATGAAATCGTCACTGGAATTCTGTATTTCGAAGCTTCAATTAACAATACACTCATACTGATAAAGAATCTATAACAACACTCGCTATTCACTTCCTTTTTCATAATGGAATTCTCCTTGTATCTATCATAGTCATCTAAATCCAATTCCTTTGCAAAAGTGTTTAAGTCAAACATTTGAGTAAGGAGATAACATAACAACTGAATATCCGCATAATCCATTACAGAAATTAGTAAACCAAATGTCCTATTGACATCATAATAATCAAACTGATCCTATCCCAAAGCTTTGACCTTAGCACTCCTTGGAGCTATTATTTGTTAGTATGATTGATATACCATATGTATCATAACAATTTTGGAGCAGGATCTCAAAACAGTTATCTTGGCTATTGTCTGCAATGATTATGATTCTTTGGTAGGTAGCCATTTCAGTGATTTTAATACAACACATCTTTAGATTGGCTAAAGCATTATTAGGCATTTAGATTTGTTATCCATTTAATAAATTAAAAAATCCACCTAAATCATCAATTTAAAATATATTTGCCAATTCATTTTCAAGATTCTACTTGAGTGACTCTAAAAATTAAATGAATCTTATCTTATTCTTAATTACATAACTAGGGACTTGATGAGTAACCTTTTTTGAAGTAGGTTGCATTTATTAAGTTTGATTAATGACTCTCATGATTTGTTAGATTGATTCCTTTTCGTATTCCTCATTAAAGTAAGAATCAAAAAATAAATCTAAAGATGCTTAATCAAATTGCATATCTATCCAACCTTATTATTATTAGCCTGTGATAATCAATCTAAGAATAAATTGTTCAATAGCAACAACAGTAATTTGACACTCCTCCTCAAAGATCCAAAACTTATTTTATTCACTAAAGATTCCAGTGGGTGCATGTGATAACTTAATTTGATTATCATTAAAGGCTACAAAAGGTAGAATTAGATGCTGAACAAATTTGTTGAATGAATTTATACATTTCAATGGACAAGTGTAAGGCAAGACAGCTCTTAATTCTGCAACTTAAAAAAACTAACTCTAAATTCAATTTAATTACATTATTAAGTGCATTGCTATCAAAGGTTTCAGTTTTATCGGCGTCCAAATAAATTTTTAGATTATTCCCATGAATTGAGCATTAAACCTCATATAAGGAATCTTCAAACATAACTTTCTTAACAATAGTTATGTCATTCTGGAGTAGAATAGTGTACTCTCTGCCTTAATCCAGCTCTATATAAATATATCATGAATTACAATCAATAATAGTTATTTCCATATCGTCATTGAAGGAACTACTGAGATTGATATCAGGTATTTTTAACACTTTAACTGTGTCTTCGATTTGACCTTAAGATAAGGTTTGTATCAAGCTCCTAATTTCAGTAGTACTTTGTCTATTAATTTGTTTAGGAGGAGGTAGAAATTATAAATTTTATTAAGGTTGTTCAAATTGTTAAGGTATCACATTTCCAAATGATACTCGATCATGTATAACATTTTGTTGTTGTTGTTCTTCATATTTTAATTTAATTTAGTTTGATTCATTCCCTAATTCTTCAATTTTCTGTTTCAATTCATTGATTTCCTATTCCTTCTCTAACCTTTGCTACTGCATTTTCAGATTTTCTTTTTAAAGTTCAGAAATCCTTTTCTCCAAAGCATTTATTTTGGGTTCAGTTTTTTTATTACTAAAAGTTTGGACAAAGTGATCAAATTTGGTTTGAATGATATTTTAGATGTCAATTGGTTATTATCTTGGGGAATGCACTCTAAATTGTTTTATCATTCTTTCTGAGCTTTTGGTGCCAGATTCACCCATATCTATTTTGGCTGATTCTGATTAAGCTTTGATCTATTATTACTCTTTGATGCTATTTTGAGTCTACAACTTAATTTGCCTCATTAGGATGTTGCAAGAGGCACTAATTCTTTTGGCATCTGCTACCTTAATTGATTTTCCTTTCTGTTTGATCATGATGCTCTTTCTGGAGATGGAAACACTTCTCTATTGAGTAAAGTAGGAAACCAAATAATGGTTTGAATTGAGGTACTTTCTACATATCTTTTGGCCATTGTGGAAGAACTTATCATAGTCAATGTCGAGCATTTCTTATTGTTTTTAGAGTTGCTGAACGCATTTTCCATAGAAAAGGTAGCCATTCAATAGGAGGATGATGTCGGATGGGTTCTTCTGTAATTTGGGTGTATTGGTTTTCATCTCTTTGAATATCTTGGTGATATAATATTGAGTTTACATAGGGTTCATATTTGATCAAGGCTCGTTCGACAAGTCGGAAACATTTGTTGTAATTGAATTAGCAATAATGAATTCTGGCTAGGTTGAGGTGTGTAATAAGGAACAATTGAGGTTGTTCATTCAAGTAGTGCTTGAGATTGAATTTGGCAAGTCTCTTACTTAGATCAATTAAATTGGAATTGAATAATAAAACAGTCAGAGTATTGAGTGCTTGAGTAATGAGAATGACATTGGGAGAGTGTTTAGCCATGTGGATGGACATGTGTATTAAATCTTGAATGTCTCCTACCAGACTAATAAAAAAGGAATTACCTTCTTCGCTTAGGAATGAAATCATTTGTGTAAGAGCAAGACCGAATTCCTCTAAATTAATTTGTTGGATGTTACGAAAATTGATGTACTGTTTCATTATTGAGATGTCCAGCTAAGATTTGTTGTAGACATAGTCATTCATAAATTCAATAAGGTTCATGATTGAATATTGATTTGACTAAATTGATAAATATTTATATATATATTTATATTTTTAATATACACTCAATATGCAGAACCCACTTCAACAGTTCCTCACGATTCTGGCCACGAGAGAAGAAGTTATTTTTATGATTCGCATCCTAACCCACTAATCTCTTGAAGATGGAAGAAATCTCAGAGAATATCAATACGAAATCATGAGAGGAGAGCGAAAAAGAGAAGAACTGGAAACCCAAGTGTAACATAAGTGCCTTAAATGTTTGCTAGTTATTCAACTATAACCGAATCTGCACATCGAAAAGTATTCCTCCCCAAAGTCGTTTAGAAATTCAACAAAATCCAAACCTATTATTCCAACAAAACCAAAGTAATCAACTCTCAATCTATCAGATCTACTACCCTAAACAAGGATAATTAATCGGATAGGAGAACATCGTCTAGCCCAATCTAAGGAATGCCATAATCAGCATGCAACAGGAGAGTTTGGTTTCCATCCTTAAATACTTGAGTAACGTGTAGAAGATGAAGATGAAACAAGAACTCAATCGGGCATAGTATATGGAAAAGTAATATATAAAAGGCTATGCTTTATTCTAGAGAAGAGAGATGTAATCGTAATGAGAAGTTCTTTTCCGAACCTCTACTCATGGGAAATTTCGGTATGAATTACATCAACAAATTGCATCAGAAATATTATTTGTTAGCATCTTACAGAAACTGGAAGAATGTTTATGATGTTCTCATGTTAGATGACACTACCAAATAGTTGTATCTCTAAGGAGCAGGTTAATTCCTATACATTATTCTGTAGGTTTCAAGAGTGTGATTGGCAGTATCAATAAATAAAAGAAGTCCAATGATGCCCCTTAAGTCTATGTCCCAATAGAAACAACCCAAGAAATCATCACTACTCGCTATGAGAAACTACTCAAGGATCTCATGGACATGAATCACCATGTCTCCAAATCCATTATGAAATATAACGCTTTGCATCAACGCAGAAAAAAGAATAAGGAATCACAAAATAGAATCAAAATAACCACAACCAGACATTCACAACAAGATAAAATACTTAATTTAAGTGATTTTGGGAAATTCTCAGCTCCATCCTCCAGATATAGTAGATCAAGATAACTCAAAACCTAGTTGTCATGTTTATAGTCTCCATCTGAACCACACATTAAATAATATGAGTTTCTTTTAACTTTGCGTCAACCTGTTAATTCAGGTCGTTTGATTAATAAATGCATTAATTAAAATTCATGAAATACTTTAAGGAAGCTTCCTTCTCATTAAAATAACAATTTGGCTACACCCCAGAAGAGCAAGCTCTCAAACTCTTTGATCAAGCTTATCATTACGATAGTTCGATCCTCCCCATTAATCTACTGGATCAAATTGCTGAATTAAGTTTTCAAATGTATTCATTATGGAAATATTCCTAGGGAACACTATCCAAAAATAATCAATTAAATTGTTCTCCAATTATCAACCATTGGCATCTCTTCCAATGTTATACTCAAAGTACTCTAACTCTTCTCAATTATTGTAGACACTTATCATTACAGATTATCTCTTAAAATATGGATGCTCAGGTATAATTGACGATTTGAAAGTAAGGATCTACATGTTTAGAAATTATCAAGATTTTAAAATTGATTTCCAAGAACCTATCTACATAACAAGTATCAAATTCAATTTAAAAAGTACGACAAAAAGCAGGGAATATTGCCAATTAATTAAGCAATAGAAAACTGTTATACAAGGAAAAAGAAATAGCTAGGCAAATGAAGCTTAAAATATAAATTAACAAGCAAAAAACTTAATCATTGAGTCATCAAGATTACAAATAAACTACAACTACTATGGATGATATTCTAGAAAACTATATTTTTAAATATATGGATAAATTTAATGATAAGTTGGATGGTTGGGGAGATTAGATTAATGATAAATTAGATTAAATTATTGATAATATCAAAATCAATACAACTTATGAAAGAGATGAAAATGGGTATTACTTTCCAGAATCATGCATGGATGAAATCACCATCACAAATACACCTATTGAAATTTAAGAATCGAAAAATTAAGAGCAAAAAATAACAAACAACCACAAAAAAGATTTATGTAAATATCATTATAATAAAATAGTGGAATTCGAAAACAATGATATTTAAATATAATAATAGCCAAAATAAGAGATTAATTTACTAGATTGATTATACTATTAAATAATATATATACAATTGAGAGTCCTACAATATTCAAGTTAATGATTCTTATATAATTCTAAGTTTTATGAAACAGTTTTTGTTCCATTTCATACTAATTTCTGCGATTAGATATAAATTATTAAACACTTGAAGACTTTATATTAATATTGATAAATTTTAATGGGGGTGATCAAATTTATAATGTATAATTTTGATTAATCATATATTATAAATATTTATTAAATATATGGTATTTATAGTCTAGTGATATATCTTGGACATCTGTTATATAAAAAACATATAAATCACAAATTATGTCCCCTTGTTACTTATTCAGTTGCCATTGATGGTTATTGAAGACAAATAAAGCAACTCATTATGATTTAAATCTATCTGGTACTCGGGTCTTTGTAACCTTAGGGCATTATTTGATTAAACTTTACGAATCTAATTATGTCATTCAGAATGTTTATGATATAAAGTATGAAAATATATATATAAATTCAAATAAAACTTTATACTTATGTAACATCTGCATTTTAGATATTCTTCCAGTTATAGTATTCTAGAGAAAGTTCAAGAATTTAAGTGTAGAATTGTTTGAATTTGTTAGAGTTGTCTTCATTCAATAAATCCTCTCGTATTAATTCTTCGATTTCAAAGGCAATCTTTTCCATGTGATTTACAATAATTCCTATTGTTACTTCGGAAACTGAAGCAGCAGCATTACTTTTTTGTTAATTCAAAATGTTTCGGATCTGTTTCTTTAACTCTAAGATATTTTCAGTTCTTTGGCAGTTTACTAACTTATTCAATTTTTTCTCCAGCATCATCCATATTTCTAGTATCTTGTCATAAAGTTCAGGCAAAGTGGTCGGTTTTGAATTTTAATTCTCGTTTTCAACTTTGATAAGACGAATCAGAGATTAAGGATTTTTTGTATTTGGTTTTGTTATACAAATACCCATAATAATTAGATATTTAAAAAATATTACATAATCATTCTTTAATGAGTGACGTTTAAAACACGGAATAATATCTTAAATGTATTTTTAATTAATGGATTAAAATATTCAACATAAAAATTAATTTGATCATTGTGGCTATTTAATTTCCACTTTAGATGGTGAATTAAGCTGAAGGGCGAATCCAAATTTATCAATCAGACCTTTATAATCAAACAGTTTATTCCCATTGAATTCCTTAAAGATGTATTATCCCAAAAATTCCTTTTGTTTTTCATCCAATATAATATTACTAGATTGCAATCCACCCTTAAAATCATTTTCATCGCAAAACTCGCAAAACTACGAGTTAGTTTTCTTCTATATTATTATCTTGATTTATTCTACGACCATCTATCTGAATTTCCAAATCTATTAAGCAATCGATTGCATTATTTGTTACTATTATTCTTCATTCATTAAAGTGTATTTCCCTATGACATTCTTCAATACACTTTTTATGACACAAACATCATTAACTTATGAAGGTCGATAATCAACAAATTATTATGAATTATCTTCGATTAAATAACGTGCCAATAGCAATGCTTATTTATTATCCTAAATATTAAATGGATAAGCTGATAGTATGTCCACTAATTCTGCAATTGTAATTTCTTATTTCTAATCGAAAAATGTATGAATTTCTTCAATTGGAATTTTTTCTGACAATAATTAATATTTCAAAATTTTTCCAATGTTTTCAACATCACAAAAATTAACTCTTGGAAGTTTTTATTTCACTTATTCTGTTTCTTGAATTGAACTTATAACCTACGAAGGTTTGTATTCCTCTTTGGCAGACTCAACACTAATTCGATTTGGTATAATCTGAGATTTTTCTTTAATATCGTCATCTATTACAATTTTAGAATCTGAGCCTAACTTAACAGAAGAAATCATTTCATCATCTGTGATTACAATATTATTTTTATTCACCTTATCATCTAAAATTTCCTAGAAGTTAGTAAAAACTTCTCTTTTATTTGTGAGCCATGACTTTTTTTTTTGATATTGATCTTCCAAATCTTTAAATTAGCGTTGCTTCTGAGACACAAGCATTCTCTACTTATCCAAATCATTCTATAATGACTATATTATTGCTTATTTGTCTGCTAATTATTAATTGAGATTCTCAATGGTTTCTTTATATTTATTCTTCTTTTAGATTTCCTATTCATGATCCTTCTTGAACTTCTCAAAATCTGCTTATGCTTATTCATATGACTTTTTATATTTCTCTTTCATTGCTTGACATGTCAATAGCTCTTGTCTAAGACCCAGAATCTTCTTCTTTTGCTTTTGGTGCGAATTTTAAAATTATCTCAATTATTCTTCTAATTCAATAGTTTGAACAGTTAACTTTTGAAATTTATTCACGTCACTTTCAGTCCTGAGAATTTCGTTGAATTACTTGTTTAAAAACTCAAACTTTAATTTAGTTGTACATAGTTCATTCTTGGAATATCAATAAGCACAATACTTCCATTTCTTAGAGTCGCATATATCGAGTACTTTTTTTGAGGTTATCAATTTCAATCTATTTTTCTTGCAATAGCAGCCGAGCTTGTTTTAATTTCTCTGCAAGTCTTTAGCTTTGATTGGAATTGATTTAATCATCGGATACTTCTTGAGTTGTTCGTTTCTCAATTTACTCTTTCTATTATGAATAATTAATTGATTACCTCATCAAGTTTTATCTAAAAGCATAATTATTAGTTTTAATGTTTGAGTTTTTGATTCTCCTTTTTTAATGACATAATTTCTTCCTTCAATTATTCAACATCCTTTTAGAATGGGAGTTAAACTCTGCCTGTCAAAATCTGATTGCTTGGAGAGTCCTAATATTTTTGTGAAATTCTTCTCCTGTAAAATTGAGATGTGCAAAAATTTGAATTATCCTAATTCAGCACTGGCAACCCATTTGTCATAGATTAATTCAGAGAATATGGAACTCTTTAATTTAATCGAATAGTTCGATTCATTATAAATTTATTAATAGTTACATTTGAACCACATATAACCAAATTTAAAAGATAGAAATCACTGATATATAAATAAAGAGGATGAACTAATCCAAATCCTCCTTCAAATTTCACTGATTTCAATCAATTTTACAAGCTTCAACTAAATTAATTAAAGAAAATAACAACGAAAAACTTAAGTGAATATACTATTATTCAAAATCAATCAAAACTCTTTTCAAGTTGATAAAACACTTCTGAAATCATTTCAATTCTAATTGGTTTTGATAGGAATGCATCGAATCCCAATTTCTCACACTTCTCCTATTAAGATTCATCATCGAATCCTGATAAAGCAATCAATTTTATACTAGCGATTTCTTTATTATTAATCTATGTATAAGCAAACTCATTACCATTTTACGAATTTTTTCAGCTGCTTGCCATCCATTTAAAATCGGCATTTGCAAATCCATAAATACATACTTTATATTTAAACTCTTCTGATGTTCTTATAACTACATTTAATATCACAACTTTTACTTTAAGTATGGCTTATTGTCCATTAAAGGCTTCAATTATGTCTGCCTAAGGAATTAAATTCTACAATAACATTTTAAAAGCAATCACATTGAATGTTTGATCATCTACTATTAAAATACCAAATTTTTAACTCTGAACCAATTATTGTATGAGAACCTTAGGGTCTTAAACTTCCAAAGGATCTTATGATTGTAAACACCTCTATAATGAAGTTTTCTAACTTAATGATTACAATTGCAAAATATTCTTTGATTTTGTGTGATCAGCATCTTCTAACGACGGTTCATACATCTCTGTTTCTGCCTTCTCTAAGGGTTTTGTATATAGTCTAACATAGGATGATCTAACAAATAAGGATTGTTGATAGGGCTTATCCTTTGAATATGGAGATTCCTCATTCTGAAAATTACTTAAATGTTAAGAACTGTTTTCTTATTTAAAACAACTAACGTAATTTTGTGTTCTATTTGGATTATCTTACAATTTAGCATAAATCTAAAATGTCATTTTGGTACCTACATTTACTTCACTCTACAAATCAATTGTATCCGACGGTCCCAACAAACTTACAAGTTTCTTACAGACCATCAGACCTATTCCAGTGCCATTCTTATTTTCTATTTTTTACGATGAGAAAGTAGCAAACAAATTGAATAATTTTGGTTTCACCGAATCTGCAATTCCACAACCTGTATCTTCAATTGAGATTGTATATACAAGTTTGTTAAATGCAATACTAGGATGTCTGCCTTAAAGAGACTTTCGAATCTAAGAAATTGATTGATTGGAATTCTAAAAACTAATGTTTTTGGAGGAATTGTTTCTCTTTATATTTAAAGATTTATCTGTATTCAGAGATTAGACAGTGATCGTAATACTGCCTTTTTCTGTGAATTTCAAAGAATTCGATATAATATTCATGATAATTTATTTGATTCTATTCGGATCAGAATGCACCTAATAAAAAGGAATGTCATAACAGGTTTTAATTTCCACTCCTTTTTATTCTGCTGAAATAGCTATGGTCTCAATGACCTCATCAATCAATTCATTTATATAAAAATCACTGGGACACAATCTAAGTTGATTTTTTTCTATTCTTGCATAATCCTATATATCATAGATCATATATAGCATAAGATAAACATTCTTCCTAATGATGCTCAGAAAGTATTTCTCTTCCGGATTTAAATCCTGCTTACTTTCCAATGTTTCTAAGATTGTCACTATTCCATTAATGGGTGTTTTGAAATCATGAAAAACACTTGCAAGAATCAAATCTTTATTTTCACATATCTATTTCTACTCTGATAATTGTTATTGTATTTAAGTTAATGACTTTTCGATTTCCTTATTTTAAAATATCAAAAGAAAAGCTTCGTTCTTATTCCAAAAACAATGATTGAAAAATAACTTCAACCTTTTCTTCTTCAATTCACTTACACATTTATGCTTTAAACTTTGGCTTTGTATTAGCAACTCTTCCATAATTTTAGATTTTTTATTTTTTGGAGATTCCTCACTTAGTTAGATAGGAATTCTATTAAACTATTGATACTTAGGAGTTTCAATCATGATTTCAGGATGTTGATCGAATTCCTATTTTTTTTGTTCTTCCATTTAGTCCTCAATATCATTGTTAACTTCCCCTATATTTCTGAACTCCTGAAACAAGGGACTTGAGGCTAAATATTAACAATTATCCATAATTTCTGTAAATATGGATCTAAATCTATTCTGTGGATTGTATAAGGAGTCTTTTGAATTATCAAATAAATTTTAGAGTGTAAGTTTGTTGTCTGAAAAAAAGTGATTCAAACATTCAATGAACTCTTCTGAGTGAGTTGTATTGTATTTGTATTCATTTTCCAAAGCCTTAGTGTGATATATAGGTTTCCGAGATGATTTATCTATTACTAACAAAGGCAATGGCAAGATCTCTTTAAACAGCCGCAAAAGATCACTTTCATCACTTTATTCTTGTAACTACAATTATAATAATCACTTTACTATCAGAATTGGGGTAAAGATCAATCCTAAATAAGATATGGGATACGAATACTCATTGAATCTTATGATCGAATAGGTGAGCACTATAAAGTATATCAATTTCTGTAGCATTTATACTCTGAGAACCTTAGTTAGGGCCAAAAGTTTAAGTACTATAAATATGAAAATTCCCTTGATTTTAAATGTCTATTTATACCTTCTATTGAGTGATTATAGTCATTTCAACTTACACTATCTGCATAACCAATTGAGTTAAAGCCAAATAATAATCTCCTGTTAAACAAATAAACTTTTATTTGCAGTCTAACAATAAAAAAGTTAAAGAAAATATGAGATCCACAACAATAAATAGCCCAGAATCTAATGTATTGATATGTTAAGTAAGTCCAAAAATCAAAAATAGAATGGATGCAATGAGATTGCATATTGTGAATCTTTGCTGTAATCCAATTTTCATAATCTAAGAATAGAAAATATTTAATAAAATAATTTCATATGTCCTTGACTTATACGCAATAGGTAATTGAAAACTATTTGAATTTACATGCGATAATTTATAAACTTTATCACTTTTCTACTAAAATACAATGAATAAATAATATATTATGGGGATTTTTTAAATAATCATTGAGTATACTTAGGTGCCTTGAATACTTCCCGTAAGTAATTTATTTACTGTACTCTACAGAATAAATGCTAACGAAGTAAACCTTTGCCATTTATAACCAAAAATAGAATTAACCGTATCCAGCAAATCCAATTTAAGTCTAATGCCTCGATTATATTAAAGCGCAATTTTTATATGATAATAACACTAAACTTTCTTATTTTTTAAAAATAATACTCACTATTTTATCAATTGTACCCTTCTAACTATGTAGACAAATTTTCAATGGTAAAATCTATTTTTTTTATTTACTAATGTTATAAGATTTAATATATTTTCTCTAAAAGTTAATTATTTCATATTTTGAGTGATCATAGACTAAGTTTTTCAGTTAAAATCGAAGAAAATAAACATCTTAGGTTATTTGGTCAAAGTAAGAAGAAAGCATTAGCAATTTAATTATATAGTTTAGCAATATAAAAAGGTGAGAAAAACTTGAATAAATTGAAATCAGAATTAAATCTATCAAATAATATGTTTTGGCAATGAGTTAAAAATTATAAGAAAGTTATTAGTTTGTGTTAATAAGAAACTACTATTATGTTATGGATTCTCAGAATTATAGGTTTTTGCAATCATTTATAGATCCTTGTTTCGATATTAATGATCTCTAATTAAAAATATATTTATAAGATTACTTTAACTTAATTCTGGTAAGTTGAAGAGCTTATTAATTATATCAACCCTTTTGCTCTTAAACCTTTCCTCTATTTTGATTCAAATCCATTAAACTCACTTTTGTGTAAAATTTTCTGCCATCTTGTTCAATCGAATAGAAATTTAATTTCTCTAATGTTATCGTTTTTTTGGTTACTGAATCATCTACTTCTCTCTAAATTTCGTATTAGATGTAAACATCTTGAAGTTAGGCTTGTAGAATCCAAGGAAATTGGAAAACAATTATTCAACCATTTAATATAACATAAAATATATATATTCAACTTTAAGGCTTTTTTATAATCATACTTGAAATTCGCTAAAGTTTACAATCTTCATGTTTTCCACAAACAGGATGTAACACTGATCTAATCGTATTGAAATGCAACATCTAAGTTGAAATTATCAAGATCGATTCTTCATAAATAATTTATCTATCAAAATCAATACAAATCAAATTCTTTGTATTCAAATATTCCTGTTCATAGTTATTAAAATAAATGAAAATGGTATTACTTTATATTTAAGTTTAAATACAATCAAATGAGAATATCAATAACAGGCTTGCTCTAGTAAGAAATTTCTATTTAAATTTAATATTTGTTGATAACTCTAATATTAGTCAAATCATGAAATTTATAATATTTCACCTAATAAAAGCTATAAGTGTTAATAAAGAAGTTGGTAATGATGCAAATTAATGTTAAAATTGTAAAAAATAAATAAAAACTTTTAAAGATATTAAATAATATTGATATGATGAAATATTCTAAAAGATATGTTATTAATAAAATAATATGAATAAAAATTTAAGATTAAATATAGTTGAATTTAAAAAGGGTGGCTTATCCAATAAAATAATAATTATATTAAGCATTTTCTATTTGAAGTTAATCGATATTTCACATAAGACATATCTTATATAACTGCTAAGAGTAACTCAAGAGATGATCAACAACTTTTGGCTAAACTTGTATAATTTAATTAAATAGAATTTATAAAGAGCTATGATAAGGATGCTAATATATTAATCGAGGCTTGGAGTGTAATTAGTATGTTCTAAAAACTATAATTATGATAAATCATACATCAAATTGAATAATTTTATGATTAGATATTAGAAGTAACCTAAGTGAAATTACAGTGAAAAATGAACAAAATATACATGGTTCTAAAATTAATGATAAGAGATGAAATTTCAATATTTATAGTTAGAGAGACATGTAAGGAGATTAAGACGAAAGCAATTAATATAACAAGTTTATGTAGAACTTCAGCAAAGAGGAGAAATTAGGAGAAGGAACTTATGGAATAGTAACTAGAGCATTTGATAAAAAAAGAGGAAAAGTGGTAGCTATAAAGAAATTGAAATTGGATAATTGTGATGATGAAGGAGTTCCAAGCACAACCATAAGAGAAATAGCAATCTTATAAAAATTGAAACATGCAAACATCATAAAGTATTAAGTGTTACTAATTTAGTTTATTGGAAGTAAAATACTTTATGTAAGAGAAGAAGATACTATTGATCTTTGAATCGATGCAATGCGATTTAAGGAAATATTTAGATAAGAACCCAACTTTATCATTAAATACTATTAAATTAATTGTCTATTAAATCTTGTTGGGACTTTCGTTTTGCCACAGTCGTAGAGTATTGCACAGAGATTTAAAGCCGTAAAATATCCTATTGAATGAGACAATGACATTGAAATTGGCAGATTTTGGACTTTCCAGAGTGTTTCCATTTCCCATGCCTAAATTCACAAAGGAAATAGCGACTCTTTGGTATCGAGCACCAGAACTGATGTTAGGAGATGACAATTATGGAACAGGAGTGGATATCTGGGCAGTTGGTTGCATAATGGCAGAATGTTTAATAGGTAGACCATTATTGACAGGGGATAGTTAAGTTGATATGTTGTTTAAAATGATGGAGGTATGAATAGATGTATGTTTAATATTAGTTACTTGGAACTCCAACAGATAATTCGTATGTTGGTTTGTCGAAGCTACCTCATTTCAAGGTGACATTCCCAAAATTCTAGGGCAAAGATTTAATGGAGGTGATACCTGTATTGGAACATGATAGAAAGGCCTTGGAGATTTTGCAATCAATGCTGTAATTTAATCCAGGGAAGAGACCATAAGCAAAGGAATTGTTAAAGCATAATTGGTTTGATGATATAAGAAATAATTATTGATTATTGTGTATCATCATCATCATCATCATTTTTCCTCTTAGACTAGTTTTAATAACATTTCTTAATAGGCTTCTGTCCAATTTTACACATACCAGTCATATTGGGAACTGTCTGGGTTGAAATAATCAAAGCATTCTTCTTTAGACATGTCATATTTGGATGATGTTTATAAGAAACATGAATGATTTTTATTGTGTTCGAATTTTTTATTTTTAGCTGATTATTATTATTGGCCTGTCAATTGTAAGAAACTAGAATGAGTTCTTGATTTGAGTTGTTCTTCCAAATTGATAGAGCCATGATAGATTTCAAAAGCAAAGGAATATCTAATTTTCAATTCATCATAGGCATAATCAACACAACTTCCTGGTGCTAAATAACCAATGGCTTGTGATGCAACTCCAACATCACATGAGGGACAATACTTGCCAGATATATCATTAAGAATGTCCATCATTTTTTCTTCATTTTGTTCAGCTAAATTATTTAATTTATGATTTACCTGCATCTGTTGAATAGGCATGAGGTGTAAACATTCCTAAAGTACCAGAATGAACAGTTAGGAATATGTCTGGGTTAAATGATTTTAAGGAATCCCGCACTGCTCTTGTTTCAGGTTCAGAAAATGGATTGGGTCCTGATGTTACTTATCTGACATCATCTTGAACCTTTTCCCAATGTGCATCGTAATTTCTATTGATGTCGACTCCATTTTCGTTTTCTCTTAAACAGTACTCTCCTCCTTCTACCTTCTATCTTGAAAGTGGATTTGCATTCAGAATCAGTCTTAATTCGAAGTCATCCAGAATTTATTTATTTTTGGGGTCTGTTTTTTCAAAGCACAAGTCATTCAAGAAATGAATTCCTGATTCTGGACTGATCAATTCCCTTGGGTGTTCACCAAACAAAATGTAGGCTGTAATAGTTAGTTCAATGTTATACCCCTGTATTTTTTGTTTTGATTGCTATTAATGTTCACTTCCTTAATCAATGGACTATCAGAAGCATTAGACAATGACAAGAATGAGCAACTTCTACTCAGAGATTCTAATTCCTCATTCAATTCTGCTGTTGTGTGGTACTTGCTACTGAACTTAGTTGCAAAAACCAATGACAGGCTCAATATGACTAATATTGCAATTTTCATAATATAATAAAAACGGAACTTAGTTTAATTTCAGAATTGTAATATTTTATTTGCTTGATTGAACGGACTTCCATTTGTATACTTCATCATAACTGGAGTTGCATACATAGTGGGAGTTGAGGTTTTTGGTTGTTCATATGAGTGGTTGGATTGATAAGGGTTCAAATTATTAGTTTGAGGTTATACTTTCATACTTAATTGTTGATGATGTTATTGGGCTTGGAAATACTGACTAAAATAGTGATTGCGAGGTTCAACATGTGGTGATTTGTTGAGTTGTTTATAATGCTGACTATTGTTGTTTCTAATGACTGGTTATTGCTTGACTCCTGGTTCACTGACTTAGGTCAGACATCTGTTTTTGGGATCACTCTTCATTTATTTAATAATCAATTGCTCAAGCATCTATTTAGTCATGGACTTTTGCTATTATATCAATTCTGCATTTAATTGTTTCAGCCGTTTAATTTCCTCAAGCAATACCTACATTTCGTCGTTGTGTTTACTAGTCTTGTTCCCTTGATTCTTAGTAATGATCTTCTTCTTATCAAAATCAAATTCAATCTCTATCTCTTCAGATCCCTACTTCAGTAGCTTATCTTATTGTTACAACAATATCTGATTTAATTTCTTCTCCAATATCCAATAATTCCTTTTCCAATCATCCAATTCCAATTCCATCTTCTTTATCATCTCTACTAATTTGGTTACTTTCTATACTATGAAGGTCTCCTAATCACATTGTAGATCTATCGTATCATCCATATCAATTTCATCCAGAATCTTCAACAAATTGTTAGTTTCTATCTTGGAAGGAGCTAGAAGTGATTAACCCAAACTCTTTTGATAAAATTCAGTCTCCTCTTAAATAACCTGTAGTTCATTGCCATCACAATGCTAATCCTCGAATATGGAATTATCCAGATTGCACTTCAACTACACTATCTCTCTATTGTGGATTCGTTCTTATTCCTCATACTTCTCTTCCCACATCTATTTTCAATGATCATAATACTTTTATTTGTCCCTTCAATCCCTATATCTCTTCCTCCAATTACTGTATGGTTGTCTTCATTTGCTACAATTATTTGAATATCCTACTTCGTAATCCTGGGCCTTTTAAATTGATGTCGTTGCTGATTCACTACCAGTTGATTAATTCACTAGCATAGTTATATAATTAATTATGATTAATTAATACATTGAAATCATTAAACAACTCAGACTTATTAAGATCGAACAACTATTACTACAAAAGTTAATTTACAAATTGGCAAACCAACTGCGACATTTCCCAGAGTTTAGAATGCTCAAAAAGTTCAATAAACAAACGACCAAAATTGTTCAATCGTGTACTCAATAAATTAAAGATAACTCATTGTAAGGACCATAGATAGTAGAATCAATCGAGAAGACCCAATCCTTCTTATTAACTCTATCTTATGTCATCACAGGAAATATTAAACGAAAATTACTCATTTAGTTTTAACTCTTAACTTTTGGGGCAATAAGCAGAATATAGACATGCTTTGATTAAGTTAAAAATATAATTAATTAAATGGAATAAGGCAAAACAAGCGCAAATCCACAAGTCATTTCTTGAGATTATATATTCATTTATTTTATATTGTTAGAACATTAACTTAGTTTTTCTTTAATATAAATTTTGGCTACTGAGTTTTCTTGTGATTTGATTCATTTAGAATTTTTGTTAAAAATTGAGACTAAAGTGAAGGTTTTATTTGACGTTATGTTTGAACTTAAGGCATTAACATGTAAGTTCCCTTATCATGACATGCACTTTCATTGTTCGATGATTATTCCTCTTACCTCTATACTCTATCTGATTGAACAGCTTCTAAGGTAATTGACCTTTTACGCAAATCGTTGTTGCAATACTTTTGTATCTCTACTTTCTTTTTTATTTTTGACAGTGATGCTCCCTTTGGTTAATATGGAAGTGAAAATTATTTTACTATCATTTCTATTCTCCTAGGATCTGATAACGAAAATTAACGATAATCACTTCTGAAACCCATTGTCTTAAAACTTGTCATGCAACGATGATTTTATCTTGTTATTGACATTAATATAAATATATATATATATATCACTTTTCAATACATTAAAGGAAATATCTTAATTGTTCTTGTAGCTAATCCAAAGTAGTGACTTCTTCTGCTTCATCCTGTTGATTACGCTCATCATTTTAGATAAGCACTAATGCAAGCCATTACATCACTTAGATGAATTCATAATAAAATAAGCCTTCAAATCCATTGAATTTCTCATCATGAAACAATTCTTTATATGCCGTTTTGATGATTCCATCTAGATTGTCTCCCTTATACCCAGAATCTTGGATTAATTATTTAATTTCCTCTTATCTGATGTGGAATTTGATGTCTGAATTGTCATCATTGCCTTGGCTAAATCTTTTAATGAATATATTCTGCATTTAATCTTAAATTTCCTAAATGTTAAAACTTTCAACTTACCCGAATAAAATTGACCAAAATTTCATTGTACTTCATATGCTACTAGAAATTATTAAACTCTTTCTCATCAGAATTGATTTCTATTATTTTATCCACAATCTTCATGACCAGTTAATCTTAGGCTAATATAAAATAATTCGAAATCGTGTACATTCAACTTCACTTAGATTGTTAGTTTTTTTAAATTGTGCCAATTCCACGATGATCACAAAGAACTCTTAGAACTTAACAGATAACTCCAAACTTTTTCTGACATCTTTCGATTTAGTACCCTATTTATCATATGTTTCAACGAATGAAAATAGTTCCTAACTATCCTGTACTAATCCATACTACATTTAAATTGAGATTGAATACAAATTTAAGAAAGTGCATCACATCTTAGAATGAAATGCTAATTTCATCTTTTTTTGCATGATCTGTATTATAAAGGATAGCATATTGACGAAATACTTCGTAAAGCAGAGGCAATTTGTCATCCATATATGCAGCAATCTTATTGTAAAAGTTTTCTTCCTTTTGATAAACTAAATATTATATACTAGATCTTTAAGTTCAAGATTGCCCTCAGCATTTTTTTAAATGATTGTCCATAGCTTCTCAAATTTATATGGACACTCTTCTGCTGCAGATTATTTATTTTTTTAACTATCCTCTCTCTTTTGAATTTGCAATTGTTGGAGTTCCTTCTCCTTTTGTAAGGCATATTCCATTATTTTTTTTTGGATTTCCTATTAGGAAAATAGGAACAGGGTTGAGTCTGGCAGTGTGATCGAAGTTTTTCATATCCAAAGCAAAGATTGATTATTGTGGTTCTTAACCTTCTTTTTCGGTGATGGTCTATCCGTAGAATTAGAATGTGAATTAGCCAAGTGGAAGTGTGATTTCTGCAAAATACTTTTTGAAACTATCTCCAGCTCTAGAGATAGAATAATGAAATAATGAACTTGATTTCTTTCATGATGATTTTATCTTTGCTGGGATAATTTTTAGTATCGAATTCATGCATGACTTCAGGGAACATCTTATACTCGTATTGGATGAGATATGTTGGTTCTTGGCGATTGACGACTTTTTAATTTAATGGAGCCAATTAAAAGGTGGCAGTGAATTGATTTCTCATCTTTCCAAAGGCTTCATCATACCATTCTAATATAGTGGTATTGATAATACTTTCTTATTGATCAGTCATAATCCATCCTTATCCTTTTCTTATTTCGACTTGTACTAAGGTTTCTTTGCCTTCTTCATCTTCTTTGAGATAGTCGAAGATTTTGGCACGTGGGGGTGGAGTTAGAAACATGTCAGTTCCAGGGACTCTGAATTGCAAATAGCAGGGAAGATAATTGGAGTCAGGATTCTTTTTGTTGGAATAGAGTTTGGCAGCAGCAAGGGCAAACCATGCGAAATCGTTCAATCCTTGTCCTACATTGATGTAGAAGACGAATTCTTCGACTTATACTTTAAATTTCATTATTATTAATTATTTTAATGGGAATTTGTACTAATAAGTAATATGCTTAAGCTAGTGAACCTCCGCAAAACCATAGACAGAATCGATTATATTTAAACTATCAACAATTGGCAAATATCAATCATCCTCTGAATGTGAATCACAAATACAACAACTACTTCCAAATCATACCAGATACTACAGCAGGGAAGGGAATCAAGATGACCAATCAATATACAAGTCGTCTAAGCAGAGAGGAGTGGCTGGAGAAGAGGAAAGAATTCTGGGGTAGGATTTTATATGTTATTTAAAGAATCGAGGGTTGAGGGAGAGAAAGTCTATTGGCAATCAATCCAAAAAGCAATTGAAGAACATGACGAAGGTATTTCTCATCTATATTTAGTCAATGCACAGGCTATTCTCAATGCATGTGATCTCAAACTGGTTAATAATTCCATTTAGCTACTTTATGACAACTCAATGCATAAATATGATGTCCCTGTCTTTATGATCAATGAACCTCAATCATTCCCGTCCACGAAGCTTTGCGATGCTGGTTTGATTCAAGATTTTCAAGAAACAGAATTAAAAGTATATATTTGATAATCTATTTCAAGATCAAGGTGAGATCCAACAAACTCCCCTAAGATTTCGAGGTTCTTACTCACACCAATCAAAAGCATAGCTTGAACTGAAGACTAAGGTTTAAGAGTCTGCTTCTGGTTCTGAACAGTGTAGACTGTTTATCAAGGGAAGAGAAATGAGGAATCATCATCTCATTGGAAATTATTAACTCAAAGATGGAGAAGTATATACCTTACTATTCATTTAACTAGATGGTCCAGGCCTTTATGTGAAATTACTTATTAACAAAAAATATTATATTTATAATGGCATTAATTCATAATCAAAATGACATACAAAACATGTTTAGTAAGGCTGGCAAAATCACTTCCGAAAAATACATTGTCTTTCAAAGGAAGGATGAAATTATCAACAACAGACCAAGATATTTCAAAACCAAATCCTAATCAGTTGCATCTCCAGAAGAAGTCAATCTATAACCAGAAAAGAAAGTCCCAGATCTGGCCAACAAGAAGCAGGTTCAAATCACAGAAGCAGAACTCATTCAACATAAAAATCAACTCAAACTCTCGCAACCCTTCTCCAAGTAACTCTCTCGATAAGTCGGACATTATACCAAACTCAGCAACGATAGCAAACCCTCCTGTGGTCAATATCATGTCAAATACAGCGAATTAGACAAGTATCTCCCTTCTTTATTATCGGCAGAGCTGTTCATTCCATTCACGATTATGACAAATCCCTCAAACTAACCTCGCCCAGACTCGTACCAGGAAAACTTGGACAACCAGAAAGCATCGAGTAAACAACTATTGCATTTATTCAAGCAAACCTATTGTTGATCGACCAAGATATTCTCGTACTTGCTTTACAGATCTAACCAGACAAACCCAAAGGTATTCAAGTATATCTTACTGAAAAGACCTGATATCTTCTTTGGAAGACCTACTCCCCACCCAGATAGATTCACACTCTTAAGTGTTACTGATTCTTGGAGTAAAATCCCAAGAACACCAAATGTTCAATTAGATAAGCAGTTATCAAGAGAACAAATGATCATCTATAAAAAGAAACAATTTGCCCCAGATTACCATCCCAACTTCGAATTCGGCAGAAAGTAACTTACTCCCTCTAAATTCAATTAGACAATTAGGCAGTTGTGGTGCTGCTTTTGATAAACTCGAAAAAAGAAAAGATATAATGACCAAAATCCCTCCCTACAATAATGAGGCTTATTTCGAATTTGATGTCTACTCTAAAGAGCCATAAAGTCAACTATTTAGAAACCCTACAGCACCCAATTTTGAAAAAATGCTCGAAAGAGAATGCGATGGAAAATCATTATTGCCAAGTTTTATGCAGGTAACCATTCTCTGAAAATTAGAAATACACCAATACTCGTATGGGAATTGCTCATTTGAATCAAAAAATGTTAGAAGTCAATAATTTTAGAGACGGAAGATTCTAAACTGTCACCTCAAGCTTTATGCCATCTAAATTAAAAAGAAAATAGAAGCTTGATGAATCTAGTGAAGAAATCGAATAGCTGGAGGACTAATAATGAATTTATTTAAATTTATTAATCATCATATTTCACAGGATTTTAGGATAAAATTAAGAAAATTTATAAATTCTTATATCGGTATTTTCAAAATTATAATCAAATATCTATTCTCAGCAATCAAGATTATATAATATCTAGAATAATATTAATAATCTGAAATATAAATAATATATCTTTAAAATAGAATTGTACATGATCATACCTTTTACAAAATCAGGAGACTAGAATTTGGTGTAACTTTAACTATTATTCTCAAGTTTACTAAATCTTCATTATGTGAATCAAATTTTTTAAATATTCCTATAATTTTAAATTGGCTGCACAATTACTTACATAGTCATTGTTTTTATTAATTGAAGATCTGCAATTTAGATATAAATGTCATAAATAACTTTCCCACTAATTTTAATTTCTAAATTTTTTAATTATATAATGTTGGCATTATTTTTTATTTGGAGAATAACAAATAATGATTTAGAATAATTTAATATTTGATTAAATAATATATTTGATATATTTATTAATATGAATCTATTTCGTTTTCTGTCAATCAGAATCCTTAATTAATGACCTGACTTAACTACTTTTCTCAATTACGTAGGATTAATATCCTAAATTCACTTATATATTTTTAATAAATTATTCAACTCTTTTTTGAGATAAATGTTAGAATATACTGGACAGACTAAAGCAAACTCAGAAGGAGTTCACACAGTAGTAGACTCAGACTTAGAAAGTTGGTAAAAGTTATACACATAAACTCAAGTCTGAGAAGACCTAAGTCTGCTTCAGAGCAGGATTATAGAAAACTTTTCGAAATAACAAAACACTGTTTTAATCAAAAAACACCTTAGGCAACTTGTGATGAGATTCCTGAATTTGATTCATAGGATGATTCCTTTTTATTAAGGCCCTCTCTGTGTACAAATAAATCAAGCAGATAAAGCTATGAAATTGTAAAGGAAGAAAAACAATCAGAAAAAGAACTGATAACTCCTTTGAATGAGAAAGATAAGCATCTAATAGTGAAGAGCGATCAGGGGCTATGTAAATTGTAAGGGATTAAAATGAAAAGTGGAGGATTTTACAAAGGATATTGGTACAGAAGAAAGCCTCACCATATGGGGGAATACCTATTTGCTGATTAAAGCAGATATCTAGGAGATGTAAAAGGCTTATAATATGTGTAGTGGAATAATGGTTACGCAAGTGGAAGGGGAGAATACTTTGATGCTGATGGAGGCCACTATCAAGGAGAATTTTATTAAAACTGTATGTAAGGGACTGGAGTTTACAAATACGCCGATGGAACAATCTACAATGGTATGGTTTATCCTTATCATTAAGGTTAATGGATGAATGATAAATATCACGGAGTAGGAATCGAAACAAAAAATGACAGCCAGTATAAGGGTAAGAATAAGTTACAAATTAGGCAAATTTCAGAATGGCTTAAAACATGGTTAGGGGACTATGGTATTTTTCAACTAAGAAAAGTATCAAGGATCATTTGTAAATGGACTGTTTGAAGGGAAAGGAGTTTTAGTAATAATTTAATTTACCTTTAGATTTGGCCAGATGGAAGAAGATATGAAGGAGATTGGTAAAAAGGGGTGATGCATGGTTAGGGGATGTTGCAATGGCCAGATGGTAATGAACTGTCTCTAAATAGGTCGTCTCTATATAGGATAGTATGAAAATGATAAAAGATAAGGATTCGGAACATTCCAATATCCTGATGGTCGTAAATATGCAGGTTATTGGATGAATGGTTTATAACATGGATCAGGAGAGTTTACTGAATATCATGGTTAAATTATGAAGGGAGTTTGGAGAGAAGGCAAACTATTTTCGCATTATTGATTATATATATGATACTAATTTATATATCTCATAATTTTGGTTAGGAATACTTAGCAAAGTTATCTGGAGTTGGTGCTGGGAATAAACTAGGTGTGAATAGAGTACTAAATTATATTACTAATTATTTACGCTTTCTTCATGTTTCCCTTGATCTTCATCTATCCTTTTAAGAATGCTTCGTTAGCTTATAATTTTCCTAAGCAAACCTTTTCAAAATCATCATCAATCATTGTGAAAGTGGCATCTGCTTACTCTTTTCCTTCCTTTATTGCTCCTTGACCATTCTTCAAATCAATGACCCAGGATTTTATAACAGGACCACCTTTTTAAGTGATTATTTCAAAATTGAAAACTCCTTAAATTTTGGGAATTAAATCTTTTCCTTCACCTCTATCTAAAAATGCTTTCATTAAACCAAATATTCTTTTCTGCTTTTAGATTAACACTTGGAGCTTATGTAGTTTATTAAGTTTAAGCTGATGTTGTTTTACCTTCTTTTTATTATTTGATGAAATCTTCCTTATTGAAAAAGATTTCAAAGATCTCTGATGATGTTTAAGGATAACAAACATTATCTCCGAAACCAGCTACTTACTCCCATTTATCTCTAACATCTTCAGGTGTGAATGGTGTATCAAAGAAATATCCTTGATTTCTCTACCATCTCAATTTAGAAATGTATCCAGCTCCCAATTCATAAATTGCACCTGTTTCTTTTGAATCATCATGACTCAATACACCTACAAGTGGTACAACAAATTCTGGCTTTAAATTTGCAAGTAATTCTTTGCTCATAACAGTCTCAGTCAATCTACTTGCAGCTACAGGACAGATTGAATTAACTAAAATATTTCTCTTCAATCCTTCTCTTGCCAAAGCCAATGTCAATCCGTGAATACCCATCTTGGCAGCACAATAATTTGTTTAACCAAAGACACCATAAACACCAGAGGCTGAAGATGTGTTAATAATTCTTCCATATTTTTATTCTCTCATGTATGGCCAAGCAGCTTTAGTACAAGAGTATGTACCTTTCAAATGAACCTAAATGGCATATTATCATATATTACTCTATAGATAAGATCCCAATCTTCATCCTTCATTTTTTCAAATGAAACATCTCTTAAAATACCAGCGTTGTTTATCAAAATATCAATCTTTCCAAATGCCTTAATTGCAGTGTCAATCACTTTCTCTCCAAATTCAACACTATCATAGTTAGCAACAGCAACTCCACCAGCAGCTTTAATTTCATCAACAACTTTATCAGCAGCAGAAGATGAAGCTCCTGTGCCTTTCATTGAACCTCCTAAATCATTGACAACGACCTTTGCCCCTCTTTTTCCAAAAAAGAGTGCGTACTCTTTTCCTAAGCCATTACCAGCTCCAGTGATAACTACCACTTTGCCATCAAATCTCAATTAACTCATATTTTTATTAAACTAATACTAATCCTGTCAATATAATATATATAATTAACACTTTTAAGAAATCGTGCGTCATATTTCTAATTGTGATTCAATTATTATTTAAAATATGCTACCCTCTAAGCACAAATTATAACAATAATTTTTACTTCTATGAATTTTTAACATTATAAATTTAAAAATCGGCCAATCAATTTATTTACTAAAATTTCATTGCAAAATTATTGTTTAAGGAATCATTATTTCAATATTGACTCAAACTCTGAATGTTAAATTTCATCATTTTACCTCAGTCTAAATATTAGATATTATTTAATATCCATTTGTATGTTATAGACCTTAGAATCATATGATTTGATAATCTCTAAGTGTTATCAATATTATTAAGGTCAATTTAGATTTTTTTTCAAGGATAATTGTAAGTTTTCCAAAAAGATGATGAGGATAGTGAATAAAAAATAATTATATTATAGGAAAAGGATTAGTAATAAACCTGATTGTTAATTTAAAATATTGTAATTGTTAGATTAGGATTAATTTTAATAATTGTATTTAAAAAATGTCTTACGACACTGCACTCACAGTTTTTTCTCCAGATGGATAGCTATTTCAAGTCGAATATGCAATGGAAGCAGTAAAAAGAGGATTATGTTGTGTTGGAGTAAGAGGAAAGGATGTCATAGTCCTAGGCGTAGAAAAAAAGGCAACATCAAAACTCTAAAATGTGAAAACAATTAAGAAAGTGTATTAGTTAGGTAGGAATTTATTCAAATGATAGACAACAATTTATGCATGACATTTTCTGGGTTAAATGCTGATGCAAGAATACTGGCAAATCAAACAAGATTGTAGTGCCAATAGTACAAAATTTATTATGAGGATGATCCTTCAGTTGATTACATTGCTAAATTTACAAGCTAATAATAATAGAAATTCACCTAAAGAGGTGGAGCAAGACCTTATGGTATTTCAACATTAATTGCCGGATTTGATAATCAAAATAAGCCAAAGTTATTTTAGACAGATCCATCTGGAGCTTGTTCAGAATGGAAGGCTACATCTCTTGGAAAGAGTGCCAAATAAGTGAAAGACTTTTTAGAGAAGCACTGGAGAGAAGGATTGCATGAGAAGGATGCTCTTCTACTAACAACTAAAGTATGGGAATATGGTATATGTCAAGGCTTTGATGGATGTAGTTGAAAGTGGAAATAAAAACATTGAGTTGTGCGTGATTAGAAAGAACACTTGCTGGTTTTTGAGTGAAACAGAAGTGGAGGAGTTGACAAAAATAACAGCTTAGATCTAATGATTATTATATACATTAAGTAATTATAAAATGTGGTTTTGGTTTATTCTGTGATAGAAAAAGTAAGAAAATAGAGATTAATTAAAAATAATGGATGATTTATAATTATATGGTATTAATTTTATTGTTATAATTAATAATATATATCATAATTTATTTATTCTGAAATCTAAAATATAATAATTAATGAAATAGGAATTGTGGGATGATTTGCATTTGGCAAATGAAAAATCTATTACAAAAATTTTAGAGGCAGGAGAACAAGTATTATTTTCTAGTCTACTCTATAAATTCAATGAAGTCAATAAAAGACAAGAGAGAACATTGCTTATTACAACTCATAATCTATACAATCTATCAAAATTGACAGTAAAAAGGAAAATCCCTATCAAAAGGGTGTATGGGATTACTATTGGTTTAATTGGTACAGAATTCGTAGTACATGTGCCTGGAGAATACGACTATAGATATTCAAGTTCTGAACGAAGAGATTAAGCAGTGTTGAGCATAATAAAGGCTTATTGTTTATAACACAGAGGCACTGCATTGCCAGTCTTCTACAAAGATGAACTCACGCTTACTGCATATACAACAACAAAAGTGGATAAAAGAAAGGGCATAAATAGATTACCAACAACTGGTTCAGAATTAATGAATGAGGAGTAATTCAGAAATAGGATAGATTCATAAACAGAAGAACGTTTGTAGACTAGAGCGAAGACTTCGACACTCTATGCAAAACAGAAAGGAGAGGCAGTAACAATTGATGAATTTGACCTAATAAAAGTGTTGGGAAGAGGAGCTTATGGAAAGGTGATGCTAGTAGAGAAGAAAAGTGACAAATAATATTATGCTATGAAATCAATTAGAAAAGAGGATGTAGCTGATCCAGAATAATTAGAACACACCAAAACAGAAAGATTAGTGTTGGAGCATGTAAATCATCCATTCCTTGTAAATTTGCATTGGGCGTTTCAAACTCCTGAGAAATTATTTTTTGTAACTTAATTTATGAAGGGGGGAGAACTATTTTAGCATCTGAAACATGTTAAACGATTTGATGAAAGTAGAACAAGATTTTATGTTTCAGAAATTGTAAATTCGTACCCTTATTTTCATTATAGGTATTGGCTTTAGAACATTTGCATTAGAAAAATATCATTTACAGAGATCTAAAACCAGAAAATGTTTTATTGGATGAAATAGGCCATATTTGTTTGACAGATTTTGGAATGGCCAAAATGTTGAAAAAAAATGAACTTGCCAAATCATTCTGTGGAACTCCTGAATATCTATCTCCTGAAATTCTTCTTGAAATTGGTCATTCCTAATCTGCAGATTGGTGGGCATTAGGTATACTTACATATGAGATGCTGTATGCATTACCTCCATTTTACAATAAAAACCAAGATATGATGTTTAAATAGATCCAAACCAAAGAAATTACATTCCCAACCACCCCACCACTCTCCAATGAGGCTAAAGACTTTATTTATAAAGTAAATATCCAATAAATGTAGTTAACAATCAAAGATCCAAAGTAAAGATTAGGTTCAGGTAAAATTGATGAAGTAAAAAATCACCCATGGTTCAAAGGAATTAATTGGGAAAAACTCTTGAAGAAAGAAATTGAAACTCCCTTCAAACCTTAGATCTAAGGAGAGGCTTGGATTGATAATTTCGATAAACAATTTACAATAGAAGAAGCAATCAATTCATATGCCCCTGAAAATAATCTAGTCAACCAAGACGAATTTAGAGAATTTGACTATTATTAAAAATGAATTGAAATACAGATTTCAGTATAATAGAATCATTTTTTAATTATGAATTAATGCTAAAGTAGTTCCTAAGCAGTAGGTCTTAATAAATGATCCCTTTATAAACATAATCTAATAAATTAACTTAAAACTTCATCTAAATCCTCAGGTATCCTTGGAAGAGCATTCTCAGAAATTATTAAGAGTAAAGCACTCAATGGATTATCGAAATTGTGTTCATGCCAAGGTTTCTTCCCTGTTGCCATCTCAAGAACCGTGCAACCAAATGACCAAATGTCACTTGCTCTGCAATTTTCATCCTAACTAGCCACCTTTAAAATAAAGAAATCTTTTTACTTCAGGAGCCATATACGGAATGCTCCCCTTTAAAGAATGCAATATGTCCCCTCCTTGCTTAGATCTCGATATGGTTTTCTCTTTGATTTTACTACACCCAAAGTCTCCTAGCTTCACCTCTCCATTCACTCCTAATAAAACGTTGGCACCTTTTATGTCTCTATGAATTATATTATTATCATGTAGATAGGCTATGGCTGATAACAATTATTCGGAATATGTACGAACTGTGTTAATATTCAAAGGACCAAATTTTTCAGTCAATTAGGTTAAAGTTCCTATTTTATAACAATTATTAACCTTAGGACATATACTCCAAATAGAGTAACCAGTACTCTTCATTCTATTGGCTCCAAGCATATCTAATAATATTTTTATGTTTAATTCTCTTCAATAAATCGATTTCGCTTTTCAATCCCTACAAGTCCTCCTATTCAAAATCTCCCTTTAGATTAATTTTCTTAACCGCATAGATTTTGCCTGTTTTATTTTCCTATGCTATGTACACTTATCCAAAGGATCCTGCACCTATCATATCACCTTCAGTAAAGCTGGGATTTTAAGTAGAAAAATTGAATTATGAATATGTAGATGAATCATTAACAATTTTATTTGAACTACTAGATTCTATTGCTTGTTTTTAAGAACTAGAGAAGGATTGATTCTTCATTGCAGTAAATCTATTTTCCATAAATGATTCGATTTGGGATACAGTCTCTTCCTTTATGATTGTATCATCCTGAAAGTCTATATTAAGATTGATCAATACCATTGATAGGAAACTCAATCATTCTAATTGCTGGACTTTAAAACTTATTTTCTATCATCTCTTGTGATTCTGTATTGGATTTGATAAATTTGACTTGATGATTTTAGAGTTTGCGAATTATCATCCCTTGAACTTTTGATTTTTTCACAGACGAGTAGCTTTTCTGTTTTTGAGTATTGTCAGTAACTGGTCTATTATCCTCTTTCTTCTCAATGGACAACTTTTTCAAAGTCGAAGGTGATCGAAAGGTCTATGTAATTTTTGTTGTCATGGAGGGATCAATTTTTATTCTTGGAGAAAGAAGCGGAGGCAATCCAGTGTTATTATAGATCTTCGGTTTGCTTTTAGCTAGAACTCATATTTCTTAAATACTTTATATATCCCCTCTTTTAAGAATCGAATTCATTTTCTAATTATATTATATTTTAATATTACCATTTGAATACTTCAATAATTTAATACAGACCCTCCTATGAATGTATTTTAATAAAATGCCTCATTCTTCATTAATGATTATGGAGATACATCTTGCTTCATTAAAAGCACAATTATTAAAATTACTATTTCTTTATACTTTGTTATGAAACCATAATATTTGAATCAATTAATAAAATATTATTGTTAATGAAAAAACATAAATTTTAGAAACTTGGATTATGAATGATTCAAAAGAATTTTTAACATAAATTTTAAGATTAAATCAGCATAATTTTAATGTTATCTTACGAATTCTTTGTTTGATGATTAGTTTATTTACTTAACAATATTCTCCACAGCAAATAAAATACTATAACTTAATATTAAATATGATATCAATTAGAAACTTTAACAATATTTGAATCCAATAAATTCAAAATTTTGTTATTAAATTGATTAATTATTTTATACTATAGAAACTCAAATTTAGTTAATTAAATGAACAAACTTCATTAAAGAATCGTTATTTTAATTTATCAAAAATAAGGATAATTTTAATATTAGACTGAGTATTTTAAAATTGAATAACTATTATTATGAAATAGGGATTAAAAAGATGCTTTGAAGATGTCTTGCATAAATAACTTGGTCCATGGACAGTGATGTGGCCAATAAAATGCCATTCATAAGCAAGAGATTAGGATATTGTACTAAAAAAATGGATTACTTAGATATGAATTTATATTAATAATTTGCCTAATCATAAATAAATTAAATTCTCCACTGGAAGTTTGTTATTCAACTCTATTAAATAAAATGCCTTATAAATATAAAAAGACGATAAAATAAGATTTTTGTTTATTAAAAATTTAATTAATTGACATTGTTAAAAAAAATGGGAACATGTGCTTAATGCAATTCAAAGATTGAAATTGTAGAGAGCGACCCTTTGATTTCTAAATAAAGTGTATTTTAGAAATTAAAAGAATTGAACCAAAACACAAAATCAACAATTTTTCTGACGATGAGAAGCAATAAGAAAATTGATAATGAAAATTAGGGTGATCAATCTTTCTTAGTTAGTGAAGTAAACGATGAACAATCAGACGTTAAGAATATACATGGGAGTGTAAAAATACGACAGAGAAAATATAGTTTTCAAGAATAACAAATATAGTAGGTTCATTTCCATATCAACGATCAAAATGATTCTGCAAAGGTTAGGTGTTTTAGATTTACAGATCCTAATATCCCAAGAAATTTATCAAATTCCTCCAGTTCCAATAGTCAGTTTAAAGAATTCAATGCACATTTCAAAAAAAGTGACAAATAAATTATTGAATCTGATGAAAGCAAATCAATAAAAAGTATACTTAAAAAAGAGCCAAGACAAAAGAGTGAAACCAAATCAGTCCGTTTTGCTAAAAATATCTCCACGAGCCAAACAAGGATAAAATCTAAATCATGTCATCACAAATAACATAAAAAGAAAAAGAAAATTTAAAATTAAATTCAAAGATATGAACATTATTAATTTTGAATAAGTATCACTTCTTTGATTTGCTACTCCTGTTTTATCCTCACTTTAGGATTAATTCCAAGAATGTATCTCAATTTTACATTATTAATTTATAAAGTATTTAAATATTATTAAAAAAATTATTCCTAAAATTTTATAGAAAATATAATTTTTTCAAGTTTATTTTGTTTCCATGTAACCAGAGCTAAAATTCTTGTTGTCTACTTATTATTTTTGAAAATATAATCTTCCCTAAAACGCAATTATATCTATTCACTTTATCTTCCTTTAACTATGTGAGCTTATTAGAATTTAAACAAGTAAGAATGTAGTTGATTAAAGACAGAAATAAATCCTGAAATTTTCATTTTTATTTACATAGCCCAATGTCTAATGCCATACTTTAAACACCTTATATATCTAAAAATAAATCACATCCTATTCGTATATATCATGTTGGATCATTATTTTAATTATTAAAATGTTACTTTTTTAAGCAAACAGAAATTTGGATAAAAGTGAAACATTATTGATATTTAAATTTTATGCAAATGAGGAATGTTCTAAACATATTGTAAATATCTGTTTAGAAGAATTTATAATAATAGTTGATTCTTTAATTATTTATTACTAAATTAATTTAATTTATCGTTAAATGTTTGTTTGTTGTGGTAAGAAGAAGAAGGATCGTAAGCATTTATCCTTAGGAAATCTAAATTAGTTAAATTTAATTTGTTAAGATGGTCTTTATTTCGATAGGAATTTGAAGATAATAACAGAATATAATAAGACTAATGTATATTAATTGTTTATGTGTAGGTGAGTGAAATAGGGAATAAAGAATGCAAGTATTACTGTCCAATCTGCTTCAAATATTATGATTGTATGGATAATAGATTTAGTTAGGTATGTTACGATCAACCTGCTGTTCGAATTATGTTTGTCATATCTGTGCGGTGTAATCTTTAACAAATAAAATGTATAATTGTCATTACTGCCGGAATGAGCATTGCAAGTACGTGGATGTAGATCCAAATCAATAGTTAAAAGTATATACAGATTCACACTATAAATTATGAAACACTTATAATAATAATTAATATAAATGAACCAAAATAAAATTTTAATATGTTATGATATGTGTCTAATGTATTAATCATTCATCAATGGATTTTGAGGCATAATTGATTTCACAATTATAGATTGTTTACAATTCCTTATTGCTGAGGGTATCGATAGAGTTTAATTGTTAATAGAATCTAAAAATATAATATTAATCTTATACTAATCTTATGATTTGGAGTCCTTGATGGCAATTCTTCCTAATTATTTGAACTTGTTTTAAAGAATTCCAGTTAAATCACAATTAGCGTTTCTAGCATGACCAGATGGGAACATAACAAATTGACTATCCAAATTCTTGCCATCCTTCAACAAGATTTGAACTCTTGTTGGAATACCTTCTGGATATTTATCGTCATATTCTTTTCCTCCGTGTTCGAATTCTGTTAAGGCCATGAGTTTCTAAGAATAGATATTAATAGTATACTCTTGTATCCTAATTTCTAACAGCTGCATGACTGTAGTCAAATGGTGAAAGGAAGAGAGCTTTCCAGATTTCATTCAAATCATTGGTGCTTGATAAGAGTTAATGGAATGATTTTTCAGTGAATGCCTTTCTCAACATAGTACCCAAGATGTAAACCATGGAGTGATCAGCAGATTGTCTTGTGTGAGGATCTCTTTTAGCTGGATCTCCAATAATTCCGAATGCTGGTTCATAAGCAGTGACTTTAATTTTTTCAATGGAATCAATTGAATAGTTTTGAACGAATTTGGTATCCAAAATAAGCTTTTACAATCCTTCCAAAGCACCAGCAGATTGATGTTCATACAAACCTAATTTGAAATGCATTCCCATCACTGCATAATCATCTCCACTCAATGAGAGAGTAATATCAAATGGACTATCTCCCTTGGTCTTTTAGAACAATCTGAAAATAGCTTCTGGGTTACGGAAGATATCAGCTGGACCAACAAATCCATTCATTGATCTCTACAAACATTTAATGGCTGCTTCAGTAGAAATGGCAGCAGATGCACCCTTAGAATCTGATAATTGATGTCCTGCTCTGATGGCTCTGAATGGGATGTAATGAGCAACAAACATACCAATGGCTGATTCAATTTAAGCTGGAGTAGCTCCCAACAATGCTCCATATGTGCAGATTGATGCAATAGCTCCATGAACAACGTGATCTATACAATATTATACGTATATCAATACCAATTTTGTATGTTTTCAATGAAAATACTTCAGCTAATCTTCCTCTGATTTCATCACTCAATACCATAGCCTTAAGTGCTGTCTTTCCATCAATGGTTTCGTTTTGTTGAGCTGCAGCAATAACTACTGGGTAGTAATCATTGTGACCAAATTCACCTGCTCTTCTTGCTGGACTACTAGCATCATATCCAAACACTGTGCCATTGGAATCCCATTCTCTGACAGCAGCGGAGTTGGCTACGATTGCATTTGTGGCTGGCACCCATAAGTTGCTTCCGAAAACTTTGGCAAATCCAGGCTTTGGTTTTTGTGGCTGCTCCAGTCTTGGCTGCCAATTATTTTGGCTTTCTTAACTAATATGTTTATTCAAGTAGACATACGCTAAAATAGTTGGGGCATTTGTCTTCAAAGCCAAAGCACTCACACCACAGAAAACTGAATCTGTGTGGAAGAGTCTGCATCTCTCAAGGACTTTCTTACTTGGATTACCATTTTTCATGAATTCTATGGCGTACTCTCCCAACTCTCTTGCTTGATTCTTGTTGGCTTTTAAGACAACTTGACTGAAGGCACGGCTGATTGTTTGGGTTAACATAAATATCTTTTTTATTTTACTGCAAATTAAACTCAATGTCAATTAATATACCACATCAATATGATGAAATTTAATATGACAATTATTCATTTTGATCAATTTATTTACGCAATACGCCATAATTAATTTTATATTAAGCATTATGTGAAAAATCTTGTTCCCCACATTCTCCTCATTTATATCAACACGTCTTACTCTTTCCATAGGTGTAGGACATTAATTATATTAATTATGATGTGTAGTGATAGTTAAATCAATAAAATAAGTATACTCGTTAAAAAATCAGAAAATTAGAAACTCTCAAAAATCTAAAACTATTATTGAGTCTTTTTCAAATATATATTATTTATATGTATATAGATCATTTACTAAAGGTTAATTATTCAACTTAAGTTGATAGAAAAGAACAACTCAAAAGTGTATATTATTATAAAAATATACTACTTTCCTCCTTTATTCATTGATTTAACCTTAGGACATCATTTTCTAAAGTGATTTCAATTTCCTCCTCATGTAGATTATAAAAATAAGATATTTAAAAAAAGTTAAATATCATAATGACTGAATAAAAGATAGAATTATTGGTGATCAAATTATTCCATCATTTAGATTACTTCAAACATCATTTAGCGTTATCTCTTCTGATTACTCTGCTCTTGAATATTTAAATTTCATTATTTCTAAAAAAAGAATTATTATATTATTACATCTATATCTACTTAAGATTTTAAGAAGACATTTATAATTATCCCTTGCTGTATAGTTCAGATTGTAGATTTGTGACTAATGATCGACACACCCTTTAAATAACTTCTTCACTTTTTTCTTTAATAATATACTGACTAATTTGTTGCTGTAATTTTTCTCTATATCATAGTATGTTTGGGTAAACTTATCATAAATTGAATTGAGAGGACATTAAATACTTAAAGTCTATAAGTAATTAAGCCTTTATTGATTTCATAAAATAGTGTTATAGGAGTAATGAAATTAGAGAGATGAAAGATTTCTACAATCAAAATTAGTGGAACTGTGTTGAAAAGTTTATGGATAATTAGAGGGTGAGTATTTTTGAATTTTGGAGGCGTGTAGTATAAAATTAAAATTTTAATATTTTCCACCAAATTCTCAGGGATATGTTGATTCTTTGTATTCTGATAAGATTATGTTCTAAGGGGTTGGCGAAGGAGTTTTCGATGTATTAGAATGATGAATAGGTGCTTGATAGTTTTTCTCAATTTGGAATAATTTTGGGATCAAATATAACCTACGAAAGTGCAACAGATTAACCATGCTACATAATAAATTAAAAGTTAAAGAATAAGCAATCAGAAGAAATCGTTTTAGTACCCTAATTTAAGGAGGACGTCTTTAGTAATTTTTACAATGATGGATAATTGAATGGAGATATAAATTTTATAGTATAAATTGTACAAATTTCCACAGGGGCAATAGTATTGACTAATCAAGGAGAGTTGATTTATTTAAAATTAGTAGAGAATCGGTTTAAATTGGTTGAATCGAAGATGCTATCTATTAATAAAGAATAATACCTCAAACCTGTATATATGTAATACATCTAAAAATCGAATGAATTGTTGATAATTTTGAATGGCGAAACCTTGAAGCTAAAAATGGAATTTGAGAGTGAATCTGTATTTGGTGAGGTTCTGAAGATCTACGATGTCTTTTTAACAGAACAGATAAAGAGCGTAGCATTTATCGAAGACCTCTTGTTTGTGGCATCGGGAGAATAGGGATTGCATGTTTATTTGGTGAGCAAGAGAGTGTTTGAGTAGATACAATGTACGATCGAATTCAGAAACATTACAGATTTAAGGGTTTTTTAGGAGAATTCAGTTTACTTTATTTTTGCACTTGATTACGAGACAGGCGTCAAGGTGATCACCTTCAATGCCAAGACCTCATTGTTCTATGAAAATAAAAAACTAACCAATATTCCATTTAGAGGAGAGATAATTGATTTATACTAAGACGTATTGATGGTGGTGGAGGAGTAGGAAAATGAATCGATAATTCACGAATTGCAAATTTCATATGCGAATAGCACTTGGAAATTGGTGCATGAGCATTAAGCATAGAAATACATTCAGGATATTGAAATGACAGAGAATTACGCTATAATTATAGGGAGAAATGGACATGAGATAATCTACCATTCCCTGCCTTCCTATGACATCAAAATTTAGGATAAGATCATTATCCCTGGATTATAGAAACTCTTCTTTCTTAATTAGACGGAGTCCAACAACATTCAGATGTTTGGAGTTACTAGGCATAAGTTCTTCACCACGAGATTATAATTGTTTCCTCAATTCATTAGTTGTTTCTATAGCAATGAAGAAGATGAGATCAGGTTTACCTATCATCAGAACTCAACCAAATGTCCTGGTTCATCTCAAAGTAGACTTTGCCATTTCAAATAAAACTACACAATACAATTCGTTCATCCTGTTCTTACTTCTGAATAATCAATTTATGTGTATATTACCTGTTTGGGTATTATAGCAATCTTTGTAATGGTCTTAGGCTTATTGATCAAAGAATTCAAAAGGTACTAATATTTTGTAAGACTTCACAATTCAAAAGATGTATACCATCAATAAAGCGGGAGTTAGGCACAACCTACTCACGACATCTATGCTTTAAACTCATTTGATAGTCCATTGAAGGTGAACAAGCATATTTACGTACCTTCCATTCCTGTATAAAATGACTAAAAGATTGAATGAAAATATAAAATTAAATAATTTTAATTGCATGCTAATCATTCTCCAACTCTTGGTTTATCAAATCTATTCTGAATCTATCTATTCTGAATCTATCTAGATTCTAACCAAGCAAGAAGCAATCTTAGATGTCTTCAGTTCATCCGAAGTAATCCTAGAACAACATTTGAATGATTAAAAATTATGCCAAATTGTCCCTTAGCAATTGGTGGCTCATGATATTGATGATAACTCAATAACCTTGATTGACAGCTACAAGGATGAAATATTTAGTTAGAACTTTGAGATTGGCTCCTTTATAGGGAGTATAGGAAGAATTATTAGATTTGTGCAAATCACCAATGGTGTACTGGTGTTATTGGATGATGCAGAATTGAAATACTTAAGTTATCGCAATAACTCGTTTCAAGTGAAATCCTCTTTCAAAATAGAAATTGAGAAATTTGCATTGGAAGGCAAGGTATTCTTGGAATATTTCTATTACCAATAATAAGTGCTATTGATAGCCAATACCTAAACAATTGCCTTGGATTTGATTTATGACGATGATGATCTGTACATAAAGTAATACAGAATTTATGAGCAATGGCAAATCTCACACATCAATAGCATTGCAACAGTGGGTAATATTATGATTGTAGCCATGGATACTGGGATAAAGATGTTTGAGTTGAAAGATCATATGTTAAATGAGATATTAATTGCAATTGACTAGATTAATCGTGTTTCTGATATCAAGATCTTCAATCAAAAGAATAATGAGATATACTACATTTATTTGCTAGATAAGATCTAAGGAATTAATCAATATATATTCAATACGGTTACATAAGAACTTTAACGTAATCTGAATTTGGGTATTATACCTTATCCAGGAGAAATCCTTGACATTCATGGCGATATCTTGATGGTTGTGAAGGACTACAATTTATTTGAAATCCATGTCGATTATTATTTGAGTCAATTCACACTTTTTAAATAGCATTAGTTAGAAACAGAAATAGTAGACATAGAATTGACTGAATAGTTTGCTATTGTAATTGGTAGGAATGGCCATCAAATAGTGTTTCACTCGATTCCACCCATTTATTCTTAATTTGAATGGATGAATCAATTAGTCATACCGAATTTGAAACAGCTGAGCATTTTGTCCTTTAATAAAGATACTTAACTCAAAGAGGCAATTTCTAAGAACATCATCATTGGAATCACATAACATAAATTCTTTTACTCGAAGGTGCAATTGGTAAGCATCTCATTAATTTCTAATAGGAACAATCTTTCATTTAATGTTACTCAGATGAAGCCACCTCCAAAATCGAATTGCATTATACGCATAAGGCTACGAGATGTAAAACCAATTTGAAAAAGAAGGAATGCAACTTAGATAAAAGTTATTAAATCTAATTTGTAGAACCTAAAGAGTTTGGAGGAAATAAGCAAACTTATTTTCTAATTGTATTGCTTTACTTGGCAATATTGTTACTATTTATTTTATTTATCGCTTCCCTAATTTATCTCTATAAGAAGTACCATGTTGAACCTCAGCCAAAATTCCACTAAAAAATACCTGAAACAACTGCTTAAAATTTGGGGACTGATCATCCTAACAATTATTAATTGGCAACATAGAACAAGTTTGTCCCTCACTCCAGAGATGATCAAACCCCAATTTCTGAATAGCGGGATCAGATGAACCAAAAACTTCATAACAATAGACCAGTTACACAAGAGAATTGTGATTAATCTCCTGGCCCTTTTGAAATCGGTTGAATAAAAATTATATTTGTTTCTATTTTAAGTATATTATTGTGCAATTCTAATTATATATATATAAATATTATATGTCAACCACGTTAAAAGCGTTAGGCGTAGAAGTCTTAAGTTTCACCAAATCTCGATAAGAAGAAGCAGTCCACACCCAGTCTTCCTTAAGAATTACTCCATTTCTTCGGATTGATTCCGAAACGTTCGATTGGAGTACGATCATTGCCAAGCCTGAACTCATCTCAATCAAAGGCAAAAAGCACGAATCATATGTAAATGCAGAAACTATGGAAGAAGACTTATTGTAAGGCGAAGCATAATGGCCAGTATAGTATTTCATAATTATTCAAATTAGTATGCAGAAAACTCCCTTTACTTGTTTTCCTCATTGAGTCCTTTTAGGCTGAGTCTGTTGCAGACACTGAGTTCTTAGAAATTAGTCAACTTTATGAGATTAATTACGATAATAAATGTGGCAGCGGTTTGTGCCTATGATTATCAATCCAGAATAGAATCGGAAGATTACGAAAGGAATAGGATTTGTACAACACTGGAGATAGTGTGCAACACATTGTTTGGCTTAGAATGCTTGGGTTAGATAATCGTTTAAGGATTTGTGTTTGGAAAGAATACTTATTTAAAGTCATGGTGGAATATTGCTAATTTTGCAACATTCATATCCACATGGGCAATTTTAGGTCATATCAACAGTAGCAATCAACTCGTCCACATCTTGAGAGTCATAAGAATCTTTAGAGCCCTCAGATTAATTCAAGATTCAAAAACACTAAAGAAATAGTTGGATGCCTTCATAGGTAGTTTTTAAAGACTAGGACCAATTCTAGTACCATTATTGTTTGTTGTTTTGTATTACAGCATTATTGGATTGCATTTATTTATGGGAGTCACTGAATATAGGTGTAGAGAAACACCAGAACCTGAGGATGGAAAATGGATAGCAGTGGAAGACATAAAGCATTTGTGTGGAATATGGGACTGTCCAGAAGATACATATTGTGGTTCATTGGCTGATCATGGGTTACCCAGAGACTTATAAGAAAACAGATATGAATAATTTGGATTTGGATTCATAAGATTTGATGATTTCTTTTACTCCTTATTTGTTGTCTTCACTTTCCTTACTATTATTGGATGGTCAGGAACAACCTTTATGTTTTGGAGAGCCATGACAACATACGTTACTGCATTTTATTTTGTTTCATTAATTTTCATTTTGTATTCCTAATCCATTTTATTTTAGAGCTTACTTGTTATCCAATCTACTTTTGGCATCATTTTACGAATCCTTTATGGTGTTAAGTTCAATTAAATAGAATAAGAATTCAGACAATGAGCAAGAAGCTCTAGAGAATGAGATCAAGAAGAAGAAGCAATAATAGATGATGACAAGACTTCAACAATTGAATGATTAGAAGAACAACTAGAAAAGGGTCAAAAAGAGAAAATACGAAGTCTCACTTTATTATGAGGAAGAAGAATAAGAAAATGATATATTGGGTGAGAAATTCAAGAAATTTCAACATTTCTCAAATCTCATTGTGAAATCCAACTTGTTTAATTATTTGAGTTGTTCGATGATTTTAATCTCTACGATTGTCATCATATCGGATCATCATTCGATTTCAGATGAAATGTATTTAGTTCGTATTAATTTAGTTACGAAAATTTGTTGATTGTAGATTTCATTTGTATAATTTATTTCATTGTGGAACTAATCATAACCATATGGGGTATAGGCATGGAATAATTTAAAGAAATAATCGATATTTTTGACACTCTTGTCATACTATCCTAATTTATTTTAATAGTGGTACTCTTTTTTTTGGATGAAAATGTCATTATCAATTATAATAATTACGTCAACTTTGTCAAGGCTTTGAAGATGCTGAGATTGGTATCATCATTTATTCTATAAATAGATGAAATTCCTGTATATTGCCAGAATCTTTTATTCCATTAGTGTTTTGGCACGTTGTCTAGTGCAAACCTTATTGAAAATTAAGGATTTGATTTTCCTTTTTGTTTTCTTGATCATCATTACTTCTCTATTTGGACAAGAGTTGTTAGCCTATAAAGTGAGATTCGAAGAATTACCCAATGGGGAATTAGAGATTTCACATTCAAATGAAGGAATATCTGCTCCCATCAACTATGAGGGATTTGGTAATGCTTTGATGGCTGCTACAAATGTGTTTTATAACGAGGAATGGCATATAACCATGTTTATTCATGCTTAAAAAATATGGGTCTCTATCTTGTATCACATCATCTCTATCTTGATGGGTTAAGTGTTATTTGTGAGACTGTTCCTAGCAGTGTTCTTAAATGAATTTTGCTAGCAGTTAAAAAAGATTGAATAAGAAATAAAACCAATCAATTTCCTATTACATGGTAAAAAGGTTTTAAATTTTCTCGTTCAATTCATTAAAAAAAGAAGACGATCCAAAATACATTCTTAGGCTCAATTATAATAACAGATCAATCCTTAGCCCAGATCATCAGCCAATCCAGCCAGAGTCTCAATGTTTCATAATTTAAATGGAATTAAATTATAAAGATTACCAGAAAGCACTCATAATGAATTGTTAGATCAAAAGGTTTAGACCCCTTCCAATATATTTTGTACACTTATTGGTTTATAATTAGCAAACAAGGAAAGTATGATAGATCCATTAAAGAAAGAAGATAAGCCTACTGAAAAAAACACAGATAAATAAAACCATCCTGAAGAAGATCATATCCAAGATCATAACATCGATGATCATTAGCATGAAGAGGATGTGGATCATGATTCTAGTTAGGAGGACCATCTAAAATCCCCAGATGAACCCTCTCATCCGGTTTAAGGTAAAAATATAAACAAAAGAACCCAATAAAAGTCTATAAGGAAGACCAATTCAGAAAGAACTCTATTCATATTTGCGCCTGAATCAGATTTTAGATAATTAGTCACTACTCTCGTAACGAATATCTACTTCAGAATATTCAATTTCACGTTGATTCTTTTGACTTGCATTAGAATCGCATTGTTAAGTCCACTGGAAGATCCAAACTCTGATCTATCTTATGTTCTACAAATAGGGTACATCTTTCTAACAGTGTTTTACATTTTGGTTATCCTGCTGAATTGCATAGCCTTTGGATTATACAAAACGGAGAAGTCCTTCTTTAGATAATCAGTGTACAATATTTTCTCATTTGCAATCACCATAGTTGATTTAATAACTTTGATCTTTGACATCTAACACCCATTAAGTAAATTCATTACTTCTCTGAGAATTCTCTAATTTATTCAGATCGGAGCTGTGTTCTCTTAGAATATAGCATATGCTTAGGCATCCTTGTTGAATGCATTCACTCAAATGATTTAATTAGCTATTTTCTGCATAATTATATTGTCGATCTACGGAATATTTGCCCTGAAAATATTGAAGGGAACAATGTATTATTGTGATGCTTATGATGCTGAGAATAAGGAACATATAAAAACATCGACGGATTGCTATGATTACGGGGGATCATGGATAAATCAGATATTGACATTTGACACTATATTTTCAAGCATCTTGACTCTGTTTTGTGTTGCAACATCTGAGAATTGGATACCCCTCTAAATTTAAGCTTGGAATGCTGTGGGGATTAATAGACAACCCATATCAAGCAACAATAGAACGTTTTCAGTTTATTTTTAGATATTTTTCTTTTTGGGTTTCCTGTGTTTATTAAATATGTTTATTGGGTTGATTGTTAATGCTTATTAAGAGGCTAAGATGAAGGCTTAGAACTTGCATTTATTGGATGAAACTCAGAGAGAATGGTTTTAGATTAAGATGTAAATTTATACCATGAAGCCATTGGTTAAGTCTTAGAAGCCGGAGAATGCATTGAGGAAACTTCTATTTTTTATGGTCAAGCAAAAATATTTTAAGATTTTTTGGTTGGTAATCATATTTAGTAATACACTTGTTTTGGCACTTCATTTTTAAAGGAGCAGATGAAAATTACAAAAATGCTTTGGATGTCATCAATGATATATTTGTGTCTATTTTTGCTTTTGAAATCTTGTGTAGATTCTTTGCTAAAGAAAAGCATTTATATTTCAAAGATATATCTAACATCGTCGATATCATAGCTATATGGTGGGCAATTGCAAATCTGTTCATTAAAAATAAGGATGATTACAACTTCTACTTTAAACGAATATCGAATGCAATATCTGTGGCATATCAACTACAGCGAAATTACCGTATAGTGAAAAGATTCAATAATTTAGAAAAGTTGTTTTCATCTATCTTCTCAGTGATTCCAAATGCCTTATCGATGCTGTTCATAATGTTCATATTTCTATTCATTTACACCACTTTGGGAATTGATATGTTCGCATTTATTCGCACATAGACAAGTTTGAATGGATGGGATTAGCATTTTCGTAAATTCTCAACTGCGATGTTTGCTTTGATTAAAGTAGCTAGTTCAGAGAGTTGGTGGACAATCATGATTGATACTCTGCATGAGTAATCTCCGAATTACGCTTGCAATTACATGTCAACATATGAAGATTTCTTAGTTTATGGTTTCAATGGCTGTGGAACCCCATACGCCTATCTATACTTTATCTCTTTCCACATAATCTTCTCATTGATGATTTTGAATCTCCTTATAGCCTCTGTGTTGGTAGCTTATGAGGAACACGTAAAGAGCGAAGAATCAGCAGTCAGTAAATATTAGTTAAATGATGTGCTCTCATTGTGGAGAAACTATGATCCCGAAGGCAAAGGGTTCATAAATTATAAAGACTTCTGGAAATTGTCATCAGAAATAGCCATTATATTTGGAGTGGCTCAAGATGACCTATTGGATGTGAACAATAAGAAAAACTTTTTGAAGGTGTTGAACATTCCCATTTATGAATCAAAGGAATCCAACATGTTATGTTACAAATTTCATGATGTGATCTTATCATTGACCAAGATTTCAGTCACTCTTAAGTATGGAGTCACAAAGTAATTATTAAGTGTATATCTATTATAGTCTCGAACCAACTGATAAGATAATACAATAGAAGTTGTTGGCTCAATTGGGGGATTTGCAACGCAAGGATCTTATGAATTAATTCACTCCGACCAGTTTTAACAGTGGTGACATGGTCGCCATTATCTATATCCAAAAGAAATTCAGACTCTGGAAAAAGAGAGTGTAGGTATTGAGAGAAGGAGGAGATGTTAAGGCTATTTATAATGAAATGTCAGATCTTAAGAATATGATTAAGAAGTAGCTGGAACTTGAAGAATAACAGGAAAAGTAAAACTGAATTCATTGATTTTATTTTTAATTGTTTGTTATAATAATTTAAATGGCTGAAGGACATCGATTAGAAATTACTTTAGAGATTTGAAATCATTCAAAAAATTAGGAAGGTTTCAGGAGGAGTCATTTGGAAGGCGATAGATAGGAAAACTAATAGTGTATTTGAATTCATTGAAATATTGTTAGTCGCTATTAAAAAGATCGATTATTCAGCTAATCCTTTACACCTTTTGAAATCAATGAGGGAAACAGTCATTCTACAGGAAATTTCAAAACATCCCCAACATTATGAAAGTGCTCCAAGTCATTAATAAAGGCAATGATCAATATACTATTTATGACTTTGTAGATATGGATTTGATATCCTTAATCAAAGTCAAGATACTCCAAACAGTATTAAATCATCACATTCTAATAGAAACACATACAAATAATATTATGCAATATTGTAACTGCTCTTTACTTTATTCATTCTGGAGGACTGGTTCATCTGAGTTTGACCCCTTCTAAAATATTGGTTGATTCTGAATGCCAGATCAAATTGATAGGGTTTGGATTCTCTCAATTACTTCCGATTAAGGATCCAAAATACACATGTTTGCATTATCTTCCACCAGAGATCCTATTGTAAGGGAAAGTCAACACATCAGCAGATATTTGGTCATTGGGCTGCATTTTTGGAGAGATGTTGTGTCATCACCCATTATTTGTAGGCAATTCCACTTTCAATTAAATCGAAAAGATAGTTGAGCTTATTGGAAAACCTAATGATACCAATCTGAGCGAATTAGCACCTTATGTTCTCCAAGGCATATAGCCGGATAGAAAGAAGGCATTCACAAGCATAAGTGACGATTCAACTGCCATTGATTTATTAAAGAGAATGCTTGTTTTTGAACCACAAGAAAGAATCACTCTAATTGATATTTTAAAGCATCCTTATCTTAGTGAATTCGCCAATAAATGGGAATTAAAGAAAGCCATTGCTCCCTTTTAAATCGAAGAGAATTCCTTCAAAGAATTTCAGAATGTCTTAAGAGAAAGAGGAAAGAAGGTCGAGTAGCCCTCTATTAATAATTCTTTCAATCAATAATTGGACACTAGTAGAAAGAAATCATTTAGAGAATCCACTCCCATTTCTGCGTTGAAATAGAAGACGTCAACCAAGATCAAAGTGAATTCGCCTATCCAAAGTCCTAAATATATAGAAGTTATATTAAATTGATGAGAAATAGAGATGAAACTAGTTATATTCATTCACATTAGTCTGCAATTTATATTGTACTTATATTATATAATATCAATCTGTATGTTAAGATCCCTTTGTGGCACCAACACCTGGCTTTCCATGTCTTGTTGGTTTATATGTCAATGAAAATTCACCCAAATATCTATACGTTTGCATCTCAATATTACCTGCCAATCATGTCAAACTTAATTTCGACATTGCTGAATTATCTACCATTATACACACCTACGATTGAGCCAACCATTTCTGGGACAACAATTGTATTTCTTTAATGAGTCTTTACTGGTTTTGGCTTCTCTCCTGGTAATGTCTCCTTCTTGGATTTACGAATCTACATATATTTATGGTATTCTCTACTTTCTTCATTAAGTTTTAGAAAGCGTGAACTTTCTCACCTTAATTAGAAATTCTTCTTCTTTGTCTTGCTCTGAATTATTCAACCAATTTATCCATGGGCAATTTAACGAGCTCTTCAAGTTATAATCCTCTGTAGGTGAACTTTTTAACACCCTTGAATTATTTATCTTATGTTTATTCAGCCATTATTTGAAAAATGAAAATTAAAGATTTTAATATAATCTAAAATAAATAATTATAAATAAAATGCTTGACCTTAAATAATCAAATCAACCCCTCATTTATTCATTACCTTAAACATCTCTTGACATCTCAAATCATGAACTCTCCCTATTACATGAATTCTTATCTATATTAAGTTTAAAAAAATGATACGAAAAAAAATGAATTCTCATTGTATCACTCTGCTAGTATATTATTAGAGATTTTATTTCAATAAGATGGATTAAGAAATTGGATTTCTGTTAATCAAATATGATTTCTTGATGTGTTCTTTGTGACTCAACAGGTTTCTCTTTAAAACTTAAAACTTAAAATGAAGGAAAATCTTACTCTCAATTTAGAATTCCTTCTTAAATCCTTTTTCATTTATAAAGAGCCATTAAAAATGATCGATTACAAATCTCATAACATGTAATAATTAGAAATTAAGCCATGCAATATATTTAAAATCTTTGCATTTATAATATTTTGAAATACTCTCAAACCATTTCATTTGGTTTCCTAAGTAACAAGTAGATTAAAATTAGCACAAATTACTGTATGACAAAATAATATTTCCAATTACTCTTTAAAGACTACTGGATATTATTCAATTAAGATAAGAAAATTACGAACAATGTTTCAGAATATTCTCTAAAATTATTAATTTTGAAAAAGAACAAATGTTGTAATATATATCAAATATAAAATTAGGTAAAAAAATTAAGAGAGATGACTCAGTATGCTTTGTAAAGATTAAATTATGAAGTTGATTTTTAATGTATCTATGAATTAGAAAAATGTTGGTTTTGATTAAATCAATAGAGAAATGAGATCTTAGTGATGACGATGATGTCATCATGAACATTAACATGATATATGATTTATTATTGATAATTAATTGATATTTCTTATGGAAAAAGCTATTCTAACATTGGGCCTTGCTTTACTGCTAGGTACTCTATACAATTTGAATTAATCTCCTTCTGTTGATTTGAAGCTGAAGTATAATGAATATAAATTGACTTACAATAAACAATACACTGCTGCAGAAGATTAATATAGATTTTAAGTTTATTTGAAAACCTTAGAAGAAGTCGCACTCAAGAATGCCAGATTGGGTAGATAAGTCTATGGTGAAACCTAATTTGCTGATATTACTGATGAAGAATTCAGAGAACAATATTTGACATTAAAATATTCCCCAGAAGAGTATGCAAATGTACCAAGAGAGTCATTCTCACATATTACAGCTGATCCAAAAGAAGTTGATTGGAGAAATCTTGGAGCAGTTACTCCAGTCAAGAATCAACTTAAGTGCGGATCATGTTGGACATTCAGCACAACCGGTGTTTTGGAAGGATTTTTCAAAGTTACAACAGGTGATTTGCCTTCATTATCTGAATAATAATTGATAGATTGTTCAACCACAGTTGACTTAAACTTCGGTTGTAATGGTGGTATGCCATAAAGAGCTTTGAATTTTGTTAAAAGAAATGGTTTAACAACAGGAGATAAATATCCATATGTATTTTATAATTTAAATCATTATAGTAAGGAGTATAAGGGGAACAATGTTTAGTGAAAGGAGGATTATACAAAGTCAATGGATCTAAAGTATTAGATATATCAGAGTGGGCATTGTATCAAGCATTGTAAGTTTAACCAGTGTCTATTGGTGTTGATGCAGGAACATGGAAGAATTATAAACCAGCTGAAAGAGAGGTCTTTAATTTTGATGAATGTGGAGACAATTTAAACCATGCAGTCTTGGCTGTTGGTTTTACTCCAACTGCTACAATAGTAAAGAATTCTTGGGCTAACACATGGGGTTCTTCAGGTTACATTTATCTTGAAAGAGGTAAAAATACTTGTGGACTTTGGAATACCATGGTTGTTCCAATTTGATTAATATTATATAATAATCATTGATGTCCAATTCATTATTGTATTCGAAATGTCTTTAGACTCTCTCTTTTGATTTTAATAATTATATAATGAATCAGATTAATCCAGATTAAATCTTATCATCAGAAGAGATCAAGGCAGCGAAGGATGCCTTTGAAGCATATGATAAAATGGGCTATGGAACGTTGGAAGTTGAAGAATTGCAAAAAATACTTGAAGAATTTGGACATAAGCCAAGTAAAGAGGAGTTATAATAAATGATTATTTAAGTTGATGTGAAGAATAAAGGATTTATTGGTAAAAGTGTTAAGTATGATTGAGACTTTGAGGATTTCAAGAGAGCAATAGCAATTTACAAAATCATAGAAGAGGATAACGAAGAAGATGACACATGTAAGTTAACAATTATATTTGATAAGTGGATGCTTTTGTGGCTATGGGAGGGAATGCTGATAAAAGTGGAACTGTGGATGCAACAAAGTTGATACAAGTAAGGATTATTATTATTTAGATTATTAAATCTGATTTCAAGATGACAATTGATATTGAAGTAAAGATGCATAAATATGTACTTAGAGATTGATTAATGAAATGGATCGTGACAAATCAGGTTAGATATCATATTAAGAATTTAAAAACTTACTCTCTGATTGAAAGATGAAGAATATTATAAATATATATACAAAATGCTTGAGATTTGACTCATATATTTTCTTGATAATTGTATTTAAGAAATAATTATTTGTTTGTTAATTTAACGATGTCGAAGTGGTTAGACTTGGGTTTGACTTGTACACAAATTAGTTTCAAGACACAACAATCTGTTTCATGTATTGTAACATTCATCAATCCAAGATAGTCCAATGAATTGTGTCTTCGAACTTGATGGGCGCAAATTGTATTTAGGAAATATCAATGCTGCAAATGACTCCTCTTATCTAAGAAAACATGATGTCGGTGCTGTGTTGTCTGTCATAGACACCAGTGATATCAAATTGGAAAAGTCAGTTATTCATCTAGTAATTAAATTCATTATCATTTTAGTGGATTGCAGCCGAAGATTGTGAAAAAGTTCAACTAATAAGATATTTTGATTAGGCCTCTAATTTTATACAGGATAATCTTAGACATACAAATGTGTTAGTTCATTGTTATGCTGGCATATCAAGATCTAGTTCATTGATTATTGCCTACCTGCTCAAATGCTAAGGTTATTCATTAAAAGAAGCATTAACCAAATTGAAATGTTAGAGACCTTAAGTTGATCCAAACGATGGGTTTTTGGAACAATTAAAATAATATGAAGAAAAACTGAAACAAAGCAAAACTCGTCCCAATTCTAGTCTCAATAAAAGTGATAGCAAATATTTAAGCTTGAGCTCAAGTGTTGAAAAATAATCTTCACTCCCAAAAACTAGATAGAGCATTTCAAACTTCAATATTTATAGTAATCTTAATTCTTAAGTGACTAAAACTAATATTAGAAATCTTTAATTAACTACAACTGCGATTCCCAAAGCAAAATCAAGCTTTTTAGAAAAAAGTTGTAGTCCTTCTAATATCAACACATAAAATAACTCAGGAAAGACATTCTTTTCGAATTCGAAGCTTGAAGATCCTTGGAAACAATACTAAAAAATAAAAAATTAAGAAACTACATGGAATAAATCAATTTTAGGAATGAAAAATATTTATAGCAATCACAGTAGATAACATTCTTTGAACCATTGAAATTGATTATTTTATAAATAAGAGTTTACTAAATATAAATTATAATTATTATCTGCTTAAAGCTGAAATTATAATGGTTAGAATAATGTTAAATATGTCTTCTAAGAATTTATTTCTTAATAGTCAATTGTTAATTTATTGAATGATGACTGGCCTTTATTAGACAAACTGAATTATTTTATAAAATTTAAAATCAAATAACAATTAATTAAACAAAAGTTTTTAATTGATTTCAATACAAGTGCTTGTAATTTGGCTACATTGATTTATTTTAAACTCGGCTACCATTTTTGATATGTTATTTCAAATTTTTTTAAAATCATATTTATTCTAAATCTTTTATTTCTTTTAATTAAATTATATAAAGAAGGAAATTATTAATTATTTAATTTCAATCACAAAAAATTGATCTACATTTACTTATGTCAAACCTCTCATGAAACCAATTTATTGCTTACTCAATTTCTTGTTTGCTTATCCATTTATCCTCATTATAAATAATATTATTTTTTTAATTGGCGAATTAAGTTAATATTTAAATTTTTAAATTTTCCTCATTTAATTAACACCATTTTATATATATTCTTTAATTTTGACGGATTTAACATATTAAATAATCAGAATTCAGATTCTCGTTCTAAAAATATTTCTATTTTCATTATATTTGCTTCTATTTTGTGAGAGGAATTGCATTTCAGCTATTCAAACCGAGCATCCAAATTATTTAGTCATCTTCTTATTGTTAATAGACATTGTGATTAAATTTTAGCGGCTCAAATAGTTACATAAAAATAGGTTTGATACTGTTTAATCGGATCAGAGACAGATAATTATATGAAATAATGTGAACATTTGTAATGGACATTCATAATATATTTGTTTTTTGAATATATAATAATCTAAGGGTTTGTTGATGTAGTATATTATTGAATTAAATCTAATACTATTCTCAATGAAAATTATCATTATCATCTCTTTTTAAATTACCATAATCAGTCATGATGTTGAAATTTATGATCAAGAAAATACTTCCATTGTAGTAATTCATCTGTTATTTCTTAAATACTTCCTTTTCTTAACTTTCTTTTATCGTTAGCTTTGTTTAAGTGTGGTGTTTATCTAGACTACTTAATTTTGGGTAACATAAGTGGACTGTGCTCTTCCTCGACTGGACTATTGTCACCACTCATAATAAATTAGTTTATGGCTTTAAATGGAAACACTTGCATGTTAAAATAATATTCCAAAAGTAAATAAAGCAATTAAAATGAATACTATAAATTATGTTATCCATTTGAATAAAAATATGAGAATTGATCAAAATTATAAAAATGATTTTAAAATTCCCAAATACAATATTTTAATGTATTAATATATAAATTCATTCGGAACATTATAAAATAAATTTTTTTGCAAATCTATTCGTTATTTGTAATTGCGATAACTATTCAATTTATTCCCTTGTCTATCAAGGAGATCCTGATAGACAACAATAATTAAAACGTTTTATTGTGAATTACTCTTCTCACTTAGATTCTTGGATTGCCGCTTATTTCAATTTGTAATAAAATTAAATTTGGATAGGATATATTGGTATAAACAGTAAATATGTTTTACCTTATTGTAAGCGATTTATAAAATAATAAACAATACCAGAAAATACAATATCAAATAATAATACACTTATAATTATTATTGAGTTGACGAAAATTAAAATAAATGGAACTTGAATGTCACAGAATTGCTGCTTTTCCTCTAGTACTCCTACTATTACTGACAAGAGCTTAACTTTACAAATATAGATTAATAATATTCACAATAGTCAACATTCATCATTGCAAGAATATATATGTATAGTTGAATTCTGATTATAATAATTTTACTAATTTTTTAAATTAATTGCTAATATTATTATTATGTTTTCTTTCATCAGACAGGTGGCTTTATCCCTGAAACAGACTATCTCACAGTTGAACCCGATGTTTTCACAACTGATTTGGTGACTGTTGTTGATGAAGTCACAATCTAAATTAAAAAAAGATTGTAATACCTTCTGTTTCTTCAATGCCTCTAATTCTATTTCTGCATTCATTAATTTCTCTTGAGTTTCATTGTAATCATGATTTATTTCTTAAAACTTTCTCTTCCATACTTCTGCTTCATTGTTGACTTCAGTAATTCTTTATGTCACTGTTTCGCTTTGAGTTTGCTGAATCAATAATCTCAACCTTTCATTTTCATCTTCCAATTCATGAACCTACACCTATAAGAATTGCTAATACTCTTGTATTGTCCATTTACTTAACAACTTCTACAGTCTTTTTCTTTTCCAATTCGGCAATCAATTTTTATAAATACAACACTTCATCTCTCCATGGAGCCTCAATTTCTTCTCTGGACACAACTCCCAATCTCACTACTGCCTATTATTAGGGTGGACAGCAAGATTAAGCATTTGATCCGCACTATATGTTCGATCCACAACCTCCAAGTTATATTGATTGTCCAGGATTGAATGCTGTTTACATTTGATAATGTGTAGATAGCACTTTGCTTTAGTACGAATTTTGTTTGCCTTTTTTATGCCAAAATTAATAAGCATCAGGTCTCTCTGATTTCAAGTAGGTTGTGGTCTAGGTCTAATTATAGAAATTTACATATTGAGTCTAAGGAAGAGTAACTTACTTTCTTTCCTAAACAGTGGATTCTTAACGAAATGTTGTAAAATTACTCATATCTTTAATATATAAATTCTATAATTAAATATGAATAAAGCAGAATCAGATTGAATATTCTCTTTAGAGGAGGTAAAATTTATTGCATTAAGTCTGTATAATGATTAGAATTACTGTAACCAATGGATGTTTATAAACGTAAAATTAAAAGCAAAATACAAATGTGTCTTATTTGCAAACAATAACTAGACTATAATTCTAAAGAAAATATTAGTTTTCAATGGGCGGAATAACAATTAAATAACAATACTTAAATAGTTTATTCATTATCAAGTTAATTATATCGCTTCTTGTTAAGAAATAAAGGATATCTATTAATTTTAAACGACGCCTAAATTTCAATATATTATTTCTTTCTTGCTGAATGATATGTATTTACATAATACTAATAATATAGTTACGAAGAGTGAGAATGCACTTTATATTAAAAATTTTTTAAAATTAAGTACAAATTTAAGAATAAATAAATGAACATGATGATTATATTTTGCTGGATTCTTAAAGTAATATTACAATGATAAATCAAGAGATAAATAGGAATCACTATGATATGTTAATTTTAGCAATTTTACACTAGATCACTAGGTGAAAATTAAACCTTAGATATATTTAAAATAAAGATTATAATCTATCAACAATTAATAGTTTACTGACATAATTCCTCTAGAGCACAAAACTTAAAAAGGGAATAATAGCAAATGAATAAAAAGGATTTTAATGAATTTTACGAATTGTATTTTATTATAAAAACAATAAATTATTCTATTGGATGCTAAACAAAAAGTAGTAATTAGATTGAGCATAAGATTAATAAAACAACGATATGAAAGAAGTGATGAGAATAAAGAAGAAAGTCAGATAATAGGATAAATATCTGTTGTGTTATGTTGATGTAAAAAACTGTGTTGTGACTGATAATTTAATATCATTATGATAACTCATTTTGCTAAATTGGTTTTTAATACTTCTGCTACTTTCTAGATGAATTCTAAAGTATTCAAGTATTAATCTCTTGGGACACTAAAAGATAGAAATATTGATGTACTTCATTGTATTATGAACACAAATGGCCAAATCCTTAGTCATGAATCCTTTTTCGACTGCTTCAATTATACTTGCTTCAAGTGTATTGCAAAATCTTTCTAATTCTTTATTGTTATCTAATTTGGCTCTATGTAATAACCCTCTTGTCCAAGCATAGATACTGGCAATCGAATTAGTTGAAGTTTCCTTGCCTTATTAATGTAATCTATAATGTCTAGTAACAGTTCCATGTGCAGCTTCAGCTTCAACACATCCATCTGGACTAACTAATACACTTGTCATCAAACCAAGTGATCCAAAACCTTATGCCAATGTATCAGATTGAACATCTCCATCATAATTCTTGCAGGCCCAAACAAATCCACCTTCACTCTTGATCATATATGCAACCATGTCATCAATCAATCTATGTTCATACCAAATCTTCTTAGCATCGAAATCAGCCTTATACTTAGTATCATATAAGTGTTAGAAGATGTCTTTGAATCTTCCATCATAAACTTTAAGAATAGTATTCTTGGTTGATAAATAAAGGGGATATCCTAGTTCAATTGCATGTTAGAAGCAAGCATGAGCAAATGCTGTTATTGATTCATCAGTATTATACATGGCCATAGCAACACCTCCTGTGCCTTAGAAATCGAACACTTCAACTCTTTATGGTTCACTTCCATCTTTTGGTGTGAATAACACTTCAAATTTTCCTTCCTTTTAGAAACGGAGATCTGTAGCCTTATATTAGTCACCAAATGCATGACGACCAATAATTATTGGCTTAGTCCATCCTGGGACAAGTCTAGGAATATTCTTAATCAAAATAGGTTCTCTGAACACTGTTCCATTGAGGATGTTTCTAATAGTACCATTTGGAGACTTCCACATATATTTAAGGTTGAATTCCTTCACTCTTGCCTCGTCTGGAGTACTAAGAGAATTAATATAAATCCATACATTGTAGCGCACTTGATGCCTACTTTGCACTCTTGAATTGCCTTTGCACATTCAACAGTGACCTTGTCATCAGTCTGGTCTCTATTCTCCATTCCCAAATCGTAATATTTGATTGGAATATCCAAAAAAGGAGTGATGAGATATTCTTTAATCCAAGCCCAAATAACCTTTCATATATATTTAAATTACTCTAGTCATTTCGTCTCCATCCATCTCTACAACTGGGTTATCAACCTTGATTTTTGCGTCCATTACTAATAATTTTAATATTATGATGCGAAATTTGATGAGACTTTATGAATGACGATTATAAAATTGTTTAATAAGATATTTTCGATTAATTAAATATAAATGAATTATATATTAAATTTCAATTACATTCTAATCAAATAGATTAACTTAATCCTAAAACTCTTCATTTCAATACTAAAATGACCATCTATATCCTCTCATTGAATTTTTCAAAGTCTATTATAATTTATATTTGATAAAATAACATAGATCATAATATACGTATTTTCAAAAAGAATAAATAAATAAATTTCCATCTATTAAATAAAGCATTGATACTATTTTAAAATAATTAAATTGAATAAATCATATTAGATTGACAATAAATTAGTGTAATTGTCTATTTTAATAGAATAATTAAAAATCTTTTCAGGAAATTAAATCTTAAGAATTAATTAAGAGTTTAACAGGAGAAATACTGTGTTTATATAACTTAGTATTACTTTTTAGAATTAATTTCATAATTTAACGAATTATAAAATTAAGTTAATGTTAAATTCAAAATTTACTGTGAAAAGAGAACCATTAAAGGAAAGGTTTCTTTAAATAACAAACAAATTAAATAATCTTGATATTAAACAGGGGACAAGTAAAGCTCATCGAATTGATAAGCTAAATGAGAGAAGCTACAAAATAGATGAAAGAATCAGAGCAATCAAAGAAAATTACAATAAATAAGTTTTATAGTTAAAAGAACAAGCCTAAGAGCTCTCTGATTAAATTGATTAGGAAAGACAAGAATTCAAATAATAGCATAATTAGTATTCTCAAAAATTATCTAATTTGGAGAAGTCCTCATATAAACAATTATAAATTGAATAAAGTGAAAGGGTAGATGGAATTAATTAATTGTAATCTTACATAAATGAAAAGGTAGTGTATTTTAGAATATTTAGATTACATTCATTAAATCAGATTTAACAATTGAATCAAAGTTAAGAGAAGAACAAATTGATGAACTCTAAAGAGGATTGGAAAATCAATTACCTAAGATTAATTAATAAATCAAAAGTGAAACAGAAGATAGAGAAATATTTGATAAGCAGATTTTGAAAAAAAGTAGTGTTGAAATGAATAAATTGTCTAATTAGTTAACTGATATTTCAAGATAGACCTTAGAATAAGAAAATGAAATAATTGGAATGTTATAAGACTTAATTATAAGAACTAAAGGAGATTTAAAATAATTGTCTGAAGAAAGACAGGAGAAAGAAGAAGAAATAGTTAATTTAATTGAAAAAACTTGTGATAGAATGGTTTAAGCATCATTAATTTGATTATTAATTTTAATTTTTAAGAATTTTAGTAAATACCATTTGTCAATTTTTTTAATAAACTTTATTTTGATTATTAATTTCCTACTTACTTGATAAAGTTATTAATTATGTTATTATTTAAAGTGATTTGTAAAAATAATGTAATATGAATATTTTAAACATCTAAAAATCAAATAGACAAACCTATTGATTTTTAGTTTATTGATAATTAATTGAAATTCTTAATATCTATTTCATTTATCATGGCAAGTTGTTTTATTTGATAATTTAATATTAGAGATTTAAAAGGATTTCATTTTCATTAAGTAGAGAATACTCAGAGATTTTTTCATAAATTATATATTAGATTTGAAAAAATTCCAGAAATCGTTGAATAATATATTTGTTCAAAATGGAAATTAATTTTCTTCAAGTAAATGAAATAAATTATCATCTTCATTATATCCAATTTTAACTATTAAATCATGGAAGATCTTTTTCAAAACTTATATTTAATATTAATCAACTACAATTTCTGAGTTATGACCATGCTTAACCAAATGAAGAATAATATACAATGCGTACAATCCACTATAATCATAATTTAAACTCTAACCAAAACTATTAGCATCATTCACAACTCCAAATTAATAACTAAACCTACCCAATTCTTCTCTGGGTTTCTTCAATTTGATTTCGAATTCATATTACAAAAACGAAATCACATTTTTCATATATGGATTCTTCTCTGGATTTATATATTGAGGATCCTTAATCCTTAAAGACAGTGATGATAGTAAATAGCAATAGCATGTTTTTCGTTTGAGATTGACAAAAACTATTGAATATTCAGTAGGATATTCAACGATAGGTACCACTAACCAATCGAAAATATCAAAAATTGTTTCATCTTACCCTGTGTATTCAAATGTAAATTGATTAGCCTCGAAATAATTAATTCTAAAAGTGGAATGGATTAAATTGAAACATAATGTTTAATAAAATTAAGTTGGAAACAATTTAACATTAGTGCTATAATGATGAAATACATTATTGTTTTTTCGTTGATGATAGGATTTTTCTTCAAAAAACTTTAGTAAAAAATTAAAGATCAAATTGTTTACTCTACCATCCCTATAAAATTGTTACATCATAGGCACTTCTAATTTCATTCCATATCTTTTGGCAGCTATATTGCTTTTTATAAAGAATTCAGAAGTTTGCCTTCTGATTGTTGGCAAATTGATTGATTGGTTTTTTAAAGTGCTTTCTTCTTTTAATTTTGGAAATTCATAATCAACATTTGGAGTACTTACATCCATTTATTCCATTTGTTTTTATACGTAATCCTATCTTCTTAAAAGGGTATCTTAAAGAGATTCTTCATTTTCTTCTCCTTAAATCATGTCATTAATCATTCTTAAAATTGATTGATCGTCATGTAATATTGTGCTATAATTTTATAAGTTAGAGCTGTAAACAACACTTTAAGTATTAGTGCTCTTACTTTATACAGTATCTAAAACTTCATCAATTGTCATCTTTTTGCGTTATTCTAAATATTTCTTTATTTTCCCATTGAGTCTAAATACTTCTTGTAACTTCTAAATTTCTAAATCTTTATCCACATCGTCATTAATTAATTCATGATAATATTCATTCAGTTCTTCTTAGATCTTGGCTAATCTATCCTAATTGTCCATATATTGCTATGGATTATCTATTGATTTTTTCTTTTTATTGAATAAATCTGAAAATTCATCTTCATCATATTCTTCACTTCTCTAAGTTTCAATAATTGGTTCTTATTTATGAAGAGCAGAACTATTTTTTATTGTACCTACTTTGGTTCCAGATTATAAGACAGTTTTTTTTCCAGTGAAAGTCCTGGAAGTTGGTTTCGCCAATTAAATTGAAGTCTCACTTGTTTAGGATTTAGGTGACTAATCAGATTAAGGTTTGCTTTTACTAAATAAAGAAGATTTTTTTGAAATTGGTTCTTACTGTTCAGACTTTTAATCAGAAGCAACAGATTTCTATGGAGAATTCATAGGTGACTATTACTAAGCTATTTATGACCTATTTCTAAATGAACTAACAAATGTCTTTTTTTATTAAGGAGTTTATTCTTCTATATTTTTATTAGATTTCTATTGTGGTGTATCGTTATTAGTATTAGTGTTATTTCTAAATCTACCAAATCTATTAGCCCCACCTTAAGATGGCGTATTTTAAACTTCATTTTATTGAGATTGTGCTTATGGAGTTTATGCTATTTAAGGAATAGTTATTTTCCTTTTTGAGGCTATTTATATTGATTTTTAACTTGAAACAACAGTTTATTACATCTTAATTAAAGCCCAAACCAGCTTTTATCTCAGTTATCTTTTCTCTGAAAAACCAAATTTTATTTTATCAGGTAGAATCGCTTAAGTATATTACCAAAGCCAATTTATAACATACTCAGTTCCATCTGTACTATCTGTATAACTTTAGAGTATATAATTTGGCGTTGGGTTACTGTATGTTACTAAAGATGATATCACTTTATCAAAGGAATTTTTCAATTCATCTTTAGTAACATTTTTATTTTGAAGATCTATGATGTCCAAAGTCTTTTAAATCATGTGATAGATGGCAAACACCCATCTTGTATTTTTGATATACTACAAAATAATCAATCTTTGATTTTCAGCACCTTATCTTCTCCTTGGTTTAAAGATTACTTCGAATTCTTCGCAGATTTCATCTCCATTTGCTACTACAAAAAAAGGAATTAGAGGTGTTTTACTCTGTAAGTCAAAATAATATAGATATGATAACCAAAAAGCTATCATATGAGGCTTTGATTTTCCAGACTTTTATAATAATTCAAAATCAGCCTATTAAACTTCAATACCTGTCCAATATCCGGTTAGAAATGGCTCTAGATTAGTATTCTAATATTATTTAATTTCATTTTCATTCCATTAAACTAATGCTGGCAATAAAGGGTAATCAACATGTTATGATTTTTCACCTCTAAAAAATAACCATAGCAATTGACTTTTCAATTTTACCTTATCATTTGGCTACAATTTAACAAATGATTGCCCTTTAACTATTGTTTAATACAGATAATTTATGATGTACATCCCTCCATCTGTTGTTTTATCTTCCTAATATACATAATTCACTGTCTTGAATGACACCTTAGCCAACCCTGTTTTTTTTAATAACTGCTCATATGCTTTTTTTAAGTCATCCTTCGTCTTATTTTTCTAGAGATCCACGATATCTAAAATAGTTGTTTTTAAATTATAAATTCCAGTCACCCATCTGTCATTCCAATAGAATATAAGAATGTAGTTAATAGGATCTCCCTTTTACTGATTTTTTCTTAATAAAGGATTCAATTATTCTACAAGATCTAACATTTGTCTTTAATAGGCTAAGTAATACTAATGGACTGTTTTAGAACGCTTTTAAAGGTAATTGATAAAGTAGATCATGCTTTTAAAATTCATTTTTCCATCATTGGTCAATTTTAACACATCATCATAAGTAATGTGCACACCCAATACTAAATCATCAATGTACATAATTTCGTCTGGTGCTGTTGTCAATTATTAGGCTGATTCTGAAAAATTTTCATATAAATCATTGAATTCCTCATCTTCAAATTCACTTAAAGAAATATTCATTTAAAATTATAAAAATCATAATGGAATTCCCACTCTTAACCAAAATTCACATAATACAATGCAAAGATCTCCAAAAATGACACCAATACAAGTCTTAGGAGTTTAAAATAAATAAGATGGTTATCAAGTTCTAAACTCAAATACCTATTAAAATAACACAAAAAATATATATAGATCAGTCTTAAATACTTTATTCATTCTAATTCATAATGAGCTGAGTAAATATTCATCATTGTGATAAATAAGAGAAATTTTCAATTTTTACTATTACAATTATAATTTAAATAATTATGGGTTTTGAGGACAATCTAAAAATTCAAAGCTTGCTCGAATTTCTCATAACTCCATTTATTGCTCTCAAAGATAAGTACATTTTAGTAAGTTATGTTTTGATGGTTTGGTTCTTTATGGCAATTTGAAACACTAAATTTTATTGATGGTCAATAAGCACACTAATATATTATCGTTATGAATTTTATGAGATATTAAAATGATAAATTTGAGTAATGGAAAAATTATGATTGTAAGAATAATTACATATTATATCACTGAAATTAATTGGTTTATTAATATTTATGGGTTTGTTTAATAATTGCATGTATAAATGTGAGTATTTTTAGATTTTGTTTATTTAATAAAAATATTGTAATGATATCTGAGTTTGATTTTAACTATTATCCACTCCAATTATACGATTTACAGATACCATTGACATCATAATTGCAATTCGAAAATTTCAATGAAAATGATGTTTCGGCAAGAAAGTTAAGAGTTAGCTCTCAATGTTTAATTTTAAAAAAGTATGAGATATTGTTATAAACTTCTAGAAAAATAAGACGTAAGCAAAAAAGACCTTCACTCTTAAAAATTGATGAAACCGCTAGAAATGTGAAAATCTACAATTTGGGTCCTAGCCAAACAAACTTAGAGTGTACAAATGATGAGTAAAAATAAATTAACGACTGAGAACCATTACTAAAATTAGAACATCCTTGATCTTGATTAATTTATATATTATGTTATACTTCATAGATTGAGATCATTTATATAAGATTTGATAATAAAATAATACTAAAATGAACTTAATATATAAATATTATTACAAAAAAATGAATTAATAAAACATTATCGAATTCTTTCCACACTTACATGAACACTTTTAATCCATCCTTTTCAATTTGTACAGAAATGAAACCTTACAAAAGTATCATAGCATCGTTCAACAAATAAAAACTAAGTTTCCATTACCAGAATAAATGCCTTAATTTATCTATCCAAATGTTGAATAACTCACGGAGTTCTTTCTTCAAAACTATTAACCAATCATTTTGGATTTAGCTTCTCTCTATTAGAAGCCGAATGTGAAAATAAAGTTATTTAAGAATGCTGTGTATTTTGGAGAGATATATCAAGAAATGAGATAAGGACAAGGTGTTCTTATTAAAGAGAACAATCAAATTTATGAAGGGTATTTTGCAAATGATAAAAAAGATGGAATTGGCTTTGAAATATTAAAAGGAGATACATTTTATCATGGGCATTACGTTTAGGGATTTCCTCATGGGGAAGGTGTATATAAATCTCTATCTCATTCATATATTGGTTAATGGCAACATGGAAAGAAGGTAACTAATATCAAAATATAATAAGAGTGGAACTGGGTGGTGTGTTGGAAATAAGAATGATTATTTTTTAGGGACTTGGGAGAATGGAAAGTTTTATGGATTCGGTTTACACATTCATGATTCAATGTACGAATTATATATCATTTTAAATAGATATTTTGGTGAAGTCATCAATGATTTAAAATATGGCTATGGAGAAGAATACTTTCCTGAAGGTGACATCTACAAGGGATAGTATAAGAATGGACTACCAAATGGTAAGGGTAAATATCTTTGGAAGAATGGAAATTCATATTCTGGAGAATTTCAAAATGGTTTGAGATGGGGAGAAGGATTTTGGGAGTAAAAAACCGAAAAAGGCATTCAATTCTATAAAGGCCAATATGTAAATGACAAGAAAAATGGTCACGGCCATTTTCATTATTCTAATGGTACTGAGTATATAGGTGAATTTAATGATGATCAAAGACAAGGATTTGGAGAAATCATTTGGCCAGAAAAGGCTACTTATAAAGGTTATTGGAAACAAGGTTTAATGGAAGGAGAAGGAATTTATTCTCATGAAAACAATAAGCTACAAGGCATTTGGAAATAAAATTAACTAATTTCTTAAGAGAAAGTTCGAGTCTCTCTAAATCAATTCCCTTTGGTAAATCAATTGAAAGACATTGTAGAAGATGAAGAAATACAATCCCAGATTGCTGAGGAACCTGATCATGAAAAAATTGGTGATATTTTCAAGAAGATCACTCTTTAAAGCAAGACAAGTTTATGCATTTCTGACACCTCAAAATTACCTTAACTTGCATCGATTTAAAAATAATAAGATATAATTATTTGTGGTCAGCCCAGTTCATATCCCACTTAAAGAACTAACTAAACTTCCTCGATTGGTATTTAGACTGAAAGTAATTAAACAAAAAAAAAATTACTCACTGAGTTGCCTTATATATCTACAAAAAGAAAGCATGCTTTATCAAGCTATAGAATTGATAGTAAAACTAAGATTACTAAAAAGAATTTGAGTGAATCAGTTACAAATACTAATTCCCCTAATACAAGAGAAAGCGAGTTTAAAAATAATGTCATTCATTAATCATAAGAAAAGAAATCACGTAAAGTCAAATAAAGGTTATCTTTACTATCAAAAGTTGAAGAAAAAGTATTAAAAATAAGACTTGAGAAATAAAAGTTGAGTCCCTATAAGTTTGAAAAATTATGGAGTAAAAAAGTACACTAATGATCCCTTATTATTTTAGGTTGTTAATTAAGCTAGATCTTTGATATATCCACCTGTATGGGTCCCTCCTTCTTTACATCCATAAATCTGTAGAAAGATTTGAAAACAAAAATTGATTGTTTTTTGTAAATAATTTTCCTAATATAATTTAAAACAATAATAATTAATTCATTAATTTGGATCATTGGTGTTGAGTTGACGATGATCTGAATTATTAATCTAATTATAATCTCATATTATTTACTGTTGCTATGCAATAATTGATTATTATATTATTGCATTTAAATATTGTCACCATTCCCGTTATAAATTGGAATGGATGCATGATCTTTAAGTAACAAACTTTCATTATGATGATTTTTAGGCCACAATATTCCATCACCTACTGGTCTTCCTCCTTCCATTTATATTGGCAGGAACCATGACAATTTACTCATTCCAAATACTTGTACCCAATTATAATATGGCTTTAAATCATATTAATTAAAATCATCATTTTGCTATCCTGTCTCTTCATTTCTTTTCTTTTCTAAGTTTTCTATTGTGGTTCTATTACTTAATACCAATTCTAAATGAAATTTAAAAAACATAGTTATTAAACATGATGCTAAACAACTAATTCCAAAGGCACATAATAATAAAAGCCCATCAATAAAATGCAGATCTCCTTCTGACTTTACGAAAAGCATTATATTTTCAAATTCCACATATATTCCATACCCTAAACCAATTACAGCGCAATAAGAATCAAGGATAACATAAAATAACATTTGCATAAAAAATTTTCTGTTTTAAAATCCGACACAATTATTTATCCAAGGACAATGGTGATCCATATTTAACACACATCGATTGCATGCTGAACAATGCTAATTATTTTTTATCAAACTAAAATACATGGCATCTTTCAGGTTTGAAAATATGACAAACTAAACAAAATTTTCTTTTTTTTTATTCAGGGTCATTCAAGGAAAAATCCCCAATGTTAGGGAACTCTGCCTGGGTCTGTAAACATAGTTTTAAATAAGCTCCACCCCAATAAAGCTGTTAGTATTGTAAATAGAAGCAAGTAAGGAATTCTATAATTCGAACCTATTTTGAAAAATTAAATTGTTATTTACTTCCAATCAAATCTATCCAAACTACTTTTACATTAACTATGTAGACGAACACTATTGAAAAACAAATGAAGTAAATGAAAAATTTATTAAGGTACTTCTTAATCATTCTTTGATATAAATAATAATATGAAATTCAAATAATATAAATCTCTTATTAGAATTCTTTATATGTATTTTCTCTCTTCCTTTTGCTTTGAATTCAAAGATCTCCCTTATTTCTTTAATACTTTTTCCTCAAATTGTTTATATATATTTTGTCATATTCATACAAAATATATATAATATTAAAATTTTTATAGATGAATTATAAAGTTGAATCAGCTGATGAATATTTAAGAAGAAATAGAATAATGGAATTATTTGAAGATCTTTGCACTAAAGCCAGCTACATTCAACCTGAGAATTTAGAGGAATTTTTTATTGAAGATTTGAGGATTAAATAAAAATAGGGGTATCAATAAAAGTATAACGATTGGGTAGATTCATCACTCCAATATTTACAAAGGCTGAAATTTAAAATATTTTTGAATTATTTGACTTAAAACGTGATGGATATATCACATAAGAGAATTGCAGAAAGGCATTATTGACAATTGCATCATCCCAAAAATAATAAGAAATTATTGAAGCAACTCAAGTAAGAAATAAACTGATTTTTTATAGGTGATAGATGAAAAAGTAGATATCAATAGATTTTAAAGATTAGTTGAATAATTTTTAGGATGAATACTTGAATAAATATTTAATTATGATAATATAAATCGATAATATAGACACTTATTTTAATATTAATATCATCGTGTATACTCATCTATAAGTTATTGATAATGGTTTGAATAGCTTGCAATCTGTATTTTAAAAAGTATAATACAAATTTACAACTAAATGTTATCAATTATTTTAATTTTCTAAATTGTATGATTAAAAATTTGGATTAAATTTTAGAGGAAGAAATTACTAAAGTTTAAGAATGTTGAAAAAGAAAGATAAATGTAATAGTCTTGAAGAAATATTAAATTTAAATCTAATAGATATAAAACTATGGCTTTCCTTTGAAATCAATAGGTTTGTTATAATGAAGTAAAAAATAATGTACCATTGATGATTAGTATCAACTAAATTTTTTTCATTACTCTAAACGTCAAAAATTATCAAGAAATTAGTTAAGAACTATGAGCCATATTGATCAATTATAATATTTTAAGGAGCATTTACAAAATAATATCAAAAGTAAACAAGAAACATGAAGAATGATATTACAAGTTTTATATTTGATAGATTAAGTAAAATCATATCATAAGGAAGTTACTTTTAAACATAATTCATCTTTATAAGCATTAGATAACTATTAAAATCAATGAGCATTATTGATAATTCTTAATCAAGAAGGTTGCTCTGTTTGATTAATAATAATCATTTGTAGTAGGTAGGCGATAATTACAATAAAAATCTGATAAAAAGGAATGATATTAGTTTATCTTTTGGTTTCAGTGAATATTTGAAAGCTGACTCCAAAAGTTTTCAACTGGTAGAAAAAATCTGCATTTAGTTTTAGTTGTTATAATATAATTCAATTCATTAATTGATAAACCAATTATATAATGCTATTAAAAATTTGTGCGATAACTCAAATTGAATGATTTTTATAGATTATTGTAATTATAAATTTAAATGATCCGTTCTAATGATTCCAAATTTAACCAGCATTTTAAAAAAGATTCTTTTTATTTTCTAACTAAATTTTGTGTTCATTTTGTATTTTGATTATAAAATAAAACCAATAATTAATTTATATAATAAATGTAGTTTCTTAATCCAAAAAAGTAAAAATTTTAGTAAATACAGAAATAAGAGTTCAATTTTCAACTACTTGATGAAAATAGAGTGTTTATGACAGGAACATTTACTGCTTTCACTGATGAAGTGAAATAGTATATAAAAGTAATCCACTTCATTATCAGCATAGTAAAACAATGGAAGCTTTTAAAATTTGGATGGAGAGAAAGGTTGGATAATACCAATAGGAAATTATTAGAATTTGATAACTAATGTAAAATCAATGAATATTTTTAGCTAAAATCATTATAGTCAGAAGTAATGATAAAGTAATTGCCGCAATTATTGTAAAAACTATAAAATCTCAATATGAAAGAAATAAAGTATTTTGATAACGGTCAACTGGTTACCTTAAAGTATAATAATCAGATAAGTTATGAGTAAATTGATAAAACATTAGAAGACACATTATATGAATATCAAAAAGATTGTGTTAAATAAGGTTTAAAATTCAATGGTAGAATTTTGATTGCAGATGATATGGGTGTTGGTAAGACAGTGTAATCTTTGGCTCTTGCAAGTATGTATAAATAGAATTGGCCTCTGTTAATTATGTGTCCCTCGCCATTGAGATTGAATTGGTAGGATGAAATCATACATTGGTTAAAGATACATAAAACTGATATTTAATTGATTAATTGTGGTCGAGAGGGTATAAGAATGAATGCTAAAATAGTTGTGGTTTCATATGATATTTGCGCTAAGATCAAAGATGTAAATATTAATTAATAAATTTAGAATTTAATGAATCGAAAGTTCTAAATTTGCATAGCAGATGAATGTCATTACTTAAAAAGCCCTTCATCAATACGAAGTCAAGTATGCGTTCCAATTCTGAGATAATGTATGCAGACAATCCTATTGACTGGCACACCTGCATTATCAAAACCAAAAGACTTATTCAATCTATTGAATATTATTAGACCAGATATCTTTGGTAATTTTAAGGAATTTGGATATCGATATTGTGATCCAAAATTAAGTAGATTCACAAAAGGGATAGACTTTGATGGGGCATCAAATTTAAAAGAATTGTACTTCTTATTGAGAAATTATATAATGATAAGAAGATAGAAGAAAGATGTTTTGAGTCAGTTACCTGAAAAGAGAAGAGTAAAAGTAAGAATTCCAGGAGAGACAAGTTAAGTCAAATAAATAGGGGCTCTTTTGAATTAATTGGGGAATATTGATATTCAATAACTTATTAATAAAGATACAATCTTTCAGGAATAAAAGGATTAAAGTGAATAATTGCTTACAATAAATTCTATTTTATAGAAGTGCTATATGCTTACTGGTTAAGCAAAGATTAAGGCTATAAAAGATTATATTTGTACATTGTTTGAAAATGAAATTAAATTTTTATTTTTTGCACACCATTAAGATGTATTGGATGCTGTATAAGAATATTGTGTTCAAAATGAAATTTAATATATGAGAATTGATGGTAATGTTGGAGTTGAACAAAGACATTTGAATGTACAAATGTTTTAGAATAATGATGAAATTAGGATTGCTATTTTGAGTGTTACATCTGCTAATTATGGAATTACATTGACAGCAGCCTCAACTATAGTGTTCGGTGAAATGCATTGGACTCCTGCTATTATGCTGTAAGCAGAGGATAGAGCACATAGAATTGGTTAGGTTTAATGTGTTGATTGCCATTATCTAATAGGAGATGGGACATTAGATGATCATATTTTCAATAAGATTGAAAATAAAATGAATACTGTTTCAAATTTTATTGATGGATAAAAGTAAAACTTAGGAGCATTAGAATTTTCAGCTGAGGAAGCATTGGTTAAAGGAACATCAAAGCCTACCTTGGTTTCCGATAAAGGCGAATCTATTTTGTAGGATGGTAATATACAACCTTCAAACTAAGCCTTAACAGAAGATGATATGCAGGAAATCTACCAACTATTAGAATCTAGATCAAAAGAAAAATAAGATTAATTAGATTTAGAGTAGGCTGAATCTTAACAAAAAAAGAATAATATTAAAAAAAAATAAGTTGAAATTTCTAGTTAAGTTAAAAATTAATGTTCAACACTAAAACAATAATTACTGGATAAATATTTGAGTAGCAACAATGCAAAGAAAGAAGTTATAGAAGATAAAAAGGAATTTAATAAAATATAAAAGGTTATCGAAGAAAACAAATAATTAACTTATGGAAAAATTCCTTAAAAATTGAGTTATTAATACTTGTAAAGTAGATTAAACGCAGACAGCAAATCAACTGAATCAGGATAAAAGAAACTTGCTCTACATTTCACTAAGTAACAACCAAGTCCCAACAGCTAAGAAGAAATTATTGATTAGAAAGTTAATTGATTTATTATTATATTTATTATTTTTTTTTATAAATTAATTTGGTTACAAAATCAACAGTAGGATAAATCATCCTTTTATCAACAATATAAGAGAATTTATTGCTGCAAAAGATCCAACAATTATTCCAATAATCATCAAACAACAATATGTTGTCCTTTATCTTACCGATTAGTTATCAAAGAAGTTCTTCTTGTAGATAATCAATGGGAAATAGAATTGTAGAGCACTTCCAGAAAATCCACCTACTAGAGATAAAAATACAGCAAATTATGGAATAAACATCGCTATCAAACTTAGGAGTACCACTTAAACCATCCTTATTATAATTCGTTTTCTGTTTGCTGAGTCTTAACTCTTTTATATCTATCAATATTGATTATTGTATTACATATGAATTTACTTTTTAGTTAGTTTCTAAAATTTAAAATGCAGGCAATAATTAGACTGGAAATGAGAGTAATAATCCAATAGCATAGCTTATTTAAACTACAGCCATGAAAGGATTATCTTACAAATTAAACAACACAATTTAATTGATATCTGTGCCATAGCCAATACCACACACCAAAGAAAAAATAATAAATAAGATCACTACAGCAATTGTAGTTAATTACAACAATCTTTAAAATTTCTCCTTCTTCTGCATCGAAGATTGAATGTTTAGTAAAACTCCAACAGCTTCAAATGAGTATATCGAGACACCAATCATTGTTGATAAACCTGAAAAGTCTATCAAACTTTATTTTTCAGGATAACTCTCATTGATAATTGCTTATATAGCTGAAACCATTATCATTACTAGTGGAAATACTATCAGTCCATTCGCAATTGCACTTACCTTTGTAAATACAGCCATATTAGATATTAGTGTCATTGGGAGTAAAATTAATAAGGCTATTAAAAGATAATATAATTAATGTTGAAATGAAGATGTGGAATTACCATAGAAAGCAATTTCAAAAAACTCCATAAAAAAAATAACATAACTTATGCAACATCCCCATTACATAGTTCCAACAATTAATTTACTAAATGATCTATACCTTGCACCCAAAGTAATTTCAATAAATTTTGAATAATCCATTAATTGATTAGGTTGCCTATATTTATCGGCCATCATGATGAAATTCACTTATTAATAATTTATGAGCAAACTTAGAAGCACAAAAACTATAGTTGATAGAACATAACCTCCTTTGGCAAAACTGTAAGGCAATGCGAGTATTCCAGAACCAACAAAAGTTTTAAAAAGGGTTAAAGTTGCCCCTTTGTAAGATGATTGCTTCTTTGGGGCCACTTTTTATTATTGAATTTAGTCAAGAGTTATTGGTTTATATTCTAGATTTATTTCAATTTGAGGAGCAGGCCCTAATTGTTTCTCATCAAGGATATTATTAGATCCAAATTCATTGGATCCTATATTTTAAGATTAAATCCCTGCGTTATATTATTTTTCATCAAGCATAGTATTTATTTAAATAATTATTTATTAAAGAGATTGTTAGTATATTTAATCTCAATTTCAGATAATAAGTCATTAAATAGATATCAATATTCTATTAATATAAACCATAAAATAATTTTAATAACAATCAGTTCTAACTGTTAAGATAGTGTAGATATTATTCATATCTTAATGGTGATTACCTTTCATTTATAGCTTATTTTTCTATTTTCCCATCTTTAATATAAATAACCCTGTGGGCATAGCATTCAAGATCAGGATTATGAGTAACCATAACCATAGTGCAAGGTGTGGGATTAGATTCATCATATCCAAAATTATTGAGTTTCAATAAGATATCCATGACTTCAACAGTTGATTTTGAATCTAAATCTCCTGTAGGCTCATCCAATAATAAAATTTAGGGTGAATTGGCTAAAGATCTAGCTATAGCCACTCTCTACTATTCACCACCTGATAACTCTGATGGTAAATGATCCATTCTATCCTATAGTCCAACACTTTTCAGCAATTCTCTGACTCTTTTTTTAATTTCTTTCTCCGACTTAATTCATACATTATTTTATTACTAATTTAGCCAAAATTCTCATGGGCAACTCTACATTTTCATAAGCTGTCATTGTAGCAATTAAATTAAATGTCTAGAATACAAAACCAATAGTTGTCAACCTAAGTTCGCTTAAATATGAGTCTTTTGATAACTTATTGACTTCCCTTCCTAATAATCCTATTATATTGTTTATTATTAACTTATTGTGCCACTAGTAGGTGTGTCAATTGTTCCTACTTAATTTAAGAATGTTGTTTTTCCACCACCAGAGGGACCTCTAATAATGACAAATTCTCCCCTTTTTATAGGATAAAATTCATCATGTTGTTTTAAATTGATTTCCTTAAGAGCATAAATCTTCTCATCTCTTCCAATAAGGTTAAACTCTGTAAAATTAAAGATTAGGATACCTTTTGATACATCTTCACATTCAATTACATTCTCATCTTATGGCCCAAATTCTTTTGGAGGTAAATTATAAATATCTTTAACCTGTCCCATCATTGCTTCTTTTTCTGGAGATCCTGTAAATATCATTATTGAAATATAATGATGTAAATATTTATTTTTAATATTTACTTTGTTTCTATCCTTCAATTAAAATAGATTGAAAGTATCCAAAATTTATAGAAACTTAAAACAATTTTAAAGACTATTATTAGATGAGCATTGAATGAATAATAAAATTTTTTTCTGTTTAAACAAATTGAAGCAAATGGAATTTTAAAAAATCAAATCCTATCTTCAAATTGGCTGAGTAATTAACTATAATCTAATATCTAAGGCTTAATTTAATGAAATTAAATCTGCTTTTTAAGAAAATATGAAAGGAATTAAGGTTTTTGATTTCGCTTGGCCTTTCTCAAGATTTAATTATGAATAAACCAAAAACCATAGATCATTAAGTATATGGCTATGTTATTTGATATTTAGATAATTTCAATCAATATAATTGATACTATTGATAAGGATTAATTATTTTAAAAATTATACAAAAATAAAAACAATTAAGTGATTTACCATCAAATTGGGTTTTTTACTATAGGTCTTATCAATAGAGACTAAAAACTTCCAACACCTCTAATTACTAATATTTGAACTTAGAATCCTAAATAATAAACTTACTTTATAATCCATATTCAAAATTCTATTGCTAAAGTAAGCTTTTTTTTTTTATGAGAAACTTCATAGAATTCAACTTATCAATTATAGTTCTGATAGGCTTTTAATTGAGCCTTCTGAATTTATAATTATAATTAATTTCACAATTACAACAATTAACATTACGAGCCAGCACAGTTTCTCTTTTGAAACAAAGAATTGATGCTAAATTTTAATAACTTAATTTAATTTACAATTATCTGCGGATGTGTCGCATTAAATAACATAACAAAAAATAATCTCTATTTCTGATTTCTACTCAGATCAATCTGATTTAATCTAACAAATAAATATTTTTATGGTATACAATATACAGTAGACTAAACCTCTACTATAGTTCTATTATAGTTTGAAAATAGGATCAAAAGAAGATATGACTGATGATTATAATTCTTTCAGAAAATAGTTTTTTTGAGAAGAATGATAATTTATCAGTCATATCTCCTTTTGAAATTCAATTTAATATTTAATTTGAATATAAAATTTACAAAAAGGATTGACTGTTGAGATTCCCTTTTACTGATTGGAATAGTTAGCAATCAGTCCAAGCTGTGAGTTAGGAACTACCTTGGATCAAAACAATTGGATTAAAGAAATTGGTAAATTTAAGTAATCTGTTAAAGACTATCAAGCTAGTTATTTAAAAAAAACAAAGTAAAAGGATCTTATTTATTAATTTGTCAAAGGAAAAATAAATTAGAAATAATGTTAAAAATTGTAAGTGATATGAATTAGGAAGAATAGTTCAATCATTAAGTTGTAATGAATAAAATCCATTCTAATCTATTATTTAATTTAATACAAAACCTATTTGTTACCAAATTAAAAAATTTGAAATAAAAGAGAAATTACGATAAATTTATATTCCAATTGAGTATTAGCTTAATTTAAAGTAAATTTTTTGAATTTAAATAATAGAATTATAATGTTAAATAATAGAAATCAATCAATCATAAATTATAGAATAATCCTCTAGCGTTTTTTTCATATACTCATTTTCACTTTATTTATTTATATTAGGGAAATTTATTTATTCATTGAGGAGTTTCTCAATATAAGGAGGAGAAAAGGAAGTCAAAGAAATCATTGAATGGTTAAAGTCTTTACATAAGAATGATAGATAATAATCATAAGAATAATCAAAGGAAACGTAATTAACTTATGAATTGCTTCCTCAAATGTTGGGCAATTGCTTTTGATTATCATACAAAATTTTTAATAACGGGATCTGAATCCAACATCATAACTATGCATTTCAAAAGTGGGGCATTAAAAAGGATTCAGATAATTTAAAAACATGAATCCTGGATAACTACCCTTAATTTCTTCAGATAAATGCAATTATTTATATCTGGATCATCATGCATTAAAATATGGTCTTAAAACTAGTGAGCCAATCCAAAGATTCTAATGAAATTATCACTCTTCAAATATTCAATGTTTAGTACTTTGTAATTTAAACCCATTGGTTATAATTAGTGGTTCTAAAGACAAGAATCTAAAATTTTGGTATTAATAGGAATCGCAGTGGATTTGTAAATAAACAATTGTGGAGCATTCAAATACAGTATGTGGGTTGTCTTTAAATTAAGAAGGCAACACTTTAATTTCTTGTGGAGAGGATGATGTTATCAACATCTTAAAATTTTAGGATGATCATCAATGGAAGGTTGTTTAAAAATTGGAAGGATAGGGTGTTAGATTGTCATTTATATCTAAGGACATATTTGTATTTTAACCATGGTAAGGTAGTAAACTTGAACTCTATACATATTCAACATAGAGTGGATTATATTATAAATATCAGGAATTACCAATTTAATCATGTAGATAATTATGTGCTAATTTATTTCCATGCTTCTTTGTTTCTTCAAAGAACATTGTACTATCCAAAAATGGTTATAATTTGAATTTTATCAAATTCAAAACCAATTCATCATAGTTTGAGGGTAAATTAGAGTAAGCTATCGATTTCAATTATCCTAATAATTGGTTGGGGAATATCTTTGGTACTATGAGCGAAGGAGGAGACTTTTTGATTACATGGGACAGCAAAACGAAACAAATATAAATTCGGGAATATAAAGAGTTTTAATAATAAAACAAAACATCAAGTTAAAAAAATTGTTAGATTTTTTGATTATATTTCTTATTAATAAAAAATAATTAACTTTTATTTTAAATTGTTAGTAATTCTTTGAAGTTGAAGCTACGAAATTCCATTAGATTTTATTGTAAAATATTTACCTAAATATCAGATATTAAGAAGCTAGAGAATATGATTATAACAATTAAGATAATTAAAGGCTTTTTGAACTCTAAAATAAACATTATAAATATTTGAATTATGATATAGCTAATCTAATTGGAAGATCAAAGTAAATATTTTCAAAGAAGAAACTTTTTGGCCAAATCAATTATTAAGAATCAAAGACTACCACCTTAATAGAATAGTAGAAATCTAGAAAGTCATTTTCTATTGAAATGATTTCAAAAGGATATTTCCTTCGTCTGTTTTAGATCCTTACATCCTTTAAACTCAATATAACTTTAATTAAACCAATAGTTATTTCTCTTTGACTGTAGAAAGAATTTTTGATTTAATTCTATAAATTTTCCATAATCAATTTCTTATTAAAGTTTCTTATACTAATTTTTCTACATTATTGATATTTATCATTAAATAAGTTTATTTGTGATTAATGAATAAAGAGTTTCATATCTTATTGCGTTGTTTATCTATTTAATTTTATAAGAGTGAATTTAAATTAAATTAAATTGAACATTATTTTGAGATATTAGTCTAAAATTACACACCTATTTGCAAAAATTCACAAAAGAGATTATTCTAAGTAACATGAATATCAAAATCTCTAAATAAATAAGGTGATTAATTAATCAATTCTGCTTTTATTTATTTAGAAGTGAAGATGAAGATATTAGGTTACTTTGAGTGATAAATATGAAAAAAAGTTATAAAAATTAAATCCTTAAAATTTTACCCTCTAAAATGATTCTTGTACCTTTAGATTATAAATTTGACTGAGACAGTAGTATGCCTTAAATGGGTTTAGGATTTTTCTGATTCAAAAAACTTTTATGATTCACCATTGTTTTTAGTTTCAAAATAATTATTTAATTAACTAACATTCCTAATACTTATTTAAAATTTAGAACAGCAAATAATTTTTGTATAAAAAGTACATGATTTCAGATAATATATAAATTGCATTGATAAATTTATTAGTATAAAATATTTTATTTCAACTAAAAGATTGGGAGTTTTTTTAGAAATTTTTCAAATTAATTGTTATATTATTCCTTAGAAACAGGATGAATTACTGATTCAATTTAAAATATCCTAATATTATAAATCTTTTGCCCAAAGATTAAAAAGATTATTAACCAGAGCCTTTGATCATTGTCAATATTCTTTTTTCATGTAATATCTTATATAAATTTAATATTTTAAATACTTATTGTAAAAAAAAGTATTTAATATTAACAATAATGTTAATAATTATGACTTTACTCTATATTACTAATGAACCTGTTGTATATTCCTTTAACGTAGATTTTTAATAGAAAGATAGTATATTTTAATCATATCTATGCATTAGATTGGTAAAGTAAGGCAAGATCCTTGGATTGTGGATATATTAAATTTTTTGGATATTTAGGGTCTCACAATAGTATAGTAAAATTATGCTTTGATATTATAGAACCATATTTTTAGATTTAGAGTCTCAATCTCATTATAGGATTGATGCAGAGATTCTAAGGTATTTATTTATTGTAAAATCGATAAGCATTGACGGATACAAAGAGCCTAATTTTTACGTCGAAAAATATTGGCAAACCAAGATATCACTGTAAAAGAAGATAATATTTGTGGAAATTTGTCTTCAGAATATTTTTATACAATATCTATAGTTCGTACCCATATCAGAAAGAACACTCTATGTATTACTTAATTTAGCTTTTGGAGGAATAACATCATTGTAATTAAGTACCATTAAATGTTAATCTGGATGTGAAGCATGCGTAGATAATAATATGAAAAGCTGTTAATAATGGAACTATTTAATTATTCTTTAGATAAAAAAAATCGATATACATTTCTGAAGGGTGGACATTTACATATACTACCGATCCTTAATGTGGTAATTACAAATTTTTATTGTTCAACTCAATTAGTTATTATGGATAACTCCCTCCTCATTAACATTAATTAATCAGGTTCTATAAACGAACGATGTTTAATTAATTATAGCATATATATACATAGTTAATAGATAACTATTAATAAATACAATTGAAATAAATTTGGTAAATAAGTCTTTCATTTTAAGCGTAAAACACATCAACAGAGATATTAATAAGAAATCATCCTGATCCAATATTAAGGCTAGATATAAAGACTCTAAATGCCCTTGATAACTGCTATATAAGGGATTTCGAACTTTTTATTCTCCAATTAAACAGCACCTTATCAAATGAATGCAAAATTATTATTATCATTCATTTCATTTGTAATAATTTTGAATGAATTCAAATCTGAAGGATGAATAATAATTATTAAGCAATATTCAAAATTTTTACGAAAAGTGCAAAGAACCACTGGGGAGCGTTTATAAGATACAAAATCAGTAAGAAATTGAAGATGATCATTTCAAATTCTTTTCTCATTTTTGGTCGATGAGTTGATAATTCTTCATAAAGCAATTCTTCTGAAGACAACGATTTCATCTTAAAATTCCAATCGTAAACACAGAAGCTCTTAAATAATTATTTCTTAGATCTTCCGACCAATAATTATCTCTCTCCCAAAATTTTTAATTTATAGTTTATTAATTAAAATGGAAACAATGTGCCTTATAAACTAATCGTCGGTTCAGGTACTAGAATAGTGTATTTACCTGTCACTATGGATTAAATTTCGAATCATTGCCTAATAAAAATAAATGATGACTTTGACATGATAAATATTTTTCTGTTAATATATTATACAAAATTCTACTAAATTACAATATTATTATATGGTTATATAATAATTCTATTAATCACATTTTATATTATTTTCTGATAGAATTTTACAAAATCAATTTAAAATTCTAGCAAAGAATTTAGGGAATATAATCCTATAATTAATACATAATTTTAATTCTATAAATTGGGATTATTATAAAAATAAGTAATTAATCAATATTAAGCAAATCTGAAGTTTATTTCTAATTAATGTTAAAAATAATATTTTTTGATGGAAAGTAATTGAGCAATGAACTTCAACATTAGATTGAAACAGAGATAATAAATATAATAAATAAATGTTAAGGAGTTTTATCTACTTTTAGTGATACTACAAAAAAGAATATAGAAATTGTTTTATTTGTAGGATAAACAGGAGCAGGAAAGAGCACTTTATTCAACTTTCTTAGCGGAGCAGAGTTCAAAATTCAAGAGAGAGTATTATAATTAAGAAATCCTTCTAATAAATTTTCAGAGATGAAAGGTGGAATGAATTCTGTATCAAAAGAGCCCAATTATTATTTTAATTCAGAATATAATCATTTATTAATAGACTTCCCTGGTTTTTAAGACACAAATGGTAAATTAGATCAACTTTTAATTGAATTAATATTTTAAAAGGTAGTCACTTAATTACATATTAAAGTAATATATGTTATAAAGAATAATGAAAGCACTCTGCCTAATAGAGGAATGTAAATAATAAAATTTATAGATTAACTATTTCAAAATAGTAATTTAGATATTAATAAGTTTAATTTATTACTAAATTGTTATTTAGAAATTTGTCAGATTTTGAATTGAAAAGAAATATAAGGAAAGAATTAACAAACGCAAATAAGAATAATTATATCGATAATATTCTTGTAATGAGAAAAGTCTAAAATACTGATGATTTAAATAATTATTTCATAAATTAAAAAAGAAATGAGTATATAAATAAAACCAGTTCAATCAAAACCTTAATCGATTCCTAAATTTTCAATTCTTTCACAATATCTAATGTAATAAATTTCAATGATTATGGATGAATACAATTGAGTTATTTATGAAAATGTAGAAAAGTTATGTGAGCAAATGAATATTTCCGAAAAGAGTGAGCAAATCAGATAAACTTAATCCCTTTTAGATATTATAACTAAAGCAGAAATAAAAGATGCTTCTGAATGGTATTCAATTTTCATTGAAATTGTGAAAAAATTCCAAAAGTTCTTTAAATTGAAAAGAATTTAAATAATTTTAAACAGATTTTACAATTTTGTTCCCAATTTTAGAATTAAATTGAAAATTACTCTGAAGTTATTTTTTCTATTAAAAGCTCTTAAAAGTAATTCCAAAACTTTAGGAGAATATAGATTAAATGGTTAAAAATCAAAAGGAAAAAACGTAAAGGGAATACCAAATTGCAACTTTTTCATCTTAAAAGGAATAATTATTGTAAACTTTTATTATTTTGAACCTTTGTAATTAAAATAAAATAGTTGGTTTAAAGTAGGGTAAAAAAATGTTAAGCTCGTGATTAATACTATGTACAAATGGAGTTATAAAAAAAAGTGAAAAGATAAGAAGATCATTATTACCACCTAGAAAATGAATTGAGAGAGATTGAAATTCGAAATTAAATTAAAGATTTTTTAAATTTCTTGTGGTTGATGAATACCATATTTGATTTTTGAAAAGATAATCTATATTAAATATTTATAATTATGAGATTTATTCCCTTAACTATTAGCCTACATATCAATTATTGAAATTGTCATAAGTGATCTGAATTTTTTAAAGTTTTATAGAAGGACTCATCTGAGGATCTGAATGAGCCTCGAATTTATTATTTTCTATTGATTGGATTATCTAATTCCATCATATCTATGAGGAGTTCATTCATCCTTTCTGTTTCTTCATGAACTTCAAAATAAATTAGACAATTGATCTTGTTTTGATTATTTTATTTAAGGTCTCTCCAAATTTGATGCAATTAATAGTTAATTATTTATATTATTATTATTATTCTATCCTGTTAAGGAGAAGAGAAAACATAAATTATTTAATCATCATATTTTTTCAAATTAATTCCATTCTTTTAATAATTCTATCCCCTACTCTATACGTTTATGCCATTTTTCACTTTTAATTCCAATGCTAATTTTTCTATGAAATGTATTTAGATATTATTTCAGATGGATTTTAAACGAAATTCCAAGACTCCACGGGATTGCATTTACATCTCCAGTATCAGTTTTAAGATCTTATTGAATTAATTTAGATAACATGATTGGAATCTTATTTTTGAAATTTAATTATAAAAGCAAACCTAAGTTTTTGCTCTTCTACAAGTGATTGGATTAGTTTGAATATCAGATACTAAGCATGCACCAGTGAGTAGATTATTTTGAATGTTTAAACATTTTCCGCGATCTCCAGGAGGAGTAAATTGAAAAATACCAATATTATTTTTAAAATCTCAATTTTGTTGAATATTCTATCAGTATCGGTTATTCCTATAAAATAGCAAGAGTTATTATAATAATAACCTGAAGCAATATAAGAATAAATTTACAATATTCCATCTTAAACACTCTTTTTTTTGACTAATAGAAATTGATCTACATAAAGCAAAATATATGGATGAACTTGGCTTTTCAATATTATTACATTAAAGTCTTACTGTGTCATAAATAAGATAAGCTCCAATAAATATTTTAGTTATAGTAATCGCATATGTATGGAGATAGACTTTATGTTTCAGGTATTAGTGAACCACCAACAGCAGCATCAATAGTCTTTATAAAAGAAGAAGAAAATTTAACAAACATTCTCAGAGAATTTGGAATATGCATTTGGAATTGAGAAACAAGCAAGTGATTTAGACTATCTAAACAGCATTTCTCTGTATTAGCCAAGTCAAAGCACTATTGATCTGATCTTGGGTAGGAGTAGGAATACATTTCAAGTTTGATGTAATTGATTTACAACTATCTTTGTGCTTTTAAGGCAAGCCAGCATGTTAATTCCTTTATTCTTACTACATCATATATAGGATTAACTTGAAAAAATAACGCCAATATCCATATGAATAATAACTACATCAAAAATTCAAAATTGGTCCAATAGTATCATATCTATTATCATAATTTGTCTAAGCACAATTTAAGATCTGTTGGATATTAAGGCAGGCATATCTGTTCAATCCTTAACATTATCAACTGCTAAGTTTGCTGATACAAGATGTAATATAGTGTATTAATAATAAAAGGTTAATAGTTATGGAAAATAAATGTCTATAAACACTTTCTGTACACAACTGGTAACCCATTTGCAGGGTTCTTGATTGGATACTAAACAATGCTATTTTTGGGCTCCATTTTCATTGATTCATTGATTTACGAACAAGTAACCATAATTGAGCCTACATCTTCCCATCACAAAGTAGTTGACTTAATCTAACATGATTGAGAAGGAATTAGGCAAGCCTTTCTACTTAAAATAGAACAGTTAGTAAGATTTTAAATTTGATTCTAGGCTTTGATTTCACACAAATTGGTTTCATCCTAAATTGCTAAAATATTTACGGTCAACTAAGAACGCGCACTTTGTCTGTTAAATTAATGTAAATTAATTTGGCATTTTTTGGTTTAACTATCCCAATAGCAACTTTCAAAGTCAGCTCAACAGTCATATTGTTTTTTGTAAGTTGCCACAACTTACAACTTGAGCTTAAATCAGTAATCCTATTATATTTAAATGTACTATAGCTTTAGATAACCCTAAACATTGATTACAGGCAACAGCAGAGATAAAAAGCAAAGAACATGATGCAAAAAAAGCATTCTCACACTATTTGATTTAATTTTTCCAAGGTATTTATTTGAAAAATAAAGTATTTTATGTATGGGATAAAGGACCATATTTATAATATTTCATCCTGCGAATTACAAATTAAACTTTATCATAATAACCTGCATATTTAAGCATTTTTGGTGTAGAATTAGCCTTGTTTTAAACAGTCATTAACCCAGAAGAATTCTTCTAATTATATTATTTAAATACTGTCTTGTTCTATTTTGACTATACGCTTTTCTTATTATTAATACTTCTTCAATAATTAAACGTTAATGATAGAATTGATCATATATTAGCATTTCCATCAGTAAATTATTACAAATTTTATAATATTTTGGTCGTTTTGATTAATATTAATTTTCAAAATTAACCAGCAACTAAGAAAGAATGTTACATTTACAATGTTAACTGAATGAAAGCTTAAAATTTAAATAATTTAGCAGCTTAAATCTATTACCATTTAAAAAGGAAAATGGAATATATTCTTATTATCCCGATGATCCAAATAAAATCTAAGGGAGAACGACTTAAACCTATTCGCTTACCAACACTACCACCTTAACCCAAATGGAATTTCTTGAAATTAAAACAAGAATTCTTGTATAAAGTAGTCAAATTTGATTAAGTATCTGATAATTTCTTCGACAGACTAAAATTATTAATATTTGAAGAATGTTAGGACCATCCATTATGAATTTAAAAATATCACTTTGCAAATGGAGTTCTATAAGACTCCCCACCCTCACACATATAAATAAACAATTTCTTACTAGAGTTAAAAAATTACTCTATGGAATGATTAAAATTAATAATTTGCTGATGATCTAGTTTTGTAAGATAATCAATAAATCAAAGTGTGGCATCAATATACTAAAATTTAAATAGATCTAAGATTTTCCTATTTTAAAACAATACAAATATCTGAATAAAAATAAAATAGAATAAGCCTTAGACAATATTGTTAAAAGATAAAACGAATCTCCTAATCTCTATATCCTAACTGAGAATTTATATATTTTTCCTACAAATATGTTATTTGTTAAAAATAAAACTATAAAACTTTTGAAATTTCCAGAATCATGACCTACTGATATGCTGTAAGTTTTAATATTGGAAACAAGAATTGATAAAATGTTATTTTTGAATTCAAAAATGGTGGATTTATTGAAATACAATTTTATAATTGGATCAAACTAAAATATGTGATATTCATCAAAAAGATTATCTTTTAAACTCATAATTAATTATCAATACAAATATAAGTGCAGAATAGTTGAAGAAGAAGTGGAAAGAGAAAAGAAAATTGATTCCTAATTGGTCACAATTAAATAAATAAATAAATAATAATTATTAATATATTCATGTAGTATAGAATCAAGTGCGTTCCTTTATGAAAACTTTCTCAATCTTGTGAAGTGTATTAATCAATTTTTGCAATTAATCTTCTAGCCCAAGAGATCTATAGTTCCTGATCTTATTTAGAATTTTTCATGTTTCATATTGATTACAGTTTTGCAACCAATAGTCCTACTCTTCGTTAATGTAATTTAATAAACAAATTCTTCAATTAATACTGATTTATTTTTGTTATTTTTTAAATAATTATTCTAACAATTAGGTATTTAAACTCATCTTGCCAATAAAGCCATCTATATCAGAAAATAACCACAAAATATTCTATCAATCATATCTCTAATAAAATTTCTAAGATAGTAAAATGAGTTACATATTGAAACATATTATTCACATAAACTGGCTAAATTGATGATTAAAGATCCTATTTCTTTTATATCTAATGAAAATATTAGAATTAAGTCCCTATATATATTGGTTTAGAAATTAATAAATTCTCAAATATAAGCCATTTAACAAGATCAATAGTCGTCCAATAATCTCACAGAAATTAATTAAATTAGCCATATTGCAAACCCACAAATGTTTTTCCACTTTTTAAATGGTGGACAGAGAGGAAGAAACATTTGCCTAAAATTGGGAAATATATTGAAAAAAGAGAAAATGGCATAAACAAATGTGTAATAGCATAATTTTAAATAAAATAATGATCTAGAATACTAAATATTCAATAATAGTAAATATTTTCAATATATCTGTTTCAGATATTAATTTAGGTTATTATTGAAATTATTTTAGACATGGATTTATTATTATTTTTAAATTTGATAAAAAATTTTCTAAAATGTCTTAAATGGAATTCATTTTGCGTGGAGGTGGTTGTGGAACTTCAAAAATATACTCACTCGAATCAGAAATCTCAAAGACAGATAATTAAGATCTTTATAATCTCTTTAATAAATTCAATTTTTATGTTGAAATCATCTGCACAAAGGCTGCTGTTGCCGCTAATTAGTTAGAGAATTAAGAAATATCGATTGCTTTACAATGGTTTAATTTTTAAGAAGAAAAAATTTACAAACTTAACAAGAATGCTGAAAGTGTTGCGAAAACATATGATTTAATTTTAGAGGGAATCAGAAAATTATTGAAAAGCTGCTTGATTTACATTAGAACAGATTCGTTTAAATGTTTATATATCTTGTAGACAACAGCGTCTCTATCTAAAGTAATATTTAGCTTCCATATGCTAAATAAGGAGAGATATATAAAATGTGATTTATAACAGGAATTTTTGGACATCTCTGATGAACTAAGAAAACATATGGAAATAGAGAAGAATGATTTGATTTAAAATTAAATGGAACTCTATCTTTTCTTAACAAAAACTTCTTTCTAGATATCACCTAACAATAATGATGAAAGGAAAGAAATCTTAAAAGGATTTTTAAGTGGTATTATTGGTTCGATAATTTCAATGAAACCAAATGAAGAATTGCTTGAATCATTGTTTTTGGGAGCTTGTCATCTTTATAATTTATATATTGTTGATAAAAATAGAAAATAGTTTGAAGTTTATTATTCAATAGATATGTTACAATGGGAGATAATAGGTTATTTTAAGAATGATACATTGTAAGATCTAGACGAAATAATTTTACGAGTTGAGGTTATACATGATAAAATTGTGAAAAATTCAAATGAATGGAAATATCATTATCTTTGGGTGTAAATGGTTGGGAAAATCTTATAATATAATCCTCTAATAACAAAACACAAATTATCCCAGTTGATAAGGACATTCAATTTGGGTTTAAAGCTAAATCAAATTTGGAAGGAATATTAAAGAAAAGGATTACTATTTTAAGTGAGTAATGACTAGGCAGTCATCTAACTTGATTAACTTTAGAATAGTTCATTAAATGAAAATGATAGAATAATGTTAGAAACCTGTTTCAAAGGGTGGGAAATCTTTTTATCACTTAAAGATTTTCTCATAAATGAAAATATCCCTTTTACATTTGGATCATATTTAAAAAGCAAATTAGAAATTGAAGGAAAAGGACTCTAAAAACATGAATATCTATTGGCAATTAACAATATTAAAAGGTATTTAGGGTTTTAGATACCCAATAAGCTGCTAACTTTAATTAAATAAAATGATAAAAAATTGGAAGAAACAATTAAAATTTGTAGAAACTTTATAAAGGACAAGTAGTATGATTAAGGTTTAATCATAAAAGTTTCTAATTAATAAATAACAAAGATTATGCAAAAATTAGAGCAGTATTACTAAAACATATAATATATCAGTAAAATCTATAGGCTTAATTAGATCAAAAAGAAAGATATAAGTCAAAATAACAATTTTGAGAAACTTAATAATTTGTTGTGGTTGTAAGAAAGTTTAGAATTATATCTAATTTTACTTGAAAGGAATGAAGCACAAAATAACAATGGTAAAGATAGCAAGAATGAACTTCAAGATTGGATAACATTAATTAAAGAAGATTTAATAGCCAAAGATTTTTAAGCTTCTTATTTATCATTTCTTGACTTACCAGCAACCCAACAAATTAGAAAGAAAATTCTGTAAGAAGTTGAAAAATTTGTTGACATTTATGAGAAAGAAATTTGCAAATTAAATATAAATGAATTATTGCAATATTTTTAGAATTTAGTCAATAATCTACAAGAAGAGTACGAAAACTAGAGCAATGAACATTAAAAACAAATTTTAGAGTTCAATTTACACCTAAAGAGAGTCATGATTATAAAATATTAAATGGAGACAGTTACTTAAATTGTTGAACTTGAAAAAATTAAAAAAGATATAGCTGATATGCATTTACTTAAATTTCTAGAGAACTTAAAGTACAAAAATCTGAAGCTAAAATTAAAATTGGTTGCTTCTAAGAAATCCTTTTCATTTATTTTAGAAAAAACCAAACCAGAGGAATTAAGAAAGTTTTCAGAAGTTATAAATTTGTAAGAGTTCCTATTAAGTATAGTTGAGGATTTTCTAAAAAGAATTCTAAAAGAAAATGCTAATTTTGAAGACTCACTTCGAATTGAACTGAAAAATATTGAAATCACGAAATAAGAAGACTTTGACTACAGATTATCAAAGTAAAAAGGAATAATAAAATTCCTCGTATTTAAATAAGGTTTAGATGAAAATCAGATTGAATAGGATGAAAAAGATTTAGAGTTGATTGAGAAGGAATTTGGAGATTTATACAATAAAGAAACTCCTTCTTCTTCTATTGTGACAATAAAGTAAATTTTTGAAAATCTACAAGTTGATGAAACTTTAAAATAGGTGATGGATGAAAAATTAGATTCATCGCAATTGAAATTGGAAAAAGAAAAATATTATATTTTTTTATCTCAATTAAAGCAAATTGAAGATTTTAGAAAATGTTTATTAATTAAAAATTGGAATCAATTAATCTTATAAACAGAAACTGTGATCCAAACATTTGAAAATTTTGGATGCCCAGACAAGGAAGTTATAAAAATGTTAATTAATGAAGAACTAATCCAGTTAAAAACTTTAATAAAGATAAATTAAGGAGA